ATGTGTGTATATAGTAGTGTCTGGTGCTGGTGTAGACGAGGGGCTGGGGTTCAACTAGGTGCAGTCCGTGCGTGCTTTTGATTTGTTCGATGGAGACGGGCGGGGGAGTACGGAGTACTACACTGAGTACTGTACCTAGTGCTGATGGTGCTGCAGCTACAGGGCGCTAGCTACCTGGGTGCGAGCGGGTGCGAACGGGTGCGATCTACCAGGTAGGTAGAACGTATTAGCAAGTCCTTTATCTTGACCATTCGACACCAATCACACCAATTGGCGAGTGGTGGGGTCTTGGTATCTAAGTAACAGAGCTAAGTGGTAGTTATTAGCGCACAGTATGTTTATCTACGATGTATGAAATAGCTGCTACGTTGAATTGATCCCTGGGGTTTGGTGGGGCGCTTAGCCTGATTGTCTGATATCTCCAACATATATCATATATCATATATATATAAACGATGGATACCATACATTCAAATCGTATTATACTATGACTGCCATTGATGTCGACATGCTAGTTACACTAGTGGTAGATACTTCGGTCATTTTTATTAGCCTGTTGACTAGCTACGCCGAGCTTGCGATCCCGTATGATGGCGACGGGCGTCGACCAGCGGGGACGCGTACGCGTGTTTGCAGAAGCGGCTCGCGCTCCCAGTCGCGGACTACGACTGCTTCGCCTGCTGGTACTGCGGCCGGGGGCGGTGGGCCCGGCTCGAGGACTGCCTCTGTTGTTGTTGTTGTTGTTGGTGGTGGCGAGGATATGATCTTGGCGCGCCACCAGACGAAGGATACGAGAGCTAGACCGACGCCACAGGTGACTCCCGTTAGGACTGCGTTGACGGGGATGGGGTTGCGGTGGAAGGTTTTGAAGGTTAGGGCGTCGAGGCCTGCCTGGGCGAAGTTGCCTATGCCTGCGAGGCAGATGATCAGGCCGTAGACTTTGCCGAAGGTTTGGAAGCCGAAGACTTTGGCGGCGTAGTCAGATACGGCGGTGTAGTAGAAGGGGCGGTAGAGGACGAAGAGGATGATGTTTGCGTAGCTTGCTTCTAGGCTGTGGGGGATGCAGCCTAGGATGCCGATTGTGGTGGCTGTTGTGACGAGGAGGAGGAGCACGAATGGTGTGGAGGCGTTGTCGAGGATCGCGCCGATGAATGGGATTGAGAGGAGGCCGCCGACGGGGAGGAGGAAGTCGAAGGTTTCGTTGAGGCGGCGTGCCGCGGCGTGACTGTGGAGGAGGTATTCGTATTGTTGGCGGATTGTGGCGACGAAGTAGTTGATGCGGAGCATTTGGAGGACGGTGAATAGCATGATCAGGATGAACCATGGGGACTGGATCTGGCGGAGGGCGGAGTAGCCGTGCATGACGCCCCAGATGCCGCTGGGAGAGTCGGGGACGGTGCTAGGGCTAGTCTTGAGGATTGTTGGCTCCTCTAGGGCGTCGCCGTCGTTGCTGTGCGTCAGGAGACGCCGGATTTTGCTGACGACATTGTGACGCTTTTCGCGACGATGGTTCCGCTGGCGTTCGCCTTCACCGGGGTCTCTGATACGGTCGTCCACTGTGTCGTGGGCTTCCGCTGCTATGTGCGCCTCCGCCTCTTGAACTAGTTCCCCGGCGGTTTTATACGATGTCACCGGCATGATTGTGGATTGGACTGTCAGGATAAATATAGGGACGATCAGGTAGAGCATGAAGAACTTCCTCGAGGTGAATGAGCCGTGCGTGCTCTGATTAGCGAGGCGGAACAATAGAAACACGGCGCTCGAAGCATCAAATGCACCGGTTAATGTAGATAGGATAAGCCCCGAGTGGGTCGGGAAGGTGTTGGATAGGTGGAACGATGAGATAAAGATGAAGGGTCCCCCAAGCGACAAAAAGAGGTAACCTGGAATGTAGGTGTCGAAAGGGACGCTAGTTGCCAGTCCAAAAGAGAGTGCTCCAATGATCAGGCACATGCTCCCGATCACTCCGCACACGCGGGGGCCATATATATCCAAGATGGTCCCTACAGGCAATGCCGATACATTTGTCACTACGGCGGCGATTGTGAACATCAGGTTGAGACTGAGAGGTTAGATACTAGCGTTCAACAAAGTAGGGCTACCCACCGAAGCTCCTGTCCATAGCAGACCTCCTGGTTTTGCTCGATCTCCTCCTGTCCACACTTATCACGGTAGACGCCTTCTTGTATCAACACAGGCTTGATCGCGGCAAACCCGAAGACAATCCCTGCGGAAAAGAAGCAGTATATTACTGCGACAATGACCTGCACTGTATACCATCAGCACCTTTCAGTGATCACGGGACCACTCACGTGCTCCCAACATATCATTCTACACTACAGTAAAGCAAGTCTGAACATACGTATGCGTTTGAGACGAGACACCTCAAAAGCACCCCTTGTCTCAAGGACACCTTCTTGGACGTCGAGGTCCAGAGGCTGTTCTCCCTCTTGCCCCACCGCTCCGTCAACCCCAACGGGCCGAGGCGTCGAAGCACCGAGGAGAGATTGCCGGTCATCAGTGCCGTCATCCACCGCTTCAGTCCATCCCGGACCAGCATACGGGTTGAAGTTCACGCGATGTCGCAAACCAACGGGATAGCTGAAGTTTGAGTGAAACGACGACGACAAACTGTCGTCTGGGAGATCCTGACCCAATTCATCTTCGGAGTCTGATTCGATATTCTCATCACGCTGTCGCTGGAAGAATGATGTTGGGTTCTGCACCCACGACTCCAAGTAGGAGACTCGGGGTAAAGACATACTCCGTCCCTCTTACTAGCCCTTCATCACTGGGTTAGACAAAGTAGCCTATCATGAAAGTCGACCCGGAAAGATGGAGACCTTGTGGGTCCAACCGGCCTCTTGCTGCTAGCGGTTCCCCAGCTAGATGATCGTGGCCCTTGCGATGAACAGGGGGATTCAAGGGATGGATCAGATAAGGATCAACAAGAAGTAAGATGACTAAAAAAAACAGAATGTGTAGTCCAAAACAGACGACAGGAAAAGAACCAAGGAGGTGATATGTCTCCCTGATGTCGTGATGATGCGATGATCAATGATCAGGCGGGACAGCCACTCACCGCCCAGGTCACCTGACCCTCGTCTCGTGCCCCCGCGATGAGTCAGCGGGGATATCAAACGGGACCGTCAAACAGAACAAACAGGCGTGGTTGACCACCGCGTACACTAGTTAACTGCTGCTACTTCCTCCTGATTGTTGTCCCGTCTTCTCCTCATTCTCTCCTGAATGGATACATCTAAATGATGATGCTCGTCATGTGGGCCTCCTTCATATATCGATCCATTGGGATTGACACCCCGGTCTCCCGTTATCACCTCCTAATTTGCCATCCCCACTTCTACGGATACCCCAGTAGCTAACTAGCTCACCGAGGACTCGGAGAATACCCGGACTCATGGAGATAAACTATTTGGTTCCAAAGTCCTGAGCTTCTCCAATCGGAGTCTAGACTATCTTGCTTTTCGAATGAGGCTAATGAACTCTATGCAATAGCGATCCTCGTGGTTGACGTGGACCAGAGATTACAGTAATGATAGGCGTCATTCTGGACAGCTTGACCGATTACACAATCCATTGAGAGCAAGCTGTCGGTTCACGAAGATGGGATCCATGCCCTATGAACGTGGTTGATCCCGACGGGTGTGGTTAGTTTCCCGTTGATCTCTCGACCGTGTAAGGGGGTGTAAACCAGCCGTGAGCTATTTTACCGGCTGAACGTGGGAAAACAGCTGTTGAGCCACTGATACTCAATCCTTCTCCAACTACGGAGCAGCCCAAGGGTCCCGCTACTATTGCGCCTAGTAGATATGGCCAAGGTGACTAGTGCCAATTTGGGCTAAGGGGCAACCTTTCCTCACGAGGGATTATGCATGCAACGGGCTAACTAACCCAAGGCCAGTATTGGCTCCGCTTCGCTCGCTGCACACCAAGAGAGTTTGGAATTGGTACCAGAACGCCACAGAACGAGGACCAGTGCAATTTTATGTGCCAGTCTATTGTCCGCCCCCTTCTGACCCAAGGGAATGAGGAATGGAAATCTTCCGGCCCGCAGAGCTTTCCGCTTTTAAACTCATGAGTATTTCCTATTTCGGGCAATGATCGGTGGGCACATAACCACGCGCTGGCCGGGGAGAACACAGTTTGACTGCATGGTTATCTCATTTGGAGAGCTCTCGGGACCCTATCAACGGATGACAATCTTGCTACAACTCCAAGGGTGCCCCTCTCCCCACACGCACACATGTCCATCCTACAGAATGCCTACACGCAGGAGCTAAGACAGGATCACCTTGTGCTAACTGGGGGGTTACGCCGGGGATTTTCGCACCAGCCTCTCTGCGTTCACGCCAAGAGGGAGATCTTCTCGTTCTCCTCCTCCTTCTCTATCAGTGGTGGTTTCTACGTTGGGATTTTTTCTGGTTGGCTCGGAGGGAGAATTGGTGACTTTCCTCCACTCTGCACGAACCATCCATCTTTTGGGCCATGCTTTAGCCGTTGAACTTGAGGCTTCTACCCATCACAGTCGCTGTCACTTGAAGTCATCACATCCTACCTGCATTCAAGTCTTTGTTACTGTCTGTTCCCCTCCGCTTCTCCCCATCTTTTGTGGGCATTCGATCTTCCCTCGATTTCTTTGCTTTTCATCTCATTTCGTCTTTGCTTTATTATTAATCTTCCCTTTCTCTAGCTTAGTTTTTCGTCTTTTTATTTTTTAATATTTATTTTTGTCTACCTCGTGTGTGTTCTTTTCTCCTTCCTTTTTGGTTTTGCCATTTTCTTTTTTATTTGGCCAGCGGTTCCTCAGTCATTTCCACCCTCGCCCAGATGTCTTTCCAGGGTTGATGTTCTGGTCCATCGCTATTGCGACCCTCTACCGACGTGTGACTTTGAGGATAACGTGATGAGGGGATGGTAAGTGCCAGTTTGTGGATGAGCCTAAAGGCGTGCGCTCTAACCTGCCATTTTCCCGCTTCATCAGTCTTACCTGCCGCCAGCGCCATCTAAAATGTAACATCTCGAACGAGCACCAAACATCCTCTAGTCGTGATTCCTTAAGGAAACCCTAACTCTGAACACATAGGCGATAAGACTGGAACCGAATGTCTGCGTTGTCAACGATCTGGGCGGCAGTGTGTTCCGGCGCCAGTAAAACCAGAAGAAGTTACTTTCCGACACGGACAGAACCCTTCGTTGCGACCCAAAGGCCCCCCACGCTATGGGGAAAGCGATCTAGCGTTTCCTGATGATCAGATCTGGGTTGATATGCCCCCTGAAGGTGGTTCTCGCGATGGCTGGCTGTGGTGTGATTGAGCTGACTATCCGCAGTTGCCTTTGAGGACGAAACCGATCGTACAGCGGCCGATTACCACGTTCTTGCGGCAGGGACGTCATCTTTGTCCATAAGAGAAGCCTCTGAGGGCCAAACCCCGGCATCTGGGACGCTGGGTTCCCCTGAACTGCGTGTTGACGCGATGTTCTCCCTACCTCCGGTGATGAGCGATCGTCAAAAGCTCAGCAACTTCAACGAATCCTTTCTCCTCCGGCATTTCCAAAAGACGCTCGGTGCATGGGTATTTGTCCCTGGCTGCTTGTGGACGGCCTACGCTAATGCTGGATAGCTGGACGCCTGCGATTACGAGCGGCACTTTTCGGTAGATGTCCTTGAACGCGCGCCATCGTGTCCACTCCTATTATACGCATGCCTGGCCATCGCTGCGCGTCATCTCTCCCACACTACCAACTCGATTCCGGCGAATGCCGCAGATGGGTATCACGAGCGATGCATATCCATCCTTCTTCCTGTCCTAGAGAATCGTGGCTTTGAGACCAGCATCGAGATTCTCCTTGCGTCCACTGTGATCCTGCGGTTTTTCGAGCAAATATCGTGTGCGCACTTATACCCGCCCATCATACAAATGACTACAGTCCAGGCTGATGCTATATAGCCCATGACCCAGCTAGTGATCTTCAGCGACACCTGCTAGCCGGTTCTGTCTACATTGGCTCTCAAGTCGACTGTGCCACTTCTGGCGGACTGGCCGAAGCATCGTTCTGGGTATTCGTTATGCAGGATATCCAGTTTGCACTAGCATGTCGCAAGCCCATGCGTCTGACTTTCTCCCCGTTCGAGGAACGTCTCCAACAGATGTGGGGACATAAAGCCCCTTTGACCGACCGGGACTGGGCGCACAAGGCGATTTGGCTACTGGCTGAAACGATCAACTACTGTTACAAGGCAAACCAAGTGCCCATGAGCCCGACAGCATTGAAACAGAAGATCTCCTTGTGGGAAACCGGCCGGCCCGAGACTTTCCAGCCGTTGCATTTTGCCCAGGCAAATCATGGGGTGGGAAGGCCATTTCCGGTGGTGTGGTTCACGAATCCCTGCCATGGTATGTCCTGATTTTTTATTTCTCTCTTCTTGTTGCTTGATCCTAGCTGACGACAACCGAAACAGCCATTGCTGTGCAACATATATGCATGGCCAAGACGTTGATCCACGAGTTTGAATTGCGGAGTTTGTATATGACACCAGGATCGGGTTCTGATACTAAGATGATTGAGGTTTGTGCTCTAGCAAGATTGTACAGGAACAGTGTTACTCATATTCAGCAGAACAATATTCTCAAATACCTAGACATCCTGTTCGGCATCGCCTTATCTACAGATGACGAACCATCTTTGAGAATCATGGCATGCCATGCGCTCTGTGCCTGTAAGCTGCCCAACCCTTCTTTGGAAACATATGCTAATACCGACTCAGGTGGAACCTGGATCCGGAGTCCCCTCGCGCAGAACTGTCTCCTAGACCTCCTCCGACGAACACAAACGGAAAACGGATGGCCGTGGACATTCGTGGTGCAGAAACTCAGCAGCGACTGGAGCCACACTACAACGTAGCGTCCAGTCATTTGTCTGTCCACCGACCCAGGCAGAACCGGCCCACCACATACACAATACAAGACCCTGCCCATGCGCAATACGATGCTCTACCCATACACTAAACGATATTCTGCACCGCGCAGCAGTCCACCAACCCATTAGCCCACCATCATCCCATCTCTCGAAAAACCCCAACCCGATTCTCAAGCCACCCAAACCAAACCACCAAACGAACAAACAGGACAAAGAGGGGAAGAAACCCAACGATCAACACCAAAACTAGCGTCTTTCAAAAGCGCCGATCCAAACCCAACGACAGGCAAAATAAGAACTTTAGCCATTTGGCACCGCCAACCAACCCCCAGCGGTTGGCCCGGTTGGGGTGTTCCATCGGTCGGTCGGTGGGGCGGGCCTGTTCCCCCCTCTCCCAACCTCAACCTCAACCCCATATCAGGGACCCACGTGGGGCTCGGTTCCGCGGCGCAATTGGGTTCTAACTCCTCCGGCTGCGATCGTAATGTGAGGTGTTGGGTGTACCGTGTAACCGAATTTTGACTTGTTGTTATGTGGGTCTGGATGGTTGAGTGATAGATGTAGTCTTTATGATATGTTATGATATTGTTACGATAGATGTCATTTGTACTCTGGTAGATGGGACTAGGATACCCTACGTATGTCACCACAGTATGAACATAGAGCTATCACAATACTGCCAAGGACTGACAGATGTGTTATATGTAGGTAGTATACCACGTGCTAACTATATAAGAGCACTCCTTATCAATCAGGCAATCCGTCCCTACTGAATACCGAGCCAAAGTACGAAGTACATATGTACATATTATGTACGCCAAGTTCTTCTGCTTATGCCAAGTTCTGCTTATGTTTATGCTTATGTTTACGCATAACTAACTACGCTTAATCTTAAGCTTATGCGTGCATCTGCTTGATTTGAGTACTACTGCTACTGCGTCCTCCAGTATCTAATCCCTTACTTCTTGCGTTCCTGGGGTATTTTATATTTGTATATTTTCATATTATGGTAGATTGGTAATATAGCTAGGCACTTACTTCCTCACCACCCACCTACTGATATTGAAACTGTTACTTAGTACAGACTACGCACTCGTTCCTGAGGCATGTACATTCATAGCTTCATTTATGGTTATTTACCCATTAAATGTTTGTTTTGGCCCTGTGCTAAACACTATTTAATCCTAGAGGACTGATATTATTAACTCCTGGTATCTCAAACAGACAATCCCACAACCACAACACACAAACATGGCCGGCATATCCAGCATCACATCAATAAAATCCCATACTCCCGTCCGGTAAAGGCATGTTCAACAACTCCACCCCTAGCATGTTTTCCAGCGCAAAGAGATGCTCTGGCTCCATCCCCATCTGCATCCCCGGATCGGGGACAAAGAACCCCTGGGATGCCCCCGGCATGCTGCCGTGCGGGTCTCCGCCGGGATAGGCTGCAGGCGCGTTTGGCGCTGTCGTGGGTGTCATGTCTGCGGAGTAGGGCGTGGCGAAGGCGGATGGATCGCCATACGGGCGCGCAGGGGTTGGATAGCCTGCCCAGTGGCTGGGTCCTGAGGCGGTGCTGTTGACGCCGGGGTGCGGGATGGCTGTGGTTCCCGGTCCCGGGTAAGGAGGGCCGTGGGAGGGGGTGGTGGAATGGGTGGTGGGCTCGCCCATGGCCACCTCGCTGAGGAGGTGCAACGGCGTCGGACCGCCCGTCGGGCCTGGCGGGGGTGACGGATGGGGGGCTGGCTCAACGGTCCCCCCCATGTCCTGGGGACAGGTCGCGCCCACCTTCCCCTGGAACCCGTTGAAGGCCTCCTTCAGCTGGGACGCCTTGTCCCGGCGCTGCCAGAACCATCCGCGTAGCATGTCCAGGACCATGGCGAACTTGGCAGGGGTCCGGCCGCCGGGTCTGTCCCCGGCTGCTCTGTAGTGCTGGATGACGCGGTCCAGGTAGGATTCCACTTGGACGCTGGAAGGCTCAACCACCTGGCCGACGCCGGTCTCGGGGGCAACGGCGACAGCGTGAAGTCTGAGTAACAGGACCATAGCGAAGGAGGTGCGCGCGAGCACCACCGTCGGAAGGTTGAGGAAGGTGTCGAGGTCGACGGCACAGGTAGCGTCCAAAGCCCCGTGGATCGCGGTCAGACAGGTGGTCAACGCATGCATGTGGGTGGCGCCCGGGGGAGGGGGCGAATTGTCGCCCGAGTCGGGACCACCTTCGGGAGTGTCGAAATGCATGGCACTTTCGTAGATGTACAGGCTAACGGTGCTGGCCGACTGGGTCAGAATCGCTAGGGGAACGTCAGCACCAGTCCATGTTTTTGGCCCTCCTCTTCAAACTTGGGGACACCCTGGCTTACGTGACCGATGTTCGGGAGGAATGTCCCGTTTCCACCGCTCCAGCTGGTTTTCAAACACCTTCACGGTGTACTGGAACTTGGGGTCGGCGAATGAGGCGGACGAGGCGATGTCGTCCGTAGCGAATTGAACGCTGATCTCCTCGGTAAGGCGGGCCAAGCGGACCCAGTGGACAAGGATTGCGTCGGACGGAAGGGCGTCCGGCGACCGTTCGAGGATCTCGATGCACTCGTCCATGTATGGATTCCATCGGACCAACATAGGGCGCCGCAGCGAGATCGAGACCCTAGACAGAAGGAAAAATTAGCATGAGGGGCCTTGGGTTGGGTGATCTCGGCGACGAACGTACTGAACCGCCTGAAAATAACACCCCAACCACGTCCGACGAACCTCGGGGGTGTCCATGTTGCGGGACCCCTTCTGTCCCAGGGCGTCCTTCATCACGTTGAAGGGCTTGTGGCGGTGGGTGGTGATCCGGTACATGCCCAGATCGACGGCCATGGTGACGGCCATATGGGCGAGCTGGTAGAACTTGAGTTCCTCGAACTTGTCGGGGGCGTGTACCAGTGGCCGATGACGAGCAGCGCCTGGGTCAGGTCGAGGGACTTCTCGCCCCGGACGACGACGCGCTCGGCGATCATCCGGTAGAAGTCATTGATCAGTTCCAGCTGGATGTTGGGCTGGATGGTGCCGATAGCGACGGCGACGATGGCGTGGAAGAGCGCGGGCTTGGTGCGCCGGACCTCGTGCATCTGCGTCCCGGCGGGGAATACGACCATAGGGATGTGACAGGACATGTCCTCGACGAAGCGCGTGAAGGACTGGGCGGCTATCCCCAGGGAGACGATCTCCCGCTCGATGATATCGATGACCTCGGGGGAGGAGTCGAGCCGCGGACCGGCGGCGGTGTTAGCGCGCCAATGTCGGGAGCCCGTGTCGATGGCGGAATCGGTGTCCGGGTGTAGGAGGGGGTCCAGGAGCCGCTCTCGGGCGGGGTGTCCTTGAGACACCCACTCCAACGGCGCTTGGTCCCCGTCGGGGCGGCGGACTCGGTCGGGGGAACCCCATTCGCCGCGGGAGGGTGGGCGGCACCACCCCAACGGTGTCGCGCATAGTCGTCTCGGGGGGTTGCTGTGACGGTGATGAAATCGGATTGTGGGGAATTGGAGGACTGCAGACTGGCGGTCAAGGCGTCGATCTTCCTCTCCAGCTCGGCGACGCGGGTATCGGTCTTTTTTTGACGCTTGCGGGTGGGGACGGTGACGATGCAGGAGCGGCTGGCCTTGGCGCAGCGCTTGCACGAGGGACCGTCAGGGTACTTAGGGTCAGGTTCGCAGCGGACCTTAAGTTGTCGACAGGCCTCGCAGGCGCGAGAGCGCTTGAGGTCGGCATAGCCGTCTGGATCCGGGTCGGGATCGGGGTCGGGGTCCGGGTCGTGAGGATCAAAGGGCTGGGATGGGAGCTGGGGTGGGGGGAGTGGGGGATAATAGGACGAGGGATGGAGGGGTAGAGGACGGTCTCCCGAGTTGGATTGATTACCCAGATGGAGACGTGGATTGAAATCCATGGAGGGAGAAAGGCGGGGATGGATCAATATGTCTGTCTGTCGGTCAGCGTTGTGGGCCTGAGTGGCCTGAGTGGCCTGAATGGCCTGAATGGCCCGAATGGCCTGAGGCCTGACCTAGACCACAACGGCGACGGGAGAGACCGACTCCGCTTACCTTGGATGCAGCGGTGAGATGACGGTCGGTTGTCTGAATAATTCAATCAAAAACACACCTGATGGGAGTCTAGAGATGCGGATGACAGATTGGGATGACAGACGGTGGAGCAGTCGGAGCACGGTCGATCGGGGCACCGATGACCGATGATCCAGTCGATCCAGTCGATCCACAGAAACGGACAGGGACCGACCAGGGGAGGCTGCAGGATAGAGTCGAGTGGATTGGATTCCAGTCTCGGATAGATTCGAAAGGACCAGGATGAAGGAAGCGGGATGAACGGATGGAGAGGAGAGGAAGATGAAAAGGAGGTTGAGATGAAGACAAAGAAAGACAAAGAAGTACAGCTGAACAGCCTCAGGCCACTCAATACGGGATCACCTGATTGTATCAACGTCCTTATATACTACTTATGTATATGTTCGTTATATATAGGGTTATATATAATTATCAAAATAATTCTATACTATAAAGTGTCATTTCCACTGCTTCTTATTTACATAGCTGTAGCTGTGACTGTAAGCCTGCCTAAGCAGTGCTGCTATTTTAAACATGTGTCTACCTTCTACTATAATCATATCTGTTCGGTCTCCATGTATTCCCGCATTTGGAAAAAAATCTAATCATGACAAAAATCATTTCATCACTATATATACACATATATTGGGATTCGTATAGATGATTTTTATACATTCCTATGTAGAGTCCATATGTAGGGCTCTAAGCTATCATCTATCCACACAGAGTACTACTACAGACTAAGTTGATGCTCCTATATAGAGATTATAGAAGTCTGCATATGTCTATGTCTTGTAGGACATATACACTGTAAGGTGTATATCTAAAGATCATATAATTCGGAATATATATCTGACTAGCATTGAATCGACCACTCAACCCAGATTCAACCGAGTTGACCCTGTAATGACAGAAGATACTAGAGAATGGTTACATCACCTTGACCACAATTCATTCTTCAAGTAACATATAGATGACTGTGGAGTCAATCTGGAGAGTGCCAAGAATGTGGGGTTCCGGTGACGATCGCGATGTCTTGTGGGGAGCAATTTTCCAGCTTGTCTCAAATATTGACAGGGGCGTTCATTGACGGACGGTGATCCCCGTAATTATTCCATCGGTTAATAGAATAGAAATAACAGCCGGTATATGATGGATAGAGAGCCCTCGGTAGAAAATTGATAGAAAATAGCCGATCGAGAAGATATAAAACGTGTAAAGCCTCCACCATGACTGAAATGCCATTAAGCAAACAACATCCATCATGTTCCGCTGGCTTTTGGCGTGTCTGCTCGTCCGCTCCACCCTCTGCGCGGTGGAGCCCTTCCCCCTCAACAAGGTCTCCATCGCCGAAGGTCGCTTCTACGAGAATCAAGATCGCACCCTCTCCTACCTCAAATTCATCGACCCTGAGCGTCTACTCTACAATTTCCGCGCCACCCACCAGCTCGACACCAAGGGTGCCACCGCCCTCGGCGGCTGGGATGCCCCCGACTTCCCCTTCCGCTCCCACGTCCAGGGCCACTTCCTCTCCGCCTGGGCCCAATGCTACGCCACCCTAGGCGACGAGGACTGTCGCGATCGCGCCGTCTACGTCGTAGCCGAGCTCGCCCGCTGCCAGGCCAACAATGAAGCCGCCGGCTTCACCGAGGGATACCTCTCCGGCTTCCCCGAGTCAGACATCATCGACCTGGAGCAAGGCAAGCTCGAAGGCGGCAACGTCCCCTACTACTGCCTCCACAAGACCCTGGCTGGCCTCCTCGACGTCTGGCGCTTGATCGGTGATGAGACCGCCCGGGACGTGCTCCTCGCCTTCGCCGGCTGGGTCGACACACGCACCGCCGCCCTCGACGCCCCTACCATGCAGACCGTCCTCGATACCGAATTCGGCGGCATGAACGACATCCTCGCCGCCCTCCACGACGAAACCGACGACGCTCGCTGGCTCGACGTCGCCCGCCGCTTCGACCACGCGGCTATCTTCGACCCCCTCGCCGAAAACCGCGACGAGCTCGACGGCCTGCACGCCAACACCCAGATTCCCAAATGGATCGGCGCCCTCTCCGAGTACCACGCCTCAGGCGATGACCGCTATCTCGATATCGCCCAGCACGCCTGGGACATCACCGTGTCGGCGCACACGTACGCCATCGGCGCCAACAGCCAGTCGGAGCACTTCCACGCCCCCAACGCCATCGCAAAGTACCTCAACAACGACACGGCGGAAGCTTGCAACTCGTATAACATGCTCAAGCTGACGCGCGCGCTCTGGGCCCTCGACCCCCACAACGCGACCTACTTCGACTATTACGAGTCCGTCCTCCTCAACCACCTCCTCGGCCAGCAGAACCCCGCCGACCCCCACGGTCACATCACCTACTTCACCTCGCTGAACCCGGGTGGCGTGCGTGGCATCGGGCCCGCCTGGGGCGGCGGCACCTGGAGTACTGATCACGACTCGTTCTGGTGCTGCCAGGGGACGGCTCTCGAGGTCAATACCAAATTCAGTGACTCCATCTATTTCTCTGAGGAGTCCACCCTCTACGTCAACCAGTTCATCGCGTCGGAGCTCAACTGGGCGGAGCAGAACGTGCACATCACGCAGGCGACCTCGTTCCCAACTGAAGACAGCACCACCCTCACCATCCAGGCTCTCCCCGGCTCGTCCTCTCGTCGCCGCGCAGCAGCCAGTGAATTCGAACTCTACATCCGCATTCCCAGCTGGACCACCAACCCTACCATCACCCTCAACGGCGAACCCCTCGAGGACTCCCTCACCCCCGGCCAATACGCCGTCATTCCCGCCCGCACCTGGCAGCCCGACGACACCGTCGAGGTGAGCACGCCCATGGCGCTGCGGACGATCCCCGCCAATGACGATCCGGCGCTCATGGCTGTTGCGTACGGGCCGACTGTGCTCTGCGGGAACTACGGCGAAGCGACGCTGGAGGGCGCGCCTGCGCTGCAGCTGGACACGCTTACGCAGGATGCCTCGGGCGAGTTGGCGTTTGTGGGCCAGGCGGATGGGCAGGAGGTGAAGCTGGGGCCTTGCTATGATGCGCAGGGCTTTGGGTATGTGGTTTATTGGAAAGGGGAGGGGGAATTTAAATAGTTTATTTGTATAACTATGTATATCCTAACCCCTGGGCCTTGATGCTAAATAGTATTATGGTAGGGCTTGACATGTCACATGTCTGATATCTGCAACATTATGTACTTGTGTATGTATATTGTGGTTTGTAGTCTCTGTTATCTGTCTATTCTACGAGAGCAGTATTTCGGATCAATCTGTGTATACAGTAACTTCTAGAGCAAGTGTTGAAGTGCAATCTCCAAGCAATCCAGGAGTTATTCTGAAGAATTGACCAGATGCTTTAGGACTATTTTGTATCAATCTTAAATATACCCCTGCTCTCTCTAGTAATACTCCAGCCAGCTGTGCTCAATATCGAGTTAGGATACATCAACTGTGCTGGTTCATACTGTAAGTTGTTATTGTACAGTTTATGACAGCATATTATCGACATCACTTGCCACCTGGATGATCCATCTATAGCTCCTAAAGAAGCTGTCATATATATTGATTATAACTACTAGGCATACATCAAGCCAGATGCAATCCTGGTAGTATTTCTGACATATAGCCAGGTAGGGCGTACGCTCCACGACATAAATGACGTGTTCCTTCGGTCGTGCGCTGCTCCTACATAACGCCGTGATCCTTACTGCCATCTGTTGAGACTTGCATGGTACACATGCATACCAATACCAGACAAGAGTCGGTGAGTCAAGCATGTCCACATTATCACAGGACGTGTCTTTACCCAGAAACCCAGTGGCATAACCGCCATCCATAGGCAAATATCAGCAAAGTATATAGCCTGCGAGAACACCCTACAATAAAACCTCGCTAAACTTCTGCAAACTTCCTATGCTTGTTTTCGAGACGGCCCAGCACAAATCAAGTGAAATCCCTTTTCAAGAATTCATCATGGTTGACGCCGCCTGTCGCGTTCCCACTTCTCCACTCGATAGTCAGGCCTACTTTTTCTCTGGCACAAAGTACACCAAGGTCAAATATACAGTTGGTGGTGTTGACCATCTGTTCTTTGAACCAAGGTCCATTGCAGACTTTTGGAAGTCCCTTGGAACCAATAATTTCACCACCGTTGACGCCATAGTACCAGTACCAACCGCCGAAAACGACTTCTACGTCTTCTCTGGGGCCAGGTACCTCCGATTGACACTGGATCCAAACGATAACTCCGATGTCGTGCACTTCACGTCATCCTCATCTATTGGCGCGTGGAAGACCCTGGCAAAGCACGGATTCGATAGAGTCGATGCGGCAATGGTTGTTCCAGGGTCGCAGAAAAACATATATTTCTTTCGTGGGAAGGAATGGCTCGACGTTAGTGTGGAGGACGAGCTTATCTCATACGGTACGATTGAAGAGTCGTGGCCGTCTCTCGTTCAGGCTGGCTTCGAAACGGTTGACGCGATTCTTCCAAATGATGACGGTACTTATTACTTTTTCTCTGGAGGTCACTACGCACGTATTCAGATGAAGAAAGACAAGGACATCCTGTTGGGATCAGTACAAAATATCAACAAGTGGGACTCGCTCAAGGATTGGGCTTGACGGATTCTCCATCTGGACAGATGATCGTTCGACTAGGCGATAGCTATAGCGGATGATTTGATGGTATAGATGTTGTCAGCTATTCTAAAATGGTGGTCTCCGAGTGGTTTCTTGGGCAGTATGGTCACTCTTGTCGTCTTGCTTTCAAAATTGCAATCTTTCCATGGCAGCCGTGTCATAATTGGAGGAAGTTCTGTGCTTGGGCCTTTTTTTGAATCAGATTTGAAATTTTAGTGCAACATTGATATGAAGTGTCTATCTATGTGATTGTATATTGGTGTCTAGCGTCTATGCTCTATAGCATACATATCCTGTTTCTGCAACAAATCCCAAGCTCCAAAGATGATCGTGATGCTGTAGTACAGCAATCGCTAAATGGCACATTAAGAAGAATGTCCATGGTGAATGTCAATTCTGACGCAACAAGTGATCACAGCCAGCCCTTGACAAAACCAATTCAGATGACTAGGCCAGTGATAAAGGCCTAGGGCTATGGGCCTAATCAGCTCCAGGGGATAGTGTACTCGGGTTGATAAATGATTGACAAGAGTAGTTTAGAATGGTTGGATTTGATTTATATCAACTTCTAGCCACTCATGAAAGCAAGCTTTTGGAAGATCTGGCTTTACTATTCCTCGTGACACTGACATCTAAGCTTTGATTGAAGCTATCAGTAAACCTGTGATCATTTCTTCGCAGCCTCCTTGAATCGTTGGGTGATCGCTCCATCGCCTGCAAATTCATCAAGCGCCTCAGACAGTGGACGAACACTATCTTGCTATTTCAGGAGTTAATCAACATCTCCTGTAGAAGATCAAACTAAACAACTTACGTCAATCACTCTCCAGTTGTAGAAGTCACCTACAGTTGCACACCACTGTGCAGGGCTGTAATGTCACTGTTAGTATCCACCCTCACTTATCCATTCGGTAGTATCAATTGGCTTACTTATTGCAGAGCAATGTATCGCCCCCGATGGCTTCCCAGGCCATTGCGCTTGTGAGATCCTGTTTTGTGTCACTGCTGTTCGAGTTGGAACCCTCGCCGTGGCTTCCGCTGGCGGAAGCCTGAAAATATGATGACGAGATGGAGGCAGCAGCGGAGACTTTCAGTGAATTGGCGTGCTTGGCCTTGTCCTGCACAGTTGTCGCAGTGCTGTTCTCACTGGCGAAAAGAGAACCGCCAAGTTGGACCCGTCGGGCAAAGATATCACCTACACGCGTCATTTTAACACCAGCCGATAAAGTCGGATAGGAGGAATGAATTACGAACCGTATTTCTCGCTGAAAGCTAGCAGACTTTTCTTATCGTTTACTTTGTCAATATCTGCCTTGCATTCAGGAGTGATCTCAAGCGAGTTGGGATCGAGATACAGCGTGATACGCGGGAACTAGTGTTGGTCAACACTTCTGTCTGAGAATCACTTGTCTGGGCCCAACGTACCTTGTAGGTGACATTCATGCTTTTGCTCTCTGAAGACTCAGAATGTACCGAATCATCGCTGCTATTCCAAGCGCCTCCGAACTTGGCTCCAGCAGATACACCCCAGAAACCACCGCCGCTGTCATTCACGATCAGTCAACCACCATCAGCTATCCGGGGCATTCCACTTACGCAGATGCTTCAACGGAACTCTCGGAAAATGACCCTTTGGCTAGTGATTTCTCCAGGGCGTTTTGCGTCTCAAACACACTGACGTAGGAGTCATCATCGACTCGGAATCGGGGGATCCTAAACATGAGCTAGATAGCACATAGATTGTCAGACATGCACTTAATTTTCAAAAGGTCTAGTCCATGCTCTCACATTTTCTGCTCCAGGCTGTGTCGGGGTTTGCGAGCTGAGAACTTCTTGGCCATAATCTGCCGATATCTCATATACCTGAAATTGTCTTTTCTTCAATTGGAAAGCTACGGGGTGCAGTGAATCAGCATCGACTCCTCTTGGTCCCTCACAGGGTAGAACTATTACATACCGCTGTAGGGAGTGCGTTCAATCTTGTAGTCCGTCACCACCTGGCCGCGAATCTTGCTTTTGCTCGATTTCTTGTCGTAACCCAAAGGGTCCGGGTTCGGCGGCATGGGCCCTCCTACGATTTTATCATGTTTCACTATTGTGTAACCACTGAGAAGACAGTTTGTCCGGACGATGATGCTCCACTGCTTTTCATTGAGGTCGGCGGCGTGGCTAAAAGAATAGGTTCATGAGTCTTGTCGAGCACTGATAACATGGTGGGAACACTTACCTTAGCTTCGACCCTCCGTTTGCCATCCACGCGGCGGAGTCAAATGCAGATTTGAGTCGTTTCACGTCCGCCTCGGACAATCCCTCGTCCTATTTGCAACGACTTAGTAGCTGAGTGACAACATGAGGGCGCGTGTACCCCGAGAGCCCACCTTTGTTTTGAGATCCAATTGACTTCGGAGGAACTCCTTTGTTTCATCGTCAATGGCGTTGCGAGTCTTCTTCTGCTTGTAGTACAGACTAATCTGACGGCAAGGAGTTGCCTCGGATTGAGGCTACTCATGAATTAGGGATATCAATCTTTGCGGGTGATCATATATGCTCACTTTATCCTTCGTATCGTCCCCAACTAGGGTGAGGTAAATCTTCGTCTTAGTAGAGTCAGACAGTTCAGACCCGTTCGGATCGCAGAATGGACTCGCTTTGCTGGATTCATGTAAGCCACGTTTGGGTTGTCACGGGGCTTCAGTAGATCCTACTCTTGCGACTCAAACACCTGCTGCGTGATCAGAAACAGTCTGAGGTCTTTCAATGTTCCTTTTTCAGTTGTGGCAAACTCCGTATTCTCGACCTGGATAAGGCGTTTGTGGCGAGCCGCCTCTGTGCCTGGGTCAAATTTATGGACGCGCAAGACGGTGTAACTGTCGATGTCCTTGTTATCATCAGTGTCTTTGTTATCCTTGTTATCATCAGTGTCTTTGTTATCCTTGTTTTCATCAGTGTCTTTTTTATCCTTGTTTTCACCGGCTTCTTTGCTGACGTTGCGGTCACCTCTTCCAGATTTCTTGCTAGCACGAGTAGCTGACATTGTCGATTGTTGGGAATTTTTGTACTGACTATCTGATATGTTGGATAGCACCTGCGATGAATTGAGAGGATGGTGTTTTCAGTCATAAAGACAGAGTACCATTCTTAAAAGTATCATGAAGACCTCTAGTAACCCTCTCTGCCAGGAGATGGGCTAGATTAGTCAAACCAGAAGCAAGGCAACGAGATGCAGGAGATACGATGAGATAGAACAGTACGTTACTGATCACATTGCGGTGTGTCTGCAAGCTTTACATTAGCTCCATTGCATGTATGACACTATTGGGGTCGTTTGAGAATACCAACCAAATACAGACACAAGGCTCGTGAGATACATGGTTTGCTAGGATGAGGCCTTCTTCTATGTCGCACGGGAAGAAGTACTTTCATGCAAGGCCGCGTTACATGGCTGGCTGAGGTGTTGGATGCAGTGGCAGAGTACAATCTATTGACCAAGAGATATTGGTTTAGTCGATGTGAGCTGTAACCTTGGAAAGTAGGGGAGCTGAACAGTGCAGCAGTAGGTAGGAGAGTACCAAGTACTGTGGAAAATTTCAACGAATGTCCAAATTATATTATCTGTTAGTAGAAGTAGATAAAGAGGTATTATCAAGTAGAGTTCTACAGTAGAAGTTCCAATGTCCATTGGCCAGTCCTAGCCACTGGAATATGTAATTTACCTTAACACTTCAATAATACACGTGGAAGTGAATGAAAACAAATATAATCTTCGGGCCCGGTAGATGGGAAAAAAAAGAAGAAAAGGGGATTGAGTGAAAGCTGAAAGGTTTCTCAATGAATACTTGATATAGTATTTTTATAGCAATAAGGGCTAGATAGAACCCAACAGGAGACAAGCAAGGAACCTTGACGTAGACATTCAACTGATGTTATGTCTTTTATGCGCTTATCATATATATATTCATTTTCACCTTTATATATATAATCAAAGTGATGTTCAACTCAATCAATCATTAGATGGTTTTGATTGCCTTGTGCTTTCAACGATGCTCAATCATAATAATAATATGAAAGACAATCCTTATTCCTCTTGTTAGAAGATAAAACAGTATAATAATGAAGAGAATAATCAAAGATATCTAACATAATACAGACTTGATATCTTGAAGATCCTTAGAGTAATCCAGTACGGAATAGAGGGACCAATCTAGAGGGCTGATGTATAAGTATTTCTTATGGTATAGTAGGTATAGAAGATATAGTAGATATAGTAGAGAGGCATATCAGAAATATATATAATAGATAGATATAAAAATCAAATCACAACCCAATCCACCCCCCCAAAGGCTCCGCCAACACCTTCTCCAACTTCCCCCGCAAAACATCCCCCAACAACTCCCCAGCTTCAACATCCGCCAACGCCGTCAACTTCGTAGTCTGCCTACACCGTCCTCCATATTCATCTTCCGCTTCCCCATCCCCCTCTCCCTCCTCTTCATCCCTAGATTCATCCCCTCCAGGTTTACCATCGCCTGAAAAAAGCCCCATCCTCCCCCCCAACCACAACAGCGCAGACGGCGCCCCCTTCACAGCCAACGGCCCATGTCCCTCCACCAGCACCCGCCTATACTCGACCCTCGCACCCTGACTACACCAAAACCTAACAAGCTCATCCGTCTCCTCAACAGGACTGATCTCGTCCGTCACGCTCTTATACACGAACATCGGCACGGTGGGTATTGTCCCTAGTGTTCCTAGCGCATTTGCCGCATACACTTCATTCAATCCCTCATCCGTTAAATATATATCCCCCGGTGACAAATACCGCGATATATCATGGTGCATGAAGTGTACCAAGTTCGCCCCGCAGCACTGGTGCCGCGCTTTGGTGAACTTCTTGCGGAGGCGTGGCTTGTCGACGAGGTATGTGTTAAGCGTGTCGTTCACGGATTGATACTCGTTGGCCAGACCCCATAGTCCAGACGGGATGAGGCCCGCGGAGTGGGTCCCGTTGATTTGGACCAGCGCTGTGCTGAGATTGGGTACTGTGCCGCCGAGCGCGGCGCCGAGGATGTGCAGCTCTGGTGCGTAGAGCGGGTGTTGCTCTGCTGCTGAGGCTGTGGCTAGACCCCCGCCTGAGTAGCCCCACATTGTGAGGGAGGCGGTGGGGGAGAGGTTTGTGAAGTTTGAGGAGGAGAGCGCTGCGCGGAGGGAGTCGAGCACGGCGCGGCCGGCGAGCTTGTTGGCGAGGTAGGCGGCGCGGGGGCCTTGGAAGTCTGGGACGAGGACGGGCCACTTATTGCGGAGGGCGGCTGTTATGAGGAGGAGCTGGTTTTGGGATATGAGGGTGCCGAGGAGGTTGGTTGCTGTTGCTGTTGCGGCGCCGAATTGGAAGGCGTAGGACGGGGCGCAGTCGATGGAGGAGCTGTCTTGGGCGACTTGGAAGGAGAGGAGGGTGGAGAGGTTCGCGGAGTGGGGGATGAGGAGGGTTGTTACTGTTGCGGTGGGACGGTCGAAGGAGTCGGTCGTGCGGTAGAGGATTTGGTGCGCTTTGTGCAGCTTGATGGGGAGGAGGTTGAGGGAGGAGATGGCGTGTGGGGTTTCGCGGTGGGTGAGGATTGTTCCTGGTGCTGTGGACTCGTAGCCTGGGGGTGGGGTGTAGAAGGGGTCTTCGCTGGGGCGGAGGGCGGTGGCTAGCGCGCTGGTTGTTGCCAAGAGGAGGACGATGGTTTGCTTGATGGATGTCATGGTGGGATGGATTCATTGTTGTTGGTTCTTGGGTGTTCTTGGGTTGTTCGGTTGTGGTTCTGGACGCGTTTTATCCTCGTGGGATATGTATGTAATCAAGGGCGCAAGGGATGATGACCCTACATTGCATTGACATACATCGACGTGCATCATGTATACAAGCATACGTGTATCACGCGCTCTTCCAAAGGGTTGTATAGTTCTGTCAATATCACTTATGCACTGGACACTCCTTCTTCCGCTCAAACCACTCCACTATACACCGCTGGTGGAACTTGCACAGACACTCCAACCGCACCAACACCTCCCCCTCTGCATACTCCTCCATGCAGATCGTGCACTCCGCCACCCCCTCCTCCCCTAGACAGTCCTTCTCCGTCGCCGTGTACGCCACCATCCGCACCGGCGCGGTAGTCGGTGGTCCCTCCGGACTGCCGCCGCGGCCATGGCTGGCGATGCAGTCGCGGATGTGCGCCTCGCGGGCGTCTTCGCCCCCGTTTGCCCCGAGCGCCGGCAGCGGGCGTACACATATCGGACACAGGTCGCGCTCTGCGACTGGTGGACGCCGTCGCTCGCCCGTCCGGACGGGCGCTTCTGAATCGATCGACGAACGCACTGGCAGCGACCGTGCGCTGCCCGGGAGGAACGGCAGGGGCCGCGCCTGGGACCCGTAGTCCATACGTTCGGCGAACGGCGTCCCCGACGAGCTGCCGAACCCCATGAACCCGGGGTAGTCGTTCGATCCCACCGTCCGGCGGCTGGGTCGGGTATACGAGTCGGGCTGCGGATAGTTAGCACGGGACGTCCAATTGAACACAGTCACACTTACGATAGCATCATACGGGGGTCGTCCGCTGGACACGGAATGATACGACCGATGGCGGGGTCCCCATCCGCCTGGCGGAGGCTCCCGGACAGGATATCCCCGTGGAGGATCCGGGTTAGGGTCAGGAACGCAAGGATTACACAGTCGCACTTCCTCGCCGCCTCCCAGGGCGGGATTGACCGCCGACGGCGACTGCGACTGCGTGTCCGCCTCCAGATCGATGACCGGTACACGCGGCGTCATCAGGCTGGAGGCCCGCGACCGGGCGGCCTCCGGCGGGTGGACGATAAACTGGCGCGGGATGGTGATGCGATGCGGCGAGCACGACGCACACACGACGCGCCCGCACTTGCGACAGTGGTGTTTGCGGTACCAGAAGCTGAACAGCGTCCCGCAGATGGGACAGTTCGTTGCCTCCGCATCGGGCTGCCACCGCGGCCGCATCAACTCCCCATACTGGCCAGTGTTTTGACCCCACGGTGTCGGGTGGTTCGCCGGTCGTGGCGGAGGGGGTGGCGGTTGTTGCGGTGGTGGTGACGACGACAGATCAATCGGATCGGCGTATGAAGCACCAGCAGCGCCATCCGGTCGCGCCTGCGACTGAACCCGGGGAATAGACCGGCTCTCCCTTTCAGCCTCGCGCGAGGCTCCAGGCCACGGATGTCTCCCGTCTCGCTCCATATCCACCAGTCTTCTTTTCCGATCCGAGCCGCTCAGCGTCGACCGTCTTCTCTCCGGTCGTGTATTGTATGCCGGGCCGGGTTCCGCCCTACTGGGGCCCTGGCCCGAACCCGCATGATCTGCCCGTCCGAGAGCGGGGGAGTCGGGCGAGGACTCGGGTAGGGATTCAAGCGTGGCGAACGCGGCGGGGGATTCGGGAGCCGAACTCGACGACATGAGGGGGACAAATCAGTGTAGTGTGCTTTCGATGGTACTGTCAATAGGCTTTCGATGGGTTTCGATCTGGAGATCAAACTCCGTGGTGGGAGGGGCAAGTCGTCATTGACCGGGTCTAGCAAGGGCGGTCGCAACGAGTCGGTGGTCGGATGAGTAGGACAACGACGATCAGACGGCTCGCAATATACAACGGTACAGACGGGTCGAGAAGAACGGAGGACAACGGGGGACTGAATAATGAAGCAAGGGTATATCGCTGGCAAGAGACGAGGGATGGTGGGACCGTAACCAGCGACCGTAGACCAAGAACTCCAAGGAGAAGCGGGCAAATCAGAGAAGAAAACGATAAAGAATTGGGATAATAACAATAACAAGAACAGAGTAATAATAAAACCGCAGTGGTGGATAGACGAATCCACCCTAAGGATAAGAGAAGAGTGAGGGAGAAGTCGAGATAGTGAGGGGGAGATGGATAAGAGCGAAAACGGATGATTTCCTCCCGAGCTCGAGCTCACCGCGGGGCGTCAACTGAGCGGTGGGTCTGTTTCTTGTTCTCAACCCAACGTTTGAATCTTGCGATGGGAGTAGGTGGAAGAAAGGGAAGGAATAAATCAACAACCTTGTCGGTTCGGTTGTTGTCCAGTGTTGAAGGTCAAAGAAACAATGAAAGAGAGACGGCCGATCCCGCCGATTCGCCACTGACTCTCTTGGGTCGTGCAGTAGTCACGGGTTCCTCGATTTCTAGATATATATCTACTCCTGATCCTCTCTTGATAACACCAAGTCCTCATCACCATCTTCAATGCCATGATACACTTGCTGAGACATGTGCTAGATACGCTGCAGGCTTTCTCAGGCTAGTACTTGATATACCGTGCACTGTATCTGAATATATTCAGGACATATTGATATCATCTCGAGAGATCACAAAGTAACAGCACTATTGAAGCAGCCAGATATGTACACACGCGGGGTCTACCTCCTCTAATCTGGATGATCAGATGAATTCAAGTTCTCTGAGGTCTACAAACATGTCGATGTCCAAAACGTGGCGAGTCCTCGCACACTACGCCCAGCCACGCTATGCGCAGAACACGAGGGCATCCGGACGTCCACGCGATCTCATTGCTTTGAGCCCTCTTTCCCTCGTCCTGGCTGGAGAGAACGCCCAGATTTTGAAGACAGCTCTGTCGAACGTTATCCTTGATCTAGGAGGTGTCCATGATGTTGGCGGATTGAAAACACGATGTTCAAGGATATACTTGCATTGATGATCGCGTCTGAATCCGGGTATATCGGTTCGATTCATTCTATCCACGGCAAATCAGAGCGCTCTCGCGTATCCCTAAGCTAACCTCTTTGCGACTCTGATGCGGGGACTGGAAAAGCGGTATTCAGCCTCATCTGGTCAGGTATGATTTAACAGACGGATTCGACACCTTGAGACATGCGAACACCCGGACCCCTCGAACCTACTTGAACAAGGGTTTATTTGGTTAGATCAAGCGGCGAATATTCCACCCTCACAAGAATATATTAAATAGCATCCGTTCCATCCGGAGAACCAAGCGCAAAGGCGTTGCCTTAGGGTGGCACCGCGGCGCTAACGCAGGACTGTCTCAGTTGACTCCCAATAACGCGACTCTCGGCCCCAATCTGAGGCTGTACGTTCTTCGGAATGACCTGCCCTTCCACTAATCAGTAAACCTTAGGAGATAGATTAATATCACCAAGCGCTGGGCGTAATCTCCAGTGGCGAGTATATTAGCTTTCAATGGCCCCCATTGCAACCCTGTAAGGTCATTGTCTTTTTTCTTCCTATTTTTCACTCCAATATCGCGCCCCTCGCAATATGCCCCGGCGGGATGTTTTCCTCCTCAGTATGGATGCTGCTCCTTACAGCGGTGGCTAGTCTGCCCTCTTTTGGTGAGAAACCATCCCCCGCGACGCTGGGTTGCGGATCACTGTGTGGTATACATCCTAACAGCTGGTAGCGATGGCCCAGATCTGTGACATGCCGGAAATATGGGAGCGCTCTGGCTTCACGGCCTACAACCAGACCGAATTAGACATCATCGCACGGTCCTGCACGATCTTCAACGGAAACCTCCACGTGCACGAGAGCTTCACGGGCCGTTTCTACCTGCCTAATGTCCGACACATTGTCGGCCATCTAGGGCTCCATATCTATGACGAGCCAAACGATGGTCAGCCCAGGCCCAAACTGACCTCGTTCGAGCTGCCCGATCTGGAGACGGTCGACGGCGGGGTCTCTTTGATTGGCATGTCGGGCCTGAAGAGTATATCGATGCCGAAGTTACGCTCGGTGGACTGGCACGTCGGCGCGGATGCTGCTGAAGAGGTGGATCTGCGGTCGCTGGAGGCAGTCGGGACCATCGATATTGGAGGCGCCCTCTCTACGTAAGTGGATCAGCCCCGGTTCTCCTGTGTGTACAATATGCTGATAGCGCGAGGGATCCAGTTTGCGACTCGACGCCTTGGAGGAAGCCGAGAAGCATCTTGTGATCTCAAAAGAATGCGAAGATGTGCCTCCGACTCCCGCTCTGGCGGTTTTCCTCCCTTCCTTAACCAAGGCGGGCGACATACAATTGAAGGGAAGATTCTCTCGGTAGGTTTTTGCACCGCCATGGCGTCAATCGTATCATATACTCACTGTGAGATAGTGTCGCCATGCCGCAACTTTCCAATATCTCATTTGGCGATTCACCCTGGAGCTCTTTCGAGCTAGACGCTTGTGGTGGCCCGCCATTCGAAGTCTCCTTACCACAGCTGGCCCATGTCAGTATGGATATGGATATAAGTGGTGGGATTCAGAGGTAGAACCGGACCAATTTCGCGCACATACCAATTGACTGACATGAAGTCAGCTTGTCCATTCCCAGCTTGAAGAACATGACTAGCCCATTCCGGCTCAATACGACCGAGCAGCTGGACCTTACTCTCCCTTTCGTGGAGGCAGATGCCGTTAAGTTATATGGCAACTTAACAAGGTAAGTACCCCGGTCCCTCTTCATTGCTTGGAGGTAAATATACCAACAACCCTTCTTAGCATTGAATTTCCCAACTTGCATGTCGCTGCGTCTATAAACGTCAGTTCCACGGTCCCGTTTGACTGCGGGGCCCTGAAGAAATCGGTGGATCCGGCCATTCAGGGTCCGAAAGACTGGCATAACAAATGCACTGCACCGGCAGGCCCAGGACTCAGTCCCGCTGCTAAGATCGGCATCGGAGTTGGGGTGGGCGTTGGTGGTCTGGTGGTTATCGCTGCGGGCCTGTGGTTCTTCCTTCGGCGCAGGAAGCAAACGAAGCGCTTGAAGTCGGAGTCGATTGCCCACATCCAGGACATGCCACCGTCGTACGCAGAGACCCGAAACCAAGATCATCCGCCGGAGTATGCCTCCACTCATGCAAGGTGATGGTTTATCATGATTGGTGTCTTGATAGTGTGACTCGATAGCTGAGCCCCTTGTAATGTTGATTATAGAGGAAATCTTACTTAATAATCCATATGCTAGTAGTTGGTGTTTCTACTCAATTGCTGCAATGGTGGTGTATATGTTTTTAGACCTTTATATAATCAAGATCTTCTATATTTCTTCTCCAAAGAGCATTCGTGCTTCTGCCATGCATACAGACCCAAGAAGAATCATCAGGACAATGCAATTTTTTCTCTCTCTCTATTCAACTTGAAATGCTTATAGATGTATACAGAATCTAAAGTAAGAAGGAAAAAGAAAAGAAAAACATACAACAGCATACATATGTATATATCGTTAGAAGTATAGACGGGGTATTGAAATATTGATAAATATTATTATAGGAATACATATTAGTAGCGAAATCACTTCCACACAGAAAACCCCCAATATACAACCCGACTACTTGCCGCCATGCAATGATAACCAGGAAAACAAAACATTTTCACACTGGAAGATAAGGTAATGACCAGGATTACAACATCATAGAACGGCCGTAGCCACCATAAAAAGAGATCAAAGGAAAAGAAGAGAAAGGGAAATAATGCCGAACGGAGATCCAATCGTGAACGCCCTAGTGAATTCAATTCTCCTTCTCTTCTTTTTTGCTCCCGTCCGACGCTCAAGGAAATTCGTCATGCTTGATACCGACTATCACCCTGTCAAGGCTAAGATGCTACCGGCTATCATGGTGTAGGTCGTCCACTAGCTCCGCTGCACTCCCGGTAAAGGTCGGCTCGTCGCCACTGCGTTCATGGATATTGTCGCGAGTCCGGTGTTGCGCCACGTACCCCATACTCGAGGGACGTCCCTGCTGCCGGCTAGACGAGGTTGACCCCGTCGTCGACGCGATGGACATGTTTCGGTCGCGGGAGGGCGAGCTCGTCGCACTAAACGGGAGTCGACCGGTCACCGAAGACGAGTGGTGGAGATAGCCCGGTGAAAAATTCGACCCGCCGTAGGGACCTGACTCGTGGGCCTCCGCCGACACCGCTTCCGTTACCACGGGCAGCGATCGCTGCGACAGATCCTCTTCGCCTAGCGAGCTGATCGAGTCAGCCCGCCGGCTGCGCCGAGTCTCCGTCCCCCCTGAGGCGGTGCTGTGGCGCGAGCTCCCACGACGCGGCAATTCGATGTCGTCGCCCGTGTCCACCGGGGGCAGGGTCAACGCGGCCTCCGCGCTGCGGGATGCACCGGCGCCGTCCGAATCGTGTTCCGCGGAGGGACCTCCCGACGCCGCAGGCCGACCACCGGCCCCTGGCTCGTCCGGCTCGTCCCGGTATGGCTCGTGGAATTCTTCCCCGTCGGCCATCAGCCCTGGCGGCGGCGCCCGTGCGCTGCGGACCACCTCGAAGCCTTTGCCTTTCTCCTTGGTCTTGCCCTGGAACAGGTTGCGGAAAAAGCCCGTGGCCGACGACACCGGGCCTGTAGGATCCGCCGGACCCGTCTTGAGTTTCCGCGTGCCTGTATGGGACAGAGGTGGACCACGGACCCGGTAGTAGAAATCCACCTCACGGACCGCATAGTCCTTTCTCGAGCGGCGGGGTTCTTCGAAGTCGAGGTCGTCCTTCGGGGTGGGGATGTATGCGGGAACAGGTGTGTTCCGACCCGACCGCGTCGCCTCGACAATATCGTCCTCCCCGTCTCCGTACGGCCCGCGTGAGGCGCTCTCGGAGTACGATCGGGCGTGTTCTGTCGAAGGGCGCGACTCCGTCACTTTCCGGCGAGGACGCGGAGGCCGGTAGTAAGGATCGTGGGGTTGCATGAAGACCGGCCCACTCTTGGGCGAATTACTGCCGGTGGTCTGGTATCCTGCCCCGGGTGTCGGGGTATAGAATCCACTGCTGTTGGCGCGACTGTGAGCTCCCCCGTGGGCACTGCCGGTGTCGAAGAAGGCACTGGCTCGGCCATCGCTAGCCCCAGCGCGGTTCAGGAGCAACGCCGAGCTGCCCGAGAGACTTCGTGGTCTCGAGCCATCGAATTGCGACGACAGCCGATCGTCCGTGTGGGCCAACATCGCCGCTTCGGAGCCCATGCTTTGGCGCGTCCCCACGTCACGCCGCGGAACACGACGCGAGAGTTGTCGCATGCCAAATACCTAGAAGAAGTTAGCTCTGCCTGCTACTAGACATAGGAGAGAAGGAAGAGAGAAAAGAAAAGAAGAGAATTTCCATACCTTGACGAGACCACCACGGGTAACACCCCCCTCATAGCCACCGGCACCGGCAAGACGGGCGACGACTTCGATCAGAGTCTGCAATGCGTTCAGGAAGAAACCAAAGACCAGGACCAATCCGTGCAGCAGGAGGATGATGTATCCGATCCACCCCCGCGCCGACTGGGAGACTTGCAACGATGGGACAAAGACCACGGAGAGCAAGATCGTGAGGAACCGCACTATGGAGAAGCAGGCGTGATACAGGTTCATCGACGTCGGTGGCGGGAACGGCTTGAAGGCCATCAGGGTCAGCAGGGAGACCACCTCGCAGATCGCCAACAGCACGATCTGCGCGATCCCGGACGGTTGGAGGGCACCGATCGCGACCCCGCGGGCAAAGGTGACAAACAGCGGCACGGCCGCAAAGGCGGCGGCATCGTCGCAGAAGGTGTTGTACAGCGGCCCGTACAGGAGGACCGTCGACAGGTCATCATACAGGTAGGACTTGGGGCGGGTGGTGACGATGAGCCGGACGGTCCAGAGGCAGAAGGCGATGGCGATCAGGATTAGGATCACGGCGAACACGACCGAGTATGCGGGCGAGCGACCGGCGATCACCAGCTGGAAGAAGGAGATGGAGACCATCGGCAGGAAGAGGTAGTTGAAGACGATCCGGATCACATTGCCGATGGTGAAGGGCCAGTTTTTCGCGCGCAGGTCCTCCTCCGGGACGTTGGCCAGCGCGCGATGCAGCCACCGGAAGCCGAACGCCACCTGGATCAACAGAGTGACGGCGAGCACGATGACCAACAGCCAGACGATCATCCCGGGCCACATGTCCCGCTCGGACGGCATTCCCACGTAGTGCTCCAATCGGTCTAGACCGTAGGTCTCGTTCACGGCATACACGCCATCGACCACGGGGTTCCGCTCCTCTCCCTGGTTCATAAATGTCTGGTTGAACAGCAGGCTCGACCACGCCGCCTGGCTGACCACGGGCTGGTAATACCCAGGGTAGTTCAACGACAGCGCCCCCGTCAGGACGGTAAATTGGATATACTGCAGGCAATCCCCGAAACCGGGCGTCACCAATCGCAGAACATCCTCGTCTCGGCCGTAGTTGCTCGTCCAGTGGAACGGGTTGGTGGTGCCCCACGGGCTGTAAATGGCGGCGGTGATCGTCGCGACTCCGACGAAGATCAAGATGACCAGCGGCACGTAGGCGAGGGCGTTCCGCAACGACGAGCCCAGGTCCGGGGTGATATCGACCTTCACGCACCCGAGCTTGGTGGCTGCCTGGTTGCCGGACTTGATCGTGAAGGACGCGGCGAGGGTGGAAAAGTGGTATGCGGACGACATATCATGTTGGACCGAAAACGAGCGTAACGACGCGAGGTCACTCCTGAAAAAGGGTAGAATCATTAGTACGGGTCCGACCACAACAAAGAGCGTGAGACTCACGCATTCGCGTAAAAGGCGGGCACGAGCGGACAGTCTCCTTGCACCGAATCGCAGAACCTGGAGGCGTCGCGATACGGCGAGAACGACACGACGTCGACGGACGTCAACAGGGTGGAAAACTTGTTGTTCGACGTATCTAGATCGGTAATCTTCCCCACGGTCTCATTCGGGTTGATCCACTGAGGGTCATCGGGCAGCGGATAGGTCAAGCGACGGTCGGCCGTCCCCGAAACGTTGCCGTAGACGGTGACATTCAGCGGATGAAGTGAACTCTGCGGATCGAACGTGACCGATACATCGAGCGGGATAAATTGGAGCTGTAGCGGGCTGGACTGGATGACCGACTGGCTGAGGCAATTCTGGAAATCGACGAGGACCGCATCCACCGGCGAAACCACCACCAACAGCACCACCAACATCAGGAACCCAGGGAAACCAGTCCAGTGTCCAACCTGATGCCGCCGTCTCCGTCGCCGTAAAGTATCTCGCCATGTCCGGCGCTGCGACACACGTCTCCCACCTCCTGACACCTCCGAAGCGTGTCGTCTTGAAACCAACGTCGAACCCGGGGTATCATGCCATCGCGCATCGGGATCTACCCCCATCGCGACCGTTGTGAATAACCCAGACCTCCACGGGGAGGTCCACCCCCTCGGAAAACGGATCACTCCACGTTGTACAGGCGGGGAACCGGACGCGGTTGGGAGGAGTATCGAGGCGGTTGCCAGATCAGCTGGACTCGTTGCGGGTGGCCGGTCGGACCCAAAAGCGGAAGAGAAATCGTCGAACGATCCGGTGGATGGAAGGGTTATATCGAGAATGGGAGCAAATTACTCCTCGATCTCCCCCGAATTGGTGATGTAGGGGATGCGCAGCATCACTTCTCTTTGGAGGATAGTGGGGAGAGGGGGGGGGGGATAAGAAGATGGTCGGATTATCACGGGGAGGCTGAAGGAATATAGTGGATAAGATGTCGAGGGAGGTCAAACGAAGGAAGATATGTTGGAAAAATTGGAAAGAAGGGACAATAAATAATGAAATCAAGTCAAAATAATCAACAAAGAAAGAAAGATAGAAAAGTTAAGATAGATCGAAGAAGGAGAAAAGAAGAAGAAGAATGAAGAAGCTCGGAAGAAAAGCGAACCTCAGGTACAAACTCGGTGGTACCTCAGGCCCCGGACGTGTTTGGCTGTTTGTTCCCTTTTGTTGGCCTGATTGGAGCCACTTCGATTCTAATCTTGGAAACCACTAAGAGCAAGAAACCCACTGTCATCCACTCGTGTCTTTCTCAGCCATGTCATCGTTCTACTTTTCGAGCAGTATCTTGCTTGAAATACTCTCGAATGTAAAAGGAAGATGAACTGCAGAATCCTGATCTAATCGTCCCTGTGACCATACGGACAGATCGAATAACCAGCATTAATGTCCGGTCGCAATGCAAGGTCAGGAGAATCATCAGATGAACCGGTCGATCCCTAACAGTCAGGGTTTAAACCTCCCTACGGATATCCATCCACTTCGATCTCCTATTGTGCCGATCATTCGATCCGAACGATACGCTCCATCGAACCACGGATGGACTCCGCCAACAGCAAGGGAGCCAACCTATCCTCTTTCGACCAAGGCTTAGCTTTTGTACGACTTGGCACTGAGATCGATAACAGGGTTGGGAAGGACGCTGTCGTGACAGGTGTATCCACTGTCCACCCTTAATGCAGTGGAGAATGAGTTTTCGCTGGTCCGTCGATAGTCGGTCGGGTGTAGGTTCGTATTCCAAGGGAGAACCAATCTGGTGGAAAGGAGTCCCTCGTTAGGCTTTCCAGGCCGACCATCGAGGAGGCGCCTCATCAAAGCGTTGAGCCTGAATCGATTGGTACGGGATGGTTGGTCCCTCCCGGTGTACATCTCCCCCGGCGGATCCGTGACGGTGGCCCAAATTCAAAACACCCTGCGTCTCCAAAAAAGTAGCCCGGACGGGGAGCTACATCTCGAATCCTTTATCCTTTATTCCACTCACATGCTCCATTGCGTAAACAAGGACGTTTGGGTTCGACAATTCTACCAACCACGCAGCCCCTATCTGTGACACAACATGTCCTCAAAGCTTGGGAGTCATTTACGAGTAATTGATGACCTAAACGATTTTTTCAGTTTGGTTTAGATTTGTTATTGAACTGAATTCAGATGTGTGTCAAAAGGCTGCGATTCTGTGTTCGCTCGTCAGCCACTGCGATCTAACCGACCAGCCACTTTCTCAAGTACCACCAGGCTAAGCTGGAGCTTCCACCCGGTGCTTCGCAAAGACTAGACGCAACCCTGGCAATTTGTGTCTTTGTTATGCGACGGATGGATGAAACGAGGTCGAACTGTCGTAGTCAGAATTCGAGAGGTAATATTCACCATACTTATGGATCTATCCAGGACTAGGTATTGGGCTCGCTAGGAAAGCTATGCTCATACTATACTATATTAGAGCTATTGATAGATCCATGTATATGGTAAGACGGAATGATGCTTAGCATGTACTACGGGGTCAGAGTCCTGCACTACAAACGACATGTCGAGTCACATGGTTCATGCAACCCTTAACCGGAGCGCGTTCAAGGTTGTGTAGGGAAGTATAGGGAAGTATAGAGGGGAAAGACCACATATATCTACTATGTTCTGTTACGAATAACCCTTGGATGTTTTGCTTTACATCATATCAGATCAAAATAACATACTAACATGAAAGAATGATAGGAATTCCAGTATTCAAAGGCACAACGTTCCATAGTACTCACTTATCAACACGTACGTCTACCTACATGATTGGACTACTGGCTTTAAAACTATGTAATATCCTACATACATGAATATCATCAGACTGGACACTGCACTGTTCCTAATGTCCCATTTCTGCTGGGCGCAGGACAAGCAGGTCTACCAGAGTAAAAACCCCATCGCCCTCCCCCGGATCCATAACCAGAACACATATCTAATAACTCACATTCTACAGTCAAGCTTCGCCAAGTCCAGCTCTGATCTACAGCCAAGAACGGTGTCATGCCGGCATTCCAGCTCTCTGGAACAGGCACAGGCACACTATGAAATCAGCTACTGCCTGCAAACTGTCAAATGCGTCAGTTACCCGAACACTTCTCATGACGGCTGCATATTCTACAGTCTTCCTTTTTGAATTCTTCATACAATCTACACCATTCTTTCACTGGGAAAACGTCATCAATCTATCAAATGTTGACTGTTTTCATGGGTCGACTCCCGCATACCAGTCCCTACAAAGCTTGGTTGACATGATTGACGTGACTGGAACCGGGGTCCTGCATTCTTGCGTATGTCTCGCACCGGCACATGTCTCCTACGCTGCATACCAAGGGGTGTCACTCATGCGGCAAGACAGGTACAGGGGCACGATAGGGAAAACGAGTTGCTGTCGTGTTCACTCCACAGTTAGGACTCTGTCGCGTAACAAGCTGTGGGGATGTATGACTTACTATGAAAATCCATCGCCATGAGTCTATTGGGTACCGCAGTCCAGCCGGGCATGGGTCGATCACATTCCGTATACTGTTGACCCCTCTACCCTCGAGAAGCTAGAGAAAGACCTTGTTATGGGAGATGATCGCCACGCTTATGTCGGATAACGGGAACGGACAGCGTCAGATTCATTCGAAGCCACCCGGTTGCAATCAATGTCGAGCTGTTTCACCCCTTGAAGTATCTCAGAGCCCAGAAGTATACCAAAGCCTTCCGGTTCCAGTGCCCGTTGGAAAGTTTAGAGAAAATGGGAATGCAAAGTCGAACCCTTGGCCGCTCTGAGATACTCCCATGCTGATCGATCTTTGGAGACATAACTATAAACCCAAGTCAGTCCTGTCATAACGGCCATGGCAGTCTCTCTCTCAATATCGCGCTTTCATCACAGTATACCCAGCCGCACAGGCAGTTCACCACAACCATGAAGCTCGCAACCGTCCTCTCCCTAGCCGCAGCAGTGTCCGCGTACAGCTGCATCCCCCCAGTAAAGCCCGCAGGCCCCGAAGGCCACGCCCACACCTTCAACTTCGACTACGAAGGCGAGACCGGCCCCCTCAACTGGCACCACATCGACCCAGCCAACTCGGAGTGCGCCCACGGCAAGCACCAATCGCCGATCGACATCAACTCCAACAGCGTCACCATCGCCCCGCGCGGCTCGGTGCGCATTGACATTCCCGAGGCCCCTACCGCGAAGCTCGAGAACCTCGGCTCTGGGCTTGAGGTCGTCCTCACTAATGGCTCCCTGACGACTCCCAATGGCAATTACGAGCTTACTCAGTTCCATTGGCATACGCCTAGTGAGCACCGCATAAACGAGCAGCACTCGCCCATGGAGGCGCATTTTGTTTTCAAAGATGCTGGTCTGTACCTCCCTCTCTCCCATCACCATACCTAGAATCAACTCACACAAAAAACAGCAAGCCGCATCGCCGTCGTAGGCTTCCTAATCGAGCTCTCCGAAACCGGCAGCTCAACCTGTCTCTTCGACTCGATTTTCTCCCTCACAGACGCCATATACCATCCCGGTGAATTCGTCCACACGGGCCCGCTGGACTTCACCGAGGTCAACCACCATCTGGACCTGAACCCTCCGTACCAGTACTCAGGGTCCCTGACTACGCCGCCGTGCACCGAGGGCGTCAGTTGGTATGTGAGCAGTGAGCCTATGCTGCTGAGTGTTCGGAGCTACAATAAGGTGAAGAGGCTGCTTAAGTTCAATGCTCGCTATATTCAGAATACTCTGGGTGCGGAGAATTTGTTGCAGGTTGCTGAGGATTAGGATGCGAGATGTGTGGCTTGAGGGGAGCGTGTTTGCTATGCTATCCTTGGGAATAATGGTACCTGGATACTATTTGTAAGAAAGGTGTGGATAGTGTCTGCATGGGATTGGTGTTTTGGGTTATCTCTGGTTATACTTTATATCGCGATTGGACTTTATTTGACAGGGAATACTTTCGGCGTTGAGGGTTCTAATTTCGGGTTTCTTGGTGTTTTTGATCTCATAACTATATTAACAACGGAAGTTAAAGCCTTTCGAAGATAAGAATAGGCTCTCAAGTGTAGTCTATTGTATTTGTAGGCTCTGGGCATGATCCCAACCAGATTAATATGCTGATAGAGGAATGATTATAAGGGTTGAAACCTGCAAAGTATGTACAGTAAAAAAAATCAGACTCTGCTTTGTAGTCAGACAAAAAGCTACGCTCTTAACGACTGTCTATCATTATATTCCACGAGTATGAATCAACACAATCATTCCAAGTCAATCTTCCTCTCTACCGGGGCAGGCCCACTGGAAGACCGTCCCCACAGCCGATCCGTCCCATCCAACTGCCCAATTACATTCATCCAATCTTCTAATGTCTTGCCTTGGCTATCTGTGCAAAGATCACTGCTACCCCATGAGGATAGCAGGAGCCTCACTGTGCTAACATGATTTTGGTCTCTTGCACATATCAATGCTGTCCGGCTGTTCACGTCGATGATTGAGGCATCGGTCACTTCAAGAAGCCGGCGGGCAACTTCCTCATGCCCGTTCTCTGCAGCGTAATGAAGCGGCGTCTGTCCAAGAAGATCAATGAGGTTGGGATTGCTGCCGTTTTTCAATAGCAGATTCACCATGCTTTGCTGGTTAACCTGGGCAGCCCGATGAAGGGCAGTATTGTTCCACACCCCTCCCCGTGCGTTTGGATCCACACCGCGCTGTAACAAAAACTCAACATCAAGAAGGGACCTTGCCTCAGCAAAATCATGTAGACTAATATTAGAAGACGAAAAGTTGGCACTTCTGATAAAATCATCAGGCATGATGGATGGTTCCCGCTGCAGAAGCCATCTTGCTATTTCCGGACAGTGCAGGTGTAGCGCCGTGTGCACAGCAGTGATGTAAACTTCGTAACCAGCAATAGCCACGTCAAATCCAGTTTCCAGGAGCTGTCTAGCAACAGCAACAAAGTTGTGTACAACTTTCCTTTCATCAACAATACTATCAATGCTAAACCCAGCCATTGCTCCCCTTCTTATCAGTATGAGAGCAACCTCATGACAACCTTCACGCAGTGCCAATTTCAGTTCAGCTGAATAAGTACTGCCAGTGCTAAGTTTTGCTCCTTGGTTGAGGAAAATCCTTGCAATTGCTTCATGGCCACGAGACAAAGCCATCAACAGGGGTGTTCTTCTATTTTGATCACAGGTATTAACCTCTGCTCCATAATCAAGAAGTATTCTTATAACTTTCTCATGGCCTCCAAGCGAGGCTTCAAAAAGGGGTGTTCTTCCATTTTGATCACAGGTATTAACCTCTGCTCCATAATCAAGAAGTATTCTTATAACTTTCTCATGGCCTCCAAGCGAGGCTTCAAAAAGGGGTGTTCTTCCATTTTGATCACAGGTATAAACCTTTGCTCTATGATCAAGAAGTATTCTTACAACTTTCTCATGGCCTCCAAGCGAGGCTTCAAAAAGGGGTGTTCTTCTATTTTGATCACAGGTATCAACCTCTGCTCCATGATCAAGAAGAATTCTTGTGACTATCTCATAGCCATGACATGAGGCTTCTAGAAGTGGTGTTTGTCCATCTTGATCACAGGCATTGACTTCTGCTCTATTCTCAAGAAGAACTCTTGTGACTGTCTCATGGCCATGACATGAGGCTTCTAGAAGTGGTGTGTATCCATATTGATCACAGGCATTGACTTCTGCTCTATTCTCAAGAAGAACTCTTGTGACTGTCTCATGGCCATGACGTGAGGCTTCTAGAAGTGGTGTTTTTCCATTTTGATCACAGGCATTGACTTCTGCTCCATTCTCAAGAAGAACTCTTGTGACTGTCTCCAGATTATTAAGTGAAGCTTTAAAAAGTAGTGTTTGTCCATCTTGATCAGGGGTGTTAACTTCAGCTCCATTCTTAAGAAGAAGTCTCATAATTATCTCATGGCCATTCTTGAAAGCTTGTGAAAGTGGTGTTTGTCCGCCCGTGTCAATGTCATTGACATTCATTCCTGTCTGAAGGAGTAGCTTGGTGATTTCTAGCCGCCCATTTTCAGCGGCCCAAGTCAATGGTGTTCGAGATTTATACCCCTGCAAGTCCCGCGTGAGTTTTAGGCCATCCGTGAGGTCGACCCCATCTTGAAGGCTTAATGGCGAGTTCAACAAAGCTGCAAAATTACTCTTTTCCCCATTGACCAGGGCTGCGAACAATGGATACCTGTATCGCTCGCCGACCACATGGACATTTGGGTCCTTTTTGAATCGTGTACGAATAAGTTCGGGTGATGTTCTTTCGGCAAGAATGTAATAAAGACTTGCATCGGGACTGTATTCACGAGACTTGTACTTTTCAAGCAGGTTGTTGATTTTGATCCAATTGGGGATCTGAAATGACGAGAGGAACTCGTCCTGAGGGATCACTTTTGCCGCAGCGTTGGCATGGTAGAAGACGAACTCCCTGGCGTACCCCAGGAACGGGTAGTTGTCTAAGATGACCGCCTGGTTTTCTGATTTGTTCCCCTCCGGTAGCATGCTGACAGAATCGCGCACCGCTCTGTGAGTCATGTAGAAGCTGCAACACTGCTTGAGTAACTCATGGCTGGGGCTCTTCCAGTCGACCCCAAGTTCAGGCCACAGCTCATACAAGCCCTTATCCTTAATGAGGAAATCACGGACAGACTCGTGAATGAACTGAACTGTTTGCTTGGTAGAGTTTGTGACCTCAGCTAGCCCTTTTGAGGAGCTGATGACATATCTGTGAAACCTAGGTAGATCATCTTCCACTATCTCCCGGCTTGAAGCATCTGGCATTTCACTCTCATCCAGATCCTGGAATGATAAGCCAGATGGGAGGGCATGATAGAATTCTCTCGGTTGCAGGGGCCGCTTCGCGCAAAGAATCCAGATGACACAAAGCTTGAATTCTTCCATACTCTCTTTGTCACGTTGTAGAATGTCCTTGAACAGGTCACTCAAGCCACTGGGTAGACTTTCGAGCTTCTTCCCCATAGACACCGCACCACGTTGATACTCCTTGTTGAGTATATCGACAACCAAAACGACCCACATGAAAACACCAGCTGCTTTCCTGAGAATTATAGGCCGTAGCTTTTCGATAAGCATAGGGTCTCTTATTTGGAGGCGGCTCTCAACGTAAGCTTCTAAATCTTCTGTATGTCCTGGTTGATGCTCCAGGGTAAACCTAAGACCCCACCGGATGGATAAGTAGGGGTAATGTCGACTGGAGAAGCATATTCGAAATTGTACCCCCCTAGCTGTGGATTGTTCTGCCAGGTCTTCAAAGTATTGGATCATATCGATGACTTGTTGCTCGTCGCACTCGTCCAGCGCATCGACGAAACAAGTAAATGGGCGCTGGCCAAGAGCTGAAATGGCGGTGCAAAGTAGGTCCTTGAGAGCATTCAAGGACAGGCTAGCATCTTGGGTCGGAGAAGGAATAAGGTCAGGATCATCCAGAAACCTTTGCAAGTCAGGATAACCCTCAAGTAGCTGCAGCAACAATGATCGATACATCCCTGCGATTGACTTTTCTAAATATTCACCACGGGCGTTGAAAAAGAAAGATGCAGTGACCTCGTTCTTGTTGCGGGCCTTGTTCTTCATGTTCGAATAGGCGAATTTCATGATAATTGACTTTCCAGCACCGGGCTTGCCGCTGACCCACAAAAAACCATGATGTTGGATCAGTTGTCTTTTATCTAGCCATGCCTTGTAATCCTGGTGACTGAGAAACCATCGGCAAGTCTTAGCGTGGGCCTTTTTGATATTCGTCCTACGAGCATCAATTTGCTCGAATTTGAGGGAATCTAGCATACGTTGTTGTTGCTCCTGCGGTGGAACTTGCTCTATATTGCGTGCAAGCGTCAGTTGGAGACAGGCTTAAGCCTAGAAATAATACTTACGAGACACAGACCTGCTGGTAACTCTTGTGTGTACTTCGGTCACAGGCAGCTCCTGGAGCAGCTCCGTTGCGCACGCAGCCGCAGTGGCCGCAGCATATCTTTGCCATTCCTTGCTCTTGTGGGAATCGGAATAGTCACATATTCCTCGGATGGGCATACAAGGGAGGATATCCATTAGGCCAGCAGCCTCCATTTCAAAACATAGGACCTTCAACGCTCCAGCCACCTTGTCCCGAAAAGCGCTGGATTTGACGACCTGGCTTCCCGAGGCAATTGCGCCGTAGTGAATGACTGGAGCGTCTGATGAGCGTATACTCCGTGGTATTATCTTCGAAATGTCACATATATCGCAGCTATTCTGTGGATTTGGGTGATCATACGTGGCGTGAAAGAGACGATCCGGTAAGCTCGGACGACCGTACCCGGGGCCGTCCAGCTTCTGCTGCAAAATAGATGGGACTCGACTCGGCTCCAGCTCATGTTTCGCGCGAAGGCTAGACACGGCTGTCGCAAGAAATTGGTCAGGGAACCGAGGGACGCCTGTCTGCTCCAGCCGCCCATCTCCGGTTATCTTCCCCAGGTCCGCTTGCATCACTCTCGTCCCGACGACGACGTCACCCAGCCGTATATCAGTCCCACCGGGCACACCGCCACCAATACCGACCATCAAACCCACACGGATTGCAGGGAATGTCTGTTTCATATTGGTTACAACGTTTGCCGCGTTGACTATCCCATATCGATCTACTGGTAGACAAGCAATAACGATGTTGTGTCTCTTGATGCTGCCCAAAATGTAGGTGTTGCTGTCGTTTCTTGGTACGGGCAAACGTTGATGGATCTCATCCAGCACAGCCCGAGCCGCTGCCATCTCAATATGCAGTGCGCATATCCAAGCGATCGTGTAGTCATCGTGTCGCAGGGTGAGCAAACTGTCATCGTGAGTAATCTTTTGCCGCTTTGGCAAGTGAGTCGAGCCCGTTTCAACATGCTCATCTGTGTTGTTGATATCCATCCGGTGGCGACTTGGAGGCTGGAATTGGCGGGCAAAGGTCTGCGGTGATCGGTATTCAAATAAGAAGAGTGAGGCTTGATCAATGATTGTTTATTGCAGGAATCACGGACTGGCTCTTACTCAGTCTCCAGGAGTTAATAAACAGTTGATATCTCTATAACCAAGCCTGTATGATAATATAGAGAAACCGGCCCCTCTTCAGATTCGAAGTGCTGCCTCAATCACATCTCGACGAGGCGGTGCGCAAGGCTAAGGGGCTGTGCGTTCAAGGGTCAGACTCGAAATCCAATCATATGGTGCGTCGCCACAGCTCTACCTATTAATCTGGCGTTGTGTAGTCACGAGACTTGCGACGATCGTCGCCTAACAAAGACTGGACACGAGGCTGGTTTAACCACTGCGTCTTCCAAGGAGTTGGCTTTGTTGAGTGTATTTTTACAGCCATTAGCTGTTCTAGGTATCTTGGTGGTCCATGATGGCGCACTCGGAGAGTAACTTTTAGATCGAGAGGGGAGATAATGCAGTCAAAAATGCAGGCTACCAGGACCTCTACCGGTTTATTCTCATATAAACCTATAGCTGCAACCAGTCGCCAGAACCTCTGTATGAGTGATAATCCCATAAATGCGAAGCAGTCATAGGGTCGAAAAGTTGTCGAAACTGATGGGGAAATTAAGTAGAGTTGAAGTGTGTTGAGAGAGGGTCCAAATCTCCTGAAAATGCAACAACGGGTGTGGTGGAGTCACCCCTGCCTTTGATGACATCTATTATGCTGCACTACAGACAGTAGAATGATATATGCTTTCTTTCCACTGGGCTCTACTAAAAAAGATCCAGATTTTTTTTAGTCAGGTGTCAGTCCAAGTGTTGAGCTGATTATTTCACTATTGTTCATCATCAACATTGAGAGCATGACTTATTCTTTGTTGGTCCCTCGATCCCTTGAATGTTTGCCGTCAGACAGCTTTGTACTATTATTTTGTACAACTTGGATCAAGCATGGTTAGAGATACCGTATCACTAAGCAATCACCTCTTATGCAGCCATCGTCAACATTCAACAACACCCGTTTGCCTTGTTATCTCGACATAATTTTCATATCGTACACCGGAAGGACTACGCAGACAATAGAATAGATAGTGCAAATAAACTAGCGGCCTATGCAAACTGGAGATTTCTGGCGGCGAACCAGTTAGACATATTCTGGCAGAAATGTCTTTTGACTTCTGCCTGGCACGCGCCTGAAACCGGCACTGGATACCTAACGCTCCTCCACAAACGACAAGCTGGCTACCGAATTCGCACTATCCAACAACATCGACGCGTGAGACATTACTGAAGATCTTCCAGTTCTTCTCTCTTCTCACCTTCATCAGCACAAAACCAACCAAGAACAATGACTACGCATATACCACCTCCCCCTCCACCACCCCAGGCAGCGCCCATACCATCCCCGACTCCCCCTCCCCCAACTGTATCTCCAACTGCCCCTCCGGGCGCCTTCCTCGTTGAACTGATCATCTTCAACGGGGCGCCCTTCAAAGACCACTGGGCCTACTGGGTCCACTCCCCCGACAGCCCCAACCTGGGCGTCCAAGTCCACGCCGCGGGGGACGTCTACAACGGGTTCAAGCGCGAAGCCAGACGGAGCCTTGACTTGCGCTCTACCACCCCTGCCCCGACAAAAAGGATCCCCCTGCAGTGGGTCGAGGGAAGGTTCTTCGACGAGAGGGCCATGCTGAATGCGGGCTCTTTTTGTGATCACTATGCGCCTGTCACGCACTTTGAGATCGCCGGGGAAGACGTTGAATGCGGTTGATGATGTGGTTTGCTCCTTTTCTTGGATTTTCTTGTCGTTCTTTCTTTGGGTTTCTAGGAAATCATTGCTTGGAGAAGTGATTAGCTGGAATCTGTTTGTTTTACTGTACAATTCCCACTGATGCAATGCTAATTTGGATATCTCAGACTGTACCTGCAACCAGCGTGGGCAGGAAAATTAGCCAGCGCAACTGCCAGACATGGATTGTTGAGTCAGCAGAACAGCTTGTCAAAGACAAAATATTGAGCAGGGAAGTAGCTGATTACCTGCGGGCTATTGAGCAGTGACCTGATGTATATAGTGGGGATAAAGAGGGGCATAACAGAGGTGATTGTGATATACAAGACCATTCCATGTCCAACTGAGTGATTGAACTACCATCACCACTTCCAGTCTCATGATAATTTTCCTTCGCCACTTCAGTAGTACAAGATGGTACATTGTTATGTGAATAGACGGATCTTGATGGACCTTCATCGTGGAAATATATCCAAGTACTGTTCCAACCCCCCCTTAAACCCAGCTACCCTCGTTACATTCGACAGCTACAACATCAGTCCTCTTCAATGCATTTTGATTCTTTTTAGTCTATATGCCACTCTGCCAAACCTTGAAGTGTCAAAAGTCTCAAGGATAGATCTACATTGTCCATTCATCTGTTAGACACGACGAGTGACACTCGTGAGTCCAAATGACACTCCTTCTACCCCCAATAATAATACAAAAGCAAGCTAACAATCCGACAGAGGTCTTCTACGCTTCAACCGCAACTCCAATATATACCTATAAGTTTAATATACCCCTCGAGCGACTATCAGACTCCGGAAGAATATAATTCAGACTCCAAATAAGTTTGAGGACTGGCTTATGCTTGACATGACGAACAATGAACGGATTCTGTCTCCTGCCAGATACCAGTATCAGTCTGGATTGTGGTCATGTTCCTGTAACCCGAGCATCCTGACCTCAAAGTCCACAATCAGACCGGACATTGCCACCAACTTCTGCGACAGAACAAGCAAGCGTTATTCACTTGCCACGGCGTACGCTTATGCCGCTACTTATGGAGGTATCCCGAAATTGAAGCATGCTGATGCAAGTCATCAAAGACCTAGTATCAGATACGCCCGACAATGGGACCGCTTTGAACCATCTTTCATCTGTGTGGGCGACCACACACGCTAACCTTCAATTATGTCGTATCCCACATGACTGTTTCCACTTCGTCCTCGGTCATTACTTCGACGAAGGGGCATTACCATATGGCATATACATGCAACAAGCTTGAGTTCGTTGCCGGAAGCAACGGTGCAGTTTTGGTTATCGAAGTCTGAACTGGAATACATCTGAATGTAGTAGGTTGTCGGCAGGCATCTTCAAGGTCACGACGTTTATACCGGGCCGTTTCCTTGGGTCATTGATAGACAGTCTATACCCATCGCGATATTTCTTTCTAGTTCTCCAAGAGCGAGGCCAGATTGCTCTACATTGCTCAAATATGACTTGTCGGGATAATACTTTGACTCAAGGTCCTAACCATTCGCAATGAGTGTTTTCGATCTGGGTATTGAACTGCTTTCACGCGGTCTATCATGTCCGATATTTCAGATCATATATATGAGACAAGATAGTGTTCATGAAGCATTGCAGATCTGGAGCAACACCAGCTGCCTACAGCCGCCAATCAACTCAGTCAGGAACAATTGCCAAGGGTGGACAGTGCGAGTCATCGCCAAGTTAGTCTCACTTAGCATGATTCTAAATGCGAAACTCTAAACGACAAGAAAGCTCGGTTGATCAGCGTGAGCTCATGCGAAGGAAGATATGATATGACAGGGGGAGATGGATAGTCTCATATAAGGGACTGCTGACACTGTTGAGAAAACCTCATAGAAATCATGTCAGTCGAGGCATTAATGAGATGTCGTGGATGGGCTTTGGGCACTGATTACGCATTGGCTGATCCTTTCTTTCTTTGCTTTTTGTTCATTTCTTGTTTTCGAGCCCTATAATCAACTAAGAGGGGCTTCTCTTGACCGGCGATAGAGCAACGTCTGAGCTCCCCGAGGGTCAGGATATCTTTTGTGTCGAGTGGTAATAGTGTCTTATATCGTCATTATCATGAAACTACCTTAACTCGGAAGCTACGAGGAATGCTGAGATTATTGCCAATAATTGACCTTGATTGGTAGACATCATGGTTACCGCTATCCTACCTGATTTCTCTGAGGCGCGGTGGACGATGACAACTGATTCGATCTATTTCAAGTCGGAGAATATACCAGGGACATCCTACAACAAGGGTGCCCAAAACGAACAGCTGTCAGTTATTAAGGATTAGGCGTGTACTTTATTCAATACTAATCTTTGTTTACAACCCTGCCGAAGGATCTCTTCTACATTATCTTTTATATAAGGGGTTCTAGTAAGCATTGCTCCGTGTTCCTGATCAACGAAATGTTGGTAAATGATTATTTCTGTTTGGAACAGAGTCTGAGAACTCTATAATAGCAGGCGATCACTTTCAAAGTAAAATCTGTTGAGAATGACGAAATTGTGAATATCAAGTTGTGGATAGTCCAGATTCTGATACTCATGTTAATCTCAGAAGTTGCTATGATCAGGAGAGCCAGGTCAATTCTACAGTGACAAGAGCTTTTACACTCTCAATCTAGGTCTGTTGATGATGAAATTGACGCAGTTGGATATTTCGTACTAGTAGTTCTACAGGATGATCCTAACCCCTTTATAATTCAGACTGTGCGCAAACTAGCCCAAAAGACCAAATCAACAAGAACTGATAGGCACCCAACGTCATGTCCCGCGTGCAACATGAATAGTGGCGGTCACACCAGGCCCCAAAAAAGAAAAAAAAGAAAAGACCTACTCCATCCTCCACCCAAAAGTCCAACCATCGGCCTCCAAAAAGTCCAATGCGGCCTTAAGTTTCGCCCTGGGCTCGTCAGCGGACCCACTCTACACCCTGACGCCTGTCCCACTCGGGTTTAGTGGCGTCTGGAGGCCCCACTGCAATGAGTTTAGGGGCGTTTCATGATGGAACCTAGGAAGCCACCGCATGATTGCCCAGTCCGCGAGACGCTTGGAGGCCGAGGATTGTATGGATTTGGAGAGCGTTCCCCGTATACTCCGGGGGACATCTGCCTCGGGAGGGAGAGCGGTTCCGTTTGTTTTCTTTGGAAAACACATGGTGACGGGGGTCAACATGTGCGAAAAAGGGACCATACCGTCCGAGATTGAAATCCTCGTCCTGCATCGTCGTGTTGATCTTTGCCCCAGCGCTGGGATCAGCTCAACCGTGATGACGTGAAGCCGTATCTAGTGTTCCTGACCGCGAGGCAGTGCTCGGGAACGATTAAGGGTTGAACCAATATGGAGCGAAGGAACCATTGGGATAAGATGGATGCTTGGCAGCGATAGCAGAGGTTTGAAGTTACTCCGAAGGATCATGGCATCTGGGGGGATTGGATATCCGTTTGTAAACAGTTCAATATAGGCAATCAATCAAAACTCCCTAGAATAGAATCCATGATCCACCGTACAGACAGGAGTAAAGGAAACAAATGAAGAGATCAACAAACCGCAAACAAAAGAATGGCCGGCCTGAGGTACCCATGTCCGTCCTCGGTCGGCCTGAGGTTGACCTCGCTGCCTTGATCTGGTTTCATCTCATTCTCTCCTTTCATCTTCTTTCTCACTTCTCTCTCTCTCTCTTCCTCCCTGTCTCTCCCTTTTGATCCTCGCTTCTGTTATTGCTTCCCCCCCCCATTCTTATTTGATCAGGTCTATTCCAAGCTGCTGGCCCGGCTTCAACCTCCCTTACCGCCGCTCTGTCAATACCCAAATCCCTCAGGTATCCAATTTTATCGGTCGCCGCATCTCCCCGTCTAGGATCCCTCCCCAACCACCGCCCCCACCAACTAAACCCTCGATTTCTTGATATTTGGGGCCACTGGTTTATCTGGGCATCTGTTAGCTTCATTTTTAGGTCCTTACCTAAATCTCCCCCTGAAGGTGCGCAGGAAAAAGGCGCCCCCCCCTCCCGTCACTGAATGGTCATTTAATTGGTCTTGGTAGATCGCGCGCTCCCCCCTCTCGACTCCACCAGACAACGAAACCACAATCGCGCCAGGCTTTGCCAGCGTCTATTCGTCTGTCCTGAGTAGTCTTCGACACCGACCACCGCTGGACTTTATTATCATCCAACGATCCCCTCTTCTTTCTCCATTCTTCCTCCGCCCCCCTCCTCCCTCCCCCGCCTCCGTTTTCCCTACGCTTTGTCGACCCCGGGCCGAAGCTTAACTCGCTCTCAAACCCTGTATCAACTTCTCTGTTGTGCTTGGGTGTTTTAGAGGGATCATCGAACCGTTTACTACGACATTGTCGCCGGATCTTGATGGTCCGGACGGATTCAGCCCCCTGTCGATCTCCACTTTCTGCACCACACACGCAGTGCACCTACACTCGGGCGGGAGAATACGAAGAAACGTCGATTCAGTCGTCTTTATTGTTGGCCCCTGCAACAGGCTTGCGATGATCCAGAACGATCGGCCACTGTCCCGAGGAAGCATATCATTTTCTTAGTAGCCACCATGTCCACCAACGACCCTTTTGCCTTTCTTGAGCAGAGCGCGCCGCTCCCGGAGCGCAAACCCACCCGGAGGCCTACCCAATGGAAAGAAAAACTGTTCCACAAAGATAAACAGAAAAAGGTATCCAAGGCCGCGGACCAGCAGATCGAGGCGTTCCTGGGTCCAACCCGGACGCAGTCGATATCGCACAGTCATGCCATCCCGCACCCGCTGGACGGCCCGCGCGACCAGCCAACCCTACCGAACTTGGAGTTCAATCAGTCTTGGTCACTCGCGCAGGATCCCCGTAGTATGTCGCCCCAGCACGCGAAGCCCCCCGCCGCGGATTTCCACCCGTCCGAGGGGATGGCAAAGCCTCCTCACAAGTCCCGTCCCCGGAGAGGGACCAAGGTCCGATTCTCAGACAAACAGCCGGAATTGATGGGGGAGGGCGGGGATGAATCGGAGATCCCGACGGCGGAGATGTGCCTGTGTCGCGACCGCGCACGCCAGAAACAAGACGATGGCTCGGCCCCTCCGCTTCGCGTGGATACCTCGGGGGAGAGCCATCGGCCCCTTCGACGCCAGGACACCACGGCGCGCAAAGCACCTCAGATCACCAGTGCGCAGGATTCGGATTTGCTCATGGCGCTGGGGGGCGCAGGCGCGGGGTCCCGACTGTCTTTTCGCGCGTCGCCCGAGTCCAGTTCGTTTGCGCAGCAGGTTCGAGACAAGATGCAAGCGGAGGAGGGCCGTGCCTTGCATCACCATTACGACCCCCAAGAGGACGATGGCCAGCCGGCCCCTGACAGCCCGAGCTCCTCTTACGAAACGCCTCCCCTCTCCGAAACTGAACCGGCCCCACCTCCGAACCCGTTCCGAGACGCTTCGAGTCCCGAGAAAGCATACAGTCCCGCGAACGCATACAGTTCCGCGAACGCATACAGTCCCGCGAAAGCATACGGTCCTGCGAAGTCATATAGTCCTGAAAAATCATACAGGTCCGAGAGAATTTCACCCAAGGCGTCGCCGGTCGAATCGTTGCCGTCCGGTATTGCGCCGGGAGGAAGTCTCCCTAACCCGAATCCGTCCCCGCCCAAGTACCAGCCCGTCCGCAGTGGTCCGGTCCGGGAGGAGTCGAGCCGCCCGTCGACCGGAGACACCACAGGCTCCCGGAACGCGGGGCCGAAATTCTCCCTGCGGACGGTGGCCAACCAGTTCAATGACACTGCCTTTACGGATCTGAAAGACCAAGTCCAAAGCTATTCGGACCTCATCCAAGAAGCCGCGGAGAGCGTGAAGCCGCTGATGGAGACGTCCCTTGCGGAATGGATGAGGGCCGCCGTGTGGTGGTTTCTGCGGGGGAAGCGAAGGCTGGAGGCGTATGCGCGCGCCTCACGTTCCGGCTCGGGCGGGAGACCAGAAGACGCAAGGCAGGCGGTCGTTGATCTGTGTAAGGTCTTGTGGATCATCGAGGAGATCGTTCCCGTGCACGGCGAGCTGAGTCGGTACGGCGCGATGGGGGTCGAGGCATTGCTCGCGATCGTCAGCACCACCGGTGACCGGCAGCTGGCGGACCTTCTGAGTCTGCATCAGACCATGTTGAACCATCTCCGCTCCCTGGCCATGTCGATCAAGCGGAACAACATCATGGACACCATCATGTCAGCCGGGGATGCGGGGATGCGCGTCGATACCACAGTGTGGGTCCGATATCCCTTTTTCGCACCGGACGTCTCCGCGGTGCTTTCCGGCGCGGCTACGCGGTCCATGTTGCTGGATAAGTCAGGCAAGAGCCCCTCGCTGGTGCACATGATGCCGTTGAGCGACACCAACCGGTTCTTCACCTACGGGAGTATGTTCGTGAAGGTGTACGTGAGTTCGAACGAAGACGACGGCCAGCAGCAGTTCTCGATCCCGTGCGTGCTGTCCATCATCCGGGACCGGGCCGACTGGTACGTCTGTGCCGCTATCAGCAGTCAGAGTGAACTGGTCAACGTGATGATCCAGTCCGACCGCAAGAAAGGGCCCACGTGGGAGGATGTGGACTGGCAGGTCCGGTCGCACTCGATGGGGGTCAAGCTGCCGCGAGGCTTCGAACTCGACATCGTGTTCGACGAGGAGGATTTCAAGAATCTGTGGAATATCGTGCAGTACACGCAGAAGACCGAGGCGAGTTACCACCACGAGGCCGGGGAGACCATGGTTTTCGAGAACGTCCTCAAGTCGTTTAGTTACATGGACCCGGGCTCGACACGAGGCTTCCCGACGGAGCCCATCGAGCGGTGCCGCCTGCGGCTGTTCGAGCGGACCGTGACCCTGACTGAAGGGACCGGGACGCGGAGTGCCCACCGAGGCTTCCGGCTCGCCGTGCTGACCAGCCCTAAATTCAAAACGCTGAGCAGTGTGCGCCACATGTTCGGCCAGGGGGCACCCATCGTGTTCGGTCTCCTCCGGGGCGTAGATGGAGCGCCCGCGCTTGCGCTCAAGGTCACGGAGGATGGCCGAACGCGGACCATGCTGATGACTTTCCACGAAGTCCCGGAACGGACCGCCCTGCACTCCCTCATGCTGGGGATGGTACCCCAAGAGGGAGAGATCAAGACGCCGGACATTTCCCTCCGTGCCTACTCGGTCGAACAACCTGCGGACAAGCTGACCGGTTCACCGGCCAAAACGCACCTCCAGTTCCCTGCGGGCACCGTGTCCGTGATCGACCAGGAGCACGGGTATGTTGAACATGGCTACGGGCCCACGATTCTGTCCGAGACTCTGCGGGCGTTTATCGCGACGGAGTGGGGGTCTGCAACGGACCGCATCAATCTTGGTAGGTCAATCGTACCCATTTGGTAGACGTCGCTAACTCGCGCAGGCCCTGGCGAACTGAGACTCGGCCTTGATATCAATAACCGGACGGGACTTAGCCTGTACCGACCTGCGCAGCAGGATCTGACGGTGTCTGTTGCTGAGAATTTGATTGCTCCGGAGATGCCGGAGAAGTTGACGGAGTTCTTGCAAGTGGCTCAGGTCAAACCGACGGTGCGACGGTTTGACTTTGCGACTGTGAAAGGTATACTTTTTTTTATTTACTTTTTTTAGTGACGTTACTGACTTCTCTAGATCTTCACCGATTCCAACGCGCAGTGACGGGCTTCCAAGTCCTTTTTGATAGGTATTTCATTCATGTCCTACAAAAAATTGATGCATACTGACCGTCTAGTGTTGCTTCGTCTCTATCCATCTCGCGCCGCCGGATGGTGGTGCCCATCCACAAGAAGTGGGAAGCCAACCTGGCCCGTATCCAGGTCGTTCAACAAGACAAGGTCATCCAACTGATTGCGTTCCTGAATGAGTTCAATCATGGAAAATGCATGAACTTCGTCCTCAAGGGCACCGACACCCTGGAGAGTTTCGGGCGGCCGGGGAAGTTTGGCGTGCGGGTTCTGGACGCCAAATTCGCCCTACCACGGACGGACGACGACCCGACGGCGGACTACGTGTGTTTGGACATGCCGGAGTATCCTCTTGAACATGACGATATTACTATTGTATTTGATTCCGAAGAAGGTATGCAGGATTATCCTATGCCTAACATGTACCCTACTAATAAGTCAGACCGCACCAATTTCCAGACCGCCGCGCCAGGATCCGTCCGCGAGCCATCCCGGATGAGTTCTCTTCGGCGGTAATTGCCCTGGTGGCCCGCTGGAACAATCGATCCGATCGCCATAACTTCCTGGAGAAGACGATGACGATATTCGGACCGAATCCGATCTTGCGCAATCGGTCGTATCACGTGGCAACCCCTCCTGGCTCCACTTGAACCACTCGACCTCCACCCTTCCTCCAACCCCGCCATATTCCCACCTACCCATCCAATTTATCACCATGGCACCCCTCGGACCCGACGTGAGCATTTCCACACGCTCTCTACACGCAGATGATGCTTTCAATGTAGCCACCGATGTGGCTCCCCCGCTGCACGTTGCCACTACATACCGGTACGCCGCGGACCCAGATGATCTCGTCCCGGCGCGGGACCGCAGCGTATGTCTCTCGACCCTTTACCGCGGCGTTTCTAACCGGATCAGTTCGGAGATGACCCGACGGAGCACGTCTACTCTCGCCTTTCGGCCCCCAGCATGACCCGTTTCGAAGCGATCCTGTCGTCTCTGCTCAATGGCAAAGTTATCAGCTACTCGTCGGGTCTGTCGGCCTTTCACGCCGCGCTTGTACTGCTGAACCCCCGCCGCATCTCGATCGGCCAGGGCTACCACGGCTGCCACGGCGTGATCGCCATGGTCAGCCGCATGACGGGCCTGCAGAAGCTGGATCTTGATTGTCCGGCGGAACAGCTCGAGGCAGGCGACGTGATCCACCTGGAAACCCCCGTGAACCCCGAAGGCACAGCGTTCAACATCGCCGCGTACGCCGAGAAGGCCCATTCCCGCGGCGCCTATCTCATCGTCGACGGCACGTTCGCTCCGCCAGGCCTACAAGATCCGTTCCAATGGGGCGCCGACCTAGTCATGCACTCCGGCTCCAAGTACTTCGGCGGCCACAGCGACGTGCTGTGCGGAGTCCTAGCCACGCAGCGCTCCGACTGGACCCGCCAGCTCTTCGAAGACCGCATCTTCCTCGGCAGCGTAATGGGCAACATGGAAGCCTGGCTCGGCGTCCGCAGTCTCCGCACCCTTGAGATCCGCGTCCAGCGCCAAAGCCGCAGCACCACGAACCTCGTCTCCTGGCTCGACAAGGCCCTGCGCACCCCCAACCCAGCTCCAAACAGCGACGAAGCCGTCACGCAAAAGGCCCTCAAAGAAATCTTCCACGCCAGCCTGCAACCCCAAGACCCCTGGCTGCAGCAGCAGATGCCCAACGGCTTCGGACCCGTCTTCTCGATCGCCATGCACGAAGAAGACTTTGCGCGCAAACTCCCCAGTAAACTGAAGTTCTTCCAGCATGCGACGTCCCTGGGCGGCGTGGAGACGCTCATCGAGTGGCGGACGATGTCGGATACGACGGTGGATACGCGGCTGTTGCGCGTTAGTGTCGGGTTGGAGGATTGGGAGGATTTGAAGGGGGATTTGGTGGGTGCGTTTAGAGAGTTGGTTGCTTAGTTGGTATATGTTGGATTTTGCTAGTTATGACATGTGTATATGGATAGAGAGTATGTAGATAAGATAAGCTTGGCTAGATAAGACCCCGCACGTGGTATCTTACCTCTTGATTCTGTTTAATATGGCATCTACCGATAGACATCATCATTCAATCACAGAAGAATCTACAATATAATAAGATCACTACACAACAAGCTACAGTCATCAGCCCTCAAGTACTCGAGCACTACCCCACCCACCACAAACCAACCACCACCACCAACCAAGAAAGAAGAAAACAACCAACAATCAACCAACCAACAATTTCAAAAAGCCTACATATAAAACAAATCAATCGATCGACCGATCAATCAGAACAACACCAAGCAAGAAATTGGAAAAAATGACAGAACCAGCAACCTTCCAAATCCACTACTTCTCCACCGCATCATCCTACACCGGCAAATCCACCGAGCGCCTCCCCGCCCCGCTGCCCGTCTCGCGCCTCTTCGATCTCCTGGAAGAGAGGTATCCCGGTATGAGGGATGCTGTGTTGGGGAGTTGTGGGGTTAGTGTGGGGGATGAGTATGTTGATGTGGATTTGGATGTTGGTGGTGGGGAGGGGGATGGGGGCAGTGGGGTGGTGATTGAGGAGGGGCAGGAGGTTGCTGTTATTCCGCCTGTTAGTTCGGGGTGATCTCTCTCTCTCTCTCTCTCTCTTATTTCTTCTTTGTATTCTACTTGGGGAATGTTGTTTATATCACGTATTGTGTATGTTGTTGTGTTGTTGAGATGGGGAGGGATTGGGGGTGGATAGGTGAGTATTTCTACGTACTTTAGTATTTATCATGCGGGTTGGAGAGCTGATTGAGAAACAGTATATATTTCAAATAACAAACAATATAATAAACAAGACAAGAGAACAACAAAAAGCCAAATCAGCAGACAGATTACATCCTCCATCATGATCACCCCATCATTATGCCAGCATAACATCAGATATTACAGCCACTCACTCTCTCGCTCTATCGCTCGTTCACACCCAGTTCCATACTCATGCTCATACTCACACACTCATACCCAAGGTCCATATTAAACATCCCCCTTCCCCCCAGGCCCCTTCTTCTGCTTCCAAAGACAGACCAAACAAACCGCCGAAAAGAAGAACATGATACTACACATCACCAGTTAGCAAGCCCCTCCAACAATTATCCCCCACTCAAAGAGGAAAAGAGAAAAAGAAAAGAAAAGACATACCACAAAGCAATACTCAACCCCCAAATACTCTTCGCCTCCAAACAAACCGCCTTACTCGCCCCAATCAAGCTCCCATACTCGATCTTCTTGCCCAGATGCGCAAGATAGCTATCCAAGTGTGTGGCGAACGCGTATGCGCTCGAGTTGTCTCCGGCTCCGTCGCCCCCGGGCCCGAGATCCTCGCATTTGAGGTAGGAGAGTGGCTTGCCGATTATGACTGCCACTACTATCACGGCTATGAGGCAGAGGGTGTCGGCGATGGCGGCGGCGAGGTAGGGGAGGATTGTGTCGAGGAGGAGGATGAATGTGATTATGCAGTAGATTACTACTATGCAGGTCTGACTTCTTATTAGTTTTTCTTTCTGTTTTGTGTTGTTCTCTTGGGGTGTGGTGTTGAGGCCAAGGAAGGGAAAAAACATACCACTGTCAAAGTCCCAATCAAAATAGACGGCGGCTCGCCATTGACGGCTACTATCTCGGAGATGAAATTGGCAGTCAACCCGATGATAGCGATGAGACTGATGCTTTGGATGAGACGGGCGACTTGGTAGGTTGCGCCCAGGGCGCCTTGTTGCCACATTTGTGCTGGTAGATTGTTGATGGTGATATTGTGTAGTTGTCGGTGGTTGTCGGTGGTGTTGTCGATGGTGTAGAGTATATACTATATACTAGTAGGTATATAGGTAGACAGTAGATAAAGAATTGTAGAGGGACACAGTCCTATTATAACTTCGACAGACCAATACCTCACGAAAAGAATAGACGAATAATGAATGAATCAAGAGAGATAAACAAAGCAGCCACACTGAAAGAAGTAAAGTCGATATAGATAGACTCCTCAACAAAGAATACAAAAAACCTGTCTAGAAAGAAACAACCCAGACCAGGGACAATGCCTTAAATATGTAGTACACTCACTCGTATACTGTAGACAATCCTTTGACTTCGTCTTGTCCATAACAAAGACCATCGTCCACTCCGGCGACCAGACTAGTCTAGAACTGAGGAGGTCGAGGCGAGCGAGGCGTCTGGCGATCATCTACGCGCCGGGATTGATGCTGAATAGGTGGCGGTCGAGATCGAGATCGCTCGGTATCTATATCCGTATCTATTATACTGCTGCTTTCGATATTGTTTGGTCTGGCTATAAATGGACTTAATCAAAGGAAACAGTACTTTGTTATCCTTCAACTCAGTTGATAGTGACGATATTAAGAATAGAATGAGGCGACCCGCCCTGGCGCGTGCTGCCCGCGAGGCTTTTCCGCACGGCGTCTCTCAGCCAGTAGGCGCCTGGGCGGGTGGGATTCTGATACATGATTTAAAGCTCGCGCTTGGTACTGTCTTTTGGGTATAGGTTTGTCCTTGCTCTTAATTTACTTTTGTGGGCGGTTAGATACTGTCTTCTGTCTTCATGAATAAAGTAATTGGGTATTATTTATAGGAAACTTTGATTAAATAACTGTACAAACGCTGACTCCATATCTCAATTGTTTCTATACGAAGTGGATCCACAAGGAACGTCCACAGCAACCGATTATGTATATAAACTAGTGCAGACGGAATCCGCCGCTCGTCCGCTTCTGGAAGAACCGCTCCGGGTCGTACTTCTTGGAAGTCTTGAGTCCCTCGTCGTGCGACTTGATGCGGCCCCAGAAGTCCTGCGACGAGTGGGCGTCGTTCAGGAAAAGCGGTCGGTACGCGTCGGGCACGACCTTCTGCTCCTGGAACTTGGAGATGTGGTGGTCCATGCCGCTGTAAAGGGTCTTGAGCGCCGCGTCGATTCTGCCGTCGCTGGCGGAGACGCTCCAGGAGTAGTCGAGCTCGATGATGATGTAGGGGACGTCGGTGGAGAAGCCATACATGTCCTGTCATGGGTTAGTACGGTAAATAGTATACGGGGGAAAGGAACGTACACCGCCCAGGTCCTTGGCCTTCTGGGTGATCGCGGGCGGCAAGGGCTGGAAGGCCAGCGAGCCGATCACGCCGGGCACGTCGATCACGTCGCTGGTGACGTTGAGCCAGTGGTCGTAGTAGGTCTGGAACACTTCGGGGTGGTCCTTGGAGGGAAGGGGGGTGGTCTCCGTGGCGATCGAGTAGCGTTGACCCCTATCAAATTCAAAGTTAGATAAGACATAAGAAGCAGAGCCAGGGAGAGCTTACCGCAGAATGAAAAGGTCATTGTGCTTCAGCAGATCATAGTAGCTGTCCCAGGTCTTGGTCTGGTCGGTAGGACCAATGGCCTTGAACCGGTCAAACACACCCTGAGGAGGCTCGGGCCCGTCGTAGAACAGGAACATGATCCAGGTGTGCAGGATCGCAGCCTTCTCGATCGTCACGATGATAGCCGCCTTGTCATCGGGGTAGTTCTCGGTGAAGTCGCGCACGGCCTCGAGCACCTCGGGAGTCTGATCCGAGTTGAAGATGTAGTTTCCTCCCCACACCTTTCCGATGGGGTGGGTCTGCAGCTTGTAGTGGGTGACGATGCCAAAGTTGCTGCCGCCACCCTTCAGGGCCATGAACAGATCGGCATTCTCATGCTTGTTGGCATTGACGATGGTGCCGTTCGCAAGGACCACCTCCATGTTGACCACGTTGTTGGCCGCCCAGCCGTACTGCGAGCTCAGGAAACTCAACCCGCCGCCCAGCATGTAACCACCGATGCCGACGTCGCCGAGACGGCCACCGACGACGGTGCGACCGCCCACGATCTTGTCCAGCGCCTCCTGCGCCTCCTCCCACGCGAGACCGGGTCCGATGACGGCGGTCTGGTCCTTCTCATTGTAGTTGACCTGGTTGAGCTTCCGGGTCGTGATGAGAAGCCCATCCTGGATACTGGCGAAGCCGTCGTTGGGCATGTGGCCGCCCGACTTGACAGCAAACAAGGTATCGACGTCTTGAAGCTCCTTCATGATCGTGGCCATCTCGTCGGCGCTCGACGGGTTGGCGATGCATGTCGGCTTCAGATCCGCGCACGCGCCAGACCAGTACTTGTACGACTCTTTGGTGTAGGCCGGGGAGAGAGGCTTTTCGACGTTGATATTCTGGGCCTCCAGTTTGGCGCAAATGCCGGACGCATCGACAGCGGCCGTCAGAGGGGAAAGGAAGGCCGCAGCCAGCCCCACGGCTGTGCGCCAGGTAGGACCTGAAGTCATTCCGAAGAGATTGGGAAGGAGGATGAGGAGGGAGAGGCAGGTAGAGCGCGATGATTCAGAAAAGAGCCCGTCCACGCGCTGGTCCACCGGGGGGGTAGGGTATATATGTACATGCTGAAATGACGACAGTCAAAAAGGGGGTCCCAGCCTGGTGCTCTCAGTTGCGATAGTACCCCTCAGACCGGCACTGGAGAAGGATCCATCCCCGGGTACACTGGACGCAGTAGTGCCACAGACGAACAGGTTACTCTACTTGGAAGTGGGGTCAGCTAAGCTTGATAAGTTCACGGTCTGCACAAATCACGCCACTCATTGGTCCAGTAGTGCGTGGAGAATCCTGGTCACCGGTATATCAGCCGAATGCACTTGGGCAGGCTTATGTATGCCGTAACTTCCTCGCCCAAAGTATGCCGATTTGAACTCCTCAGACCTCGGAATCACAGGCTCGTACAGAGAGGAAGTGACGACAGCGTCAAGTAAATGCCGTTGCATGCCTTTCTTAACAAAGAGGGCCCCGAGTACCCTTTCTGTTCAGACCAACTCCACCCTCAACGATCGGGATCCACTAACAGAATAGTATGGGATCAACCGGAAGACGCCTCGCCCGGTGCTCATATCCTGATTTCTAAGGCCGTGCCCAATCATCCCGCTCGCAAAGCGAAATGAAGGCACGAATGCATATTCTCAGAATATACAGAACCTTTCCCATGATGCTAGCGTGCAGCATCAATAGTGTGCCTATCTCGGATGTTCGTGCAGTGAGTCTTCCGGAGTCGTTGGGTAAGAGGTGGGCAATAGCGCATCCAGAATGACATTTCACACTACTTCCCGTTAGAGTCACTTGGGGCCGATCATTAGACTTAGGGTGCCAAAATTAGCTAACCGAGCCTGAACCAAAGTCCTTTCTCTCTGGCGCACAACGTCGTGGGGAATGCGGGGGTTGACAGAAAGGGGCGCGCCAGCGTGACTGGATTTGGGAGCAGAGCAATGAGGATCGGCAACGAGCTTGAGCCACACGGCTTGCGCCAGAGGGCATTAACCGAGGGGGGAGAGATCGCCATGGACTAACGGGTTTAGGCTATATTCCATCCTGCTCCCCGACAACTTCCCCGTGGGATTTGCGTCTCGTAGACAAGCACTCGGGGATAAACCCCAGCCAAATGATGTTGATCCTGGACTATGTCTTCACATGCGGAGGATGCCCGCCCCGCTGAGGGTTTTTTTTTCTTCTCCAGCATTGCGGACAACGGCCGTGTGCTGACCCCCAAGCGGGGAATATTGACATGAAGATCGCGTGGACTTTCATGGCTACGAGTGTCCACGGAGTAGTGTAATGTTGGTATTTCGACGATTGCGCTAGCCATGGCTTGGCTGGTCAGATTGTAGGATCGTGTAAATGCTAGCTCTCTTGGCCACACGATACATAGCAATGACTACTCCGTAGCTAGACCACGTTATGAGCCTAGCGGTGCATGTTAATTCAGGGGAACACCGAATGCCGGTAAAGATCGATCGATCCCAGCAGCATACCCGGAGTATCCCTCTTGGCTTTCTGCAGTCGCATTCGAGGATACGGAGTATAGCCAAGAGTCCAGAGGCAAGGTCATCCCTGAATGATGTAGTTGATCACCGACGTGTCAACCAGCACCGTCGGGTTATCAACCGGGATGTTGAATCAGGGAACGTCTTGACCACGAGGACAACTCTATCGGACATCGTATCGCGTATAGGATAGAAACTCTATCTGCGCGGATGCCGCCAGGATGCCGCGATAAAAAAGAATCAATCAAAACTCCGTCGAGCCGAGTTGCTAGCCGTGCAGAGGCGGGGTTAGCAGGAGTATGGGCTGTCCAAGTGGGTCCTTCCAACGCCACAGTGGTTTTTGATTGCTTGCTATTGTCCAATGTGCAAAGTCCACGGGAAAAGGCGTCAGACAATGAAGATTGTTATTTCGGGGACAGCAGGGATGATCATAAGATTGAACCATGGATGCAGATGGATCAAAAGAAAGTGATCGTTGGCGGTGTATTCTTTCTGCCATCTCTCTCTTTACCTTCTTTCATCTCATCTGATCTGATCTCATCCCATCTCATCTCTCCTTATGGCGATATAGAACAATGGCCAGATTCTTGCAATGAGATGATCAATGCTGGTTCAAGCATAACCAACAGAATCTACCCTGACGATCATCCATCTAGACCATTGTCCGGCTCTTCCGTGGACATCAATTGATATCACCCCTATACAATATACCAGTAGGTATCTGACAAGCTATCAGGCTACTAAGCTATCAGGCTACTGAAAATAGGATAAGTTCGTTTCGGATATACACTCCTGTCCGGAGAGGGAAGGAGCTACCTACTCTCCAAGCCAGCTCTCCCATTGTTCAAGGCACTCGAGGATGAACAATCAATAAGATACTTATTTCCCTAGCCTGTACTATAGGGCATCTCCATCCATGACCAGGATACATCTACTGGGTCTGAATTGCCAGGAGTCGAATCTTCCTCGGCTTATATCTACTATGCCAAGCCCTCCGAATGGTATACAGACACTATATTGAATGACCAAAGACTACATACTCGACAGCTATTCATATACATATCATACAAGATCAGTCCCACAAGTTCCATTAGGAAGTGCGTTTATTGTCTAATTGTCTGTTCCACTACCCACAACTATTAAAGTTGACTATACGAAGTACCCGCTTAAATAGATTACTTTAATATCGCCTTAATTGTGTGTATATTAAGGATTTAAAGTTATTGAAGTGTATTTGACGATTGTTGAAGAAGTCTAATAGATTAATCTATATTGACGAATATAGAGTATTTGTTGATATAGTCGACTGGTATATCTTTTCGATCATCTGGAGGGAGATGCTGTGGAGACTGATGAAACAGTTGACTGGACTATGTCGCAGCATAAGGTTATAAGATACTTACCGAGCGAAAGTGCCATGATATCTTTGTAGCCGAGTGGTAATCCTTTCCCACTAACTAGCTATAAACTATGTTGATGATTTGGATGTATGGAAAGTTGCGAATAGTTGCAAAAGTAGGAGGAATCAAATGTAATCTGTGTGAGAAAACCCTGCAGATCGGCTACATTTACTGGTCGTATTTGCTATTTTACAAGCACATACCTTGTTAGTTCTCGTTCTTCGTGTGCTGTTGACTTGATAGGAGGGTAATCATGGACGGAAGTCTGAATAGCTACATGTAGTATGTATGGCTAACGCCTCCTATCACCTTGTATGATTTCACACTGATCAATCTTCAATTCAATAAACAACCGCACATCATTGTATCTGTATCATACATCCTAACACATATCTTTTCCTCACATCTCCTCCATCCTCAACTCCCCTCAACTCCATACCCATCAACTACCTAGTAATGATGACGAACGCGTCCCTGATACCGATGACGCAAGCTGCTCTTCGTAGTCGTCGACCCAATATCGCCCCAGCGGATATTCGAGAAAGTCACCGCAGTATCAGGAACCTGCTTCTCAATCAACGCCGGATCCCCCTCCGTAGCACTGCACGGCCCGGCATCCCCACTATCCAACCAGTTCATGAAAGTATCCTCATCATTCCAGATACTCATCGCAAGCACCATGCCCCTCCCCAGCGCGCCCCCCATCTGCTTCATCCCGCCCAGCCGCTGATACGCGCTCTCCGTATCAGGGCACAGTCCATCCGTAATCGAATCCGCCTCCCCGCCATCAACCTTCACCACCGCGTTCGAAATCACCCGTCCATCCTGCACATACTGCCGACGGATCTCCGCCAGCTCGCCCCCCTCCGTCTCGTTCCCCTTCGTCACAAACTGCGTCACCACCGTAAACGGCTTCTTCGAGTTCACCGTCTTGTTGTACCCGTAGTAGTCGTGTGCCCCAAGCGCATAAGGGTTGAACCCGCACCCGATCTTGTCGCAGATCCCCGCGTCGCCGCACTCTTCCTCGCCCTCGCACTCGACCAGCCCCTCCGTGTCGCACGGGTGAGGCGTGAACCCCGTCGCCCGCGCGTTCGCCTCCCAGATGTCCATCTCGTTGCAGCAGGATCCGACTTCGTCGACGTTGCCCTCGCCGTTCACCCACGCCGTCGTGAAGCACTGCGCGTCGCAGTACCCCGTGCCGTAGTGCGCGCCGGCAGGGTTCAGCTCGCTGCGGCCGCCCGACGCGGCCATCTCGGACAGGTACAGCGCGCCGTTCATGCCGCAGGGGAGCTTGGAGACGTCGACGTCGAAGGTGAACTCCTGGTTCAGCAGCTGCAGCATGCTGTAGTCGTCGCCGGTGGGGTCGAGCAGGTAGACTCGGGGCGAGGGCTTGGTCAGCTCGTCACCGTCCGGCACGTACTGGCGCAGGAAGAGGCTGTCGCCGTCGGTTTTGACGCCGTGGCTGGCGTAGTCTTCGATGCCTTCGACGACGCATGTCTCAGCGCAGGTGGCCTTGTCCGGGCAGATGGTTGTGTCGAGGTTGCCGCTGTCGTCTGTGCAGGAGGTTTCGGTGCCCTTTTCGTGGATCTGGTGCGCGGAGGCGTCGATCACGATGGAGGTTTCTTGCTTGACGCACCCGTCGCGGGTTGTGCACTTGTAGGTGGTGAGCTTGGGGTGCACTTCTGGGGATGTGCCGATTTGCTGCGCCGCGATGAGCGGCAGCAGGGCCAGCGAGAGGGTGAGTGCGCGTGTCATTTTGATGACCTTGCTGTTGCTGTTGCTGTTGCTGTCTGCGATAGCAATTGCAATTGGGATACAGGAGTTGGAGTTCTGGTCATCGTGGTCGACTTTATATGTTTGTGTTCTCGTTTGTATGTAGACATGAATTCAATCAAGGTAAATATTGATTCGTGGACTGCGATATTCCAAAGTTATCAGGACCAGGAACTCGGCCCGGCGGACCGTCTTCTCACAACCCCATGTTTCATCCATATCCTGCAATCTCGATCAAACTCGTCGATCTGCACCGTGTCAGGCACACCAATGAGAGACAGTCACAGGCAGTAGTCAATTATCTACTGGAAACATCACGGCAGTGGCCATCTGCCGGTGGGGGACTCCGAGATGAATGGGGGAATTTCGGCTGAACTTTGTGAGGATCGTCGAGGCTGCTAGCTTGTTGTGGCGGGGGCCGTGTCAGTTTGGGAAATGGCTATTGTGGGCCGTGGCGGTATTTCCGTGCCTTGTTTATAGTGTGTTTCATTATAGTTGTAGATATCTTCGTAGGAGTGAGCTTGACGTATGGTGTATGTTGACTATGTTGGTGTTGAACTAATGCATGGTTCCTCTACTAACACTAGACTGTATCTACTTTATCCAAGATGAATTGAATTGAGTATAGCAGTATTGTACAGGATGCTGATCTACACTAAGCGCCAAAAACTTCCTTGACAAGCGCCTTCTTATTAACTGCGACGACGTCAGCTTATACTCACAACCAAGCATGTGGGGCCTACCTTTGCCCATTGCGTTTCGCGGGATCACCCCGTCAAGGACCTTCATCTCCTGGGGCATCTTATAGCTAGCCAGACGATCTCTAAGGGCTCGTCGCATGTCGAGCGCCCCCCACGGCTTGCCATTGCGGCCCGAGCTGGCCGCTTTCTCCGCATCGAGGACGACGACAGCAGCGACTTTCTGACCCCACTGTTCGGACGGGAGGCCAACGACGGCTGCTTCGGTGATTTGAGGCCTATCATGTCAGTATGAGCTTGATGAAAGGAGTGAGGGACATACAGTGAAAGTAGCTCGCGCTCCACTTCCAGCGCGCTGACCTTCTCACCGCCGGTCTTGATGATGTCCACGCTGAGTCGACCGGAGATAAAGTACATCGGTCCCTCGGCCCAGTCTCCGCTGGTGCCCTTGCCAGCGCTGTCGACGACGCGACGCGTGGCTACGTCACCGGTCTTGAACCATGCTCCCTTGCCGTCGTCTCCGTCAACGAATGCTTCCCGCGTGGCCTTCTCATTGCCCCAGTACTCGCGAAAGATGGTGGGACCCCGGAGTTGGATTTCACCCTCTCGTTGACGTCCGTTCTGGTCGATTTCTTGCCCGGGGTGGATCACCTCGTTGGTGTCCACGTCGACGAGTCTGGCTTCCACAGACGGCAAGGGCCAGCCGACGCTGCCGTCTACGCGGTCCGCAAAGTCCAGTCCACAGCTGATGGCCATGCCCACTTCCGTCATTCCGAACCGCTCGAGAAGCACGTTCCCGTTGCTGAGATCCTGCCACGCTTTTTTCGTGGGTGTCGGCAGGGCGGCGGAGCCGGAGATGTTCAGGCGGAGGTTCTCCGGAGAGACGCCCTTCTTCGCTGCTTCTTGCGTTTCTGCAGGGAGGCTAGAGAAGGCGGACATAAGCCGGTTGTAGACTGTCGGGACGGCCGTGAGAAACGTGATCTTTTCTGTACCGGCTGAGTCCGGCAGGAAAGGCGCGGCAAGTCTCTTCCACACGGCATCGGTGTTGAACGGGAACATGAACTCGATGGACGAGCCGGCCAGAATGGGCGTCACGATGGCATTCACCGTTCCGTGGATGTGGTGCAGGGGGAGGAGATGAAGTAGTCTGTCGTGGGGGGTATATTTCCACGCTTCCAGCAGCGAGGACGCCTGCGCTGTGAGTGCCGACTGGGGGATCAACACGCCTTTCTATATACTGTCAGTATCCCAGCCGATCAATCAAGTAGTCCTAGCCAGTACGCCTTAGCAAAATAAAAAGAAACCCACCGGTCTATTAGTAGTCCCCGACGTATAAAGCATCATCCCCCCATTCGACCCGCCCACCAAATCCTCCAATTGCACGTCGCCCGGCGCAGGACCCCCCTCCAAAAACTTCCCCATAACCTCCACCACAGGCGGCCGATCCAGCCCCGCCTCGACAACACCACGCGCCTTGCTCTCGAACTTCTCACTCGTCAGAAGAACCTTCGCTTGGGAATTATCCATAATGTACTTCAGTTCGCCGACGGGGAAGGCGGGGGAGAGCGGGAGGGCGATGGCGTCGTTGGCGAGGATGGCGAGGAGGGTTACTGGGATTTATATTAGCGGGTGTGTTATATTAAGAAGCCTAGCCCAGATGCGAGGCATCGAGCAGAGGGACTAGAGAACAGTACCCACGTAATCGTAGCTATTCTCGACGAGGAAGGCTATCCTCTCCCCCGAGAGCTGTGGGCCAGCGCATTGCAGCAGCCGCTCTTTCGTCCGTAGCACGTCGGCGACGAGATTCCCGTATGTAAATGAGCGAGAGGACGCGCTGTGTACGACTGCTAGACGCGACTGGTCGTGGTTCTGGAGGGCGCGAAAGAGGGGGAGGTTCGGGAGGGTGGATAGGTTTCGAGAGGCCATGCGGGAGAAGCCATTGTATGGTTTGATGTGACAGGCGCGGGAGGCCAGGGAGGCTCGCGAGAGGACTGATATCAAAGAGCGTCGGTACATTGTCTTTATTGCTTACAGCATAGTTCGTATCAAGCGAGTCTGATGCAATTGAACTCAGAGCCGAGGAAGGAGTTTACTACTGGACGGTTATCTGTTATCGGGAAGAACACCACTATCCCTAATATGGCAATTCACCTCCGCCGAAATCGACCCATACTGTCTCTCTCTATCTCCTCTCTCTTCACTACTCCAACCACTACCTCTACCTAAGAATACACAACCTCATACCTACATTCCTCCCTCCTACTCAGGTAGTCAGGCCCTCACAAATGCTCCTCCGCGCCTCCCCTTTCACCGCTGCACGCCCCAGCCTCAGCTTCACCCGCCTCTTCTCCACAGCACCCACCAGAATGGCCTCCTCAACCCCGATGGAAGATATCATGCGCGAGAAGGTACCTACCTATTTACCTTTCTACCTTCTTACATGAAGGAAAATGTCTTCAAAAGAGATAGTTAGCTAACTACAATAATACAACAGATCACCACAGCCCTCACCCCCTCAAACCTCATCATCCGCAATGACTCCCACCTCCACGCGCATCACTCTGCTATGCGGGGTGTTACCTCTAGGGAGACGCATTTCCAGTGAGTTCTCCTCTTACTCCTCCCTCCCACATACTGCACACACACCAAGTATGTGATACCAAAATACAAAACTAATCACCCACCTCCTATCCTACAGTGTAACGATAACCTCCCCCGCTTTCCAATCCAAAATGCAGCCCGCGCGACACCGTCTCGTCTACGCATTACTCAAGGAGGAGATGGCGCAGGAGGGGGGCATCCATGCGCTGCAGTTGAAGACGAGGACGCCGGAGGAGGAGGAGCGGGAGAGGCAGCGTCAGAGTGAGGGTTCTTCTTCGTAGAATTCTATTTTCTTTCTTATTCCCGAGTTTACTTGGTTATGGGTGTATATCTTGAATGTATTAAGGGGTATGGTAGGTACGACTGATACATAGGTCACTGGTCTGATTATGAGATTAAGCATATTAATAAATCTAGCGCCAAAAGGTAGAACGAAGAAACTCTAATATATACATGAGCAGCAGCGTCATGCGCATCCGAGCCCACGAGCAGCGACGCAGGTCATCAAGTCACCGGCCGATAGCCAAGATGCAAGAGCTATACAAGACCAATCGGGATCATAAATAGTTTAAAAAAAAAGAGAAGAAAATAGTAAAAGAAAAAAAAAAAAAAGAAGACAACGCATGGGGGATAACGCGGGACCAGCTTTTTCAAGACGGAGACACAGGAAAACGGCAAGCACGTGGTATAGCAACGGTAGAAGTACACAAGGAAATCAAGAGAGCGAACGGTTGGAGCGGCGTGGCCACGCGGGGGTGGGATGGGGCCACGGTCCGACCACCAAGGGGCTGGAATCGTAGACGGAATCGGGAAGTTCAACATAGAGAACGATTCCAAGCAGCAGCACAAAGACTAGAGCTTAGGCTTGTTTGGTACTCTGGTTGGCCTGCGTCACACCAACGGCCACACCGACCACGATGGCAATGATGAGAACTGCGACGTTAGCATCCCCAGCCATAAAGTCGCCCAAAAAGAAAAGGGTTTACTTACTGACGATAAGCAGCGCATACCACTTCCACTTTCGTGCCCGGCGCGCGCTGTCGATGGCGTGGGTGATCTGGTTGTTGGCATCCGCGACATTGCCGGCGACGTTCTCCGAGTCCTGGTTGATCTGCTCCACGGCCGGCTCCTGCTGGTGCACCAGCTCCGCAACTTCCTGGTACAACCGACCCAGTTCCATCATGTCCTGTTCGATCTTGCGAATGGCGGTCGATCGTTCCAAGGCGGCTTGGCGAGCATCGTGGGCTTGACCGGTGCGAGCTCCGTAGACCTACATCTGTTAGTGGGACCATCTCGTATGTAGAACGCTGTACCAAAAGGGCCACCCACCTGGAAAGTCTGCTCCTGGCCCATGAGGACGTTATCCACACCCTGGTCCAACTCCTCCGGGGTAGCCTCGGGGTTGGCGATCTCGTAACGGCGGCGGACCTGCTCCCTCAGGCGCTTCTTAAAGTCGGACTGGGATCGCTGGTAGTGCTCGATTTCGCGGCGGAGGTTGCGGCTGGTGACGTCGAGCTGGGTCTGGACGCGGGAGTCGCCGGAGCCGGGGGTCTGCTTGACCTTCTTGAGGAGGTCGCGGAGGTAGCGGAAACCGTTGTTGACCTCGTCCTCGATGAGGTCCAGGCCCTGGTGGGCGACCTGATCCTCCTTGGCGGTGTTGGCGTCGAGGAGACCATTCTGGGCGGCGGCGAGTTGACCCTCACGCTTGGCACGGAGGTCGGCAATGCCATCGTTGATCTCTCTGCACTTGTTGAGGAGGGCGGTGGGGTCGGCGGGCTGTTGTTGACCCATCTGGTTCATCTCTAATGCACGTGTTAGTGGAACGACGGGACGGGATGATCAGGGGGGGGAGGGCGCTTACCATAGCTTCCGTTTCCCTGTTCCATGGTGTTGGCCTGGCCATAGGGGTTCTGGCCATAGCCGCCCTGGTCACCGTAGGGGTTATACTGGCCGTAGCCGCCCTGGTTGGCGCCGTAGTCGTTGTACTATGGAGAGGTCAGTGGGGGACCAGCATCAATGGATACTGTCGGAGGGGTAACAGGGGGAGGGAGCCGCGGTCGGAATTGGGGAAGCGTACGCTCATGGTGAAATTGGCCTAGGATTCAATTAATTAGACGGGTGAAGAATGGATTGCGACCGTCTTGGGGTGGTCGAGTAGAGTAGTCGACTGCGATCGCAAAGTCGGCTTGGTACGGGAGGCTGCAAGGTCTAGAAGACGGGGGAGAAGAGAAATAAAGGGAGGCAGCGAGGGTGGAAGAAGGGAAAAGAAGCCGAAGAAAGAGAAAGCAAAGAAAAGGGGGAGGATAAAAGAGAGTACGAAGATGAAGGGAAAGGATGAAGAGAGAGAGGGAGAGAGAGAGGGAGTGTGTAAGAGGGAGAGAGTTGGAGGAAGAGAGAGTGTAGGAGAGAGAAAAGTGTAGGAGAGAGAGGATAGAGAGAGAGAGAGAAACCTAAGGCGGCCAAGGTGTGACGGCCAGTCTGGACCTTCACAATTCTGATTAATCTATTCCGATTTATTCATCTTCTTCTCTAGGGAGTTCTCTATTCTACCTATTCTCTATCCTACTCTCTATTCTAGCTCTATTCTACTCTCTATTCTATCTCTACTCTATTGATTGACTTGATTCAGAATTTTCCTTTCATTAGGGGTGAATATACTAGTTAGGGGTTTGATTTTTATTTCAGTTGGAAGCACAGACCGGGCGATGATCTTCGAGTCCCCTATTCTTTCATACATGATTCACTGAAACCAATGGGTTTGACTAGTTTAAATAGACCATCCTCTTCTGTCTCCCATCTCCTTATCATGGGAGTAGTTATTGAATTACTCTGTATCAGATGATGACATCCGGCCATCCGGACAGTCAAGGTCTGCACGTCATGAGCTGTGCAGTATGATCTAATTGTGCTTGATACACTCCTTTCTATATAAGGTCCAATCCAGTTGAAAAGGTCAGCAGTGAAACATCTCTCCCTAGTCCCTACAGAGTACACTAACATTGAAACTATATATCTATACTATAGACCATCCCTATCTGAAGAATCAAACAAACGTGCAACAAATCTGAAGCTCTCCCAATCTCCCCCCAGCCGCTCGCCCCACTCGGACCACTTCTACCTCGTAAAGTATCCTTTCTTCCTCCTGCTAATATCACTCTCCTCACATAGATTAATTTATCTTCATATTCATTTCATTCTGGCTGATTTCTATTTTTTTATTCTATTTTTATTTTTATTTCTATTTTCTTCATTTTCTTGACTCAATATACAGTAGTTACTAAGGTTGTGACCTTCAGGGCAACGATGATGCACAGCCCCCATCCACTCCACTTCTATCCACCTCCCTACCCACACGAGGCGACTTGCCATCAAACCCTTAAAATAATCAGCTGCAGGAAATCTACACGCCAACCATACCTAAGAACTGGTTCCGAGTGTCAGAAAGCTTGGTATAAGGTTGGTAATAGACAACATGAACTACTCATATATCCCTGAGATACTTGACAAACTCAAGAGTCAATCATACTTCTTACTACGATATGCAAATAGTAATAATCCCAGATACAAAGAAAAAATACTCGGATCAACCAAACTAGTCGATTTCCTCGGACTATCCATGTTCGCTCTGACAGGAACCCCGTTCATAGTATACATGCTCTCAAACGGCTAGAATCAATACCTCTAGTTCAAGCTCATCAAACATAGTATGTCCACTGAAAATTATAATATGTTTGCAATTGCAGTCTGTTCAATCCACAGCACTGTATCACTCTTTAATTCGCTTGATTTACCAATGGTTGGGAGTAGGGAAGTACAGTATATACACACTATAGTTATACACTATATATCCTGCTAAATACCCTCACTAGACTTGCCCATAAAGATAATATGTCACCGTTCGCTTCAATGATAGTCTTAGTAATATTCTAGAAAGTCCTTTCATACCAATTCCAATCTATCTTGAAAGAATAAATAAAATAAACCAAGACCCGAAGTGTAATGCAAATGTAAGCCCTAACCCGGTAGATAGACTTCTGCAACTCGGCGATCTCGTCGGCACAACTACCCAATAAACCCATTCAATTGGTAGAATATCTTCGACATCTACACCTAAGTGGGTGACATATCATCTTAGACAATGGAACGGACCGCCTAGGTACGACGGGAAGTATGTATGTCAGTGCGGACCTGCATATATTTGCTTACTTACGTGTCTTTCTGATGGCCATGCAGTAAGGCTGCAAGACTGAGATCTATGCTAGCATAGACCATCGCTGTACTCCCTACAGTCGGTGTCAGTGGAGGTATACATAGATAGGTGTTGATATCTATGTCTGATTCAATAGCTTTGACCTCCTAATGATATCTATCTGCATTCCTTTGCTATAACCCTGTCTTTGGATTGGGCAAGGCGCTTCCTGGATATTCCTCAGTGTTATATCTATCGACGGAGTCGACGTAGCCATCCGACCGACTCAACGGAGCTCGTTAGACCTTGAATAAAATCGTGTGCATCTTCAAGTGTGGTGGAATGTTTTAAACTAACCTATTCTGTTATGAAACGAAGCCACTATGCGTTAGGGGTCTTGGTTGATGCGATGCAAGCTGAGTATAGCCTGTCACATGGCTGATTAGTAGGTTGGCGATTGGATAGTATTCCTAGGTTAGACCTCATATTGACACTCTCTGCAACTGCATTATAGTATAATTGCATGGTTGTACCAACCCGTTATTTCCTCTATGATAAAGCTGAAGCCAACCCCAGCTTAGTGCCAGTGCCACTAGAGGCCAAGGCGAGTACGATCAAAATAGCATTACTAGGAAGAAGCTGAAGGAAATTGCTACATTATTACAATCATAGATAAGTGGTAACCACCCCACAATCAACATTAACACATACTCCGTGTTTTTATACTTCGTGGTTATATACACCGTCTCGTCATATCATCTGCTCAGCAGCGTGCCGACGCGCACCCGCGCGAACAACAGAGTATATCCTCGCGAGAATTAAGAATATTACGATACAAGTAGAAGAACAAAAAATAATAAAAAAAAAAAAAGACACAAGGGAATCAAGAGAAGAGAGGAAAGGAAAAGAGAAAAGCGAAATCCATCAGCCCGCCTACTGCTTTTGTTCATGCTCCGCCTGCACCGCCTGCACACCTTCGTTTTGCAGGTCCAGCGCGTTCATCTCATCTTCCTGCGCGTTCAGGTGGTGGTACAGGCCCCAGAAGATGAAGCCGGTGGCGAAGGACGCGCAGGCCAGACCGGTGAACATCCACATGATGGCCGGGTCGTAGGCGACCGGGGACAGCGCCATACCGATGGCGGAGCCGAAGGCGTTGGTGAGCAAGTACATGGACTGGACGAAGGACTTCATCGACAGCGGCGCCTTGGTGTAGGCGTACTCGAGACCGGACACCGAGGCGAAGATCTCGGACAGACCGATGAACACGTAGGCGGGCGTCTGGATGGCGATGTGAATGTTGTTGCCCATGTACTGGCCGTCGACCAGGGACAATTCGCAGTGCGGGCTTTCGTAGCAGGGTCCGGCTGAGTAGATGAGATGCTGCACGATGGCGGCGTACATCATCGCGAGCGAGGCCACCACGAAGCCGAGCGAGATACGGGTGATCGGGCGGAAGTTGATGCGCATCCGGCGCAGCAGCGGGTACACCCCCATCTCGAGGATCGGGATGAAGATGAGAATCGAAATGGGGTCGAAGTTCTGCATCAGATCGTTGGGGACCCCGTGGCCTTCCATCTGGCCGGCCTGGGTGACGAAGTTGCTGGAGAACTGTCCGTAGACGACCCAGTAGATCGGATAGAAGCAGAAGACACGGCAACCAACCAAAGCGCGCTTGAGCTCGTCGACGAAATGATCGTCCCAAGGCAGATTGGTCCGACGTCCGCCGTTGGCGGCCTGCCAGGTGGGCTTGGCGGCGTCCATGTTCCGGTTCACAATCATAATCCAGAGGGCCTTGAAGGCATCGGTGATGATTGATCCTTGGGGAGGACGGACAACGTAGAGTTTGCGTCCGCCGATGACGACGACGGTACCGACGAAAAACATGCACAGACAGAGCAGGAAGGCCGACCAGAATCCGACGTCGCGCTCCATGTACGGCGTGGCCAGCAAAGACAGCGATCCGATGTTGATGCAGCCGTAGAAGATCATGTAGATCCGCTGAATAGTGAGAGCCGGATCGATGACGACCCGCTCGCCTTTCTTGGTCGTCGTCACGGCCATCTTCTTCCGCTTATACTGCTCGGCGATCTAGATACGTGATCAGCACCAGGCAAAAAATATCGATAAAAGGGGCTGCTTACCAGAGGAGCAACATTACTCTTGATGCCACCGGTTCCCAGACCAATGATGAGAATAGCTACGATGAAACCGCCCAAGCCAGCGCCATTTTCCAGGGCGGTCGGGATCGAAGTGCAAACCAGGACGAGCAAGCCAACCATGTAGACAATACAGAACAAGACGATGGTCTTGTATTTGCCCAGGTACTGATCGGCAACCACGGCACCGACGATTGGAGTGACTGGTGATGACGGTCAGTCGATGTCAAATCCACGGAAGCAAAAACCTTACCATAGCACCAGAATTGGAAGAAAGTCGACAAGGCCGTAGCGCCCTGGTGACCCATACCCAAGGCACCACGTCCTTTGCTGCCGTCCAGAGGGAGATTGATGTAGTTCTGGAATAGACCAGACATGCCGTAGTAGGTGAACCGCTCGCACAACTCGACACCAGCGACCAGCCAGGCAGCAAGGGGCAGATTCTCCGCAACATGGCGAAGGGTTTTAACCTCCTCTTCTGTAGGCTCGTCACCTTCGGGCGACTCAGACAGGGCCTTTTCATTTGCCTCGGCCTCCTTCTCATTCACAGCCGGCGAGATAGCAGCATCGACCGGCCGACTAGTAAAATTAGCACGGTGTACATGTATGGCAATCACGCAAAGTGTAAAGATTCGTGAACTGAAACAGAAGACTCAAACAGGGATATAAAAAACAAACAAACAAATGAATAAATAAACATGAAAAAAAAGGAAATATTCTATACAAAAGATATACAAGAGGGAAAGAAAAAAAAAGAGGGGAAAAAAGAACGAAAGAAAAGCCCAAAAAGGCAAAAGAATGTACAGTATAGAGTACTTACAGAGAATCATCGGCCGTGACCTCGTGTTTTTCAGACATCTTGCAGGAGCAAGGGAATCAACCCAGATAGGCAAGGAGAAGGGAAGCGAGGGCTGAAGGAGTCCTTGAAAGAGAAGCGCGACAGCAGGTCGACGGGGACCACCGTCACCTTATATTCATAGTGACATAGCAGTGGTCAGTCGGTGGGGGGTACAGTCTTATCGCTGAAACCGGCGCACGCGATCGGTTGGACTCGAAAGGGGAAAACTCAGTTCCCAAAAAATAATAATCAAAAAAATATAAGACAGGGAAGAAGAAAATGGACTAGAGTCCCCATCGCCGCCCAAAGAAATAAAATAAAAAGGCAAGGGCGAGGGTTAGTGGCGTGGTTTAGACGCGAGAACTAGTAACATCCACGGATGTAACCCCCAGGATGGAGGTACGATATGACAAGGAAAAGTCAAGCCAGGATTAAGCATCAGCCGAGGAACGAGCGATAACGACGGTGATTGGGTGGGGGGCGCCTTTCTGGAAGGCCGAGACATGGAATTAGATTATGCTGCATGAGGGAAAAGTGCAGTCCGTCGGTGTTTACCGGTGGAGCGACTGAAATCTTCCTTCCCTCGTGGTCTGCTTCGCACTAAAAATCAACAGACAGGCCACTAACAGCGAAGGGATCCATTCCGCTACCAATGTTTTTGGCGATGTGCTTCACCGGCCAACAGATTGTGGCTTCTGGGCCCCTTAGATCGCAATGGTGAACCACAGTAGCTTCCCTCGGCTGGGGCCGTGGAAGATGACCGTCCCAAGCACACACCATGACAACCTATCCAGGATTCTGGTCGCCACCGGAGGGCCAACCATATGCAGGTTTCTTTTAGGTAACATCAACACTTTAGTAGCTGCAACGGCGCACGGTTTTCGACCCTGGACTGGCCAAGGTTGATAAGCACGGCCGCTCTCATTTGCGGTCCGCCGAGGACCCAATTTTGAATTCGCTCGGGTTAGGTTGTGGCTAGGGTCGGCTTATCGACAAACAAGCCAGAAGTAGCGTATGTCGTTTGTCCCCGCTCGCAGGATCAACCGTCCATCAGGAAATCTTCTTTTCTTTCATGTCGGCCCCCCCCCGCGTGATAGTCCAACCAGGGGGGGGTTGTCAGTCGGCGACCCATCCAACGCCGTCGATTTCCGACCAACCGAATTTCCTGGCGACGGATTCCGCCCGCTTCGCGCAATCCGAGAGGTTGAGCTCAGAACCACACTTGAGTCTCCTCACCCCTGTTCTTTGGCCCAGTCAGGAAGGCGTTTGATGCTGCGGTTTCACCAAAATTTTGGCGAGGTTACCCCGGTATGCGGGGAGAGTTGTCATTGACCCATCCTGTATGCTAACCTTAGCCAATTGCGAGCCCAGCCGTCTTGTATCTTATTGTGGCCAACTTTATCGACTCGTCTGATCCAGACGACTTAATCTGCGGCGTTGGGGGCCTGAATCTTAAAGGTGTGGGGCGGCGGACGAGCTGCCGGTTCCAGCCGCCAGCGTGGACAGCATGTGTTTGTGTGTGTAGTCGAACATGGTGTGTCTGTGCAGTGGTTGAAAAACTCCTTGCATTGGATTTGATACGTGGGTCAATTAACTGTAAGTTGTTAGAAAGAGATGCGGAGAGAAAAGAACGGTGAGAAGAGACGCAGAGAAGAGACACAGAGAGAAGATACAGGAGCTCAGCAGGTCACTGGACGGAGGTCAACCCAGCTTGATAATAGCACATTGAGGCCTTATCAGCCAGGCTGCTTTCCACAACGTCCCATCTCACTCTGGATTTTTTATGTCCCCATATAGTGGTTATCGGGACTGTTTTCACTATCTTCAGAGCTGTCTGGTACCTAACTAGTTGCGATACATGCGCGCACCCCGGTCCAGCAACGGTGGGGCTCCAGTGTTTAGGAGTTTTGAAGCCGATGTACGATTATCATGTCAATCACGATCATCCTCTCAATCCTGGTAAACCATGTGCCATTGTATTCTGAACTCGAAGCGCCAAGCTACCAACGGCCATTCAGAGAGTGAGCAAATCGCGTGTTAACCTCACAGAGTAATGGACTCCTTCTAGCTCCAGGCGAACAGTCCTGGCACTGGCACCATGAGCTCAGAACTAGGAGATCCTCGTGGCTACATTGCACTCTTTCCAGCCTATAGGTTTACTAGATCTGCAAATGAGCTTGGATTTTGTAGATCGATGGGTGATACTAATATGGTTGTAACACTAGACTAAGTGAAAGAGATCTTAATCCTACTACCAGTCGTCTACGATGTATTCCAAAGTCATGAGAATCAAGGTGTATTCCAAGGCCGTGAGAATCACGAAATTACCGTCAGATACTATACATATGCTTTGACCCGTGGACAGAATCAATCGAGGGATTCTGACCCATGGAGCTCATTTCCTCAATATGGTAAAAAGTAAGCAGTGACTCACATGATGTTATCAAATTTCTGGAAATGAGTGATAGAAGAGAAGAATACGTCTCTCTACACGGCAATACCTCCTATCTCCTATTCAGCACTTCATATTGACTTGAGGAATCATCCAAATCACTGATGTGGACACAAAGAGAGTACCGACTCCAGGACGCCATTTCACGGTACTTCCCACAGTCTCTATCAATAAACCTATAAAAAAAAATAAGATGCCAAGAAACACAGTGACACAGCAGCCGGGACCATCCCTCGAAGGAACCAGTGAATTATTCCTTTTCTAGAGTAGGCAATTATCTGACCCGCCCAGCTTCCTCTCACTGCGCCACCAAGCGCCAGGGGTGACATCGTGGCGATTAATCTCGTATGGAGATTAAATGCCTGCTTATGCGGCGTTTTTGGTGTAAGATGTGGAAAGGCTTGCGAATGCGGCTTACATTCGTTGGTATTGGCTTACATTCGTTGATATTGGGCGATGATGTTACTAGTAACCAGTATTGCCTGCCGAGGATGCACTTGATATAGCTACTATCTAACTGATCTGCTGATTGGGGATATATCACGCCAGTCAATCCGACAGCGCAATATAATACATGTTAGCTTTGAAATACTGAGAGGAGTTTGTGTCAGGTGCTACGTCAGACAACACTGTGCATTCAATTATTTTCTACTACAGCTTATCAATCATCCCGTGTCTGTATGGGTCAATCGATAGTAAGGATGGCACCCAAGAATGAGCTCCTTTACTTTCATGGCACGGGGGGCCAAGATAAGGAACCCTGTCTTCTCACCTATACCTGTTCTATAACTGTCATCCTGTAGCTGTCGCGGGTTACGCGAGTGATAGGACCTGAACTGAAAATGTCTTTCTCCTCGCTCATACACAGGTGCGTACTACAGTCATGACTTGCAACCCTGTCGAGCACCTCTCGGGCTCAAATATACAGCAAGAAAAGCTAGACATCTATTCGCGGGAAAAGGGAATCAAAAAGTGCGAAGCTCGTCTTCTCTACCAGATACTGCCGGCTAGCCACATATACACTGTGTTCGCAGGAGGCAAGGTCAAAGTAGGCCATGTAACAAAGGCTTGGAAGATAAATTTATAAGACCGCTACGCCAAAACGTTGAACAACGCTTGGTATAGGTCTTAACCTGACTGATATACCCAATATAAATTAAATACATCGACTTTAGTAGACTCATTTCATGGAACTATCTGGGTCAAATGAATGTAATATGTAGTTTTTTATTGGTGATTGCGCAATAAATACTCCTCCTTGCATAACATTTCAATATATATACCTCTTCTACATTTCTCCGTTCCACGTACAAAACCACAATGTCCAAACACACACGTACCAAATAAATACCGAATAATATCAATACTATATAAATACTACTAATAGGAGTACAAGGTATCACAAACAAAAGACATTCATATCACGCCAACCCAATAAGCAGTCCATATATGCAATATTCGCCACATGAACCGGCAACTAAGCACCAGGCAACCAACTGACTGTTTTGTCGACAATCATACAAGATTACTGCAGCGACTGATCAATTGAAGAGATAACGATAGAGGAGTTATTTCGTTGCCAGCCTCAACCTTACTCAATGCCCAGATAACTACCTAGATATAAAGGCGAATGTTCAAGGCGAAGGGTACTATGATGTAGTGCGTTGGATAGCAATAGACTGCCAGTCTTCGGTGAAATTTGCTTTTAGAACATACACCGTTTACAATAGAACCATTTGAACTGGCATCCCAGTCGATGAATGTGTTCAAAGCAGCCGTCACAACTGAATGATCAATTTGATAGAGCATACCTCATCAAAATCAAACGCAATATCAATTCAGGCAAGTAGAAATCAATCAATCAAAATCCCAATGTTAATATTCGGTATCTATGAGCATCGCGAAATAAGAACGCCCATGAAACACACACCTCATGCAGGAATACAGGAATTTTAGAACTTTTTTTTTTGTGTTGCTTGGTGGAAGACTGAAAGAAAATTGGTATAAACCTCATCAGGAATACGTGTCAAGGAAAGATACATGCCGTTGGTGCCGACGACTTGATATAATACCATCGTGGCAGAATGCCCACAGGCCGTGTCCAACCCAGTTCGGTGCCCCGTTAAATTTAAGAGCAGTCTCGTTCCATCATCATCATCCTATGGCCACACCCCATCTCCCATGACCGGACCGGAAAACAGGCGGAGTCCAGCCTCAATCACGGTTGAGAAAGTGTCCCATTGTTCACTGCCTTAGACAGAGTACTTGGCCTTTGCCCGCGTGCTGCCGCTGTGCGCGCTGTCCGTGTGACCCGAGAACTCCACAACATCCGCCTCCTTCAGGCGCAGGACCTCCTTGAACCGCCGGCCGATGTTCTCGAGAATGTCCTTGCCCTGGGCGGGGGTGCGGGAGTTCTTGTCGCCGGGGATGCTCTTGCCGACCGTCCGGGTCCAGAGACCGACACGGTAGAAGCCCTTGCGCACGTTCACAACAACACCCATCACTTCGTTATCCTCATCACCCTCGAGGGTCTCGCCAATGGCGGCCAGCTGGGCGTGCAGCCACAGCTCATCGATCGGTACCGAGCGCTTCTCCTTGAAGGAATATGACCACTTGCCGCCGTGCTTGTTCTGGGGGTCTTCCCACTCCGGTCGGATACCCTTCTTGAACAGGTGGTAGTCGGCTTTGAGGCCGAGCTCGGAGGTGGGCGTGATGTTGTTCTGACACGTGAACCGTCAGTAAATGGATTGAAAGTCAAAAGCAGAGACAAGAAAGGAAGATGCCAAGCATACATAGATTCCCCAGAATTCCTCCACCGAGTTGAACGTGACAACTTCCTTTAACAGATCGTTCCAGTTATCGCCCTATATCATTTCGTAAGTCAGTCGCCATCGTCAGATTGCGAGTTATCCGTCTCCATACCTTGCCACTGGGAGGCTTGGTGAACCACAGCGTCCACTCGTGCATGAGCGGATGCTTCACGTTGAAGTTTTCGGGGTCATGGAAGACGGTGACGGTGTCGCCATTTGCCTTCTCATTCTGCTCGGTGGCGGGAGCAGTGTTCTCGTTGGTCACCGGGGCAGGGGGGTTCTCGACAGCGGCCATGATGGATGGTGGATATAAAGCGTTCGACGGAAGTGAAGCGTAGAGGGAAATTATCCAAGGTGAGGGTGAAGGCGGTGTCAGGCGGGATCGTTGTTGGTGACGAAAAAGTCTCGGTGGGCAAAATTTGAATCGAGATTGGAGGCGGTCGCCGGAGGAAAGAGCCACCCGTGGAGATACTCAAGATAGACGATAGACTGCGCCGTTGGATCCACGCAAGTCAAATAGTCTGCTCCAGGCAGAATCACAAGGAGGAGTGGGTTAGGGGTCGTGGGGGAGGGTCGAGCGATCCTGGATAATGGCAATATGAAGTTTTGAAGTTGGAGATGCGCAGTTGGCGGCGGGACACGAACTTTGCCTGTTTGGGTCGCCCTCGTTTTTTACGGGCATCTTATAGGCTGGGGACGACTGGCCCGAACTCCAGCCCTAATTATAGGTGACCATGGGTCACTCCACCATCTTTTCTTTGTTACTGGTTGTATATCAAATTGAATATGAGCTACTGATGGTGATACTTGTATGTACGAATGAAATATCATACAGGTCCTGAACCCCATGATCATGGCTCCCGAACCACTGCAGGAACAACTATACCTGAATGCGCCCGAAAGAATAAAGCCAAGAATACCTCTATATCCCTCAGGATCCAATGAGATGGCGACATGTATAAACTGGAAAGCAAGGGGTATCTCTAAAGTCGTCTTTCAAAGTAACGTGACAATCATTGGTCACCGCTGTTGATCACACTCAAAAGGCAGTTCCAGCCTATCCACCGTTAGCATGTATGATTCGAAAGGAATGATTCAACAAGAGCATACCCAAGGCAACCACGTTCACAACCAGCACTCGAAACTCCAGCGGGACAAAGGTAAAGTTCACTCCCTGCACGAACGGCCAGATGGCGAGATTGGCCTTGTAACTGGGAAGAAAGTTGTTGCGCCACTTTTCCACGGGGTCGCTGCCTTCCATGATAGCCATGGACGACAGGAAGCAAGTGAGATGGGTAGGAGTGAAGAGACACTGGTCTGCAGTCACACGGGCCACAAGGGTGGCCGTCTTGCTCTTCAGCACGACATGGCGCTGCAGAAAGCTGAACCACGTCGTCGCGGCAGGACCGAAGATCGCTGTTGGGTCGCATCAGCTAGACCATTCAATCGAGAATAATCAGATCGGATCAAAAGGTACCTCCTCCGTAGAGGGCCATGCGACCGGTTCTGGCCATATCGTGCTTTTCCCATCCTTTGCGGTCGACGGCCTGTTGCGCGAGTACATCACCGCTGCCGAAAAGAACCTGCAATTGTGAGTATAAAACAGACCATTCAAATACTAGACAGAGAGACGTACAGCACTGCTGACACTGGCCGTGAGGATGGGCGACTTGGCCAGTGTTGCCTGCCACCTGGAACGGACGAATGAGTATGAGCATCAGGAACAAGGTTCAGGAACATACCACCGCAGCATGTTTATCTCTACAGAGGAAGATTCCACAAAAGTAATGTATATACAAGGGAATGAAGGAAATACAGTCGATCGGAGACACCTCAGTATGGAGTGATATACGGAGTCCAGAGTAGTATGGAGTAACTACGGAGTATGTCAAAGTTATCCACGATAAGAAGATCAAACAACAAAGCAAGACGATTGGCCCGGACATCCCAAACGGGCAATCCGGTGGAGCCCTACCACGTGACTTGTAATTACCCCATTCGGCCCACCGCCTAGGGTATAGGGTTCCAGCTCGCTTAACCCACCCGCCCCAGCGAAATTTCCCGTGGGTTCACCCTAAACAAGTCGTGGATAGTGAAGTGCGACCCCCGAAAAAAAGTCAACCTCGACGTCGACAACCCCTCCCACGACAAGTCCGATACCACCCCCTTCGGATTCTTTAATACATCCAAGATGGCTGACGCTGCCCCCCGTGGACGTGGAGGATTTGGCTCGCGCGGTGGTGACCGTGGCCGTGGCCGTGGTCGCCGTGGACGTCGTGGTGGCCCCAAGGAGGAGAAGGAGTGGCAGCCTGTGACCAAGCTGGGCCGTCTCGTCAAGGCCGGCAAGATCACCAGCATGGAGCAGATCTACCTGCACTCTCTGCCCGTGAAGGAGTACCAGATTGTGGACTTCTTCCTGCCCAAGCTGAAGGATGAGGTCATGAAGGTACGGACGATCACCTTTTTCTTGAGGATACGATATGGTCAATCGCGGTGGATATATCAATTGGAAAATGCGACAGATGGAAGCGCTGGAAGAGCGCATCGAAAGAGGAGGGAGATATATGAAATCGCGATTTGGCATGGAATTGGATCGATGGGACAAGACTAACGCATTTTTCTTCCTCCCCTACAGATCAAGCCCGTCCAGAAGCAGACCCGTGCCGGTCAGCGTACCCGTTTCAAGGCCGTCGTTGTCATCGGTGACTCCGAGGGTCACATCGGTCTCGGTATCAAGACCTCCAAGGAAGTCGCGACCGCCATCCGTGCCGCCATCACCATCGCCAAGCTCGCCGTCCTGCCCGTCCGCCGAGGCTACTGGGGCTCCAACCTGGGTGAGCCTCACTCTCTGCCCGTCAAGCAGAGCGCCAAGTGTGGTTCCGTCACCGTCCGTGTACGTTTTGCGACTCCCCGAATTTGTCCCCCATGGCTTTGAAGGCCCGTGCGCGAATAGCTAACTGACATGATTTTGGAACAGCTGATCCCCGCCCCCCGTGGTACTGGCCTCGTTGCCTCCCCCGCCGTCAAGCGTCTGCTTCAGCTCGCCGGTGTCCAGGACGCCTACACCCAGTCGTCTGGTTCCACCAAGACCCTCGAGAACACCCTCAAGGCCACCTTCGTCGCCGTCATCAACTCCTACGGCTTCCTCACCCCCAACCTGTGGCAGGAGACCAAGCTCATCCGGAGCCCCCTGGAGGAGTTCGGTGACGTCCTGCGTCAGGGCAAGAAGTACTAGGGTAGTGCAGCGCAGTGCAGTTACGGGAATAAATTTTCATGATTGTTTTTGACCTACTGGTTTCTTTCCTATCCGATGGAATCACCTTGATCATGGCAAGAGAACCGAACGGGCTCGGGAGGAGTTGGCTCGAATCACGCTCGACTACGCGACTTTACGGTGTCTACGGATGTAATTACGGGTAGGGGAACAAAAAAAAAGCAAAATTAGCGTGAAGACAATAAGCAGCTCCTTCGCCATTCAGATCTTGGATCGGATTAGATTTTTGATTGGATGTTGTAGGGCCCAGAGCTATGCGGACGGTGATATGGCATCGCATTTCGCTCTATACGGCCGTAATGACGCCAAGTCTGATATCAACAAGGTCCCGATGCGAACGGCCAGTCGCAAGGCTACATCCAACATGTAGATCCCCATCGCTTGCAATAACCCTGCAAGGGTGGTAGTCCGGCGCTTCATTCCGCCCAGAAACGCGGAGTAGCGAATTCCATTCCCCTCCCACATGGACGAAGCAAGCCCATGTCAAACTCTCCAGCCTTGCTCGACTGGAAAAAAACACCCCTATACATACCACCGTCACCATGATCTGGACCACCGCAATCTTATGCCTTCTAGTCTGGTCCACCCTCAGCTTCATCCAAAAGCTGCACCGAAACGTGCGCATCGCCCAGCGCATAGGTCTCCCCTACGTAGTCTTCCCCCTCAAAGGCACCGGCACCATCGTACCAATTCTCGTTACCACGAAATGGGCCCGCTATATCGTGGATCAGTGTCTTCCTGGCTGGCTGGCCGACGCATTCAACGACAACACGTTCGATAAGCGATGGACGGTCAAGAATCGCCAGTTCAAGCGCCGCGGTTCGGTGCATCTTGTTGTTAACCCCGATGGGGTTATGTGTCACGTTGGCGATGCCGAGGTCGCTGCTGATGTGTTTAATGCGCGACAGGACTTTCCGAAGCCGACTTGGATGTATGGTGAGTAGCTGGGTGGTTGTTTTGCGGTGGTTTGCTGGAGACGCTGATGCTGATGCTGGTAGATGTTCTTGGTTTATATGGGCCGAACCTCGTTACGGTATGCTCCTATCTCTTATATGCCCCCTTCGATGTATAACTATATCTATATGTATGTATATCTGACAGTGTATAGTGCAAGGACACCGAATGGGCGCGCCATCGCCGCCACACAGCCACAGCATTCAACGAGAAGAACAACGCGCTCGTCTGGACTCAATCAATCCGGCAGACAACCGAGATGATCGAGCATTGGCGCGAATGCACGTCTGCCGTCGACGAATCCAATGACACAATGATGGTGCGCACCAGCAGAGAGGACATTCTCAAGTTCACGCTGAACATCTTCTCCAGCGCTGGGTTCGGCGTGCATATGCCCTTTAAGCCTGTTCCGCAAAAGACGGCCACCGCGCCGGACGATATCTTTAAAGATACTGTGCCGCCGGCGCCGGGGTTTAGTTTGACGTTTAGGGGAGTCGTCGCGTACATGAATACGCACTTGAAGGCTATTTTGGCGGCTCATATGATCTTGCCTGCTTGGATGCCTAGGGCGCTGGTGCCGTTTTTCAAGCAAGAGTTCGCGGCGCATCGGGATTTGGGGGCTTATTTGCACAAGTTGGTTGATAGGGGCGAGGCTGCGAGAGTTGTGGGCGATAGGGAGAGTAAGTCGGACTTGTTGCAGGGGATGCTCGCTGCTAGGGACCATGCGAGGAATGCTGGTCCCGCGGAGACGGGGTCTAAAGATGTTGGTTTTTCTGATAGCGAGGTTGTTGGTAATGCGTTTATTTTCACTCTCGCGGGACATGAGACCGTCGCGACGACGCTGAGATACACCTTGGTGTTGTTGGCTTTGAACCAGGATGCCCAGGAGTGGCTCTACAAGGGTATTGTCGAGGCCACGCAGGGTGCTTCGTCTGACCCAGCCAGCTGGGATTACGCCGACATGTTCCCCAAACTGGTCGCCCCGCTCTGCATCATGGTATGTCTATCGATCTGGCTCAAGAGAGAGAGAGCTCCATCTAATAGCCCACAGCTGGAAACCATGCGCCTCTACCCACCCGTAACAAGCATCCCCAAATGGACAGGCGCCACCCCAAGCCGCCTCGTCCACGGTGACAAATCCTACGTGCTCCCCCCTAAAGTGAGCGTCACACTGGACGCCAACGCCCTACACTACTCCGAAGAGTACTGGGGCAACGACGTTCGCGAATTCCATCCTCAACGATGGGACGCGCGAAACAAGGACAGCTTCCTAGCCCAGAACGCGGACCTGCCTGGCCTTTCTGTCCCCGGGCTCGAATTTCGCAGTGTCCATAAGCCGGTGCGCGGCGCGTATATCCCCTTCAGTGATGGGTTCCGTGCTTGTTTGGGGAAGAAATTCGCGCAGGTGGAGTACGTGGTTGCTGTGGCTGTGCTTTTTGGAAGGTATCGTGTGGAGCTGGAGGATAATACGGCGAAGGGGCGTATGGATGCTGAGAGGGTGCTGGGGGAAAGCTTGACTGTGCTGACGCTGGCTATGCAGGAGACTGTGCCGTTGAGGTTTGTGAGGCGATAGTTATTCTTTCATGGTATTCAATGTGTTTGTATTAAGTTGTTTCAAATTGATCTACTTGGGCATTTCTGGAATAAGGAGCATAACTGTAGGAGGATAGAGTGACTGTTCAGTTCTACAACAGGCAACAAAGAGTGGTTCATCCACTGCTATCACTGTATACACCTGTGATAGTAAGTGAATGTCCCTCAGTCTGGAGAGATTGTTTCCTCCTCCCATATTCCGCTGTCTTCCACTCCTCTCACTCACTCACACTCATCGCCGTGGCGATCTCACCATATCTCTCAAAATGGAGGACGAAACGATCAGGATCGAAGATCACCCTCTTCACTGGAGAGCCACTCTGCTGGGAGAAGATTTCTGGAAAGACGCAGAGGAGTACCAGAGAACCAGCAATGATATTGACGGTGAATTCCATCCTATTTCCTCCTATCCGCCACTCACTAAGATCCATAGACCACGACCAAATAATCCACACCAGATTCCCCTTCAAGATCGGCTCAGACCAGAACCTGCGCTCTCAGGCCGCGAGCACCAACTCCAGCGTCGTCGAGTCCGTCCCTGACAACGAACACGCGAACATTCAAAAAACACACCGACGGCGTTTCTCCATGAGCGACGCCCTAGGACTACCCTTCACCAGAACCAGCCGTCCCATCTTCGGCCGTCCTACCTTTTCCATCACCTTGGCCTCCGACGACGAAGAGGAACAGGAAGAACACGCCATCAGCGAACCCAGACGCGCCCGGTCCCAGTCTCGCGCCATCTTCCCCAAGAAAGACGTCGAAAGACGGCGCTCGAACTCCCTCCTGCGCAGATCCCTCCACAGAATGAGCTTCCTGAGGAGAGAAAAGTCCTCGGAGAGGATCACTCGTCCGCCTTCCCCTGTGCTGATCCCAGCTGATCAAGCCACCCCGGCTAAGCCGCTCATGAGTTTCCGCGGTGGAGACCAGTGGGATACTATTCCGAAGGATAGAAGAGTTTTAGGGCTGGACGTGTTCTGGCCTATTGACCTCACCCAGGAGTCAGATGACGACGACGATGGTGATAATGACGACGACTCAAAACAGAGAGCGCCAACCAAACTGCCCGTCGAGGAAATGGCCTCTCTGTGTGTCTTTCGCAACCTTCGCGTGCTGAAACTCACAGGCATGTTGCACTCCTACCAGCAGTATATCTGGCAGGCGGCATGGTTGAACACGAACCTCGAGGAGCTGGAGCTGGACATGGCCCTGCCGCCGAGGTATAGTCGTACTGCCGTTTACAAGTGGCCTTTTATGAAAGGTGGATGGCAGATGAGCAAGGCGCACTATGGTGAGCCGGTCTACTAGTATGTCCCCTTACCCATCCGCCAATCCCCATGACCCCCCTAGACTACTGATAACTGTATAGCGGCCAAAACGGCACCGGCACCCTCGACCCCAACATCGGCTGGGGCGAATACCTCGACAAACTCGCCATTGAAAAAGCCAAAGTCCGCGCCATGGCGACTGGACGCACGCTCAACCGTCTGTCTATCAAGACGCTCGTTCTGACCGGCTTTGTCGTCGACGCGGACCCCTTCCTGCACTGGTTTGATCCGCAGAGGCTCCAGTGTGTGAATTTCAAGGATGACTGCGTTGACGCGGGTTTCTATCTCTGTCGCGCGATGAAGAAGGTTATTGTACGTTTTCCGCGTCGAGTGGAGGGGAAAATGGTTTTTGGGAGGTGGGTGGATCTGAAGATGGAGCTTAGAGTTGTTGAGATTGGGAAGGGTGGTAGTAAGGATAGGGGAAGAAGATTGGATTGTGGTAAGGAGGGTGATAAGAAGGGACGTGGAGAAGAGAGGAACAGACGGGGAGGGCATGATCACAAGATGGGACATATCGTCAACAAGAAGATCTAGGTGTGAAGAGTATTGGAGACAGATGGTGTATCTGTGATGGAATTTCACCGATATGGATCAGATTTTGATATCTTGAGGCACTGCGGGACATGTCTAGCTCAACTAGATTACCACATATCCAAAGCACAACTGATTTCTAAATACTAGTGCTCTCTCTTTTTCCTACCAGAGAAACAGACTCCATACCTGACTCAATCTTTACCAAAGTAACCATCAATGACTGCCTCTTAACAGTAATTGGGCCCACCCAGCCCTAACACCCGATCAGATAACCTCATCTATAGATAAGAGCCCACTTCAGTTGCAGATCATCATACTATGTAAGTCGACCTGAATCTGCAAAATATGTCAAAATCTACTTTGCAAAGGCCTATGGAGACGCACAGGGACGCATTCCTGTTTGATTTCCGTCATCGCTTAGTACTAGACATAGGGACTACGGTGTGCATGTATAAGTCTGACTGATGTGGAGTCTGAGTACAGTGTAGTGCAAGTTCTACTGACTTAGTAGGCATATACTACTTTGTAGACACGGTGTAAATTGGGGATTTTATATCTGACTCAGCTTTGTAAAGATTTGCTGTTTCAATCAATTAACGTACGATACTCAGCCTCATCATCCAGGAAGAGAATGTAGCAATGCGAAAGACAAGATAGCATATCAGTTACTTAATTACACAAATAGATTATGCCATTACATACTGTCCTAATCAAATGTACTACCTATCTTCCAGTTGTCTTACTGTCCTCGTCGACAACATTCCTCGAATTATCCATCGAAACACTTTTCGAACTTGATGCTACCACTTTTCCTTTGTACTCTCTTCGTTATCCATCCTCAGTGTACTGTAGGTAACAACACCACACTGATCATCTCCATCCTGTTCCACAGCCACGCTGTCGAACTTAAGCTCCATCTTCCTCGGTAATCCGGATTGCACCCTCGTTGCCGACCCCGTTGGACCAGAAGCCGTCGATGTACATGGCACTTCATCTAGTTAGCACATGATAATCAAATAGTAGAATGAAAAAGGAAGGATAGAGCGTACATCTCAGGAGTGCTGTCATGAGACAGCAACAGCCAGTATCCGACAATACCCTGGTTGAAAATATCAAGGATAGCAAAGAGCACACTCTCCGTATCGACGCCGATCTTCAGCGCCAGAGCGCCGCCGGCGATAGCACTAACAAAATTAGCATGCCTCATTCAAATCAAGAAAAACTGGAAATAACTCGGAAACACGGGAAAGAAGAGGACATACATAGGATACAACGCCCTAACCAACAACGTCGCCCCAGCCATGGACCCAAAGAAGCGCTTCGTCTGCGCATCCTTGCGACTCGCCGCACGCGATCCATTCACCCCAATCTGATAAACCGTAACCAGGTACCCGATCGCACTGATAGTGAACCACACCCAGCGGCGCGCGGTGTGGCCTGCGAATGTGCCCAGCAGACCCGACGCCAGCATGACGTAGTCGCTTGCTACGGCCGTGAGCAGGTGCGCGCCTGGGAGGCCGGAGACCAGAGACAGGTTGAAGAGCAGGAGCGGCTCGGTCAGGAACCAGTTGATGTAGCGGAGGTAGAAGACTTGGCGGAAGATGTCGTCGTGGGTGTCGGGGACGTGCTTGTTGGCGTGCCGCAGGATGTCATGCTTGTAGGTTGTGCCTTCGCCGGTGGCCATTGCTAGGTAGATGATGAAGGAGATGGTGGTTATGATTGAGGTGATGGTGTGGAAGACTCGTCTGGGCTGTGGGTTGTTAAGAGGTATATTGTATTGGGGGAGGGGGTCAACGTACCAGCGGTACACGCGCAGCGAGAACGTAGAAGACGACAGAGGAGATGGCCATGAGGACGGTTACCACCCTGTTCATGATGGTTAGCTACAGCCCTATCGTTAGACTGAACCTTCGTGTACATACCACAATGTGCGATGCCCCGTCGAATGGAGCTCCTGGAAGAACGGCGTGCCCGGGATCACGGTGGGAATGGGCGCCACCGAGGTTGGAGCCGTCGTGGGCGGCAGAGGATGGGTTTTGGTCTTCATAGCTGTGTCGATGGCTTCAATCATGGTGAGTGTACTGTTGTGGATGGAGTATACTAAGTTAGTATTGACGGAATAAGTTGCAAATTACAGACAGCCAGAACAGTCCAGACAATGTATGCACAGTCCTTCTTCAGTTGAATAGTCAAGAATGAAGAAACGAGAGAAATGAAGGATTTAAGGAAAGCAGATGGAGACGTTACACTCCGCGTCATGCTGACCTCGACGCTGTCGTCATCGACATCCGATGCTCCTCCCGCGCCGGCCAATCTCGTTTCTCCCCACGTCTGCGGACCCCGTGGAAATGCGCTCCTGCGACTGCAATGACTGGGATGTTTGCAACCTGGCTGGTTATGTTTTTTGCCACGCTGATATTATTATACAGATAGCTGTGATTCGTGGTTGGGTCGTATATTGTTGGAGATGTGATGGTGGTGGTGGTTGTTAATCAGGTAACTTAATTACAGATCAGGTTATTTTTTGTCTATTACGCTATAATACATGAGTGAGATGTTCATAATTTGGATTGATTGGAGATTGAGTGGCTCATGCGTCTCCCTTGCTCGCTGCCGATGCGTCCAGCTCGCGAACCACCTCTTCACACCGTTCGCACACCGTCTCTTCGACGGGCTCGGGTTCCTCCAGTACGTATCTCCAGCAACGGGGACACTTAGACGACTGCGGGGCAGACACATAGACGACGCCATTTCCGCCGCTAGGAAGCTCGTACGTCTCGTGGTACTGCCACTCGGCGTCGGTGGTCGCGCTGGGGATAGCCTCGCCGTGCGACCCGAGGGTGACGGAAGATACAACGAACAGATCAGGCAGCTCGGCCAGATTGTGCTGGAGCGCGGACCCCGCGCCGTCGCCTTCTGGAAGGACGATATGGACGCAAGATTGCAGAGACGAGCCCATTTGTTTCTGCCCCCGCGCCTGCTCTTGCATGCCCTTGATCACCGACCCGACTGCCATGATATCGTAGTAGTGCGTTCCAAGCGAGGGGTCTTGCCACTCCGTCGGCGGGGACAAGGCAATGCGTTGCAGTGGGTGTTCGCATTGCGATTTGATGGCCTCGGGCGTGTGCTCCCACGTCTCCTCCACCAGCATCGGAGTGATAGGCGCCAGGATTTCCTGCAGATGCTGGTAGATGTGGAACAGCGTCGTCTGCGCGGCGCGTCGGCTGGCGCTGTCCGCTCCGTAGGTGTAGAGCCGGTCCTTAATCGCTTCCATGTAGAAGGCGGAGAACTCCATGTTCGCCCAGCGGTTGATGGCGTTCACGGCACGGTAGAATTCAAAGCCCTCGCAGGCCTTTTGCGACGCCAGCACCATCTCGGATAGGTGCATGAGCGCAATCCGGTCCGTTTGCTGCAGCTGGTCGTACGGGAGGAGATTCTGCGGGTTGAAATCCGAGATGGCGCCTAGCAGCAGCTTGAATGTCACGCGGTACTTGTGCAAGCTGGTGTTGACGGTTTGGAGAACCTGCTTCCCAATCACGACGTCGCGCGTGTAGTCGCTGCTGGCTACCCACATGCGCAGGGCGTCAGGCCCCAGCGCATCGTAGACGGGGCCTTGGTTTGCGGGCTGTTTCTTGCCCTTGCCTTTCCGGGGCTTGAGCGGGGGCAGAAGAGTCCCGTCCATGATGGCTTGGGGATCGATCACGTTGCCGATGGATTTGCTCATCTTGCGGCCCTCCTCGTCCAGGGTGAATCCGTGGGTGATCAGGTTCTTGAACGGAGCACGTGTTTCGTCCCTGTGGCCTGCAGCGATCTGATGCGCCGTGAAGGTGAGAAGCCCGGATTGGAACCATCCGCGGTGTTGGTCCGACCCTTCCAGGTACACATCAGCGGGGTATCCATTGCTGTAAGGCGTGTCGATCTCCGTCCAGCTGGTGCCGCTGTCGAACCAGACGTCCATCGTGTCGGTTCCGCGACGATATCCCGCCTCGGATGCGTCCCGCAGCGAGGCTGGAATCCAAGCCGTGTCGTTCGCATCATCCGTCCACCATGCGTCGATCCCTCGCTCGTCGATCACAGACATGATGTGAGAAACGCTATCTTTAGTGAGGACAGCGTCTCCCGTGCTCCGATCGTACAGCGCGGGGATGGGAACACCCCACGCGCGTTGGCGCGAGATACACCACTCGCTCCGGTTCTTGACAAAGTTCTCCAAGCGCACTCTTCCGGAACTCGGGACAAAGTTGACATCCTCCAGTGCCTTGACCGCGTCGCCGCGGATGTCGGCCACGTCGGCAAACCATTGCTCAGTCGCCCGGATGATGATGGGGCGCTTGGACCGCCAGTCGTAGGGATACTTGTGCTCGTACTGATTTTTCGAAATCAGGTAGCCTTCCGCTTCAATATATTCCAGGACCGCTGCGTTTCCATCCGTCAAGACCTCCTTACCGCTGAGCCGTTGTGGGTCCTCCGGCATCGCAAGGCTGGTGAATTTACCGTGGTCGTCGACGGGAGCGAAAGCAGGAATACCGCGAGAAACACACGCCTCGTAGTCGTCCATACCATGGCCGGGGGCACAGTGGACCAAGCCCGACCCGGAGTCAGCAGAGACGAAGTCCGCAGTGATAATCGGCTGGGCCTCCGCGTCTGCTCCTTTAAACAATGAGCGATACGTAGTCCGGTCCGCTAATTCCGATCCAAGAACCGAGGGTACGATCACGCCCAGGTCCTCGTTCAAAACGCTTTGCAAATATTCAATCCGCGACTGCGCGATAAGCAAATAGCCGTGCGCGTCCGATTGCACAATAGAGTATTCCAGATCCGGGTGAACGCCAATAACAGCATTCGCAGGAAGCGTCCACGGCGTAGTCGTCCAGATGACCGCGCTGATACCCTTCCCACGCAGCAACGGGTTCGAAGCGAGATGCGCCGGTATATCCACGACAGGGAACTTGACCAGCGCCGCAGTCGACACATGGTCCTCCTTGTATTCCAATTCGGCTTCCGCCAGCGCCGTCCCAGTCGACGGCGACCAGTACACGGGCTTAAACCTCCGGTATATCAATCCCTTTTCAACCATCTCGCGAAACACCCCCAGCTGCCTCTTCTCAAACCCCTTGTCCATCGTCTTCCAGTGATTCTCCCAGTCGCCCATGACAGCGAATCCGCGAAACGCCTTCATCTGGTCTTTGACAGTCCGCCCAGCCAGTTTCCGCGCAGCCTTCCGGATCACCGCCGCAGTAACCGGTCCAGTCGCCTCCCCCGCCGCCCTCTGCGCCTCGAGCGCCTTCAACTCAATCGGCAGCCCGTGGCAGTCCCACCCGGGCACATACCGTATCCGCTTCCCGCGACCAAGCTGCACCCGGCAGATGATATCCTTGAGGACCTTATTGAGGGCGTGACCAACGTGTAGTTCGCCATTCGCGTAGGGCGGCCCATCGTGCAGCACAAATTGCCCATCCACCGGCCTCTCACGGCGCTGCCAGGCGTAGAGGTCGTCCGTGCATCGTCGCAGGTATTTCGTCTGGTCGGCGGGTGTTACGCGGGCGGGGAACGTCGACTTGGGGAGCTTGAGCGTCGACGACCAAGATCGAGCGAGCGACCGTGGCAATTCCGGCATACTACCACTGAAGCATGTCCTGCTTTGCGAGGGTGGTGTTTTGTGGTGAATTCAAGTTGGCTGGAGAGTTGAAATGCCGATCGATCTGGCTGGAGCTGTCGGAAGGGCGTAATTTCTTGTGGTTATATTATGGGGGTGGGCCAATTGGAGGTTACGATAGGGTGTATTGTAATGACCACCGTACTCACCAGTTGCCGCAGTATGAGCCAACTTACTAGGTAGGTAGACTCAAGGATATAATAGGTTAAGAAATAGTAATAGAAATGGTGACACTGTATTAAATCTAACATAAATCAATAGCATCAATCATTCCTCAAAAGTTACGAAGTAATGTGTTCAACCACGCCAACGCCTACCCAGAGTTAATATATTGTCACACAGCTGACTGCCCCGTTCTTCAACACCTCAAACAAAAGACCAGGAAACCCAAATAGTTCAGTATTCCCAAGACCCGCATCGTGACCGTCATTCCCGGCCCTCTGTCCCCGGCCTGTACTTTCTTCCCAACCGCCGAGGAATTCCACGCTGCTCTCGGGACTGTCTCCCCAGCCTCGGTTGAGTACCATCGGCCGTTGGAGAGCTCGTTCTTCCGTCGAACTGGTATAGAACCCCTTCCACACGTCCTTCAGTCGCCCGAAGACTTCGTCCCAGCGCGTTTCGGACGAGATGGTATCGTCGGAGGAGTCGAAACTGATCCTCCAGCGACTGCGTCGGTGGCGGTTGAAAGGATATGACCCGGGAACGTTACCATGCAGGATGATCTTGGTCACGACTAATTGGGGTGAAGGGGATACGGGGGTGGGATCCGACAAGGCTGATCCCGGCAGAGCAGGCCCAGGTGTATCAGGGTGGGAAATAAATGCGTCAAAACCGTGATGGAAATAATTAAAAAAGCATTCAGTTGGTAGTGACGACGGGTCAAGGGTCGTGGTCACCTCCTCATCATCCGAGTCATCGACGGCACTGTTGTTGGAAGATTGATCGGTATCCGTGATATCGATGCCTCTCCCCGGTGACGGGCTCATGCCGAGAGGGTCTTGACTGCCGCCGCCACCATTCGCGGCGCGGTGGATGGAGATCCTTCGATCATGCTTACGGTATATGGCGTCGGGAGGCCCGAACTCGGCAATCAGATCCTGCGGCGTTGTGCGCGACAAGGTGATGTGAGTGGGTGGAGTCGATCGTCGGATCGCTTGGACTTTGCCTGCGCCCCAGATGATGAACTCCTCCACCTCGTCAGCGACAGAGTCCTTGTTCTTCCCTGCCAGCGGGGGGAAACGCGGATACTGCGGCTGCTGGGTGAATAGATTGGATCTGACTTCGGGCCACGATGGACCCTGGAAGATGCTCAACGAGGTGGCCGGCATTGCGGCAGTCGAAGAGAGTAATGCTACGAAGTCACATTGGTCCGACCAGGCCGAATGCTGAAGGGGAAAGGAGAAAGCGATCCCGGGATACGACAGTACGTACGTGCCGTACGGCGAGCCGTTCAGTGGAGGTACATACTCCCCTGGGTATGAAGGGCCGAACAGGCGATTGTAGATATGCCGGAAGCTGGGCCCCTGCTGCGATGCAGGGGGCTCATGCGGCTTGGCTCCCTTTAGCACTTCCTGGTTCTTGTAGACGAGCGAGATCTTCGAAAAGTCCAGCACTTCGATAAGACGCAGTCGCTGATCGGGTCCATCAAACCGTAGACGGAGTCCATTCTCGGGCAGTTGTAGGGTAACGGGCTTGCGCAGAGGGTCGGAGGGGGAGTAGGCTATCTCGATCGCGGGGTAAGTTTGGGGGTGAGACTTGACATGTCCCAATACGTTGTGTAAAGAAGCTCCCAAAACTATTCAACATTAGTATTGTGATATATAGGTGCGAGAGAATAGATATACTTATGAATCCCAACCCCTTGCCAGGGGAGATCTGGACCTGCGTTGATGGTCTGGGTGCAGCCATGATCTGCAGACGATGCTCATCGTCGAGCCTAGTATGAGGATAGATTATTGCTTCCCCGTCACCGAGCTATCATCCAAGAACGTGAATAAGTAGATACAAAACTATAAAGCCGATAGCACAATAGTTATAATGTGAAGTTATCTTGTCATAAAGAGGCCAGCCAGGAGTTGTTGTTGACATACAGATAGTCAGGCGGGACCGATGAGCTCATAATGTCAGGTGAGCGATAAGCATGACCCCTGTTGACATATCACGTGGGCGGTGAAGGGTTTGTTTACGTTTTCCCGATTGGGATGGCAGCACAACAACTCCACATCCACACAACTCCTATCTATACTTTTCTCCCACATTGCTTCCCACTCAGTTAGCGATTGTTTGATTTGATATTACTTTTCTTTGAACCCGTTTTGCTGGCGTCTAATTTTTACCATGCCCCCTCCGCCACGGGCTAGCTCGGGTTTGCCCACCAGACGAACTGCGACACGCCAGCCCACACGCCAGCCCACACGCCAGCCGACGCGGCGGTTGACCGGCGCTCTGTCTGAGAGATCGGACTCTCCGGCCACAGCTTTGAAAACACCCAGTATGGGATCGCGCACACTCAGGACCCTGGCGGAACCGGCGAGCGTGGCTGCGAAGAGGAAGGAGCGCGATTACGAGCGTGGGGTGAACGAAGATACCAGCATACATGTCGTCGTGCGATGCAGAGGACGCAATGATCGGGAAGTCAAAGAGAACAGTGGGGTGGTGGTGTCGACGGAAGGGGTGCAGGGGAAATCCGTCGACCTGTCAATGGGCCCCAATGCCGTGTCGAACAAGACCTATACGTTTGACAAGGTTTTCTCCGCGGCGGCCGATCAGCTCATCGTGTACGAAGATGTTGCGTTGCCGATAGTGAATGAGGTGGGCGAAAAATCGAAACTGGTCGCGACGGTCATGCTAACATTGCGCAGATGCTTGCCGGCTACAACTGTACGATTTTCGCATACGGACAGACGGGAACGGGAAAAACCTACACAATGTCGGGGGATATGACCGACACGCTAGGGATACTGTCCGACAACGCGGGTATCATCCCTCGGGTTCTCTACTCCTTATTCCACAAGCTTCAGGAAACCGCCGAGAGCACAGTGAAATGCTCGTTCATCGAATTGTACAACGAAGAGCTGCGCGATCTGCTTTCTGTGGAGGAAAACCAGAAACTGAAGATTTTCGACAACGAGGGCAAGAAAGGCGGTCACACCACAATGGTGCAAGGAATGGAGGAAACATACATCGACTCAGCGACGGCCGGTATCAAACTGCTCCAGACCGGAAGTCATAAACGCCAAGTTGCCGCGACCAAGTGCAATGATCTCAGTTCCCGCAGCCACACGGTGTTTACGATTACCGTACATACCAAGCGAACGACCGAATCCGGCGAGGAGTACATCAGTTCAGGAAAGCTGAATTTGGTGGACTTGGCTGGAAGTGAGAATATTCAACGCAGTGGTGCAGAGAACAAGCGTGCGACGGAGGCGGGTTTGATCAACAAGAGCTTGCTCACGCTCGGCCGAGTGATCAATGCGTTGGTGGACAAGAGCCCGCATATTCCCTACAGAGAATCAAAATTGACGCGCCTGTTGCAAGACTCTTTGGGCGGTCGCACCAAAACCTGCATCATCGCGACTGTCTCGCCTTCTCGGAGCAACCTGGAGGAGACAATATCAACGCTCGACTACGCCTTCCGAGCCAAGAATATTCGCAACAAACCACAGATCAACTCGATGTCCAAGAAGACGCTTCTCCGGGAATTCACATTCGAGATCGAGAAGCTCAAGGCCGAGCTCATTGCGACGAGACATCGAAACGGCGTCTACATGGCTGTCGATGCCTACGAAGAGCTGACCATGGAGAATGAGTCACGACGGATTGTCAATGAAGAGCAGCGGGCCAAGATCGAATCGATGGAAACGAGCTTGCGCAACAAGGTGCAAGAGCTGTTCACCCTGACCAGCAACTTCAATGGTCTCAAGCAGGATCACGAGGACACTCGCGCTGCATTGAACAGCACCAACGATGTCCTAGAGAAGACTGAGATTGTACTGAGCGACACCAAGGCACAGCTGGAGGAAGAGGAGGCGCTGCGCAAAGCTCACCAGGCCACTGAAAACCAGTTGCATAGCATCGGAAAGGGACTGCTGACGACGTTGGGCAGCACCGTCGAGGATGTTGATGGTTTACATGCTAAGATACAGCGGAAAGCCGATGTGGAAGCCACCAACAGGGAAGCCTGGAGTATGTCCGCCAATGAGGTGGCCGGTGTCACCAAACAAGTCGACACGAATTTAGAAGCCTTCCAGTCTCTCCATTCGAAGCTTGTCACGGAGATGGGCGACAAGATTAAGGGCTATGTGACAAGCGAGCTCAGCAACATCCAGTCCAGCCAGCGTGAATTGTCGAATTTCAACGCTTGCTTCGACAAGGCAGAGAAGGAGGCTAAATCGCAGACGTCCGCGGCTCACGAGGAAATGAACGATGTTCTGGAAGAGATCAAGGATCTGCGGGAGGAGGTGAAGCAACGAGTTGGAGAAGGCCTCAATGGGTTGTCTGCAGCTGCCGAGCGCATCTCCAAGGACGTTATTGGAGAGTTCACCGAGTTCCACGCCCAGGTAAGCAGCACGCTCCCAACAGAACGCCGTTCTTCCACTAACAAGCGCAGCTCCATGAATCATATAGCGGACTTGGCAAGGAATTCAAATCCCTGTTCGAGGGCATGGTCGACCATCTCAATGGGCAAAAAGCTGAGATCCACCAACTCCGCCTGGAGCTCCAGGCGGCCAACCGGAGGACGGTGGAAGCCAACCGCAAGACATCTTCGCAGCTTTCACAAACCTTGGACGAGGAAGAGGCGAATGCGCAGGCAGAGCGCGATCAGCTTCTGTCTCAAATCAAGACCCTCATGGACGAGTCTAAGAAGCGACAAGTCTCGCGGCTGAAGGGCAGAGTCGAAACTATGCGAACCGACATCACCGCGTCCGGGGAGTCGCTCGAGCATGCGACAACCCACCACGACCGCCAAGTCGACGAATGGGTGTTCCGATCGGAACAGTTCGCCAAAGACGTCACCGCGTCCAAGGAAGACATCAAGACCAAGATGCAGAACGACTGGGAGCTGTTCGACCAGCGGAACGCGTCTATCCAGAAGACAACGGAATCGGTCCACCAAGAGACCGTCCGCATCGTGGACGCCCAGATGGAAGACATGAGCAAGCAAATGGGCGCTCTAGACGACTTCGTCGCCAAGGCGCGGTCTCAGAACGGCCGCTACTGCGACGCTCACATGTCCAGCCTCGACGGAATGGTGTCCAACGTCCACGAATCATACTCGTCTGTCCGCGGACAATGGTCTGGATTCGGCGACCGCATCAGCCAACTCCAGCACGACGCGACCGAGCACCAGAACAACCTACTCCAATCGACCGAACCCTTGTCCGGCGATGTCCGCAAGCCCCTCTCCGAGCTCCGGACTCACATCCAGGAACGCCCACTAAAGGAATACATCGTCACGGGCACGACCCCCCAAAAGCGACGATACGAATACCCCTCCGACCTACCACGCACCGAAACCCACGACTCCCTCCGCTGCAGCATCAAAACCTCGCGGGACCTCACCGCGCTCCCCTTCAGCGGCGAAGACCAGCTCTCCACCCTCAGCAGCTCCCCCGCCACCTCCCCCTCCAAAGGGTTCGTCTACAGCGACGAGCTCGACGCCCAGCCTGCGGCCCATTCATCCGCAGCAAACCCCACAGGCGGCCTCAGGGAAGTTGACGCAAATGTCGCGCGGCCACTCGCGCCTAGCCCGGACACCACCCCGATCGGGAAGGACCTCGGAACCCTGAACCACCAATTAGACCACACTCCCGACGACGAAGACTCCGACCAGCCCCCGGCGAAGAAACGCCGCTCGAACCCGTCTCCGTCTGACACTAAACTCCCTCAGAAGATGATGGCGTCTAAAAAGGTCCCTGGAACAGTGATGGAAGGGAGCGAGAATGTTCCTCCTGCTACTGCCGGTGGTCGTCGACTGAGAGGTCGTCCTTCGCCTTAGCTGAACCTCGCATTGAATTGAAGTTGGATTTTGTTTTTCTGGCTGGATTATATACCACTTGTTTTTGTTGTTGTTCTTTTTGATTAATTTTCATTATTGCATGAGTGGCGTTAAGGAAGGAGTTTAACACTGTTACTATTTTATTTTTATCTTTATTGATTGATTGATTGCATTTATATTATTATCATTATCTTCTCGGTGGTTATGGTCAGTTCGTTCTGGTTAGAATTGATCGCTTGCTTGATTGCTTGCTTGATTGTATTGTTTGTTCCATTGCTGTTCTTGGAAATGTTTGTTACTTTCCATTTCCAATGTTGTTCTGGGATATGGCGTGGAGGGGATCACTGGGTTGGTTGGTTAGTTAGTTAGAAACCTAGTTGAAATATCTGGCTAGGATGCAATTCTTACTTACTGTGGTAAATTTCATCCCCGAGAGACGTTGTAAATACTTTCAAATAGCTAAGAGTGAAATCATCGATTATCTTATTCCCCTGAATACAAGCCCATACACCAGTAATAGTAACAATCACATCCAAGTCAAAAGTCTAGAACAACCGAGTGAAATCAAATCGAATAAAAGAAAAAAATAAAAAAGAATAAAAAGAAGTCCATGGTGATTCCATGACGAGGGAGGTTCGTTTGTTTTTCAAATCGTGAGAAAATAGCAAAAAATCCAATCCAAAATGTTGCTGGTCCGCTAAGTAGGTAGTTTTCATTCCTCGTGTCCACTGGGATTTGTTTCTCACTCCTGGCGCTGCTCCGGAGCCTTTTCCTTGGCCTGTTCCTGGGCCTTTTGATTGACCTTTTCCTTCCCCTCGGTTTCGGGACGACCCTGCGACCCAGATGGTTTCTCTACTTCAGGGGGTATGCCGACTGCGTTCGGCACGTCCATTCCGGGAGGAGGCCCAGCCTCTTCCAGTGGAACTTCGGGCTCGTGCGGTTGCTCTCCTGCGTCGATGATTCGCCGGAGTTCGCTGAGTCGCTTCTCGAAATGCTCCATCATGTCCTCCAGCTGCTGACTGCCTCGTTCCCGGTCCTTCCCCAGGGCGTTCACGGGCAATCCCGCCGTGCCTCGGATCTTGAGCATCAGCCCCCGGTCGTGGTCCCCCGGGGAATTGTTCTCGAAGGTCGGGGCGGGGGCGAGCTGCGTGTCGAGCACCTGCCACGCCGGGGTGAGGCTCTGGGCCGACGTCACGGTGAAGGGGTTGTTCGCGGAAGGCTGCGGAGGCACGGAGGTCTGGGGGGCGGGAGACCCGGCCAAAGCGGGGACGGGATTGGTGCCCGCGGCGGCCGCGGCCTCGGGCGCATGGTTGACGTCCATGATGATGTAGTTATCGCGCACGCCGGGAATGGGGTCGGGGAGGAGGGACGTTTTCTTGGGACTGGGCAGCTCTTCCTCGTAGGGGCGATCTGTCGTCCTGTTGTCGTCAGCGGGCTGGTGGTGGTGCTGCTGCAGGTGCAGATCGCGGGATTTCCGCTTCCGACTGTGAAGGAAACTGTCATGCTGATCAGAATCGAGGGAGCGTAGGGCGGCTTCGGTTACGATATCGGTGTCGTCATCCGAGAAGATGTAGTGTACATTGGGATGGTAGTATTCGGCGGAGTGGGCGTCCTCCACGAGGGTGAAGAAGGGTTGGAAGGTGGGTCCATACTGTGGTTGTTGTTGTTGTTGGTGTGGTTGTTTGTCTGCGGCGGCTGCTCCCTCGTCGTGATCCTCCGGGACCGACGGTGCCCCTTGATTTCTCTCGTCCAGGTCCGGCTGGTGCGGAGTTGCCTCGCGGGAGGAGGGATCTTGTGCTTGTTCTGGGGGGGACTGGGGTGTTGTCACCGGCCGGTCGATCAAGCTCTGGGGACGGGAAGGAGCGTCGGAGTCGGGGAGGCGGCGAACGGAATGCCTGGAAGGAGAAGAGGACAAAGAAGGCGAGGGAAGATTCCTGGGAAGAGACATGCTGGCACTACATGATGGATAGAAGGAGGAGAAGAAAGAAGGAAAAGGGAGGATGGGGAAAGAAAAGGGAAAGGGCGCGAGATGGCGGAGAAGTCGAAAAAGTCCCGTTAGTAGAAAGAGAGCCGTGAGAGTACTTCCGAATGAGGCAACAGTCTTTTCCTGCCTGACCAGGGTGGAGCGGGTCATGTGACTGCATAATTGGCATTAAGTCCGTTATTCTATTCATACTCCGTACGCCTTATTCTCAATCCATCGGTTCACTCCTCGTTCTGCTTCCATTCGAATTCTACGCCCGTTAGCAGCTGGTCCTGTAGATGTCGTAGTCGCTTACTCTGTCGGCACATCGGGCATAGTCCCTTGGAGGATTCTTGTTGGATCCAGGTCATCAGACAGTGCTGTCAGTCATTAGTCGTCTCCGTTATAGGTCTTCTTATAGGTCTTCGTATATTGAACACACCATATGGAAGGAATGGCCGCATTTTCCCAGCACTAGACATTGATTAGTATGTTCCCTTCCATGGTCTTCGGGTCCATACGTAAAGAGCAATCATCCCCCGGGAATTTGCAGGTCGGACACGTCCCGTCAAACTGAACGCGACAGATGCCACAGACCTCATCGTCGGGCATATCCCAGCGCCAGGTGGCGACGGCATTCCACTCTTTGATAGTGACCTTCATTTTAGTTGTGGATTGAATGGTCGGGGATTGATAGAATCGGGACGTAGATCAACGGTAGTTGGAGACCAGGATTCCTTCCTCAATCATGGATCATCAATCATCAATCATTAACCATTAATCAATCATCAGTAATAATCGATAATCGATCATAACCAGAAGAATCAGAAGCAAGTGGAACAACGATAAGCGGACGGAGCGCAACCAACCCTGGACCGAGTGTTGTTGTTTTTTCACATGGCGGAGAAACCAGACAAAAAAAGTGTTGTGACCGACTCCGCATTGATCTGCTCCCCTCCTTCTCCTCTTCTTCTCCTCTTCTTCCTCCACTCTTCCTTCTTCCCACTGACAACTTCCCCGTCCCTGCATGACCTCGTTTGCTTGTTATTGACAACCCCTCTTTCTCTCTCTCTTTTCTTCGTTATGTAAATACTGATTCCTGACTTCCTCTCCATCCACCAATTCGCCAGAATGGCTTTTGCGGCTTTTCGTTCCGCCATCCCTTCACCGACTACTCGTTTCGTGCGCCCGACCATGTCCGTCTCGCAACACTTGCGCCAACCCTCCCAGACCCGCCATGTCTCGTTTTCCTCCTACCTAGTCTCGCCAAAGGAGTTAAATACCGCCTTGCAGAAGAACCCCCCCACCAAAATCTCCACTTCGCCGCGGGTCGTCCCCATCTGCGCCGCCTGGTTTATGCCCAATGACCCCGAAGGTCGCAAAGGACTGGACATCTTCCGCAAGCATCGCATCCCCCAGGCCCGGTTTTTCGATCTCGATGGCATCAAGGATCGCGACTCCCCCTACCCGCACATGCTGCCGACCGCCGAGACGTTCGCCGACGCGATGAGCGAGCTGGGCATTCGTCGCGACGATGAAATCGTCGTCTACGATACCGAGGAGCTGGGCATCTTCAGCGCCCCGCGCGTGGGCTGGACCCTGCGAGTGTTCGGTCATCCCAAGGTGCACATCCTCAACAACTACCGTCTCTGGGTCCGCGAGGGCTTCCCCACCGAGACGGGCGAGCCGCTCCAGCCGGACCGGACGAGCTACCCCGTGCCGACCTACGACTCCAAACTCGTCATCCCCTACCTGGAGCTGAAGGAGGTCGCCAAGGAGCACCGCAAGGAGGGCTCCAAGGAGGTGGAGATCCTGGATGCGCGATCCTACGGCCGCTGGGCGGGCACGGATCCCGAGCCGCGTCCCGGCCTGCCGTCGGGCCACGTCCCGGGCTCCACGAGCATGCCGTTCCAGGAATTGCTGGACCCGGAGACCAAGACCTACCTGTCTGGTCCGGAATTGCGCAAGATCTTCGAGAAGCGCGAGATCGACCCGACCAAATCGATCATCAGCTCGTGCGGCACGGGGGTCACCGCGACGATTATCGAGACTGCGCTGGGCGAGGCCGAGTATGGCGACGCCTGTCTGCGACGGGTGTACGATGGAAGTTGGACGTACGTTTCTCTTTTTAAAAATAGTGGAAAGCACTACTGACATAACACAGGGAATGGGCTCAACGTGTCAAGCCCGCCGACGGACTGATCCGAAAGGCTTAGACTCTCGATTGCGTATTTGATTCTGTTACAGCAGCGTATCCTCGGGTAGAGCTTATACCAATTTCTTGACATGATAGAATGTAGTTCCAGAGTTACGATAGAGCTAGAATGGACTTTCTTTAACTTCGACTGATTTGGAGATGATACATGATTCTATACATATTGTATCGCATAAGATGTCCACGACACATCATGTAAACTGACGTATCACCACTATCATAACACCCATATTGATCAATACCCACTCCAGCCAAGCCAACAACTCAACCGGAATAGCAACATGCATAAAAAAAGCCCACCCCCCACCAAAAACACAATATACTACCGCTTATATAAAAGTGGACCCTGACCTCCGGAAATAAATTACACAGACCAACTAACTATTCTGGAACATGCTTCCCGGTCGAGAGTAGCGAGGTACTACCCAGGTAGGTAGGAGTAAGCCTACCTAAGCAATCGTTATGCTTCCCGACAAATTAGGTACCGGGGCGAGCTGTCCGGACGGGCGTTTGTGCGGATTGGGTTAGGTTGGTATGCTGGGATCCACCTTGGATATATGGATAGTCTCCACTTTTGGCTGGTGCCGAGGATGATGTAGATGGTGGAGTTGGAGATGGGGTATAAAGTACCGTTTTCTATACTTTCTGTCTTGAGTGTCTTGAATAAGCGTGTTGTGTTGGTTTGCTTGGTGCCGTGGTTAGGAGCGTCTTGGTGGGTTTACTTGTCTAGGTGGACGCTGTCGGCAACTGTACCTCATTGTGAGCTCGTGGTGTGTCTGGATTATCGAGACCATAAGATAGATCATAGCAGATGCCCGGCGTGGAACATATTCTCTCTCACTATCTTATTGACTAAAGTGTTTACTGCACAAGATGTCTACCAAAGAAGATACTGTCATCTCGAAGTGCGAGCGAATTCCAGAAATCCATCAACGCTAGGGAGGGGAGGCGCATCCGCTATTTGCGTCTACAAGGGGCAATTTAAACTCGAGGCTAGTATTACTCGGGCAGGTAGACGGGTCAGGTTCATGATGAGATCATGTTCAGCGTCTATGGTCATGTGGATGGTGATTTTGACGTTGATATTGTCACGATGCCGTCATATCTGGAGGATATATATAGCCTGATGCCCAGTTTCATTACAAGGACAAGGGTCAGTTTTTGCACACTGTAACACTACGCAAAATGGCTACCGAAGAGAGTATCGTCGATACTACTGATAACATCGTTATTATTGACACCATTGACACCATTGACACCATTGACACCATTGACACCATTGACACCATTGACACCATTGACACCATTGACACCATTGACACCACTGACACCAGTGACACCACTGACACCATCCCTGAATGCGAACAAGCCTTCCAGAAAGCCATCAATGCTTGGAAGGAAAAGCAAACCGACGGAGCGCTGTTCGAAGACGAGGAATCCCCGGCTATAGAATGGTGTGGCTCTTACTATGCGGAGCTAAACCGGGGAGTGGCCTTTCTTCAACGCAGACGACGTCTGATCAAAGGGCAACCCAAACCAGAAAGTCCAACTGCCAAGACCGACAAGAAGCCGCCCTGGTCGCTGTTTGACCGGTTTCAGCCGCAACACCGCGAGGTCCAAGAGCGGCCAGAAGAGCAGACCACCCAGACGGGGACAGAGAAGCTCCCGGACTCCCCCCCGCCAGGCTACCCGGAGGCGTGTGAATCTCCTTCCAATACCGAAGTCGAAGATGAAATCCACGAACTGCTTCAAGGATACTGGGATAATGTACGTGAAGTGGTGAAGGTTGAGAATGACATGCCACCGATGACGCCCATTCTTGAGAGGATGGAGATCCTCCGCTTCAACTTTGATCGCCACGGACGCCCCTATTTCTGGGTGCATTTTTCTGAGTTCTGCGCGGATACCGGCGGCTGCTGTGGGCGATCGTGTGGGTGCTGTGAGAAGCCTTTGTTGACCTACCAGAGGCCGCATCGATACGACCATGCAAAGAGGAGCGATGTTAGCATATATGGACACTGTACTGAAGAATGTCCCTGCTGCATCCGTGTGCGACGCCGCTATGAACCTCATCCAGATCTCCCCGAGCCGCGATTTTGAAGGCTTGGAGCAGCTGGGGGGGACTATGGATCTATTATAAGACTGCTTTTATTAACTTTTCTTTAATCACAGTACTAGCTTGTTAGTGAATGTCACCACTCGTTTGATATTGAATAAAGTCTGTCTATCTTCTACATCTTTTGAAACGTCACCTCCATCAGCCCAATCTGTACCTGGACATCTATCACTAGATCTTTTAATCAATTCAGTGACATGGATTGAATTATGAAACATGCAATCAGGGGATATCAGCTGATTTGCAGAGTTTCCCACGTAGATTGTAGTCTTGACTCTTTCTGTCTTGCAACTATTCCCAACTGCTATATCTTGAATTTCATCAAAATCATCATTATCTTGACTATTCATCGGTCTCCCACAACATGGGGCTATCATGGAAATTTGATATCATCAACTGATATAGCCCATCGCACGGCTTTTACTATTGCTATATATATTGGGGTAGTATTGCTGTACAAGTGGCATGTCTGTTATAGATATAGCAACATCACTCAATCTGCAAATTTTACACATATAGTATGTCTTCAAATCATCCTTAATTACGGAACAAGCAGCTGAGTTGAGATAGGTAAAACAGCACAAAGATTGACCTCGTTTACACTGTCAGGTGGCATCTCGCTGTGCCAACATATGTTAGTGTGTCGGCTTTCCCCCAATTCAGGATTGTCTATCCTTTTGGTGAACAGTCCACTCGTCGAATATATGACAGCAATCTTATCGACTATTCTTATAGAAATCCCCACTTACGTCGTGTCGTGAGGGAAGCTAGTAAGCGAGCTCATCAACCGTGTACATCATTATCACAATTTTGCATATGCATGTTTCTCCATATGGATACTGGTAAGGACCTCCACACCCTGAACTAAGTGTGATCGTCTGACATATGGGCAATCAAGGTGTAGAAAATATATCTTTCGCTTTCGTCAAGAAGGCAATTGATTAATACTTTATAAACGAGTAAAGCAACATGTCAACTGCAGCGGACATGAGCCAAGTGATCAACAGGGGGCAGCTATGGATCATTCTGACCGGGGTGACGGTATTAGGGATATCAAATACTTGATATCCCCAACAGGATTGTTGACCAGGGGGCATTGCCCCGGATTCTCCAGCAATGGATGGCCGATGGTATGTCTTGAACAATGATTCCATTTGGACTGGAAAGCCAGGCTAACTCTAGATAGCACGATACACACTTGTGTCTTCTTAGTTACATTGACTGGAAAGATATACTCGTTTATCGACATAATAGCAATTCGGCTATTCCGCTGGTGGTTTGTTTTCAATCTTCAGAACTGAGAGAACAAGCCAAGCTAACTCAAGATAGGCCACTGAAACGGGGGAGACAATATACTGACCAGGGCACGCAGACTGACGTGACCGATACCCAGGCCGGCCCAGTATCACCCGCGAGGGCTGTCATGTCCGAGATCACTGTGCAGTCTTATAGACATACTCGGGAAGAGGTATGTCCGTTAAGAAACTCCTATCCTCGGGTTTTCAGTTATACTGACTGGAAAAAATGACCTGCATAGATAATTAAGCCAAAACAATGTCGAGACAAATAGATTTTCAAAATTCGTGGAAAGGCCCTGGTGGACCGTTGGTGCTGTGGTTATCGCGTGGAGCGTTGCCCGATCGGTGGGCAGACTCTTCGACAAGATCGTGATGCGCGAGTGATACCCTCGGACGAGCTCTGCCTTCCAACAGTGGCTGGTATGTTTTGAGACAAACCTCCAGACTTGGGGAACAAGCCAGGCTAATTCAAGATAGGCTACTAGACTGCTGTGCTTTCCAACTTTGGTTACATTCTCCGACAATTCGAAGGATACAGAACTATACAGTGTCAGCCACTGTCAGGCTAACTAAACATAGGATAGTGAGGAGGGAGGGCAGACATTTGTCGATCGTGGAACCGACGCCGGACCAGACCCTGACGTCGGTCCCACGATCGACAAACTGTATGTCAATCAGGCGACGGAGACTGGCGTGACCGGTATTCAGCCCGGACCAGCTTTATTGGGCAAGGCAGCAGCAAAGCATGCGCTCCGGAAGCCGACTACAACGGAACGAGCCCTGGAGGGCGGAGAAGCATCCTCCAGGGATTCATCAGCCTATACGACCCAGTCAGAGTTTGACCCAGGAAAGTCACCGGGTCAATCATAGACGGTGGGCTCGACAGGTCGATACATGGTTTCTTCAGTTATGTCCTCGGACAAATCGATGGATACGGACCTGCGCACAGAATCAGCAGCCGTCAACACGAGATGCTCTTAGAACACTGGTTCAGCGTTTGCTTGATCTGAGGAATGGGATATACCACGGATTCACGCTCTGTATATAATTCTCTATAATCTTATGGTAAGCACCTACAGTGCTCCCTCCCCGGATTAAAGCCCTCCAGAGGATATCAGTAGAGGTTGATCTCAGAGGGAAGATGCTTTTCAGCTTATTAGAGCATACTTATCCGTCCATTGGCTATCCTGGGTTGCTTCTTTTCAATCAGGATATTATTAATTGAGACAGGTGCTGGATATCTCTCTTTGGCAGGAACTTTTTGTTCATCTCTCATCTCTCATCTCTCTTCAGACTTTATAAGGACAATCAATCAACCACCGGATACTACGTATAGCCTTTCTGATGGAGTGTTGACCCAAGTATGGACCGATCATATAAGATTTCATCGGAAACCTTGCAGGATACAGACTAGCGTACATTGTGCATACAACCCTAGAATATACAAGTATGCCTGGATCATCAATGATTGTGATGATCAACACTGTAACCGTCCTGCAAGGATAAGACCGGTAACAAAGTTAGCTGGTGACTGGTCATGTCCACCCCTTACGTATCTCAAGAGCCTTAGTCCCAAAATAAGCTACACGAAGCATATTTACTGACAAAAGACGATGACAGCCTCGCCAATTCAATTCTTCATCAAGACCGACTCGTCCCTCCGAGTCAGACACTCCGAAAACTATATTCAAAGTCATGCTGGATCCAACATGGATCGCGCTGGCGGCAGATTCACTAGCTTTTCTTGGTGCTCTGTTCCTGAACTTCCCCATATGCAGGAAGGTCGCCCAACAAGGCCTCATGACTGTTTCTAGGACGAGGCGGCCGAAAGTGAAATGGTACGAAGATGAAGACGGCGAAGCCACCAAAGGGTCCATAAACGAATCCTCGCATACCATGCAAGTAATGGGAAACATGATTTGGACCACCATTGGGGCTGGACTTGCATTTGTCGACCTTGCATTTGTTTCCGCAGAACTCGAGACGAGTAACAATCGCGACAGGCAGCTGCGACTGGCGATGTGGGTAAGAGATGAGATTGAAGTCTCCTGATCGGATTGCCCACTGACCAATACCAGGCACTTCATCTAGTCCAAAGTCGCGTTCTTCAGGCGGAAACGCTTTACACTGTTCGTTTCACGCTTGGGGTGTTGGGCGGAGCCAGCCGATTGATGACAGCTTTCGCCCTCAGCACTGATTGCTACCGGAGGGATGCCAGCGGTCATTACTCCAAGGCTCGTCTCCTAGTGGTCCAGTTCCAGATTGTGGTGGCCATCGCAGGGGTTTGCTGCAACTGGGCCATTCCTCGTCGACCTGATGTGTTTCGGCAAGGACAGCTGGTTGAGCGAGAAGCTTCAACCAGTTTGCTCAACCTGATCACGTTCACGTGGGCGGAGCCTCTGCTGAATATCACCCATAGATCAAAACTACTGGAGTTCAGAGATCTCCCCATTCTCCGCAGCGAGTACAGTGCTCAAGGGTTGCGGGATGGCATCTTCACCGAGACGCGGACGAAGAATTCCGTAGCCTGCGACGAATCCTTCGTGTCCGCTCTATGGAAGCTCAGTCGCAAGACACTACTCAGGCAGGCGCTGATGGGAATTGTAATCATCGGTTTGAGCTATGCTCCCCAAGCGGCCCTGTTTGGCCTTCTACGCTCGCTGGACCTCCGCCAGAGCACGTCACAACAAGAGTCCCGTCCCTGGGCATACGTTCTCATGCTGTGTCTCCCGATGATGGCATCGGCTGCCCTGGAGCATGTCAGATACTGGATCGCGTATCGGTCATTAATGGTCCGCACGCAGCAGCACCTGATGGTCGCCCTCTTCGACAAATCGCTTTGCATCGGTGACGCCAGCACCACAGACCCGGGCGTGGGGAAGAACCTGGTCAACCTGATGGCAGTCGATGTAAAGCGACTGGCGGACTTTCTCTTGAATTCGTCTTCTATCTACGGAGTCCCACTGCGACTCTTTATATCGGCAGCCATTCTCGTCAAGCTCGTGGGCTGGCAGAGCTTGCTCGCTAGCGTGGCAGTGTTACTCCTACTCTATCCTCTCAATCGATATACAGTCAAGGGATACTCTGGAGCCCAAAGAAAGATGATGGGATACCGAGACCAAAAGATGGCCGCATTGACAGAGGCTCTGCATGGCATCCGCCAGATCAAATTCTCCGCTTGGGAGGCGCCATGGGAAGAGAAGATCAACGACCTGCGGGATGGGGAGCTCGAGGCACAGTGGGCAGTCTTCCGATGGGATCTCATCCTGATGTCCCTCTACCTCCTGACCCCGACAGTCTTGTCAACGGTGGTGCTGACAGTCTACTCGCTGACCCACGGAGGTCTGTCCCCCGCCACTGCATTTACCGCCATCTCAATCTTGGGAACTATGCAGACAGCCCTGACTGCCATGCCTGGGATAATCTCCTCGGCTGTTGATGGTGTGGTCAGTGGCAAGCGTGTCCAACAGTATCTGAGCATGCCGGAACGGCAGCCACGTGTGGTGCCGTCGCAAAGGGTTGAATTCGACGATGCAACGGTGGCATGGCCCGGACATGGCGGGGGCGTGGGGGGTATCTTGAAAAACGTTAATATGAGCGTTCCGATGCATGGCCTGACTCTCATTACAGGGCCTACAGGTTCTGGAAAGTCCCTTCTTCTGGCGGCGATGCTTGGGGAGTGTGACATCCTCTCTGGGACTGTCAAGGCTCCAACCCAGCGAGAGTGGAACGCAGAGTCCAACAAGGATGATCACTGGCTCTTAGATTCTACGGTGGCATACGTCTCCCAATCACTATGGGTTGAAGCCACCACCGTCAAAGATAACGTGCTGTTTGGTTTGCCATACAATTCGCAAAGGTATAATCAAGTGATGACTGCCTGTGCACTGGAACAGGACCTGCAAGGCTTCCCAGATGGGGACGACACACACTTGGGTCCGAACGGGGTCAACCTCAGCGGTGGACAGAAATGGCGCCTGTCTTTTGCTCGTGCCCTATATTCGCGAGCCACCGTACTCCTCCTAGACGACATCTTCAGTGCTGTCGATGTGCATACAGCAAGTCATCTGTACCATCACGCTCTCACCGGGCCCCTATCCCATGCTAGAACACGTATTCTCGTCACCCATCACGTCTCCCTGTGCACCGCCGACGCTGATTATATTGTCCATGTTGATGGAGGCACCGTCCACTACCACGGGCCTGTGGTTTCGACGACTCCAAGCAGCACACTTCCCTCAACGAGCTTCTGTAAAACCAGGAGGGTTCTTTTCTCGAGTGATACCGAAGTGACCAACACGAGCGATACAAATGCGACTTTGACTGGCGGTCCTAAGTCAGGATTGGCTCGAACTTTTATTGAAGAGGAGGGTCGAGAGAAAGGGACCGTCAAGTTGGGAGTCTTCCGGGATTATGCTCAACAGAGCGGTACTTGGGGTTACTGGTTGCTGCTAGTAGCCGCGTTCCTGACTTATAGTGCTCTGATGCTTTCTAGGGTAAGATTCTACATTTCTAATCTTGGTATAGTAGAAACACTGACGTTGTGCAGACCTGGTGGCTTAGTCTATGGAGCGCAGCCGACCAGGGACAAGTAGCGCAGGAGAGTGTCCTAACATATTACATCAACGTCTACATCCTGTTGTCTGTGCTGGTCTGCGTGGTCGGTTCCGGGCGTAGTTACTTCGCGCTGTCCGGATCTGTAAAAGCTTCGCGCAGCCTCTTTCGTCGCCTTCTGCACCGAGTGCTCCGGACCCCGTTGCAGTGGACTGACACCGTCCCTGTAGGTCGAGTGCTCAATCGCTTTTCGAGCGACTTCAACCTCGTGGACTCTCTGCTGGGAGATGATGTGCGGGCCATGCTGTCTCACGGCATGGATATCCTCATGGCTGTAGCGTCTAGTTTACTGGTCAATCCTCTCTTGGTCTTCGGCATGCTGATTCTCGGTGCCATCACTGTCAAGTATGCAAGCCGGTACTTGATAGCTTCACTCGAGGTGAGGCGGCTGGACAGTGTAGCCCGGAGCCCGATCTACGACCACGTTGGTTCCTGTATGGCAGGACTTTGGACGATCCGGGCGTTTGGCAAGACGCACATCTATCGGGAACAATTTCGAGAGAAGCTAGATCGCAAGGCCCGCGCGCAGTGGCACGGTTGGCTGTTGAATCAATGGCTTGCCTTCCGGATGGATATGATCGGTGTCATCTTCACCGCGGTCTCCACGACTTGTGTCGTCGCCCTTGGGGTGGACGCCGCGCTGGCCGGATTTGCCATCAGCTTCACAATGAGACTCACCCAGACGATCTCAATGGGGGTCCGCCGCTACGCGTCCCTGGAATTAGATCTGAACAGTGTGGAAAGGATCTTGGAATACTCTCACCTGGACACCGAGCATGACGCCGGTTACGCCGCCCCGGCGCATTGGCCCCAGGACGGGGCGCTCGAGGTCAGGAATCTAACAGTGCGCTATGCCGCTGACATGGACCCTGTCCTACATGGCGTTAGTTTCCAAGTCGCCCGGGGCCAGCGCGTAGGGATCATTGGGCGTACCGGCGCCGGGAAGTCGTCCCTAGCGCTTGCATTGTTGCGCGTGCTCGAGGCGAGTGAGGGTAGTATTCTCATAGATGGGATCGATATCTCCATGATCCGCCTCGCTGATCTTAGGAGTCGACTGGCCATCATTCCCCAGCATCCCACTATTTTCGGAGGCACTTTGCGTTTTAATCTGGATCCTCTCTGCGAGTACGGGGACGCCGAACTCCTATCTGCCCTTGCGCTGGTCCACTGGGATACATCGGCCCATGGCTATGGAGAAGAACAGCTTAAGAAGGGTGAAGAAAACCTTCAAACAGTCGCCGACCTGTTGTCACAGAATCGCCAGGAAGGTGGTGCATCCATTCTCAACAGTCCGGTCTCCGATGGTGGATCCAATCTCTCACACGGCCAACGGCAACTTCTGTGTCTTGTGCGGACGTTTGTGCGAAAGCCCCGCGTTCTGATCATGGACGAAGCAACCTCGGCCGTTGATAAGGACACCGACACGTTCATCCAACACGTACTCGGATTGGAGTCTAGCCGGAACGCCATGACGCTGCTCGTGATTGCCCATCGCCTCAGCACGGTCGCCAACTTTGATCGAATCCTGGTTTTGGGGGAGGGTAGGGTGGTGGAATTCGGCAGACCGGTGGATTTGATGCACCGAGACAATGGGGTGTTCAGAGGAATGGTCGAGAAGGACGCGGGGAGGGAGACCTTGACGAGGGCGATTTTCAACAATGGAGATAAAATGTAGGGCATTGCTGACCTCGCAAGGCCCTCTCAAGTCCCGTATCGAGCTGGATTCTAGTACATTGATTACGCGACTGTTCTATAGCTCTATAATTAGACTGTCTTCTCACAGTCACGACTCAAAATCCCCTCCAGCCCACGAGCAGGATGATGGAAATCTCTGCAACATCCTTCCAACTCACTTTAGATTGGACAAGGGAGTCCGTTTTCCTGGACTCGGACACACGATAGACCCCGTCAGGCCCCTTGTTCAGTAGACGCCGCCGATCCGGTACCGTCGGGGGTCTTGCCATATACTGCACGGGAATGGACAACTTCATGATCGCCGAAAAGAAAAACACGACAGCCGCTGGGCTAGGTGAAACGAGATGACGTGACTCTCCTGCCGCATAGACGCGCAGCCGGAATGCAAGGGGAACGAGCGCGTAGACGATCCACCCCGCATACATCAGCACGGTAGGGTTGAGAAGTCGGACCCAAATCGGCTTTCGATGGCTCTCAGAGCGTTCGTTTATTGAGGAGACCACGGTTCCGGTGATATCGAAACCGACGGCATTTCCGGGAATCCACGAGCGCACGATGCGTGCGACGTTCACTGCACATCCTCGCTGTCAGTGACCAGCTGTTCGGGTTCACTGAAAGATAACTTACAAGGCATGTTCCAGAACTTGGTCGCCTGTAGGCGTTTGGCAGCTTTGATGCTGACGTGCTCATGCATACCAATGAAACACCACTTTTGCAACAGAGTGGCTATCAAGAGCACAAGGTACATTTGGTGCATCGTGCGTCTCGGTGTAGTGGGGGCCATGTGCTTGGGCCATTCGACCGGGCTTAGAACCCATGGGATGAGCATGACCATGACGCTGTTGGGAATCGCCATGTAGGTCTTGACTACGTGGCACAAGCAAATAATGCGCTGCAACATGGTCCTCTGGCTGCGAAGATCGGCGCCGGAGAGAAACCAACCGAGCCTTTGATACGCGAGGATATTGCCATCGGTCTGTATCAGCGAAAATAGAAAAGACATTAGTCAGTCGTCCTACAGTTACAAGTCAAGGAATAGACGAGGTTCGACATACCCATCGCGCGCGCTGTTTGAACAAGGCAGCCAATGATCCAGGCGCCAAACCAAACTGCACTTCATCCTTGACGAACGCGATATGCCACCCTTGACCGGTCAGCATCCATGCACACACTATGTCCTCTGCGGCATTCTGCAGAGGCCAGCCGCCAATGCTGTCCAGTGCACTGCGGCGGAGAACATATCCAGACCCGGTGCAAGAGGTTCCCCCTAAACTATCGTTGATGGGCTCGGTTAGTCGGGAAAACACCTTGGAGTCCTGCGCAAGGACATCGTCGTCGGGGGTATTATAGAATCGCTGCGTAGATATGAGCCATGCAACCAGAAGAAAGGAACATATGGCGAGGAAGCGGACCCTACCTGAGGAGGCACTGCCATCGCTACCTGCTTGTCCAGCAACAGATGGGGAACGATGCGTCGCAACCAGTCTTTCACGGGAATCATATCCGCGTCCAACGCGGCAATGTACTCGGCACCGCCGTTCCGTCGAGCCCCCTCTGCTAGCCCGAACCGAATGTTGCCTGCCTTGTAGTTGTGAGGGATGCCGGGCGTTTTCGTGCGTGCCAGATAGATGACCCGCTGGAAGTTGCGGGCTCGTTTGCGATTGAATCGCTCAACCGCTCCCTGCACCTCGGGGCACTTCGCATCATCTAGAAGAAACACACGGAAGCTATCCCGGGGGTAGTCCTGCGACGCGGCCCCAGCAACCGTATCCATGATCACGTCCAGGTCCTCTCCGCAGCAGGTAATGTATACATCCACTGAGGGAGCATCCTCCCCTCGCAGATGATACGAATCACGATGCACAGGTTTCCGACCGAACGCAACGTGAAGGGAAATCTCCATTCGCGACACGAATTCCGGCACGAGGGTCATCATCTCAATTAGGATGTTGAGCCACAGGAAGCGCCAGACTGAATCGTTCGGCACGGGCAAGCTCCATGTGAACCGGACTCGCCATGCAAGATATGCGAAGTAGAGCACCCAGGTTAGGATATGCGCGCCTACAACCACGGGCGAGTCCAACGGAAAGGTCCCGAGATAGGGGATTCTCTCAATTTGGTAGGGCCCATGGTCCTCGCAGCAGCCGCTCTTCTCGATACGCGTTGCGGTCACTGTTTGAGAGCTTGACATCGTGGTCTAGATACCGGAAATGGCTCCCTTTGTTTATTCTGTCTTGTGAGGGAGAAACCCTCATATATCCCAAGACATATATATAGAGAGAGAGTATCTGTTGACATGTCGGTGTAGAAACCTAACCAAGACGGATGTATTGCTCGTGCAGGAGCCAATATCCTGCGCCGGCCCTGAATGATATACATCACAAGCACATCCTGATAAACACACCGCCGTTCCCTTGCATGCTGCATGTTGAATCCACGTAGAATGGCGATATTTAGTTAGAAGTTGAGACTCAAAGCTTCGACAGAGGACAGTATATCACACATGCAAGCCACTCTGACACACCGCTATTACCTCTTGCATTAGGGCATAGAATGACAAGTCCGCAGGACAGGACCACAGCTGTGGTCCAATACCTGTCATAGGACCTGCAGCAGATAAGCAGTTTCGTCGAATAGTGTGGGCTTCAGAGATACCGCTGGACTACGAAAGAACCATGGCCGCTTTGAGAGGTCGTGACAAGCATCATGATTGCAGGTACCCACCTAGATTTCCGATAGTGTACATTGGGCAACGTAAGGGACCGCCTTTTTGTTAGTGAAGTCGATCTTTTTTCTACGGTAGATATATGGTCATATATCCAGTCTCTCTCCCTTGTCTATATATCTACCTATTGTTGCACAAGATAACACCTTGAACCACATACTCAGATTTTCTATAATCTAAATGGATACCAGGGTTTCCATAAGAAATGCCTTGCTGGCGGATACAGCAGACAAGATCACTGTCTGTGGCATCGTTGAGGAGGCAATCCACGAAGACCCCATCACCCTCCTTGTCAATGATGGTTCCACCATATCCCCCATTCGAGCCATGCTGCGTGAGAACCAGGTGAAGGATGCGTCAGTCCTTTCACGAGGATGCACCGTGCAGCTTCATGGAACATTACAACCCCCCAAACAATCCACCCTGTGCCAGGGCAAATCCCATGTCCTGGTTGTCAACGACTACGGGATCCTCGGTCCGGCCGACTCTGCGACCTTCCCTCTTGCTCAGCATGGCGCGTCCACGGAGTTTCTCGATCGCAATCCTCACCTTCGTATCCGCACGCCTAGGTATGCTCATCTCGCGCGGTTTCGATCCGCGGCTCTGTCCGCGCTCAGTACTTTCTTCGACTCTCATCCGGACGGGCCTTTCTACCAGGTGCAATTGCCCATGCTCACCTGGACGGACTGTGAGGGCGGAGCAGAGGTGTTCGCGGCTCCAACTCAGTGCTCGAAGCGCGAGGGAATGGACATGAAGGATACTTACTTTGGATCGCGGAGATACCTCAATGTTTCTGCCGTCTTCCACGCCGAAGCCTTTGTGCAAGGCCTCGACCGTGTCTGGACTCTGGCGCCCTGCTGGCGAGCGGAAAGGACTGATGGTAGTCGACACCTGGCAGAGTTTTGGATGCTCGAGGTGGCGATGAATTACATTACGACACTGGAGCCGTTGTATGGGCTCATGGAAGAAACCATCCACGGCATTGTGACCCGACTGGAAAACAGCGCCAGCGGACAGGAGATGCTGTCTCAGCCCGGTTCAAACGAGCTCCGACAGCGCTGGGACAAGCTCTTGACCTCCAAGTGGCCACGGATTACTTTTGCAGAGGCCACAAAGCTACTTGAGCCCATCCGCGCTGCAAATGGACATGCCTCAGCGCCGCAATCTACCGCCCCACGAGACATCTCGGGGGAGGAAGAGAAGTACCTCTGCGCCCATTTCGACTCGCCTGTCTTCTTGACACATTTCCCGTCCCGGATTCGCCTGTTCCAGGCCGCGCAGTCTGTCGGACACATAGGTGACATCCCGCCCGGCACAGAAATAGACCCCGAGCAGACGACCGAAGCATTCGATCTTCTGCTCCCAGGGATCGGAGAGATCTGTAGCGGTGGCCTCCGAGAGCACCGTCTGGACGTGCTGATTGATACCATGCGGAAGAAATACTTTCTGAGGGGACAAAGCAAGGGCCATGTAGAGGACCAGAACGCGCCCGCGGACGCGAAGCCATATCCGTACTTGCATCCCGGGGAGAACATCGGCTCCCTGGAGTGGTTCACGGACTTGCGCCGGTGGGGAACGTCGCCGCATGGGGGCTTTGGCATCGGCTTCGAGAGGCTGCTGCAGTATCTTACGGGTGCAGATACAGTCAAGGAGGTGGTTTCATTTCCTCGATACTGGGGCGTTTGTGGCTGCTGAGACATACGGACTCGATTGAGTACTATTCTTGGAAATATATCAGACGTCCACCTATAGAGTAGGGTATGGCAAAATAAGGCCAGCACAGTGTTGTGTCAGGAAAGTAACGAACTCTATACCAGGTGAACTTCCATCCCTTCACGTTGTCCTGGCCCAACATTATAGTTGTCTTCAGTGCAAATCTTGCGTAGATGCTGCACGCAGCCTGTATATAGCACTTGACGAGTCGCTGCACGTTGACTGGGTGTTGATATGGTAGTTGATCACACCGATGTCAAGACTTGCAGGTCGTGGACGTGTAACACCTATTAAGTATAGGATGATACCCCAGCACAAAAGTACAATACGTGATAGATCTAGGAGCAATAGAGTAGACATCCCAATCACAGTGTATATGTTGGATGGGAACTACTCCGTATACTCTCCTCTAACATCGCTTATCGGCTTATCACTTATCGCTTATCGGTCTATCGATTGCCCTGGGTCGCTCCTTCCCAATCGGGACATTGCAAGTCGAGGTCCTTCTCTCGCTGGGGATTTACTCTTCTTCTCTTCTCTCTTCTCTCTTCTCTCGTTGGATTTTGAACCTAGTTCACGTTGGCAAAATGGCGGAAGAATCCGGGTTCATAGTAACGTTGGACACAAAACTCTTCTGGATGCTTTTCGTTGGCTACATCACGTGGAAGCTGACATCGTTGCTCGATCCCCTCATGGAGAACGAGCTGATGCCACGGATCCACGCCGCGTTCGAACGGCGTTGGTATGCTTCTAACCCCCCAGATGACCTGAGCAAGCCGGGTTAACTCTATAATAGGCCGCTTCATCCGGCGAGAGCCTCAGAGGCCGGACCAGGCCCAGCCAGACAGTATGTCGATTCCGGTACCCAGACCGGAACATACTCATCTGCGGGTCTGTCGCGTCCGGTAATGGGGCCAGGCCGAGAGACTGCCGTGACCGGTATCCAGCCCGGGCCAGTCTCTGCCGCGGGAGCTGTCGTGTCCGGTAACCAGCCCGGCCCAGCTCGAGAGGCTGTCGCGTCCGGTAACCAGCCCGGGCCAGTCTCAGCCGCGGGGCCTACAAGCAGTGGCACCCCGCGCCGACGTCGCTTTGGCTCCTCCAGGTGGGGGTCGGATTGAAAAGTCCGATTCGCTGACCTGGGCCAAGGGTAGACGAAAGGCGTCACGAGCATCCACCGCCAGTCACTGGGTCAAGCCTCAGAGGTGGTTCTGCCGTAGTGGCAACACTGCGGTAGTAATCAGCCTCTAACCAGTGACGACAATAGAGTCAGCGAAAAGCATCCACAAGAGCTTTGTGTCGGGGGGGGGGGGGAGGGAGGGGAGGAGGAGTAGTTTGTTGGTGTGTTTCCTGTCACTATTCCCTTTTATATGGCTGCCTGACAAATTAGGTTGGTGTGGAGGGATGCTGAGTCAGAGCCGGAGTCCCGGCGCCGTCAAGTTGAGTAAGAGTAAGTTGATGCTTCCTCACGTCTTCACTCCATCACCAAGCCCAGTCCTCCCCCATCATACCATCAGTTATCCCAAGCAACCCAAGATGATACAGATGACCTTACTTTGCAAAACAGAAAGTCATTGTGAGTAGGTCCCCTTCGGTTTATTTGAGGTGAGTTCTCCCTTGCTGGTGTGTGCGCCCCCGATGACAACTCATTCGTCCTTGCACCATAAATGCCCCCACAATTTCCCAGATCGCTCCGCCTTCATCGATCCAAACCCATTTCCCACTGAACGTTCTTTGTGGGTGCAGCCGTCTGCTAACACTCAGCCATTCCCAGCGCACCCAGCGGCCCGCAATGTCTGCCGGTCGCAAGGTCTTCCACTGCGCGGTGGACGAAACGGCGCTGACCACCAACGTCAGTGAAATCAAGAAATGGACGGCCAACGGAGCGATCACGCTGGTCGTGCCCCTGTACAGTAAGTAGGCCGCGCTGTCAGCTGGTTGGGTCAGATTTGCTCATGCGGTCGCCGTGTCTAGCCCTTGAACGCCTCCACGCCCTGAAAAAAGCCGGATCGCAAGTCGCCATCAACGCCCGCGAGGCCGTCCGCTTCCTCGATCGTGTGACCTCCGGCAAGGATAGTGTTCCCTCGGACCGCGTGGTTCTGCAGGGTCCAATGGAGCAGTATGACGACTGGACCGAGACAGACCCTTTTTTTCTGCCCGAGTTCGAGGAGGAACCAGAGGTTGACGGCACCGAGGGCCTCGACCTAACCGACTCAGCCGCCCCAGCCAAACCCGAGGACAAGAGGAAGGAGGTGAAGAGAAACGGCGCGGGCCAGGACGATCTGTCGCAGATGCTCCTCAGCAAACTCAACTTCAAAAAGGACTCGGACGCGGTGTCGCTCCCCTCCACCGGCACTCACAGTGGCCACGGCTCGCGTCCGTCCTCCAGGAGCTCCCGAACCAGCCCCGAATGTGCCAACTCCCACATGGTTGAAAACGGTGGATCGAAGGACCCCAAGGCGAAACCGTCCGGTGGGCATCGTCGCTCGGCGTCGGCGTCCGCCATTCCCGTCGTGCCCACCGCGCTCCGCCCGTTGCTCAGCGCGCTGCTCTGGCGTCTGCACACGGGGCCGGATGCTTCCAACGCCGCCAAAAGCTGCATTCTCGTCTCGAACGACCGGGCCACGCAGGTCTGGGCCCAGAAATACGGAATCGCCGTCAAGAATATCCACCAACTGCGGACGTCCATCCAATACGAGGAGCGGGAGTACAAGAACCGATGCAAGTACGTCGAGAAGACCCAGCCCGCCGATCCCAAAACTCTGCTGTCGTACGACGAAGAGAGCGAGGAGGATGAGCTCGTGTTTGTCCCGCGCGGACGAGGCAAGGGCGCTTCCAAAGGCGGCAATGCGCGTGGAGGGAATGGCCGCAAGGCGGCGATCTCAAAAACAGCCCCGCCCCCGGTCGAGCAGACGATGGAGGTCCCGACCCAGCCCATCGATCCGAACTCGTTCAGTCGGTCTCTCCGCGTTCCCCCGAAGCCGCAGCCGCCGACGGTCGACCTCAGCACGCAGACCGGCGCGGCCCGTGGTATGGCCGGGACCTCGCGCCACCCCCACACGGGTCGTCGCGGGGGAGCTCGCGGCGGCTCTCGCGGCAGCGGCCGTGGACAGGGCAAGCTGTGGGTTCCTTGATCCATACGGGTCTTCCCTGTCGATTCAGTTTTATTCGACAGGTCTCTCTACATAATTTCGAATCAGACCACCGTGGTTATTAGTCGACGCAGCACAAGAGGAAATTTCCCTGCCGGTACCGAGTCTACCTCCGGATCCCATTGTCGGTGGAGACCGAGACTTCATGGATCCTTAAAGGGGGCGACGGCCCTGGACGAATGACGTGGGTATCAGGCGGTCGGATGCAGCAGTCGGAATGGCACGGACGGTTACCATGCAGAGACGCTCCATGCACATGGCGAGTTCGGTTGCACTGAAATTCGGGTTCCCCGGTTGGGCGCGATCTACGCTGGTCCTTGCAGTTTGCCCCTCGTGCCTTTTTTTCGTTTCTTGTTTGCGTGGACTGTGGGGGGGCGACACGGTTTTGACCGATGAATTTGTCTTCCTTATGCGCCGGGAATACGGTGTGTTGTGGTATTGGCGTGGTGTTGCGTCCTTCCCATTTCCCCACCCATACGAAACCCATCCACCTGTGTTTTTTTATTATTGATGTTTAAGTCCGCGGGTGTGAAAGATACGCCGACAGTGTTTTAGCTGAGATTTCAGATGCGAAGCAGAAATAATACAATGAGCGTGACTGGTTGACGATCGAGTATAGAGACCGTAGGGTGAGACGCACTGGTGTCACAGGTAGCGAACTAAGGGCACATCGTTACCAGGACGAGGTAGTTCGTGTTGGGACTGTGAGCCCCGCCGTCTCGTGGATCGGATGACTCCTTTTCTTATTTCTCTCTTTGTTTCTTCTACTACAATATCTTTTCTCTACCTTCCACTGCAGAACTATCAATAAGAGACATTCTTCCATCTATCGATACCGATCGTAGTCGAGTCTCGTATCTTATCGCCCCGCTTCCCCACCAGAACCATCGCCCGTCACCGTCAGCACGATGGACACCCCCGTCGTCGACCACTCCTCTCTGGGCGCCTCGCCCACTGAACGGCGCAACTCGCTTGAGCGACACCTGCAGTTGCGTCCGGAGGCGAAGGATCTGAAGGATCGTCACATCTTGTTGGATACGAGCGTTGCTCCGTATGTACTCCCCTCCTGGTTCTCGAGTGTACTATATGCACCATACTATCGTGCACCTCGTGTCATATCACGATAAGATCAACCTATCAGCTCTTTACTAACTGTAGATATATTGAATAGCTCCCTCCAAGCCGCCCGTCAAGACCTCGCCCGCCAGCGCACCACCGACGCCCTGAAGAAACAGCTCGAGCATCGTCCCGATCGGGAGGAACTGGTTGAGCGTATGCTCTTCTTTTCTTTCCTCCCTCTATGATACTACCCCTTCACCTCCCTACGTTGTTCACTCCGTAAAACACATATACTGATAAAAGCATAAATAAATATAGGAAACATCCTCCCAGACACAACCGCCGCCCCGGCCCTCCAGGCCCACGCCCGCGACCTCGACCGACAGATGCGCGCTGATCGCCTCGATCATAAGATTCAGGAGAGGCCGATGCCGGAGCAGTTGATTGAGCAGGGGATTTTGAGTCAGGAGGAGGATCCGAGGAGGGGGGGTGTTTAGCCTTCCCTCATTTATCTGCCTATCTGCTTATCTACTTGGGGGAAAGGGTTTGGTTGTGGGTGAGTAGCTGGCTGGCTAGGTAGCTGGGCTTGGGATGGCGTGAGATGCATGTTTTGTTTTGTTGTTTGCTTTGTTGAGTGGTTACTGTTTTGTTTTTGTCTGTTTTGTGTCGTTTGCGATGGTTGATGATGCAGGTGTATTTACTGGTCTGAGTGTAGTTGCAGTTCATTTATTGTTCATACTCGTCACATGAGTACTTTCTCATCACGCGTACATATCATGTCCCTGAACCCGTTCTCCCACTTCATATACTCACAAGTTTAATCAAGCAACCTCCACCTGCTCCGCGCTCAAATCCGGCATCCACCCCGCTGGCCTCTCACTCCCACGCACCAGAACCCCATACGCCGCCCGCTCCACCTTCTCGACACTCGCCTGCATGACCTCGACCTTCTTGTGCAGATCGCGAAACATCCACCCATGCTTCCGCGGGACACTCAGCGCCTCGGCCAGCGACCGCACCTCGCGCAGGTCGAACACGATCCCCGCTTGTGGCGCCGCCAGACGCGGATACATAATATTCGACTCAGCCTCCGCCTCCGACCGCTCGATGACCCCACTTGACAAGGACGTAATGGCAAACCGCATCATCTCGCCTGTAAGGTCGAACACACCCATTAGGTAGTCTTCCTCGGAGACGGGCACCGCACCGTCGAGGAGCCGCGCGCGCACCTCGTCGATTGTGATGAGCGTTTGAGTCTCGAGGTAGTGGTGGAAGGAGAGCGCTTCGATGAACTCTTGTAGGCCGGGGCTGATTTGGCGCGCGTAGCGGTGTTTGTGCAGTGGGGCAGTGATGTCTGGGAGGGCGGTCTTGAAGAGTTCGGTGATTTGGGCGAATCGGGAGGTGGTTTCTTTGGTGATGTTTGGGGGGAGGGGGGCGTTAAGGGTGCGGACTCTGTTTGTTTTAGTATTGTTTTGGGGTTTATCTTGTTGGTATGCTGGGTTGTTTATGTTGGGGTTGGGAGGTACCGCTGTAAAGAGAAGATACTACACAAAAATTAGCATGTGTGGTCACATCAGTATATACAACAAAAATAGAAAGAAATACATCTTCTTGCTCAACGCCGTAATATCCCGACTAATCTTCGTCAATCTCTCCCGCCGATCATGATGCTCATCCAGCTCGTCGCGGAACGTCCCAAAGATGGACAGAATCTGGCTCGATTGGTCGCTCATCGTGACGTCGGCCGTATCCGCTTGCGTGTCCTTATCGCGGAGGAGGGTTCCTTCCCAGGAGCGTTTGGTTCCGGCCATGAGAGTGAGACGGTGAGATATTGGAGAAGAAGAAGTGTGGAGGAGCAGCGGAAGTTGGTTTGACTGATGGGACCTTACTCGATTGGGGTGATCGTTATCTGATAAGATCGTTGCCTGAGGCAGGTAGTGACGATGATATCGATCTCATCCAAAACACCTTGAGTTTTCTTTACTTCCATGTGATTGAAACCAAATAGAGGGTTCATACTGTGGTAATTACTTTCACGATTACCTTCAGAAACAGATATCAGTCACCAGCAAGTTGGAAATATTGAAGTTCAGCGAGTAATGAAAAGAAGCAGTAAGGCTTAAGAGGATACATAGTAGGTGTATATCATAGATTCAACCTTTGCATTGGGGGATGGCCAAAGAAAGAAAGTTTTTGAGAAGCATATCTGGATATTCAAGGCCCAATGATGCTTTTGTGCTTTCTCAACGCCCGTCGGTGCATGGCTTCAGCTTCTGTATACTTACCCTGTCCCAAACACCTTCTCTCTTTCATGTTATGGCGCCCTGGGTACAGGCCGAGAGATAATGCGCCTGTGTCCAAGAGAAAATATTTCCTAAGTCCAGATTCTGCATTCATTATGACTTGTACCCGGTAGATATCCCGAAAAATCAAACAAACCAAATTGGAATTGTATACGCATTCTTTCCTATCGAGTGACAAAGGAACAAGTACCACCTGAACAACTTTCCATCATCTACCCAGTAGAGATGCAGGCCATGGAAACACAACATTGGTGATCGGACTGGACTCATCGAAAAAGAACAGCCCATTGATCCACCGTTTGATAACCAACTGTACGGGGCGTCTTTGTGGCGAGCCCCGTAACTCAACCTCTAAAGAGACATGTTTTTCGGTGCCGTCTTTACTCCTCTCTGCCGGACATACTGCGGTAAAAACATACGTCTCCTCCTCTGTTGTCCATGGATGATCTGTCTCTCTAATAAAAATTCCCCGATACGGATCAGTATCTGAATTCTTGCCTTTATGAGAGATTATGCAGCCCAATCGAAGCCGAAGTGAGTCCCGATCATCCATTGCCTTGACAATCTCCTCTGCCATGAGATCCTTGTAGTATTTGGCAAATGTGACTCTTTCACTTTTCCACGTTTCATCTTCCTTGAGATACACTTTGATAGCGCTTGCCATATGTTGATAGCGCTTTCCAAGATCCCCTGAAGCTAAATGTCTAGCGAGCTGATCTAAACGCTTTCTTTGGTAGTAATTCAATTTATGATCGGCGCCACGTGATGGTCGCGGCGCCCTCGCATCCTCAACTATTTTGCCCAACTTCCAGAGGTGACCGGACGTGAGAATCCCTTCTTCAGACAACTTGACGACGGGGAAACGACAGCGTTTAATGAATGTAAGTTTTTGATGGATATCGGGTGGCTGAAACGTGCGAAGAGACTGGTCCCTCAAGTAATCGAATATCCCGCTTCTAAGGGCGCGTCGGGAGTTACCCGGGCTGTTCATGAGGATTTCCCCGTTCAGTAAGAATAGAGCCAGCATCGCAATGCTCAGGCTGTATTTCCTACCTTCCACCTTTTTGGTATCCAATCGGACAGGGTAACCTAAACAGTTGGCGATCACTGCTAGACGGTCCGATTCAACGGCAATCTTTCGCTTTCCAACATTCGAGAATACCATTGGAGACATGGATCTCCTGATCGTCGCGTTTCCCTCATTATCGGGCTCAAGCAGCTGAACATTGTATTTCCCAGCCCTCTGTAAGATTTTATCGCACTCGGTCTTAAATTGTGGGTTCTCTCGATACTCCATGCAAAACTCGGTGGCCTGAGAGCGAAAGTCGGCCGATGGGATGCAAAGCTCTCCCTCCAAATCGTCCAATAAGTCAGTGTTTTCCTCTTTGAGATCCGTCAGAGAGGGCGAGTGAGGAATTAGAAGTTTCATCTTTGTTGACGCGCAGTAGTCTTCCTGAAATGTCCAGCCTCTTTCCCACCACGGATCAGATGTGATGTATCCTAGAAGGTCGAGAATGCTGGGGATCTGGCATTCTTCCTGGCCCCTCGGTGGATTGTCTCTCTTAAGGATATATATCAAGCTCCTTAAATGGCTCCTCGATTCTATCCGTACCGACAGCAACGCCACTGAGCAGGCACTGTAACTGTACACACGCTCCATGGATTGGATGGCACACTGCTTTTCCGCGTCGTTATTTTGATCAATGCATTCCTGATCGATCCAGAAGCCCTGAACGTGGAATTGCGTAGCCTTCCAGTAATTGAAAAATGCGATGACCCTGTCAAGCACCTGATCTCTGACATGGCTGCTACAAAAGTTCCCATTCCGCGATTGTACCAGATAAGCCCCACAAGAGATAGGCTGGTTCGCGGGGGGCGTCCAGGTATAAGATAGAGCAATATATTTCCTGTTCCGACATGAATTGACATTTGTTCTCCTGAGCAATTTCTTTCCAGAGTTGTTCGCTACTCTGCCACCATCCCAGCGCCGTTTACGACTTTGGTTCAAAGCACTGGGGTACAGGATATCCAATCGCTTGATCCAATCCAAGGACCGTACGTCAAATAACCCGTGCTTTTGAAGGCCAAGCAATGTGGATACAGTAGATGAAGAGGTTCGACGGTTGATGTTCTCAAGAGTATGGGAGGTGTCGGCTTGCATTTTGGAAGTAGGCAATTGTATTCTCTGGGGTTCTGGGGAGACTGTTAACTTCAAGCGGCCGATTGTTTAGTTTAAGTACGAGGCTGGGGATCCAAGGCTCCCATCGAGGCTGATTCTCAGAGGCTTAGGGCCCTCCGACTTGACAGGGATGATGTGTATCTACACCAATTCATCACAAACTAATGCATCATGATCACGTTCATCACCCAATAGATAATTCACACTGAGTCGGATAGGAGCAATCCCTAGATATAGTTAGATACTGGCAGTCACTGGACGCCGAGAATATCACACAAGTTTTAGGGTCGATATACTTCACACTCGAGATATAGAAGTAACACTGTTGTGTCTGGTTTTTTTTTTTTTAATGTTTCAGTCATCTGTGAATTTCTGGTTTTAAGCATGTGCTTAGAATGCTGCTGCTCAAAGCCACTATAGATATAATAGATAGCGATTAAAAAAGGCTATGCTAGTTGGGTGAATGATATCTGCTATGCAACATGCTCGGTTGGGCAGTATCTTGCGCAAGAGCAAAGAATAAACAAAAGACATATAAAACGAAAGGAAGAAGATGATCATTAAGAAAATCCTGTCAACTCATGATCTTTGACACTCCATGACCATGTCAAATTATCTTCTTTTGGAATGCCAGTCAGGTTAGCTCTACACCAGACGTTTGGCGTAGCGGCTAAGATCTTCCCGTCGCCTTCCAAACCTCAATAGATTCTATGCACACCTCAACCAAACCATCCTCTCTCCATGGACTGACAGAGTAAATCGGGTTTGTTTGGTTCACATTCTTGATGAGAGTCGCCCGAGTCATACTCGCCTCCAGAACCATCGCAGCCCCGTCCGCTGTATCCCCAAAGCAGAGCCGGTCTCGAGAAGCAGTCCAGCCTGGCCGTCCAAGATTTCCTCGTGATATGTCATGCCCCGGGCTCAGTTCGAACAAACAACAGGAGCGTGTATAGTAATACTCCTTCGACGCATCATGGATCGCCGAGACATCCACCGATGGATTGGGGATGACTGCTCCGAAAATGACATTTTCATCTGTGTGTGAGGTCTTGCCGTAGATCAGAAGGATGGTAAGTCGCACTGCATTCCGGGGATCGGCTGCGTTGAGTGAATCGAGCACGCAGGTGACATTGCAGGGGGGCTCGTATCGTTGAGGTGCCTGCAACTTATTCCGGAAGAGGTCGCTCCCAAAACAGAGCCGGAGTTGAGCGAAACGGGCAAATGTCAAGGAGGTCCCGAAATCGCTCAGCAGCCCTTTCATAGCGGACACGGCGGGTCGGCTTGGTTTGGTTCTGGAGAAGCTTATCGCTATTTCCGAGATCGGTAGGAGTAAGTAAGGCTGGTTCCGTGGATGTGAGCATAGTCTCTCGTGGGGATCCGGGAATCCTTCAAACTCACCATTAATCGCATGGCATCGTCAAACATTGGCCAGGTGATCCCTACACCGGCAATGCGAAAGAACGGCCGAACCATGCTGTTGACCACTCGATCAAGGTCGGGAAATATGCTGATTTCCATACCTCCGGTGTTCCCAAACTGGCCAAGCAACAGAAACTTGACCAAGCAGCGGAACCTGTCCCGGGGGATTGAAAGATGGTGGAGATGCAAGTCATCCCCGTGCAATTCTCTTGCCAACCCGCGGAAATGCTCCAGGGGGACCACCGGTCCCGCTTGGCGCCTCTGGGAAGCCCAGATGAAGCACAAGGTGTCGTAATACATCTCATCGCCGTGCTCGTCGTAGTTGGAGCGCTGTGCCTCCGGGTCTTGCGACGACACATCGTCCAGCTCAGACGATCTCCACGCTGCCTGCCTGCTCCACTCCTCGGCGTCAAAGGGCAGCTTTCGCCCATCGCGCGTCGTAGCCAGGCTCTGGAATACTAGTCGCCTGCGGTCTGACTTTGTTCGGTACCGCCAGGGTCCCCTAGTATGTCCACCGCTCAGATTCAATACAAGCAAATCGGAAAACTCACACGCCCGAAAGAACTCTTCGACCGTCATGGTCTTGGGAGGGCTCCGGACAAACGGGAACGCAGATAAGTAGAGGAAGCCCTGGTAGAGGATGCGTCCCTGTTCCTGCAAAGACGACGGGAGAGCGCCGTGTCTGTGCAAAATTGACAGGAACCCTTCCTCGGAGGTGCGCCATTCTCCAGATCTTGTCCTTGTCGCGTGTTCGTGGAAGAGCTCCTTGAAGCGGACATCCTTGTATCTGTCTCTATTCAGCTTTATCATTCGATCCATGATCGCGTCCTTCTCCATCGCCCCTTCGCAAATAAGTTCGTCCAGTCTTTCATCACCCGACATGATTGCAAAAAAGAAGGGTGTTTCAAGAACCACAGACAGATTTCCGACGTCGGATGCTTGGTCTGCATTTCGTGTGGCTTTCAGGTGAGGTTGCGGTGACCGTATAGAACACTAAATGTTAGTGCTGATAGACTTGCGATGAGTCAACGCCGACTCGTAACTAGCTGTACGGGGTAACTATGATATTAGACTAGGGACCGAGTCTAAAACGGGTCCACTATTCAGGTGTGTCATCGGAAAGAAAGTGAGTTGATTCAACATGGAGATCTGCGGTATCATTTTGACCCGACACGTCATTATCATCAATCCAACCAATACCCTTAATCAATACTTATTAATATACAAGACACGACATGATTAACAAAGTACAGTACACCCTACCACCACTCTCTCTTACTCCAAAGTAATCTTCTTACTCCCCCCCTTAGTCGCCTTCGGCACATCCACCTTCAACACCCCCTCCTTCAACTTCGCCTTCACATTCTCCTGGTTAACAGGCGCAGGGAAGTGAAAGCTGCGGTGGAAAGACCCAAAGCTCCTCTCAGTCGTCACAAACCGCGACCCGCCCTCGGCAGTCTTGTCCTCCTCCTCCTTGTGCTCGCGCTGCGTCGACCCGTTCACGACGAGCGTGTGCGCGTCCGTGAACTCCACGTTGACGTCTTTCTGCGCGACGCCGGGAAGCTCGCCTTCCAGGTGGTAGGCTTCTTTGTCTTCGCGCACGTCGAAGCGGGGGGTGAAGCTGCGGGCGGAGAGGAGGGCAGGCGACTTGGTAGACAGGTGGTCGTGGTAGTCGTCGAGGAGGCGGAAGAGGGAGGTTACGTTCTCCGGGTTGCTGCTGGGGAAGGCGGAGATGAGAGACATTTTGATTGTTTGAAAGTGTTGACTTGAGTGGATTTTTGATTATGGGTTTGATTTGATTGTTGTTTTGAAGGTAAGGATTGCGAGCTATTCCTGGTATTTATATGCATGGGGGGTGGATAGTATGGTTCGGATGGGGATTAAGCTCCCGGTTGTAGTCCCCGCCGACTATAAATTGTGGAACGCCCCGCGTCAACGTCATAGACATGAACATTTAATACTACAGATGAACAATACTAGTCATGGGTGGCTCCCGGATTGGGATTACTATACCCTAAAAAAGCGGGGAAAGTCAAATCGAGATATTCATTCAGTGGTTGCCGTCATTAACACTACGATGAAGTCATGAAGCATCAACATATCCATTCTGGTCCAGCTCCGATACATGACGAGCTACACCATCATGTGCCACGGATGACGCCTGGAGTCCTCCCTGTCCATTTATTGGCCGAGGAATTGGTACTTCAGCGGGGCGTCGCCGGGTTTCAGGCCCGTGACCGTCACCTTCTGGTCGTCCCCAGGAACCACGTCGATGGCGCTGTCCGACAACTTGACTCCGTCTCGCTCCTCGAAGACAAGACATTTGACGGGCTTTTGGGTGCTGAGGAGGAGGACTTGCTCATCTCCGGACTCGGACACCTTCTCGACAGTCAGTCCCCGGTTGGACAGGTCGAGGTACTTGAACGGCTGCGGCCAGTCCACGTCGCGAGCCACAAGATTGCCATCCACCCAGACGCGAGCGGAGAGCACATGGGGTTCAGGGAACTGGGAGTAGTCGATGACCCCGTCGACGATGATGTTCGTGGTGCCGTTGGCCACGATCGTCACGTTGTCTTGGACGAAGCGCTCGCGGACCTCGAGTCCGGTGTCGATGGAGAGGAATCGAAGTTCCACCATGCCGACGGCCTCCTTTTGGAGGCTGCTGGCCAGCCACAGCTCGAACTTGCTGGTCTTGGGCGGTTGAGCATGGCTCACGCTCCAGTCGTGATGCTCTCGTCGCACACCCACCGCGATGGGCTTCAGGACACGGGACACCGCGTAGAACGCAGGCTTGGGACGCAGGAAGTAGTCCACAATCGCCCATGAGATAGTGGGCCAGCAGTCATTCAGCTGCCAGAGGAGCGCACCACCGCAGTGTCTGTCGTCACCCCACTGGCGCCGCCAGCCCCGGTATCCGAACATCATCGTCTCGGCTTGAACGACTTGGGTCAGGTAGATGTAGGTCTGTACTCGTTAGTTTGACGTACATTCCTAGATAGGACGAGACCATACCTCGAGATCCGTAGACGTCCTGAGATTCTCAACGAGATAAGTGGCAATCCGCCGCTCGTGGCCATCGGCCTTGTTATGGAAATCCAGCACATGAGACTGAGGGTACAGATCCTTCTCATTCTCGACAAAGTGCTTAACTGTCGACATGTGAGGGAAGGCCTCCATTCCGAACTCGCTGTTAAAGCGGCCCCCGAGGGTGTCGAAAATCTGGTATTTCTCTTGCGTACCATGCCAGACTGTTCCTGGTTAGCAATTTTCTTGTAATCATCGGGCCATAAAGCCTACCATTCCACTGGTGCATATCGCCCACGGTGGGATCCGACGTCACCTTGCCATCTCCCCACGGGCTACCAAAGTGGTAGACGGTCTTGGGGGAAACTTTGCTGACCACAGACGGCAGGATCTTCTCGTAGATGTAGCGAGCGGGGAAATCCGTCTTTAACCAGCTCTCGGGGTCTTGGTCTTCGTAGTTATAGGTCAGACCATTCTGCTCCTGGACCTGGTAGTCCTCGTTGTTTCCAACGTAAATGACAATGGACGGGTGGTGGCGCAGCCGGCGGACATTGTAAATCGCCTCCTCTTCGACCGACGCCAACAAGTCGGGCCAGGTTGGATAATTGCCGCAGCCAAACATGAAGTCCTGCCAGACCAGAACTCCAAGTTCGTCGCAGGCGTCGTAGAAACTGTCGTCTTCATAGCAGCCACCGCCCCAGACCCTACATGCTGTCAGCTGAGTACCGCGAGGAATGGACTTGGTCTCCATACCTGATCATTGTCTGACGACCATGGACCATGAGCGCGATCCAGTTGCGATACCGTTCCGCGCTGATACTTGGCAGAAGATTGTCTGCGGGGATCCAGCACGACCCGCCGCAGAAGACATCGACTCCGTTGATGCGGAAGTAGAATGATTTGCCGTGCTTGTCCGGCTGTTGAATCAACTCCGCAGTGCGGATGCCAATGTTCTTCGAGACATTATGGATGGCCTGCTGTCCCTTTTCCAAGGAGGCAGACAGTTCATAGCGGGTCGGGTCACCGTAGCCATTAGGCCACCACAGAGCGGGATTCTGGACATCAAACGTCACAGTGGCGGTGCCCTGCTGCGGCGCGACGGTCTGGGTAGCAATTTCTTGCCCATGCAGACTCAACGTAAACCGGACATTGTACTCGTCTACACCAGTGGCCTCTACTTCAGCAAAAGCAGACACTTGCGCGGTCTGATGATCAGATGCTAACTGCACGTCTGTCCAGAGATCCGCGACCCGCGCAGAATACACCTCCAGCCGCACCGCACGCCATATACCCGCAGTCATCAGGACCGGGCCCCAGTCCCAGCCCCAGTGGTACTGTGCCTTCCGGACCGCCATTCTCGCCGGGTCTCCATTGAAGGAGGCCCAGTTATGGTTGGGGTCCTTCTTCCGAAGCTCCTTGGCCCGCAAGAACGCGCAGTCAAAGTCAATCTCCAGAACGTGGTCTCCCTCCGCCTGGAGGGCGTTTGTCACGTCTACCCGATGGGCAAGGAACATATTGGTGGACTCCAAGATCACCTGGCCGTCCAGTCTCACCGTTGCAAAGGTATCCAGACCGTCAAACGCCAGAACAATCGACGCCCCTGCGGGAACAGCCGGCTTCTGGATGACCTTTCGATAGGTCCACGACTTTTCATTGACCCATCTCGCGTCGAGTTCTTTGAATCCCACGTACGGGTCCTCCAGCCTGTACACGCCAAGGCACCATTCGGTTAGTGAGGTCTCTCATCACGGACTCCAGACAGGGCCATACTTGTTGTTTGCAATCAGGTCCTGCTGCACGACCGACGGAACCTTCGGAACCGACAGCCACGCACCCTCCGAGTGATCGTCGCTATCCTTGAAAGACCATCCCGTCGAGAGAGGGATCTGAGCGAATGCTGCCATTGTGGACGCCAAGCTTGATATCACGTGGGAAAACCAGAGTTGGGATCACCACCGCCGTAGAAACAGAGATGAATTGAAAGAATCATCCCAGCGACCGAGAGGGGGAAATCGGGTCCCTTTAGATATGTTACATCCATCTCCACGAAGCCATGAAGGTTGCAACACATTCCTTTCCCATCAAGGCCGTCGTGGAGAGCTCCACGGAGCTGCTCTCCGTGCCCCATGTGGTGTGCCTGCCTATTCAGGCAAGGCCAGTCACGGGGGAAGTCCGTCCCCAATCCGGTTAGCGTGTTTGGACTCCCTCTTCTCTGGTGATCTTTTTCCTCTTCTTTCCATTCCTTCTCGACTCTGTCTTAGGTTGATCCAGAAAAGTTCAGGTCGTCGAACGGATGGATTCTCTTTCAGACAAAGGAAAGGATTGCTCGTACCAAGGACTTTGGAACCAACAGTGAAACGGACACTCCCCGCACAATGCCCCCTCAGAGACGGGATGGGCCCCGCCTAGCTCTCTTGGGGACAGGCTGCTCGGACGAGAGAGGAAAGACTCGGCTTTCACAAGACTAATTTCCATCCATACAAATGTCTCGGTCCTTGTTCCTCCATCCAATTACCGTTCACAAGTTTCGACTAGGTTTTCTTCTTTAGGTGGTGTCTCCCGACACGGTGAGGCACACCTTACGAGATGGGGGAGAGAGACAGGACGGCTTCACATCCCGTGTTACTTCGCATTCTGTTGATCAATTCCCCAGGATTTGCTCTGAATACGACAAGGGAATACTCGGTGGTGCTGTGTAAAGATCAATTCTGCAGCTCTTTCGGTTTCAAGGATTTACTTGTGACGCGGCCGGCTGTTAGACGAGATTCTATTGCCGCCTCGACTTGGAGTACACCGTGTTCAATGTTCAATTACACTAAATGACCCCCGTGCAGCTGCCTTCGTCCTTAATTACGCTTTTGCTGCAGGGCGCTAAAGATGGTCTGACGGTCTAATAAGTTACCCCTCATCATACTCCCGATCCTTTTGTTTTCCCGGACGCAGGCCTGTGTGCACTACAGTCCTTGGTCTCCGGGTCCCAAATTGGGACGGGCGTTTTGCCATCCTGGGGGGCAGTGGAATTAAATGACTCACTTTCTTGACGTCAATGCTCCAACTTAGCCGTCTTCTATGTCCCCAGTTAATAAGTTATACACTTCGAGCAACGCAGATCAATTTATCCTATGCCATGATCCGCTCGGTACTTCGGCGCGCGCCTCCATCTATCCAATCACAGCCGCCACGAAACCGTGGGGCATCCCGAGACGCTCATCTGGGCGTTAGAGGGGGGCTTTCGGAAATCATTTCACATTGATTAACAAGTCAGCCGTTGCGGGCTGGTTGTGGCAACATCTTCGGTGCGCTGAGGACCGCCACCGCAGACTGCAATCTTAATCTGCCAGGATGACATAGTAGCTTGGCTAATCGACCACGGACCCTGGCTTTCCCTCGTACTTCAGACGTATATGATTCGCCTTATCCTTGATAGAAAGGCCGGGTGTTCTTTGGCTATCAGCGCACGGTCGTCTGATGATTCGAAGAAGCACAGACTACCGGATAGTTCGGCTCTTGGACGTCTATTCGGATGAAAGGGCGCGGGTAAGCCTGATTGCCTGGGTTGTTGAACCACCAATGCGAGCCAGGCCAGGGCTATACCAGTAGGGAAATTCAGGCTTTGGGGGGGGTTTAACCACCTTCTAGCAACGTCTATTCAGAAATCATCCCTCAGGGTGTACGTGTTGCCTCTGAGAATAGAACAGTGGGGTCAAAATTATTGTTGGCTAGTGGATGATTCGGAGAACCTGCCGCGCCAGAGGGGATCAACACCACAGGTTCTTTGGCATCGTTTCACGCCACCGGTACCTAGACACATGGGTTGATCGCAACGAAACCCTGCAGCGCTGTGACCCTATGATTTGCGGGGTGTGGAGGAGCCTGTAGGGACGCATCATGTCCTCTGGTTGCAACCCACAATTCCCCAGACCGGCACCTACAACCACCGGGTCCCTGTGATCGCTCAGGCGGGGCGTCCATAGCAACGCACATAGAACACCTACTCCGTGCAGTAATCATCTGTACTAGCCATCGAGCGCAACGTGTGGGGGAATACGATACCGCTATATAACAGTAAGCAGTCGATCCTTCCAGCGCACGATCGGTTCGCCAGCGGTGGGAACAGCATCAGCAAACCCCGGCACTGGATAGACAGAGTGGAAATTCGCCACAGGCCAATGGCGGATGACCACCCCGGTAAGCTCATGATGATGCCTAATAGCGCCGGCGTGATAATCTTGGCGATACCCCTTTAGTGAAATTAGACCTTGACTCTAGCGGGTTAGGGTTTGAGCCAACGCCGGTTGCTGATGCGGGTTGATGGGCCGGAGTGGCCGGAGTGGCGGCGTGCTCCGCTAGCGAGGTCGAGAGTGCCGACATCGAGGCTACGCTAGCCGTTCGTCCGTCTTCCTTCGTTGGTGGCTCATAGAGACTAGGTTCCAGGGCTCCCAGGTACTGTCGCAGGGCCTCGCGTATGCACCTGCAGAAATCTGTCCAAATAGTCCACTCGTGCATGACCATCCAAACTCAAGAATGCGGGGGAAGCAAAGCGAAACTCACGACCGTGTTGTCTGGTGACGATCTCGCAGGGACTACCGTCGCTGCAGGGTTGGGCGACAGAGAGCGGTAATCCTCTGGCCTGACGGCCGTTGAGATTATATCTGGTTGGACATCGCTCTGACCTTCGGTTCGACTCTAAAACACTCTTGTCACCTCTTCCCCGTTTTAAGCTTGACACATGCCTGCCCCGTGTAGCAGAGTCTATCAGCGATCATAACTGACTTCCACCTTATTATCGTTCTGATTTCTGCTTCTCCTGTGTGCTCTTGCCGACCATCGCGCCGTGCAATTATCTAGTGCTACACAATCCTAGCAGACCACATATCGCAGCATCGGGACCGGTGGACTGTTCCCTGCAGTTGTTGACGTACCGTGTGGTTCTGCGCTCCCGGTCCTCATTAGCCGGATCCTCTCTGTCGTTTGGGGGGCCCCTGACTTCGGTTGTTCTTGCTTGTTTATTAATTGAGTCTTTTATACCATCGGCCTTGTCTGTGTGCCGGGCCCCTAGCATGCCTTGAGCCGTCTGTGGCAGACTTTTTTCTTCCTCCTTGAAATCCTTACGGTCGTTGTCCAGCAAACAACAAGCTGCTTCTTGCAATGTTCCACACATTTGAAGGATTTGAGAACCCGGAGCCAGCGTCACAAACTCGGGGACGTACCGAGCGGCAGCCGTCGGTCGGTCGCCGGGTGACGACTCTTCGTGCCTGCACGTCCTGCAGACATCGCAAGATCAAATGCGATGGAGAAAGGCCTTGCGAGGCCTGCAGATGGTACAAGAAGGCTGACCACTGCCACTATTCAGACCCTCGTCCGTCCCGTAGGTGAGTGTTTTCTTCCTCTTTCACCCTCTGGGTCCGCCAAACATCTGGTCAATCTGACGACCGGAAACCGCAGGCATGTGGAGAAGCTCTCTACGACTCTAGATGAATATCGAAACGTGTTCGAGAGACTGTTCCCGAGCACCACCCCCGATGCCTTGCTCAACTTGCCTCGCGAGAAATTGCTTGAGCTAACAGCCAAGGGCTTCTCTCTGCCCCAAGGGCAGGCACATCATCCGGCCTCGCCGGCTAACTCGGGGTCTATCGAATCCCACGTATCTCCAATATCCAACGAAAATGGGAACCTGGAATCTCTACAGACCGTGCCAGATGAGTCGGGCGATAATCGGAGTCAGAACAGCAGCGAAACGGCCAATGGGATTTCTGACGATGTTAACGCTCTGTCCCTCTCGGCCAAACAACCCTCGTCCTATCTGGGGATTTCCTCCATACACGCTGTGCTCAAAGTGATTGTCTGGCTCGACCCAGGCTCAGTTTCATATCTATCCCGCCAGTCTGCTTCTGGGCCGTCCCGAGACTCGGTTGTGGATTATTCAACAAGAGACACCCAACCCTGGCAGGTTCAAGGGGTTACGCAAGCCCCTAGTCCGACCCACAATCACATGCCAACCACCGACATGCAATTACTCGATGCATATTTTACTTACTTCCAACCCTTCGTACCAATGATCGATGAACATGCCTTCCGGGAGACCTACCTTTCTGGGCACAGAAAAGATGACCGCTGGCTGGCTCTTCTGAACATCGTCTTTGCCCTCGGCAGTATTGCGGCATGTCCGGCCGACGATGCTTCCCACGAGACATACTACACGCGCTGCAAGGGCCACCTTGGCTTAGATTCCCTCGGCTCCTCCCACTTGGAGACCATACAGACGCTCGGCCTTCTGGGAGGCTACTACCTGCATTACACCAGCCAACCGAATCTGGCGTACTCCCTCATGGGGGCTGCACTGCGGATGGCTGCCGCTCTTGGACTGCACAAGGAATTCTCGGAAGGCCAGAATGATAGCAATAAGAACAGACTTTCTTCGGTAGATCTCAAGCGTCGGATATGGTGGTCGCTCTTTTGCTTGGACACGTGGGGTGCGATGACATTGGGGAGGCCCAGTATGGGTCGATTAGGTCCAACTATCACCGTGAAGCTGCCCAGCAATCGGGAGATGGTATGCTTTCCAATCCTAACGCACAGTGGTATTTTACTGACACGCGCTAGGGCAATGTACTTGATATCCTCCCGCTCCTGGAAAACGTCAGATTCTGCCAGATCGCCACTCAGATCCAAGAGATTCTGGCGGTAGCGCCTTTGACCAAACACCACGAGATCTCCCACTTTGACGGTCAACTGCTCGAGTGGTACGACAATCTTCCGAGCATCCTCAAAGACCACGAGCCATGCTCCGAATCCATGTCCACCACTCGGACGGTGATGAAATGGCGCTATCTAAACCAGCGAATGCTCCTCTATCGCCCGACACTCTTGAGCTACGCCATGCGTCGCGTGCCGTATATTGCGCTCCGCTCCGAGGAGCGGACAGCGATTGAGAGGTGCCGCGCGATTGCCGAGGTCACGATCCACGACATCGCCTCCACAGCGCAGTCCCACCAGATGTCGGGATGGAACGCCGTGTGGCTCTTGTTCCAGGCGACGATGGTGCCGTTGGTGGGCCTATTCTTGAACGACAATACCACATGTGACTCGCGGGCCACCAACGAAGCATGCCTGGCGCAAGTCGAGCTGGCGATACTCACCCTCGCACGCCTGCAGGCCTGGAGCCCTACCGCAAAGAAGACATTAGATGCCGTTTCGCGGATTGTTGAGGCCAGTAAACGAGGGCCCGACATGGCGGACGACGCGAGTATGAGCCACGAAAGCATTCCCGGACCGGCACCGGGCATTCTTCCCTCGCAGAACGAGTATAACCGCGTGACGATCGCGAATGAGGGCGGATTCTCCGATCCGTTTGCCGGTCCGTTCCTAGATGACTCGACCGGCCAGTATCTGTGGGATTTCCTGAGCTGGGGTGACAGTAGCTTGATGCCGGGCGTGGACAACGCCAACGAGGCTATGCTGCTTAGCCAGGACGATAAGGGCATGAAGTATGGGCCCAACGCTTCGGGTTTCTTTGGCGGGCCTGTCACTGCTGAGTCGGCTTATTTTGCCAACCCTGTATCCTTCTATGGATGATCCACCCTGGCGGTTGGAGGACACATCTGAGATGGTGACGTTCTTTCGAGAAACTTTCAATTCTTCCACTCGTTCTTTATTCCGGTGACATTGATGTGCCGGTTGTTGACATTAACATTTATTTATTTTTCCTTCTTTTGCACCTACTGAATTGCTGTTTTCACTATTTGATTGTTGCGAAGCATTTGGAGTGACTTTGGGATGGAGAGGGGGGATTAGGATTAGGGATGGCGGGATTGTATATAAGTATCAAGTTTAGTATTGTATCTATATCTGGTTATATGATTGTTCATTCCTACTGTGACGATATGTCTATATACAGATAGATATAGTTTATAGATATAGAAGGTAGAAGTATAGACCCAATTAGGCAATAGAGTGACGCTGAGTCAGCCTCCCACCGCCATCGCCAAACGTCACGTTTCGCTTCATGTTGATTCTCGCATAACATTTGCGACATCCATGGACCAGTCGACACCTAGATCGAATGGTCCTACTATCACTCCTTTCAATCGACCAATAGTACCAAGATAGGATAGTACTAAGATAGGAAAATGGCATCGGTATTCCACCGACCATCCCTCATCTACGGCGCGGCCATCGCCCTCCGCCTAACTCTCCTCATCTACGGCGCCTGGCAAGATGCCCACTCGGCCGTCAAATACACCGACATCGACTATCTAGTTTTCACAGACGCAGCGCGGTACGTCGCTCGCGGCGAGTCGCCCTACGCCCGCGACACGTACCGCTACACGCCGCTGCTAGCATGGCTGCTTGTCCCAACGGCCTCGCCGGGGCCGTTCTTCTTCGCGTTCGGCAAGGTCTTGTTTGCGCTGTCTGATGTCCTCGCCGGATGGCTCATTGCTAGGAGACTTGTGTCGAGCTACGGCATGGAGCCTGCCCGCGCGCTTAAATACGCTTCTGTGTGGTTGCTTAATCCGATGGTTGCTAATATTAGCACGCGTGGGAGCTCCGAGGGGCTGCTCTGCGTTTTGATCGTTGCGCTGCTGTGTGCGGCGCTCAGTCGGAGGGTTGTTTTGGCGGGTGTGTTGCTTGGACTGGCTGTTCATTTGAAGATTTATCCATTTGTTTATGCTGCTTCTATTGTGTGGTGGTTGGATCGTGAGCGTGAGGTTTCTGCCACTGCCACTACTACTTCTCCATCTGGTGGCAGTGGTAGTAGTGGTAATGGCGTTGCAGGCAAGCTCATAGCATTCATCACACCCGCGCGCATCCGCCTCGCCCTCGCAGCCCTCACCACCTTCACCGCACTAAACATAACCATGTACCTCCTCTACGGGGAGCCCTTCCTGCAACACACCTACCTGCACCACCTGTCGCGCATCGACCACCGGCATAACTTCTCCCCGTACAGCTCGCTGCTGTACTTGGTTGCTGCGGGCGACGTGCAGACCGGGTGGAGGTTCGAGTCGCTGGCGTTTGTGCCCCAGTTGGTGTTGAGTGTGGTTGTCATTCCGCTTGTGTTGGGGAAGAGGTGTTTGGCTGGGACGATGCTGGCGCAGACTTTTGCGTTTGTGACGTTTAATAAGGTTTGTACTAGTCAGGTATGGTTTTTCTCCTCTTTCTCTGATTTGATCTCTGGGTCTATATGGTGCTATGCTAATGGAGGCAGTACTTCCTATGGTACCTGATCTTCCTACCATTCTATCTCCCACGGTCATCCCTCCTTCGCCAGCCGAGACGAGGCATAACCGTCGCAGTGCTATGGGTCGTTTCTCAGGTATTCCCTCCTGCTTTCTCCCCCCTTCTCTCATCTATCTACGGAGTCAAGCGACCCAGTATGAAATCCGTGAAAATCCGTTATACTAACAGAATCCAGGCCCTCTGGCTCCAACAAGGCTACAACCTCGAGTTCCTAGGCCAGTCGAGCTTCGTCCCTGGTTTGTTCCTCGCTAGTCTGGGGTTCTTTGCGGTGAACTGTTGGATTCTGGGAATTATTGTTACTGATGTGGGGTGTTTGTCTGTGCAGAGTGAGGGGAGGGTTAAGGCTAAGGGGAGGGTGGAGTAGCTTGATACTAGCTATTGGGTTGGGTGCTGTTCATGTGTGTTCTTGCGAGTATATATATACTGACATGTATGATTATAATATAGAGATACGGTGCATATAATGAGTACTGAAAATGAGTATTAAAAGGGCATGGTGTGACAATCCGTCCATCTAAACAAGTATCATCTACTATTAATATCTCAAAGATATATATAGTACGTGATGCCTTCCCTTTCTCTACTACCAGCACAGTAGGAAGTAGATGTAGACCCGAACACCAAAACCTGTCTACAGACCCATCCAGTTCCTATGATATATGCATATATCCATCTAGCCCCCAACAGCAAGTCCATGCTACGTCTACGTCCTGGGATGTCTTATACAGACTTTTCTATCCTTTGAGTTCATGATCCTCGTCACTGTTACATGAACCGATGATGGAAGGGGATATTCAGGTTACAAATCACATCCCCAGGCAACTGGTTCATTGTTTACACTCTACACTGTACAGTTTACTACAACAGTGATAAGAATGGAATGATGGTACGGCGGGTCTGCAGTCATGCCTACTGGCCACTGAGATTAAAGCAGTCTGGCAGATGGGAGTGGATCGGGGTGACCGTGACCCACCCGGCGGGTCACTTGGGGTATACCTACCATACAACAAACAGAAGAAGGGACGCTCACTGTTTTACCAAGGGATTATATATCTTACATTACAGATGAATACCAGAAAACAACTACAGTCAAAAGGGATGAAGACGAGATAAAAAATAAGTAATCATATTATCATAACATCGTATCGATAGATCGATCCATACATGCTGTCTCTTGTATCTTGTATCTTGTTATGGTCTAAGCCTTAGATACGTCCGCGATAATCTTATATGTTCGTGCGTGGATGCTCAACGGTCGGGTGCGCGGGTATACGGCGCCTACGATCTGTCGGTTGGGTCCGTACTGCGGGTAGATGCCGTCGGCGAGCTCGGCGAAGTACGCTTCCGGGCGGGCGTCGTGGAGTGTCTCGAGGATGTGCTCGCTCCAGAGGCCTGTGCATTGCGTGCCGATTAGTTGGAAGTAAGGGTTGAGGGGTGGGCAGGCCGAGTCGAGGTCGATGAAGCGGATCCGGAGGTAGTCTAGGGCGGGGTGGACTTGCAGGCTGTGCACGGCGCCGACCACGAGCTTCTCGAAGGAGTGGATGAAGTTGAGGTTGGTGATCCCGGAGAAGTCGTCGAAGAAGGGGAGCCCCGGCGCGGTGCGTTTCTCACGACAGCAGTTCTTCACCACGAAGTCGACCGTCTTCAGTCGTGACTTGGAGGGGGACGTGCTGGCGGCGGTCCGCATCGCGCGGAACAGACCCGCGCAGACCTTTCCCGTGAAGGCCAGCGATTCCAGCTGAGGGGCGACCTCCCCTAGCAGCCGGCAGAGATGCGGCGGGTTGATGCCGTCGCCCAGCCAGCCGGACTGAGAGGTGTCCTTGTTGTGGAAGCCCTCCAGGGTGATGTTCATGTGGACCAGCGCCGACGGGAGTCGACGCAGGATGTGTGCGACCGTCTCGTATCCCTCGATCTTGGGCTTGGCGTATCCGCAGTGCCACTCGCGGACGCCGGGCAGCGCCAGCGACAGACTGTTCCAGTGGCGGTACTCGCGCATGATGTTCCACGCGCCCCGCATGACCAGGGTCTGGATGCCCGGGAGCACCGGCAGCCACCGCCCGGACTGGCCGGTGGGATCGTCGCGAAAGTGACGGACCATGGGCGGGCGCTTACAGTGGCCGCCCTCCAGGGTCAAGAGACAGGCATCGGGAAAGGACGTCTGCACGTGGCGCAGAATCTCTTCCAGGGTGGCATTCTGGCTGGAATAGTGGTACTTGTACTCGTTGTGACCGTCGGTGTCCTCCCAGGCGACGGTGGTCTGCAGGGCAGCCACCTCGGCCAGCCCATTGTGCTCCATCACATGCCGTCGGGCGGGGGCGTGGTGGGCGGGGGTTTTGGCGACCCGTTTGCCCCAGACGGGGATCCAGAATTCAACGTGGCGGACGTATGGGGTCAGGTAGGGATGGGATTGGAACCATCTGGCGCTCTCGGCCAGTTCGTCGGTGGTGCCTTTGATTTTGACTATGGGTTATTAGTAAAAGAATCGAATGATCAGAGGGAAGACGGGGGGAAAGAAAGAAAAGGACGTACTATGTCGATAAATCCGACTCTGGACCAGCCAGCGCCATACGGGACAGATGAGGGACAGATTGGACAAGACCTTCCGTCGGGGGTGTCGCAGGGACTTGTTCCAGGTTCGCGTGGTGGATTTTCCCGGTCCCGCAGCGGTGTAAGCGGAGGTGCGCTCACCGAAGAGGTAATCCAAGACGGCCTCGTGGATCTCGATGGGTAGATTCTCGAACTGGATCTCGGGACGGGAGGGACGTGGGGCGGCGTCTAGGCTGGGTTCCTCCTCGTCATGGACCATGGAGCCATCCACGACGGGTTCCTCCAAGTCCTGACAGGCCGGCTGGTCCAGGAGATCGGGCAGCAGGCCATCGGGGAGTTGAATTTCGGCACTGGTGCTGCGGGTGGTTTTGGAGAAGGGAATGGAGGCGACGGTGGAGACTCTGGCGAGGGAGTTGACGGAGACGGGGCGGGGCGGAGGGAGGGTGGAGATCATGGGGGGGATTTCCATCTGGCGCGATAGAGACTCCATTGGAATGAGTATCGGGGGAGATCAGAGAAGAGAGGAGAGAGGAGAGACGAGTTAAAAGAGAAGCGAGAGCGATAAGAATGACGAAGGACTAAGCGCGGCCAGCGTGGTCCATGGCGTGTCCAGCATTAGGCCGTCAGGCTGGAATGATGGAGAGAGAAGTCAAGGAAGAGGGAGAGAGAGAGAGAGAGGTGGAGAGAGGAAAGAAGAGAGATGTCGCAACCAGGCGAGAGAGGAAGACAGAAAGGGAAAAGATGAAGATGAAATAGAGAAAAGAAAGAAGAGAAAAGAGGAGAGAGAAAGAAAAGAAGAAAGAAAAATGAACAGGTGACCAATTTCCCTTCTAGGCCGATCGATTCATCTTGATTCTTCGGTTTCTCCTTTCGCTCCTGGATTGATCCCCAGGATGGTTTCTATCTGACACCTCACTTCCATCGTCCAATATTCCCCTTCAAATAATCCCTTGACATTCAATAATCCTTTCCCCTCCTTCGATTTGGGCCGCAACGAACTGACGATCAGGATTCCACTGTCGATCCTGGTTCGCTCCCCAGATCCACCCCCTGTGTTGACAGACCATTGGCACTCTTCTGGTATCAACCTGATTCCAGGACAGGATCGGACTACTCGATAATCCATAGCCAGTGGGGAAGAATCCAAATCAAGGAGATCCCCGATAACCTTACTGACTATTGGCGGCAACTAAAGGTATTGGTCCCGCCCGCGGACCCGCTGGATCCATCGGGTGGAAGATACACGGTAAGGATGAGGTTTATTGATCCACCACCGGGGTGGGAGTAGTTTACAAGATCCCAATACTATCGTCGTCGCCGAAATCGGAACCGCGTCTCTTCGTCACTATCCGACCCGGACTCGTCCCGCACGCGTTTCTGGCTCTGGGGTTGACTTCGCGCCTGACTGCGAGGTTGACTCCGAGTGGGAACCTCCGATGCAGTCCGTCCGGTTGATTGAGATCGCATCTCACTTCGGTCGTCCGTATCGACAGGCTCGGTTTGGGTGGTTCGCTCGGGTCGGTTGCCCTCCGACGACTGCCTCCGACTGACCCAGTGCTGCTCCCCAATCCCAAAGTCCTGGCGGGTCACCTCTTCCAGCGGCACAATCAGAGTCTGAATCCGAGAGCGTTGATTGCGGTCTCCCTTCCGCCGAAACTTCTTGAAATTCTTCCGCCCGTTCCATCGCTCGTCCCATCGGACGTCCTCGTCGGTCGTCCTCCGCGAGGGCACCTCCATCTCTTCCACAATGGCCAGCCCTTTGAGCTTCTCCACGTCCACGTCTTCTAATGTATCCCGATGCGACGCTTCCTCCTCCTCCCGACGAGCGTTCTCTTCCGCCTCACGATGCCGTCGCGCCGCGTCCAGCACATCTAGCTTCTGTCGCTTCGCCTTCGGTTCTGTTTTCTCAATCTGTTGAGAGGGATCGCTGGTCGATCGCTGCACCGTCTCCGCGCGCCGACGCTTCATCGCCGCCGCCCCCGGCAGCAGGCTAGACACGACATCCTCCTCTTCCTGGAGACTATCAGCCGGCTGAGTCACCTCCATGGGCTCCGACTCCGGCTCCAGCTCCGCCTCCGTCGCCATCGGCGGAAGGGACTCCGGGCCGTCGTCCTCGGGTGCATACGCCGGGATGGAATTGATGTCGAACCCGTCGTCAAACGTCTTCATCTTGCTGACGTAGGTGCGGGACCGTTTGACTTTGGCTTTTGGCTGACTCGGCTCCTCCGACAACTGAGAGTCGGCCAGATCGGGTGTACTCGAGTTCGGGGCTGGTGCATTCGAGTTCGGGGCTGGTGTAATCGAGTTCGGGGCTGGTGTATTCGAGTTTGGAGCTGGCGTAGAAAGCGCCTCCGCGCTGGCGCCCTCATGCGGCGAGGAAACCGGCAGGGTGCGACACAGAGGAGCAGCATCGTTGGCGAGAATAGCATCAAGAAACTCACTCTGCTCAATCACCCGCTGGTCCGTTTTCACCGCCACCTGGTTGCTGAGCTCGATGGACCAGTCTTCGTAACGTCCCTTGGCATGGTATCGAACGTGGACTACCCCTCCGGGACCATCCCGCTGGCTTCCTAGTCCTTTCGGTCCAGCTGTCTCTTCCATAAAACGCACGATCTCTTCTGCCGTCGTAGTCCCATTTTCAATCGGGTATAGCAAAGGCCTTCCATGCCCATCGGTGATGAAAGCCTGCAGGTTCTCGAACTGCCCCGGATCGCCGAAAACGAACGTGTACCCCTCAAACACATTGATCCGGTCAGGATTCGGCACGAACGCCTCGGTCGGACGGACAACAGCCTCCTTCCCCGGCGCAGGGAGATGCTCCATCGCGTCCGGCCATGCGGAGTCAAAGTCGGCCTCCAACGGCGACAGCGATTCCAGATTGTCCAGGTCGCTCGGCGTCGCGGCGTACACCAGTGCATCTATAAATGTCTCCTTGACGATGTATTTCCCGTTGACCAGCGCTTGTAGCCCCTTTGCCGTATTGCGCTTATTCTGCACGACGTGCGTAGTGGAGCCGACGACGAACGGGATGATGGTCTTGATGTCTAGGTCTTCGAGTCGAGAACGGACGTGGGCGAGGGGGTCTTTCGCTTTGAGTTCTTTGGAGGAGAAGGAGAAGCTTAGCACCGTCGGTTGCCATTTCAATCTAGATACACCCGTTAATACTTGTTCGTCAATCACGTAGAGAATTGAAATTCATACCGCAAGACGTGCTTGTACCTCCCCAACCTAACAGTGTGCTCATCATCGCCCAACGTTCTGCTCTCCCCCTTTATCGCCTCTCCATCAACAGTGGTACCCACTTTCGACTTCAGATCCGTCACGGTGAGCTTCGATTTCGCATGAATGTCGGACTGCGCAGTTAGCACGGCTCGCGTCGTCTCCGAGGATCACGTACCCGGTCGCTTTCGTCAATCGGCGATACCTCGATGATTAGGTGTTTTCGCGATATCGAATTGTGGTCAATAGCATGTCGTACTAGAATACCGTCAGTATACACCATTCGATACTCGTCGTAAGGGCTAATAGCTGCTGCACCTACCGTCATCTTGCTTACTGCGGCCGAAGAGATACTTCTTCCCGGGCTTCAACCACACCCTCTTTCCTAGATAGAGTCAGAAAACACCCCTCCCATCTAGAAGAATACCCACCCTGCAAAAAATCACCCTCCGAATCCAGAATCCACATGAGGGGCAGTCAGCAGCAACGCTGGACATTCCCAGTCTGGTTCACGCCGACCGTCGCAGTTGACGCCCGTGGCACGTGCGCGGCCCGCGACGCGGTGTCACGTGTCGTGGCGTCTCAATGCTGCCTGGTTGGGAAAGACAGTCGACCATGAAAGAATTCATGCACTCCACCCACCGATGTATATACAGCTCTCCGGATGGAGCCATCCGAGGAGTCCAAAAGGGAGGTCTTGGAAAAGCTGGAAGATGAGAATGAGGACGACTACAAAACGCTGAAATACTCCCTGCTGGGCCCGTCGCTCACCAAGGCCGGCCAGGATGCCGTCGATCAGCAGAAGGTGTCGGAGATTATCTACAACGCGTCGAAGGGGTCTAAGTTCTTCAACCATGAGCAGGACCGCGACCGGATATTGACGGGCAAGATTGCGCGCATTCTGAAAGAGAAAGCCCGCTTCGAGAAGCTGGATCTGTCCCACGACCTGCGGAAAGCAGACCAGCTCCTCGCCGAGCTGGAGCTCACTCGCGACCTCTCCCAGTATGTCGTCCACGTCGACTGCGACGCGTTCTTCGCTGCCGTAGAGGAACTCGACCGCCCCGAGCTCAAACATGTCCCGTTCGCGGTAGGCAAAGGCGTCCTGACGACATGTAACTACGAGGCGCGCAAATTCGGCTGCCGCAGCGGCATGGCGTCCTTCGTGGCGATGAAGCTCTGTCCGCAGCTCGTGTGTCTGCCTCAAAATCACGAGAAGTACTCCGCCAAGGCGGCGGAGATCCGCGCTGTGTTCGCCCAGTATGATCCGCTGTTTGAGAGCGCTAGTATCGACGAGGCGTATTTGAATATCACGTCCTACTGTGCGGAGAATGGGTGTGGCCCCGAGGAGGTTGTGGAGCGCATGCGCGCTGAGGTCTTGGAACAGACGAAGATCTCTGTGTCGGCTGGTATTGCGGCTAATGGGAAGATTGCTAAGATCTGCTCGAACCGCAATAAGCCGAATGGCCAGTTTCGGGTCCCGAACGAGCGCGACGCAATCATGGAGTTCATGCGCGAGCTGCCCGTGCGCAAGGTGAACGGTGTTGGTCGGGTGTTTGAGCGGGAGCTCGACGCGATCGGCATCAAGACCTGCGGAGATATCTACCCCCATCGGGCGTTGCTGGCCAAGCTGTTCGGGGAAAAGGCGTTCTACTTCCTGGCGCAATGCTACCTCGGTCTGGGGCGGACGAAAATCCAGCCCGTCGAGAACTACGAGCGCAAAAGCGTCGGCACGGAGACTACGTTCCACGAGATTGGGAACAAGCAGGAATTCCGGGACAAGCTCTGGATGATCGCGCAGGAGCTGGAGAAGGACCTGGCCCGCACGCAGTTCAAGGGCCGGACGCTGGTTCTCAAGGTCAAACTAGCTACGTTCGAGGTGCTGTCCCGCCAGTGCCAGCCCTCGCGCGCCGTATTCCACGCCAAAGACCTCTACACGTTCTCCCTCCCCATGCTGGAAAAGCTAGAGCGCGAGATGCCGAACCTGAAGCTGCGCCTGCTGGGACTGCGCTGTACAAACCTGGTGAGCACGAAGAAAGTCGGCATCGACTTTTTCGGAACGATCCGCCCCAAGCCCCCCGTCGACGCCGCGGCCGACACCCCAGGCGACCAGGAGATCGGCGCGGAGGAGGCGTTCGAACGAGCCGCCCGGCAGGAACTTCAAGCCGACCTGGACGACCTCGAACAACTCAGCCAGGAGGTGTCCGAACCCCCCGTGGCCCAGCCCGAAGAGCCCGCCCCGGTCTACTGGGACTGTCCCGTGTGCGACAGACCGCAACTGGCGGACGACAAGGTGTTCAACGACCACGTCGACCACTGTCTGTCGAAGCAGACCATCAAAGAGGCTGTCCAGGGGGCGTCACAGGACCCAACCCCGTCCCCAACCCCGGGGCCGGCCAAACCGCGGAAGCGAAAGCCGACGTCTCATGAAACTCCGGACCCACGCCAGAAACGGCTATTTTTCTGACTGCATATGTCACCACATGTACATAATATACCGAGGCAAAGCCTTGCATTCACGAACATCCATTTGATGAGACTATTCAGACTGTATAGATAATTACAGAACCAGTCTCAGTACTGTCAGGAGGTGGAATGATCATTGCCTGATCATCCCGTCCAGCACAATAGGGGAAGTGGAGCGCGGCCTAAAACAACGGGCGACGATAATCAAACGGCGGAAAGGGATGCTTCTCAAGGGACTCAATATATGTTCGAATTCAATAGAAATAAAGGGATAGTGAGAAGTAGATTGTTTTCTATATAAATAAATACAGCTATAAATAAAATAATACGAAATAATATAAGATAAATATAATATAATAACCAGAAGAACAGAAGAATGTAGTTGCGGTCAACCCACACTAGTCCCGATCGGGTCCCCCAATGTTTTGGCAGGAAATCCAAATCGCCAAATCCTGCTGAGAAAAACTATCTTCGTCTCTCTTCCTGCTAGTATTTCCCCTCATTCCTGACTTGGATCTTCCAACTATTGAAAACCCCCCGCGGGTGTCATCATGCTTGCAGATCTTGGTCCCCGGACGCAATGCCATAAGTCATTCTGCCCGATCCCGCAACTATGACCTCCGATAAACAAACCCCCCCTCTCGCCAAACCCTTCACGCCAACCCTCAGTGCCGCCTTTCATCGCTCCACCAAACCCTCCTTGACGCCCTTGACGCCGAAACTAGCCTCTCCAGGGGGGTATCGAACTCCCAAACGCTTGATCCCCTCCGAACAATACCCCTCGTCCGCCCCCTCCAGACAGGAGACGGACCCGGCCTTCCTGAATGCCAATATCACCCCGCGATCGGGCTCGCGAGTTAGTAGGCGCGATGGTGGTCCCTCGCCGGGATATACCCCGTCGGGTCGACCGTTCTCGCCGCAGCCCTCGTTGGCAAACTCGACCGTATCCCATGCGTCCAATCCGGGGTATCGATCAGATAGGAGTCCGGTGCGGGCGGCCGGTCGACTGGAACCCGCAAGGACCGGCAGGGCCAAGACGCTGACGGCGGACTCGCAACAAAATTCGCGACCAAGCTCAGTGTCGGAGCATTCGTCCCCCCGGTTCTTCCATGCCTCGGACGCGCGGTCGACGCACCCCGCCGAGGTCGAGCCGCGGCCCCGGGTACCCCCCAAACCGGCCTCCCCCGCCACGTTTATATATGCCAACGGTAAACAGGAGCGTCCGTCTGGGGAGGAACAGGCGTCTACCCTGCCCGTGGTGAAACGGCGCTCGATTTCCACGGGCCAGCCGCGTTCGGTGGTGAATGGACCACCGCCGTGCCCCTCCCCCCGACTGCGTTCCGCCCAGCTGGAGTCGAACCTGCGACTGTCCGACAGCTTTACCTCACAGACGAGCTCGCAGGAGGAGTGTGACCCAGTGGGGCCGATGCAAGGGCCGCCGATAAGCCATCTGGCTCGACCCAACCCCATCAGACATTTGAAATCGTCCAGCTTGGACTCGGGCACGAGTGGTACGTCCCCGCGGGAGGGCCTGCGGCCCAGCCCCATCATCGTGTCGCCATCGGATCCCCGCGTCGACGCGGACGCCCTGGCGTCGGAGCCCCTGCCCGGAGGGCGACCTCGGATCTTGAGTAATGGATCCACAGCCTCGGTCGACACCCATGCGTCGCCACAAAGTCCCCAGAAGTCGGACAGCAGTGGGCCGAACGACGCGGTGGGCAACGCCCGAATCGGACGGAAGATCATGGATCTGGAGATCAGCAACTCCTCGCTCCTGGCCATCAACCGGACGCTGGAGCGCGAAATGCGCAAGCAGCATGCGGAGCTACGACGCTACCGCCGTCTCAGCCGCTCCGGCCGTCTCTCCATGGTGCCGTCGACGCGCTCGGTGTCTGGGGCTTCTCTGGGAGTCATGACCGAGGTCGACGAAGTCAGCGAGCTGTCCTCCGTCCGGTCTCCGGACGACCTGTCTGAATCTAGTGACGAGGAGTCCATGCCGGATGAAGGCGTAATGAGCCCGGGCTCCTTGGCGGACCACGACGCGCGACACCGCCCTCAAGACGAGAAACACTTCTTTGTCGATCTAGCGAAGCACCAAGAGCTGCTGGGTGATAGTCAGAAGATGAACCAAAGCCTGAAGCGGTGTCTAGGGTGGACGGAAGATCTGATCAAGGAGGGCAAGAGAGCCCTCGAGTATAGCGTGCATGTTAACGACGTCAAGCTGGGAGGGAGAGTCCTCTCGCCTGAAGAACTGTACGAGGTCGGGGAAGGTGCGCAGGGCCTGCTGAGTCCGTCCAACGCCGACGAACCGACCATTTCCGATACGGAATCATTTGACGATCACGACGAGACTTGATACATTATTATTCTATCTTCTTGCCTCGTTGGCCTTTTAACACAACCACCCACCCATACACACACACCACCTACCTACTCATACATACGCACACACGCCTATCTCTTTTGTCTACAATCTCCCGGTATCCCCGGCTCACTCGTTCTACCCAGAGCCTATCATTACGACCCGCTACCACGGCAGGCCTGGTCGGGATTAATCCGCTGGAGCTAACTTTTTGCACTCCTTTCCATTTCCGACTCGACTTAATGTGTGACCCGCTGCAATAGACGTGGCCCAGTCAACTAATCTATACCATGGCACCTCGACCTGCTAGATACCCTTTCCGCAACTCCTGTTTTGATATAGCCATAGCCATTGCCATACCCATTACCATGTGTGACGATATGTTTTAATACCACGGATTTGAACCCTAATCATACTTATTGAGTGCTTGCGTATGCTTCCGCCGTCCCGCTGGTCATGCTGAAGTCATGGTTGTAGCTGCTTTTTTGGGTAAAAGCTTTGCTGGTAGGGAGATCTTTGGGTGATGTAGGAATGAGTGGTGGATGCTCTCATTGTAGGTACCTGGTTTATTCTTTCCATCGTTTCTCTATCTTCTATCCTCATCTCCTGTCGTCGTCTTCTCCCCCTCATATCTCCTCTTATTTTCTGTCCTTCAGCTATATCCTCATCTTCTGGTGTTCATATCTCTGCTTATCTTCTGCCCTTCATATCTAGTCTCATCTTCTGCCCTCCGTCTTCCGTCCTCATCTCTTCTATCCTATACCCGTGGGCACCGTCCTCAGCTCACTCAGCCAACCATCTCACTATACCATATAGTCTTCCTGTCCTATATTCATCTGCTCATCATGCCTTTCCCATCAACCCCAACCTCCCACCCACGGAGTGCCGCCCCTTCTAGCCCCTTACCCTACACCCGCTCCCGCACCCAAAGCAGCGATACCCACCTCACTGCTTCGGAGACGCAGAGCTATTGGGGAGATGTACCTCCTGTTCCTCCCAACACTCCAAATGTATATAGCCCTCCTACTGCTTTGGAGACACTGAGCTACTGGGGGGATGTACCTCCTGTTCCTCCCGGCACTCCAAATGAATATAGCTCTCCCACTGCTTTGGGGTCACTGAGCTACTGGGGAGATGTACCTCCTGCTCCTCCCGGCACTCCAAATGAATTCCCCATTGATCAACCAGATCCAGAATCTTCTACACAACCAAGCAGACCTTCCAGTGATATCCACTCAGAGAGTGACAATGTTAATCTTGACACATCTCCAGCCTCTCAATCACAGCAAGACAGTGAAGCGCCTGCGAACGCGACTGAGGATGATCACTCAACCGATGATGATCTATCTGAACTAAATGATTCATTCCATGCTGTCAACATCGCTGTTGTTGTCGTCGGGCCGGGTTATTCTGGCCCAATACCTCCCCAGATGGATCCTCCCACTCCTCCGGCTACTCCCCCGGTTCGTGGTCTTGGTCCTCCTACTCCGCCGTTGACTCCGCCTTGATAGTTGGTTTTCTTAACCTCATACATATGGGGGATGTTTATACATGTGTGTGGTACCTCTACAGATAGAGATTTGAAAAAGTGACTGACATGGCTACTGTTAGATATGGTTTAACCTTCGCTGAAAGAAATTTCGTGGCGACATCTTTACCCACGATTGTGCAAAGATACAATACCGTGGACAGACACATCTCGACAGACAAACCTCCCTCTACATCTCGGACATTACGCGAGCCGACTCTTCAACGCTCTCAAGCCATGCCCCTTCTCGCAGCTGGTCTTGTGTCATAAACAGCTGTATATATACGATCAATCCTATAAACACATATAGGATATATAGTTTGGCTTTGACTATTATTGGTGGATGTCTTAAAACCCTTGTCCTGGGTACTATGGGAAAGGATTTGGTGTGATCTTATCCCGATATAACCATCTTCTGCGGTCTTGCAACTATTGGTGCTATTGGGGTTATTGTGATTTTGTGATTTCTATTGAGAGACCCAACAGGATGGTTTATATTGGAAGGTCTGAGGGTATAGGATTGGGTTTTATTCTACCTTGTCTCTATTTATGTTTTTATTGAGCTTCTCACTGTATATATACTATGTTCTTCTCGTTATAACACAGTTTGACCGGTCAATTGATATTATTGTTCTATTATATTATCCCAGAATTGCAAACGTCCATCTCTTCTTTTGAAAGGAGGTGTACGGAAAACTACTCAGGCCGTCCATCCCCAACCTGCTCCCCCTCATGATACTTCCCAAAACAAGCCTTCTCAAACTCCGCCTCCTCCTTAAGCGTCTGCACACCCCTCACGAACCCCTTAATAGGACAGAACGCCCCCTTCGACCCCTCCTCACACCCCTTGACCGCATCAACCGGCACAGGCGCCCCGTTCAGCACGAACCGGATATACGACTGCGTGTGCTCCTCGCTTAGGTCGGGGTTCCTGTAGATCGCGCCGTCGAGTTCTAGCTCCTCCTGCGCGGGACACCTCCAGATCTCGGAGATGAGGTGCGCCCCGAACGGGGTGACCTCGTTGAGGCGGAATGTCCGCGGTACGGCGTGAGACACTGTGTCTGGGAGGCCCTTCGGCCCGTATCGGAAGTAGTCGATGCCCAGGGCGGCTAGCACGGCGACGATGACGTTGTCGTGCGACATGTCCATGAAGAGCGGCTGTGTGTCGGGCAGCGGGAACGTGTGCGGGTTGCCGTCGATGGTGGTGTTGATGCTTGTTTCTGGGGTGGTGATGAGGTGGTTTTGCAGTCGGGCGGCGAGTTCCAGCACGTAGCCGATGCCCTGGGACCGGCCTGTTGGCGACCCGAAGCCGTAGTCGCCGTAGAATTGGAGGTCTACGTTGTACTCGAAGTCTTGCCATTCTTGTTCCGTGAAGAGGCTGCAGAATGTGGAGCTGCCTAGGGCGGCGTACTCGTAAGGACACATGTTCAGCATGGCGAGGATGTCGCTGTCGTCGAGGTCGAAGTCCGCGGGGAGGTACGGAGACAGGCGCTTGATGGCCGCTTTGGTGAAGCGGGGGATGAATCGCTCCGCGGAATTGTTGCTGCGTTTGTTAGTAGACTTGGGGGTATGGTGGGTGAGGTTGGCTCACCCCTCTTCGATGTCGCCGGGGCAGGCTTGGTCTGCGGCCAATGTGTTGTTGTTGACCCCCTTGCCTTCGTGGGTGATCACCAAATCGTACTGTGAGTAGGAGTTGTTGGCGCCGGTGTTGCCAAAGAATCCGCCTGTCCGTGTTAACATTCATCAAGACGAAAGAAAGAGAATAACATACTCAGCCACCACCGCGCACTCTCCAGAATCCGCGACTGATCGGTCGTTCGGAAAATCGGCTTGGGTCGGTCGGTCCCATTCGGGAACACATTCAGCGACTCATCCCACGCCGCCTGGCCTCGTCCGGCGTGGTACAGCAACCGGCCGTAGCGCGACCAGATGTTGGCACCCGAGGTGGCCTCGGTCGCCGCTCCCGTCGGGAGCAAGAGATCCTCACCCAGCAGGTACTCCCAGTCATTCAGGAAGGAGAGCGGACCGTGTCCGATTTTGCTGGTCTGGTGCTTGTGCTCGTAATTCTTGAGCTTCTTCGCGAACGCCTCCATGCCCCCGCCGTCCAAATCGCTCTCTGTCGGGTACCGCTGTGCATGTCGGTGGAGGACGTGCGCCTGCGTCAGTTCACACCCGCGCGGCATGCCCTTGGGCTCCGAGAATCCGGGAGCATCCTGGTACGGAGACAAATTGGCCCAGCTGCGTGTTATGTCGAACCCCGACGGAAAGGTTGTTCCAGTCGGGTCTGCGGGCGCGGCTGCGCTGGAGCTGGAAGTGGGGTGCGCGGAGACAGGGTCCAGCACTGCAAGCAGGCCAACCAACGCGGTGGAGGACGAATGGCGCATCTTTTCACTACTCTCTGGTCTTTTCCCCCGGGAGTTGAGGTTGAAGAGAAAGAAAAACGGGAATAGGGAGACGAGGGGTGTTGCCTACCTTACATAACGAATCGGACCGCTCAGACGCAAGGGCCCACCGGTGGCTTAGGATCCCCGTTTCCATCTGAGGCGAGAGAACCCATCAGCAGTAAGGTTCCTTCGGGTAAGAGGAGACTAAGTCTCCGGTTTCCATTGTGCCTGGCGGTTCTTGCCGATCGGCCTATCGTCGGGCTTTCGACCCATCCAAGCATTTCTCGGCGGAAACGAAGCTTTGCGGCTAGTGTCGCCCCCTGGTCTTTTCCCTTTTCTTTTCACTTTTAGCATGTGGCAGCGAGGTTCAGCTAGTCTCAGTAAAACATTGATCTTAAGAGGACCGAGGAGTGAGCGTTTCCTGCAACCGGCGTGCGACTAGCTGGATTGGTGTATGACTTTCGTCTCGAGTTAGGCTGTATATATATATTAGTGCGAGACGGGTAGAACGGGCTCTGGTTGGAAGTACTACGAGAATGTGACGATGGTCCAGTGTCGATTTATCATGAGCAAGACGAAGATGAGAAGGAGTTATCGAAGAAGAGGGAGGGGGGGGGGAATAAGAATAAAAGATCACATGTTCTGATGCCTGGGGCTGGAACAAGGCCTCTAATAGCCCATCAAGCATATACCTAACACTGCTATTGAATTACTCTGTATGATATATATAAACTGTACAAACGATCAGGATTGTTCTAATTAACTGTACGGTAACATGCACATTCTCCAACACGAATCGCTACAGGAAGCAAATGCCCACGCAGGAATCACCTATCCAATGATTCATGACGAGCAAGGGACAAAACATATCAACGAGGACGAGACAACAGCCTCTTATTCCGCCTCGTGATGCTCTCCATGCTCGTGGTGATCATGGTCATGGTCGTGCTTCTTGCCCTTCTTCTTCTTCTTCTCCTCCTTGCCCTTCTTCTGCATCGCATCCGTCATCAACTGCTCGAACGCCATGTAGTCACCCTCCTCGTCGGGATCACGTTCGGCCTGTACGGGTTAGCATATACCGAATAGGTGGAATAAAGGAAGACATACCATAGAGTAGATATTACCCGCCAGGAGCATCGCATTCGCCCGCTCAATGCGCTTGTCCAGCTTGACGCGCTTGTCTCCCAGGACGTTGTCGCACACGTCGCGCAGCACGCTCTGGATCTCGAACTTGCTGCCCCGCCACGCGGCCGCCAGGATCTTGCCCGTCACGCGCTTCTCGTACTCGGCCTTCTTCTCGTCGGTCCAGTCCTCCCCGCCCTGCTCCTCCATCTTGGCCATCTCCTCCATGGTCATCTGCGCGTCGATCGCCGTCGAGATGGTCGTCCACGTCTCCTTGGCCAGCGTGCCCTTGTCCTTCAGTCGCGAGAAGAACCCGGAGATGCCGAGGAATTTCTGCGACTTGAGGAACGAGGTGGCCTTCTGGGTGTAGGTGGCGCCCACGGCGTGCAGGATCTCCAAGCCAAAGGACTCCATCTTGAGGTTCTCCACCTCGAGACGGATCTTCTCCTCGAAGGCGCGGGTGACATCCTTGCCCTTGTCGGTCTCGGTCCACACGCTAATCTTATCCACAAGCTTCGCCGTCAGCGCATCGACACGCTCCTCGCGGGCCTTCTTCCGTTCGTTCTCGTAGGCGGTCAAACGGTCCTGCTGCTCCTTGGTCAACGAGCCCTTCTTCTTCTCCTTCTTCCGCAGCTCCTTCTCTTCAGGGGACAGTCCAGCTGCCTCCATCCGCGCTTCCTCCTCCGACTTGTCCATGAGGGCCTGCTGGCCCAGACGGCGACGGGCGGGGCCGGTGCCGGAACCCGCGTCGGAATCGACCGGGGCCGCCGCAGCCGGGGCAGCCGCGGGGGCCTCCGCCGGCTTACTGTCGGGCTGGGTGCTCGACGACGCCGCGGTCTCTTCGGCGGTGTGACCGGTCTTGGTCTCCTCGTCGTGAACGTGCAGCTTTTCCTCGGCCGACGCGGCGAGCTCGTCCTCCTCCATCTGTTCCATGGTGATATCCATCGTGGCGGTCAGATCCTTCATCAGGGAGATTTCACCGATGAGGTCGACGAACGCGCTGCCACCGAAGATCATGCTGAAGAACTCGGACGGGTCCTCTGCTCAAAGTCGTTAGTTCCCACCCCGTACAAACCAACTGACAGTATGCGTACCGAAACCACCACCCGGAACCGACTCTTCCTTGCCAAACTTATCATAGCGCTCTCGTAGCTTCTCGTCGCTCAGAACCTGGTAGGCCTCTCCGATCTGTCATACCAGCGAGTCAGTACATATCCATGCAGAAAGTCCTGCTAAGGCCAGGCCAATCGACCAGGGTCGCATACCGCTTGGAATCGCACGTGGGCGGTCTCATCGCCGGGGTTCTTATCTACAGACGGTTAAACAGACTCTGCGACAGACCATAAAGACAAGCGCACCAGGGTGAGTCACGATGGCCAGTTTGCGATAGGCCTTCTTGATCTCCAACTGGGAGGCCGTGGGAGGCACCCCCAGGGCCTCATAGTAGGCGGTGTCGGCGACCATGGTAGCCACAACAACAGAGGATTGCGGGACGGTGTGCGCCAGGAAGGTCGTGGCAATCAAAGGATAAAATGAAGTAAACCAATATGGACACGACGCCAAATAAAAAAGATAACTCAACCTAGAATCCGATCGGGGCTGAGCACAGGGTCAGACGGTGAACACAAGTCAAGAATTTTGTTCTGCCTGGCGATAAATTTGCGGCGGTTTCGTCATGGCGGGGAGTCGCAGCCTCGGATGCCTGATTGTAGGTGCCTGGGGTGTCGATACGGGATACGGTAATACCGGGTCACAGCGCCGGTGCTCCGGTACGCCTGCCTCGATCAGGCAACAATCGGCCTCGTTTGAGTCCAAAAACTGTTTTTTTCTTCTTCTCCGTTTCTCTTTTTTCTCTTCTTCTTCCATTCTCTCCTCCAACACACAATTTTCTTTTCTCCCTTTTCCCTTCTCCTTTTTCTTCTCTATTCCTCTTGATACCCCAATATCCCTATTACTCTCCTAATTCTTTTCTCATTTTACCCCTATTATCATCACCGCCACGTGTCCTCTATTCCTCTCTCATTTCTCTCCCCACTTGTTCGCACATTCTCCGTGTATCCCAGCTGTCGACTGCGTCGCGATCCCTGCTGGAAGGCCTGTTTAGTGCCTCTGATCATCCCAATAATCCTTCTACCCCGTCTGTTGTTTTATTATAACGACTTATATTTAATTTCTTATTCCCCATTTGTAATAATATCCCCCCCTTGACCATCATGGTTTCCCCGTTGAGCGTCATCTACTACACATTCCACCCCAACGAGTTGAGGAATATCTTACAATGGTTGGTACCCGTCTTGATCCCTTTTGAATGAAGAGAAAAAAACTGACCGAAGCTGTTGATGATAGGAAAGTCTGGCACAATCCTGTCCATGAGCGTAATGTGGCCAATGAGACGGAGACCCAGAAGACGTGCTTCAAGTTCCTCGATTTGACCAGTCGGAGCTTCAGCGCGGTCATCAAGGAGTTGCACCCGGAGTTGCTGTTGCCCGTGTGTATCTTCTACCTGACGCTGCGCGGGTTGGACACCATCGAGGATGACACCTCAATACCCCTGGAGACCAAGGAGCCGCTCCTGCGGAACTTCAAGGACTTCCTCGAGCAGGATGGCTGGAATTTCACCGGGAACCGTCCCGAGGAGAAGGACCGTGAGCTGCTGGTTCAGTTTCACAATGTCGTCACCGAGTTCAAGAACATGAAGCCGGCCTATCAGGCCATTGTCAAGGACATCACCGACAAGATGGGCAACGGCATGGCCGACTACTGCCGGAAGGCTGCCCTCGATGATGCGAGCGTCAAGACCACCGTGGAGTACGACCTCTACTGCTACTACGTCGCCGGTCTGGTGGGCGAGGGGCTGACCCGCCTCTTTGTCGAGGCCGAGTTTGGCAACCCGGCCTTGCTCAAGCGGTCTCAGCTGCACAAGTCGATGGGCTTGTTCCTGCAGAAGACCAACATCATCCGTGACGTGCGGGAGGACAATGACGATCAGCGACGGTTCTGGCCCAAAGAGATTTGGTCCAAGCACGTCAATGACTTCGACGATTTGTTCAAGCCGGAGCACCGCGAGGCGGCGCTGAACTGCAGCTCGGAGATGGTCTTGAACGCGCTGGAGCACTCGGAGGACTGTCTGTTCTATCTGGCTGGCCTGCGTGAGCAGAGTGTGTTCAACTTCTGTGCCATCCCGCAGTCCATGGCGATCGCCACACTGGAAAAGTGCTTCCGCAACCCGGCCATCTTCGAGCGCAACGTGAAGATTACCAAGGGTGACGCTTGCGAGCTGATGAGCAAGTCGACGCAGAATCTGCGGATCGTCTGCGAGGTCTTCCGCCGATATGCGCGCAAGATTCACGCGAAGAACACGCCCAAGGACCCCAATTTCCTGAAGATCAGCATGGCTTGCGGACGTGTAAGGCTTCCCGTGATCCATCATTCCACATAACCGTGCTAATTCGTGCAGATTGAGAAATTCATCGAGACTATCTTCCCGTCTCAAAACGCCCAAGACGCCAAGCTGCTAGTCAAGGGCGAGCTGTCAGAAGCCGACCAGAAGAAGGCGCAAGAGGAAGCGGAGACGCGCCAGGACCTGTATTTCATGATGTGCCTGATGGGTACCATTGTGCTTGTTATCTCGGTCATGATGGTATGTTGCGTTCTATATCTCTTACGGGCGGTGGCTAACGTTCCCAGTTTGGTGTTGCCTGGTACTTCGGTGCTCGATTCGACCTTGCCTTCAAGGAGCTCCTCAACGGGAATTTCCAGAAGCCCGCACATATTGGTGAAGTGCGAGACGAGCTGTAATGTTACGGAGCTATGATATGTGGCATTTACGTTCAGGGGTCTGTACATGTAGTATATTTTATACCACCCATCCATGCCATACTAATTTCCTCGCCCTTCCCTTCCCTTTTCTTTTCTCTTGACCAACTCTGGTCGTTGCCTCTGCCCGCTAGCACGGATGTCAAATTGCTATCCAGTCCTCTTTATGACTGTGGTTGTGCCGAAGAAGTGCTGAAATTGAAGTCTCCAGCGACGTACTAGATTTATGTCTTGCATCATTAACTTGATGCCATGTCATACATCCATTGAAGGAACTGGAACATACGTAATTCACTGTAGAAATTGAATGAATTGATTAATGCTTTATCATACAATATATCTACCAAGTAGATGAGATTTGTCTCTGTCGTAAACTACAAATACTAGTGATATAAATCATCAAAAAAAGCACTTGCCGTGTTGAAGCCTCGCATGGGCCGATTGTATTATTATGAATATGGACAGTCGTTCCACGATGTCGTATGGTAGTTAAAAATACGACCATCATAATACCCCTCGGCCTTGATGCATTCCCAGCTATTTGTCTGGAACATGTTCTTGAGGGCGTCCGATGCGCGTTTGAAGAATTGACGTCTACCGTACTGTCGGCCTGATGGGTCAATGCATTTCAAGACACGATCATCACCCCGCTTGACAGCGACATCCGCATCTCCTCTACCCACCGTGATATCAAAATCCATCTCATCCCTGGCTTCGCTACAATAGTATTCCTCACTGAACTGATGAGGTTCCTCCCGGTAGGCTAGAGTAATCCCCGCGGCACAAGCTTCTTGCGCATATTCCGATTGCTTGGGTCGCTGCTCACCTTCCCAGTCATAGCAAGGCAGCGTGAATTCGACTTTCCAACCCGAATGGGATTAAATATGAGTGGCTATTGAATATGAGTGGCTATAATGGCTTTCCACTCCTCGATGCACGGTGAGTCCAACCATGGCCCCTCGTCGCCGCCCGCCGGTACCATCCACAGTTTCCGGTAGTCATCGGCCGCTAGGAGGGACGAGAAGCAGTCGGTGGTATGGACACTAGTATCAGGGCCTGATCCAACCCCATTGAACACTTTGAGGAGGTCAAACTGCAGGCCGGGGAATAGTCCGAGAACTGCACCGAGATGGAAGTACTGGATGCCGTGGCGGCGTTCATCGTCGTCTTCATCGTCGTCTCCATCGGTGGCTGACTCGCAGGTGGCGTTGCTCAAGTCTATGCTATCATTCTCCCCGAGCTCTCCATCTGAATCATTATGTTCCTCATACCGGAGGAGTCCTTCGTCTAGTTCAAGGTCGGCAGCATCGAGATTCCCATTTGGAGTATCGGGCTCCAAATCCCTGCCGCAGTCAAAAAGTTTGAGACCTGTTGGCGAGTGGCAGACTGCCAAGTGTTTCAGGCGCGTGATCTGTGCCATGTCCATCCTGCTGAGAACCTCTATCACGTCGGCGTTGTGATCGCAGATGATGTTCACATTGGGGATGGCGAGTGGCTCTGCCTCGTGGTAGATCAGACGGCAGACTCGTAGAAGAGCGAGATGGTCTTGTTTTTGTCCTGTCTGGTTATGGTTATTGATCGGAAATGCCGGAGATAGATGTCATGCCGGAGCTCTGGAGGTAGGGAAACGGATGACGACATGATTGGCGTGGGTACACGGAGTGAGGTACGTGATGTTTAATATCAAAGACGAACGGGACAAGAGAACAACGGATGGGAACAAATCCAGTAGAAATATAGATATATGTCGACGAATAATGAGATATCAAACTGAGGTTGAGAAAAGTTGAGCACGTCCAGCCTCCCACACTAACGCTTTGACGTGAATGATTGCCTGGTCACCTGAGCGACATAGACCACGTATTGTACTGAGCCCTGTCATCACTGACCCAGTCATTGTCTACAGTTATCTTTCCTAAGTTTCATCACTATGGGTTTCAGATCCTCCTGGGCCCAACATGGCTATTCTGTCTAGCTTGATCCAGTCATCGCTGTCCTCATAGCACTAATGTAGCAGAATCAACCGACAGACGAGTAGTCCAAAACAGGCACCTCGAACACCTCTGCCGTACATGTCGCATTGAAGAACGCATCGTGAACACAGCTCAGCGCAAACTCCGTACTTCCCGAATACGTGATGCGGCTTCCGTTCGCACAAGTCAGCGCATGCCCACTACCCAGCGTATAGTCAATCCTCCCAACAGACGTCTCCTCGTTCGAGCTGCCGTAGAATGAAACGATCCGTCCTGCGCCCCGATCTGAATACCCGCAGTTGCTTGCGCCATTCCCGATATCGTGGATGCGGTAGCCGATGTACTCGTCGTGGCAGGTTAGGCCGTCTTCGAAGACGATGTCTAGGGTTTGGGCGGGTCCGTACCCCCACGGCTCGTAGTTGGGCATGCCGGTGTAGCAGACGGGGACCATGCTGCCGTTGCAAGTTGTGGGGTTTGGCTCGCACCAGCCGCGACCGCAGAGGCAGCCTTGGGTGTTTTTGTCTGCCTCGTTGTGGATGCAGTCGAGGCTGTGGGAGCCGTTGTGCCAGTTGAAGGTGGTGACTGTCCAGGTGGGGATGGGACAGCCTTCTGGGGGTGTTATGGAGGTGGCTGCTGAGGTTGCAGAGAATGCGAGAAACGTGAGGATTGTTGTGAGTGCCATTGCTGTAATGCTTTTCTTTTCCGGGTAGGGTAAGACTTGGTTATGCCGAGGGGAGAGTAACTGCGAGTGTGATCGAGGGATGTGGACCCATTTATAGACCCACGATGTCATCGAGCTTGGGCACCGTATTCAACATAGCATTACTACCCTGTGATTGTGGCAAATATATGGATCAAGCAGAGGGCTGAACCACTGCAGGTCAGCTTGCTATATTGGTATTAGCTGGGCCAATCGGAGTCCCATCTGACCGGATGGCTAAGACATGTTTTGGATGCATTGGTCTGATTGGCACCGCGATATATCTGGACATGCAGTAGATTCTGCAGAAACAAGTCGCATAGTGATCGGTGTGAGAATCTTTGTCGAGGACCTATGAGCCACCATTTGCCTCGTGGGAAATTGCTCTAATTATTTTCGGAGAACTCGATTGCACCAAAGGAATGCACCGAAAGCATCAAGTGGTCTAATTAAAACTCCAAGAATAGGATGCATTGCAGGGAGTCTAACTGACCATGGAAATATCGCGAGGTTAGTGGGTGTCGCATGGTACAGGGACCTCCGTGACAACGTATGTACTAACAAAAGGTGTCACACTGTTAAAATGGACAGCAACTTTAGCTGCAGACAGATCGAACTAGTAAATGGTATGATCAGAAGTGCAGAGGAACCAAATGAAAAGCTGGAAATTTCCTATCGTTGGGAGTTGGGGAAGGAGAAGACACGCTCGGTTTGCATTTTGATATCAGTCGACGTGAACCTGAGGCAGCCAAGTCCGCTCACCTTCTTCTGTATGAAATCCATCAACTTCAACCCTCTCACACTGTCTCTCAGCCAGTGCATCATCCTCGGATCAGTAAGGGTGTACTTCCATCGACGGACTTGCTTTTGTGAGGTGATTGAACTCATCATTCAAGCTGTATGTGGTAGATATACTATACTTCCAGTCAAAGTGGCATGGTACAAAGAGAAAGGCTAACTAGGCCTAAATGATAACAGACAGGAATTTACACAGAGATCATCCACAAAGATGCCATTTGGAGAAGCGTGAAGCTCCAAGTCAACGGCGAGAACATAAATGTACGACTGAAATCTGCAGACAAGCACATGCCGGCAGCCAGACCAGGGTCTCCAACCCCGCTTCGTCAGCTCGCATCCAGATGAGGGGATCATGCATGACCCAAGGGAATAAGAGCAGGCTTGCATTACACCCCAGAAAGAACAGTCTTGAAACTTCTCATAATTTGATTTAACCCCAACGAACCTAAGCAAGCATAATGGGCGAATATAGCCCCGATTCGGCCCTACCACCCACCCTGGGTAGTAACACACCCGGTCCACATCCTGCCTCTATAACCCGACCTATCCACCACCCCGAATGGGACCAGGCGTCTGCCTCAGGATATCGCGTCTCGAACCATGTCATCGGCGAGTCGGTGCCTCGTCGCAACCCGTTCAAAGTTATAATCATCGGCGCTGGCGCTTCCGGAATTGATTTCCTTCATCATGCGAAAACTGCGCTCTCCGGTCTGAACGTCAAACTCCGCTGTGTTGAGAAAAACTCCGATGTCGGTGGGACCTGGCTTGAGAATCGATACCCCGGATGTGCGTGTGATGTCCCCAGCGCTAGTTACCAATTTCCGTGGCGGCCGAATCCGCATTGGTCACAGTATTACAGTGGTGCGCGGGAAATTTGGGCATACATGAAGGCTGTTGCGCTCGATGAGGGTCTCACACAATACATGGAGTTTGGGGTAGAGGTCAAAGGGGCAACCTGGGTGGATGAGACGGCAAGATGGGTGGTGAAGCTCGCGAAAGTGAATGGGCAGGAGTGGGAGGAGCAGTGTGACGTGCTGTTGAACGCAACAGGGGTGCTCAAGTATGTTTTATTTTTTACCTGTGTTTCTCCCATTTGTCCTGTTTCTCTCTATGCCCACCTGAATACTGACGCGACAGTAACTGGAAATGGCCGGATATACCCGGTTTGCACAGCTTTCGGGGAGATTTATTTCATACAGCTCGTTATCCCGAGAATTTCGACCTCAAGGGAAAGAGAGTCGCGGTGATTGGGACTGGTAGCTCAGGGGTTCAGACCGTTGCGTCGGTTTATCCTGATGCTGACAAGCTCTATACATGGGTGCGCAGTCCCACGTGGATCACGGCAGGGTTTGCACAGAAGTTTGCAGGCAAGGACGGTGCCAATTTCGACTGTACGCCGTTTCGCTGTAATTGCTCGAGAGTTGAGCTAATACTAGACAGATACAGAGCAAGACAAACTGGCCTGGGAGCAAGACCCAGAGAAATACCGGGAATACCGCAAGATGATCGAACACGAGCTGAACCAGCGGTTCAAGCTGGTTCTGCGAAACAGCGCCGAGTCCCAGCAGGCCAACGAGGTAGCATCCCTTCTCCCGTTCAAAGTTTCTACTAGCCCTGACAATGGTAAAGTTCTCCTATCGTGAAATGACAGCAAAATTGGCCGAGAACGCCGATATAGCAGCCCATATAATCCCCCAAAACTTCAACGTCGCGTGTCGCCGACCTACCCCAGGAAACGGTTACTTGGAAGCCCTGATCGGCGAAAAAACCACCATATTCATGGAAGACGTCGCCGGAATCACACCAAAAGGCTTTACCGTTCAATCGGGCGAGGAGTATGCTTGCGATGTAATCATTTGCGCGACAGGCTTTGACACCTCCTTTCGTCCTCGGTTCCCTATAACTGGCATAAACGGCAAGTCTTTGTCAGAGCTCTGGTCCAACATGCCGGAATCATATCTGGGCCTTGCAGTGCCCAGAATGCCCAACTACTTCATGTTCACAGGCCCGTTTACCCCCACAGCACAGGGTTCTATTCTGCCATTAATCACCAGTAAAAGCAAACATATCCTGCAGATCATCCGTAAGATGTACGTGCAGCATATCCGTCGCATGGTGCCCAGAGACAGTGCCATTGCAGACTTCATGGAGCACTGTCAAGCATACCTGCCGCGAACGTGTTGGGCAGATCCTTGCAGCAGCTGGTTCAAACAAGGGCGTGTGGATGGTCCGATTGCGATGTGGCCAGGCTCTCGGCTGGCCTATTTGGACGTGATGAGGTCCCCGCAGTGGGAAGACTACGATGTTGAATATGATTCCGGCAATCGATTTGGCTTTCTCGGGAGTGGATTCCATGTGAGCGAATTCGAGGCAAATGGGAATATCACGGACTATCTAGACGGGAATGTGATAGATGCTCCCCCGAGGGCGCTGATGGAGGAATTATATAACGGGAACTGATGGTAAATATGGCAGAGTACTACCAAAAATCGTGCTTTCCTTGTATGTTTCGATATGCTCACGCTGCTTCCAAGGGTCAACGGAACTGAGTGGTTGCTTCCTGATGAGAATTTCCTCATCATGGGGTATGACTGTGAATCAATGGAGACGGAATTCCCCATCGCGTCAACTATCTGGAACGCGACCCTCATTATTCTTTATTGATATTTAGGCCCCCACTACTTGGTATATTACTATTCATATAACGGCTCGAATTTCTTACCAGATTGGCAGCTTCTTCAAGTCTCTTACTCCACGTATCACTCACTTTCGCTCCCTTGTACACCATGTCGTTCAATGACCTCCCTGAAGATATTGTCCTCCCCATTTGCAAGATGGTAGGCCACCTGGCGATCTTTCATCTGAAGTCGGTCGAATACTCACCTAGCTGGCCTCTAGCTCAAAGATGTCTCGCCCCGGGCGCTGAGGGCTCTTAGTATGACCAATTCCGGGCTCTACAAAATAGCGGTGCCGCTAGTCTATGGAACCCTCTCTATCCGATTTTCTAATGTCGGAGAATTCATAGCGATTGCCGCGAGTATAAGCAAAACTGGCCTTGGGAGACCATTCCTAGAACACATCAAAAGAGTTGAGATCATGTCCTATCCGGAACGGACACTCCCAGTTCCTTTGGGACGCTACGTTTGGCGTACGAAGTATTATGGATGTCCGGATACGTCTAGATCTATGCAGCACTATATTTCTCATCATACGAGGTATACTGAAGACTTTGTGGGGCGTTGGATCCTGCCTGGAAGCCAATACTGGTCAGGGGATCTTCCCAGCTACATCAAATGGAAGTTTATTCGGCCACTTGTTTCGCTCCTTGAGCGCCTACCTCCTATCCAAGAGTTGTCTTATGCTGTGGCAAACCAGTTTCCTGAGCCCTTGTTGGAAGCTATCATTGCACACCATCCCTCCTGCCGAGTATCAGTTTGGTCGTCTCAGAGCTCCGATAAGCTCTGTAAACATATTCTTGCAGCCTTCTGGTCGAGTGGCAATTGGTTCAGTGGCCGATGGAACATGATGGTCGCCAATTCCCAATACCTTCACGCGATCACCATACATTACCCCGTTTTGTATAGTGCTAACAGATTTGGGTACCCCCATTGGCTTATTCCGCTTGTCGCTATGGCACCAAACCTGAAACACATTTATCTATACACCGACCTTTGCTGTAGGACCCCAGATAGCATGCCTGACAATCCACCTCCAATCGCATCGAGGCCCAACCTCAAATTACAGACGCTTTCTTTCTCTGTGACAACGACGGCGCAAAGATCTATCAGGTTCGTGTCCCAAATACACGGACTTTTTGCGTCTGGGTCAGCGATTCAACATGCTTTTGATGTTTGGGCAAATTCAATAGAACTTTCTCTCCTTCGAGAATTGATCCTAGCCGGGGCGAAGTATCCCGCAATGCTAACAGAGGTTGCTGCGGACCTGAAATGCCTGGAAAGGTTGGTAATTTGCGTCGAGCCTGATCAATGGCCCCAGGAATCCGCCACAGAGCTACGCCATTTATTTCAGCGTTTGAATCCATTAAAGCACCTTACCATACAAGGGCTAGTAGATATATCACTTATGCACGACATTCTCGGAAGACATGGTCCGCGTTTGGAAGGCCTCCTGTTTGAGCCTTACCTGAGTGACCGGACCTGGCTGTACCCGATTATTGACGACAATCAGCTTCAAAGGTTGGCAGAGGCCTGTCCAATCTTAAAAGATCTCCGGGTGCCCATCAGACGCTCTAAAGGGAATTGGACCGAGGTCCTTACCTACAGAGCCCTGGGAAGGTTCTCCCAGCTTTGCTGTTTGATCCTCGACCTCTACGGTGACCCACGGCCGGTCTCACCAGACGGAGTACACTATGTGAATAATCCTCCGAATTCAGCCGTGGAATTGGGACGTGGAACTCCAAGCAATATTCGAGATATTCTCATCAACTTCAACATTGACCGTTCTCTCGCCACTGCTATCTGGAAGGAGATCGCCTCGCACCAAGATTCTCATCGCCTCAACATGCTCCGTATTGTGCCGTGGGGAGTTGAGCCTTTCGGTGACAACTTAATCTACGTGTTGACACACTTATCACGGTCATTCCTCGTTACAAACTACGGGAAAGAAGTGGCCGAGATTGGAGAAAGGGAAAGGAAGGCAGTACTGGCAGACATGGGTCAAGGACCTGCTGGATCAAGGGTCACACCTGCGCTATGGGCAGCCTTGAACAGCATATGGCCGTGGCATGAAAGATGTCGTAGTGTTGCTCTACAGACAGATGATGCGTAAGGTGCATAAGGAGTTCTTGTGAGAAATATAATCGAGGCTACGGATATCAGTAATGTTGCGCAGATCCTTACCTCACTGCGTTCATTCTTAATTCTGCTGTCGGTGTGAGATAGCTATCAACTTGGATAAGAACTAGTGAATGAGATATTGCCATGAAGTCCGAGTGGGTATTAAAGTTCTACACCCATAGAAGGATCTGTCCAAGGAGCATTTTAAGCTGAATCTTCATATCCACCACTTTGCTTGATTCTTCCGGAAGACCATTCCTTTGTTGAATTAGCTATGAACCGCGAGAACTTGCGTTAGTCCCCCTGTATTCTTGAGACTCGTTCATAACATAGAGACCTTGTACTGATTCATGTATTACAGAAATAAAGAGGATCAAACTATAATATTGCTCTGGGGACAGCTCATCAGACAGCCCAGCCAGCAAAGCAGAAATCCCCCAGCCACACGCCTTTGATACAGGGAAATTATATGCTGATTGCTGTCTAGCCCACTTCTAACTAGACTTATCCATCGTCTTACCTGCCAAATCCCGACTATCTTTCGCATTAATCGTCTGAAACAAGCTCGGAAACATCGACGCCCCGTCGTCCCGGGCCCGGATATAATACGAGGTATCAGCGTCCGGGCGATGCTCCATCTGGCTAAAGCCGTTCCCCAAATATGCAAAGCGGTTCTTGCTCGCATACGTGACGTCGTAGTCGTCGTAGCGCGGCTTCGCCATCGTCTCGATGTAGTGCAGCACGCTGCCCGGCCACAGCGCGGTGACCTTGCCCGTCACGGGGCTCTTGTACCATGTCTTACAGTTGGAGTTCCACACCGTCTGCTCCATGAATAGGTCTTTTTGCGTTATGAAGTCGTCGACGGCTTCGCGTTTGGGGTCGAATGCTTTGATGTCCTCCTTTTGCCACCGATTGAGGAACTCTGCGATGTAGGATCCTTGCACTTCGATGCTGATGATCGAGGGGCCGCTGCCTACCGGGGAGTTGGGGCCGAGGAACATGAAGTAGTTTGGAAATCCGCTTGCGGCTACGCCTAAGTAGCTGCGTGGCTCGTGGGCCCATTCGTCTTGGAGGTTGTGGCCGGAGCGGCCGATCAGGGGGAAGCGTGGGCGGAAGGTTGTGTCGAAGCCGGTGGCGCAGATGAGTATGTCTAGCTCGGTCTCGGTCCCGGTGGAGGTGATACAGCTTGTAGGGGTGATTTCGGTGATTTCGCCGTACAGTGTAGTGACGTTCGGGAGGGTCAGGCTCTCGAGATAGTTTACGCCGGGCTTGGACAGAGTTGGTCAGCCGCGGCGATTGATTAAGATAGAGGGCAAAGATACAAGGGGAAAATACCGTTAGTCGACGACATCCCACCGGGAAATCGGGGATCAGCTGTTCAGCAAGCTCTTCGTTGTTGATCTTCTCCTTCATGCTGGCCTTCATATACTCGGCTGTCTGGGTCTGTATAGGCCAGTCGTTGATGAAGAGCGGATACACGCCTGTCAACACCTTTTCGGTGGCCTTGCGCATCTTCAAGTATTCCTCGGGATTTTCACGAAATTGCTGCCTCTCTTCATCTGTATGTTCGCGCATTTCTGACCCAAATGTTGGGATCACCCATGTGGGCTTCCGGACGAAGGTCGTTACATGTTTGGCGACTTTCTGGATCTGGGGAAGGATCTGGATTCCCGACGAGCTGATGTGGTTAGTGTACGTGCACAGTAGGCTAGGGAACTAGACGTACCCATTGCCAATGAGCCCGACGCGCTTCCCCGTCAGATCGACGTTGTCGTCCCAGGCTGCGGTGTGGAGCAGCGGACCCTTGAAGCTCTGGATACCGGGAATTGTAGGCCAGCGCCACGAATTCAAGACACCACATGCATTGATGAGAAAGTCACATCGTCGCTCAAAGGTAGAATCTATCTCTCGGTTGTAGACCTGCACTACCCACTCGGAGGCGTTCTCGTCCCAGCGGGTTTCGGTCACCTCGTGGTGACTCGCGATGTACTGACGGAGCTCGTGCTTGTCGACGAAGTCACTGAAGTATTGGAAGATCTCGCGCGATGAGGAATAGGTGGAAGACCAGTCGCACTTGGGATCGAAAGTGTACGTGTAGTTGTGACTATTCCATTTAGCGGGATGAAGCTTGAGTGCTTGACAGACAGAAGAGATGGACTTACGCAGGAACGTCGCATGCGCAACCCGGATACCGATTCTCAAACCACGTTCCCCCAATGTCTGCATTCTTCTCGTATATATCTAGCACAAAGTCTGTGAAATTGTACTTCAATTTGTATGCCATGTAGATTCCCGATGCCCCCGCGCCGATGACAATCACGCGCATGGTTCGATTTGCATGAAGCGGCGCATCGCGACACTGTGGTTTGGGGCCGTTACCGACATGATGCGCATCTGGAACTGTCATTTTCTTTCCGTTGAGCGATTGAGTCGGGCATGGCGGAGAAGAAGGCTTCAATGGTAGGCGCAGGGGCAGAGAATTTATACTATACCCCGCGACTTCATGCTAATGATCCATGTCGCAAGATTGACATTAGCCTAGTTGGCGCCATTCTGGACCTCGTATTCTGTTCTTATTTTATTGGCCAGATGGGGGCATCTGTGAAGATCCCTTGAGTGCGATAGGTGCTCAAACCACGCCAAGGAGGGGTAGATAGGAGCCTCGTATTGATTGGATGCTCCTCTGGTCCGAGGTCCATGGCCAAGGTCTTTGTAGCGAAGAGCTCTCGAAAACCAGTTGATAAAGACTCCTCCGGTCCGAGATCCGTGCTTGAAGACTTTGTACAGAATGCCCTCGACAAACATTCCACTTGGAGTAACGGTATTGGTGTCATGAAGCTGCGCAGTTTGTCCTCCGCCCTCGCATCCAAGATCCGCTATGCCCCACTGTCACTTAGGGCTAGTCGATATAAACGTCCCGGTGGGTTAGTGTCAGCCATCTAGCTCGGATTTTCGTTGGTGTTAGAAAATAGTCAGTCCCACGACTGAGAGGGACTAAACAATGGGACGCTAGGCCGACAGGAATTGATTCTTTTAGCGCGTGATTGCTGGTCCTTGGTCCGAGGCTATGGCATTGGTAGGCGATATTGGTGTTATACAGAGTGGCGATTTTAACATATTGATGCCATTGTACCGGCCGAACTTGGGTTCTTTCGTTGGTACAATCGATCCATACATCCGCGAAGGATAAGTGATTGATGGGACCCTGAACGATCTCTGCATGTTCAAGTTACCAGAAGTCGACACGGAAATACACGCAGCCTGCTATGGTCCATGAACCAACGTAACGTAAAGCTCCCCTGACTCAGGGCTGATCCTTATCTAGATTTCGGCGAGTGACGTCGGTCTAGGCCTTGGCCGTGTCGAGATCTAGTAAAACACGCAACCACTCGAACGAGCCTCGTGACGTCCCACGAGTCTAGCATTCATGGAATGGCAATATACAATAGCTGTGTCAGGGCTAGAGTTTGGTGACGCGGTTTGCTTTCCGCTAGACGGGGGTGGGTCCCTGGGGTGTGTCCGGCCACCAAGGATGGCTCCCAAACTCCACGGGCGGAGTGAGCCCCCACCGGGATCCGGTATTTTCTTCCCTTCACCCTCAAGATACCTGGCCTGGTCAATAGGCACCGGCAGGTCCTTTTACGGACGTGACCAAGGTCCATCCACCAGTCAAGGCGGAGCTCCCTCCCTTCCATCTGCTTTGTTGAAATGGGTGACGTCGCCGTTGTGGAGACGGATGAGGAATTGACAATTGGCGCAGGGGTCTACCAGGCCGCGCCATATAAATCCAGACAATCGGTCATCGTACAGATGTGCGAAGTTCACGTATCTGCTGGACAAAGCCAAGCCGTGCACCCGCCCCGCTTCTTCTCCCGTCCTACAAGTCACCAAAACCCTGCGGAAGGGATAGGTCTCGCCGCAGCGGCCAAACGGCGTACCCCGGCCTCTTGACGCTCGGATGGTGGGGGTCCATGTCTGCGACCAGTTGGCCAGCGTCAACAACGGAGATCTTATCACCCCATAACGAGCGCGGTCCAGAACGGCCAGCCAGGATCCTCCTACCCCACGGGTAGCAAAGCCTCCCCTCGAGGCGCCCGGGCAGTACTCCCCGGCTTCCGTCCAAGTGCACTGAAAGATAGCCGGCCATTTCCCCTCTCCGAGGAGCTTCATACACCACTGCCCAAAGACAGCGGTAAGCGGAAGGTAAAAATTCCGCTTTGTGGCCCCCGTGGGAGCACTGCCTAGACTACTCATGAAGAGCCCTAGAAGGTCTGGAAGCGCCCAATATGCGATTCCCTCGTGCTTCCACTTGATGAGACGAAGGCTTGCTACCGCGGACGGCCAGTGAGGGTTCGCTTCGCGAGCGATGCTCTGTGACGGGGGAGGGATGAGGTATCCGCTGCCGTCGGGACAACTGTTATAGAAGTCAGCAATGTCCACGCCGCGCTTGGCTTTATAGTGCTGCCGAATCACCGACCGAAGTCGCGTCACGTTCTGATGAATTGACATCCGGATTTCTGCACACTGGGAGGGAATGCCGTATACCCCTGGGCGGTTGACGATATCCTGCAAACAGGCAACAATCTCGTCCAGCGTAAAGCTGTAGGCGATTCGAAGATCAACTTGGCCATTTAGCCAGCGAAGAAGCTGCTCAGCCATTGTGACAACGCTGGTGATAGACGTGCCTCTACAATATCCTACAAGACTACGAAGGACAACAACTTGTTACTGTGGGCGACCGGAGTCACGTCTGCTCTTTCTCTTTCCCGATTCAGCTGGAGCATCTTCCCTTTACTAACCCGTTCATTTTTTCTTCCCCGAACAAAAGTCTGGATTTACCATATAGGAGCATACAATGGGCCTCTTGCAGCAGGATAGGGAGGGTCTCAACAACTAAATCAATTCCAGGCCAATGACAGTGGGTAAAGATGCTGGTTAGGCAGATTCATGATTAGTGCTACTCGCTTTTCGATGTCAGCCGCAAGTGCGTGGCTGCGGCAGTTTTGGGTGCCCTTTGGGGAAAGATAGATGGAGATTAATATATATAGAGAAGGACTCACGGTGACTACAAGACTCTGAAGGCCTGATGTATGATAGATGCGCAGTTCAGATGCTTAAATGAGGACATTACGGAAATTGACTCCTAGTGTTCCTTGATACTGACTCATCACCCAACTCTAAGAAATAGTTAACAACTTAAACTTACCATAGTAGTTACGTATGTACTACTAAGCATTTCTACCCACCACCACCACTCCTACTACTGCTCCTACTACCAGTGCCCCGATCCTTGGATATTGCAACGACTGATCTCTCACATTGAACCAGTCTTTGCCATGGAAATTTCGGTAGGTCACAGAAAGCACAACCGCATCGAGTCTAATCGAACGAACAGACCGATCAAATTCCAGACGGATGGTCGAACGACCCGCAACACCTCCAGGTGTATTTCAGGCCCAATTCGCAAGAGATGGAATTCGCGAGAGACCATGGCCTCGATAATGTCTCGCTACTGCTCTTTAATACACCCGATACTGGGAGTCTTGGGTTCATCATCACGTCGGGGGGGCGTTATTATTGGGGTGATTTGATGATTGACCATCTCTTTGAGATCACCCAGCCAAAGACTTTCCCAGCGATTCTACGCCGTCTTGCCCAAGGGGGGATGACGGCTTTGAGAATGAAACGGATGAAGCAGATACCGCTCGAGGGAGAGAACAAGGACGTCTGAGTCGATTGAGTCGGCGGAATAGTCTTTCAAAATGAATCTACATGGATCATCTCATCGTCTTCACAGTCGACGGAAGACGAGCGAAGGTGGTAAATTCGAAAGTACTGAGGTGACACGAGACCAAGCATTTCCAAGTCAAATTGACCCAGTTCCGTCTCTCAACAAAGACCTTCTTGCCAACATTCAAGTGAGGCGTGTTGTAGCTCCAGTAAACACCCTGTATAGTCCTCGAGGGGAGATCTATATAATTCTCCCGGGCTTTGATTAGGGGCCTAGTATACCAGACACAATCAGAACAACCCAATACAATTCCTCACCAGAAACCACGCATGCGACCATATTAATCTAGTCATCTTGATCGACAAGAACTTAAATATCCAGAGGATCTATCAATCTTCCACCATCTCTATAGAAAGTGTTCCCCGACACGCTATACCGCATCCAGTAATTCTGCAATCACCTGCCATCGCCCTTAGTCAACCGATCCCCGATCCCCTCCTCCAAAACCATCTCCAACTTCCATCTGGATTTCCCTCCTCACGCCAATGACTCCCACGCCCTCTCGATCGACCAAGGCCAACGGTCTGGCATCGTTGGCCTGTACGGAGTGTCGCAAACAACATTTGAAATGCGACGCCGGGAGACCGTCTTGTGCGCGATGTGTGCAAGGTGGGACACTATGCCAGTATTTGCCTTCGCGACGGGGCGGTCGCCGACGGGCTCGCGACTCGCCCTATCACCAATCCCGCTCGGTCCCGAGCGCGTTGGGTGATATTTCTAGTGTCCGTAAACGGTTCCTTCTGACGCATGGATTCAACAAAATTGACGGTTCTTTTTTAGGCACGATACCCGACAATGGGCTCCGTGCTGCAAATTCACCCCAATGCGCAGACGCACACCCCTGACAATACCCCGTCGGAGCGAATCGGGGACTCGGATTTGTCCAGCATCTCCACCGACCAGATCCCGTGGCCCACGATGCTGCCTCCAAGCGTGTCCGGTTCAAATTATACCGAGCAGCCCGGTCGGTCCTGGACAGACGATGACCGTTTACCGCGCCTCTATTATGAGAACTTCCACGCCGCGCATCCCGTGCTGGTGCCGAGTACCGCATACAACGACCGGAACTATCCACAGTTCCTGCAGCTTGTGGTGAATTTTGTGGGCTCCAACTATGTCCCCTCGAGTCCCAGCCAGGAGTTCAAAGCCCAGATTGCTGCCGAGTTGGCCAACAGCAACGACCGGTCCCCGTGCATGGTCCAGGCCTGTCTGATTTACTCGATTGCCCTCTACGCTCGCAACGAATGGCCGGAAGCCCAAGATGCCTTTGCGCGCAGTCTGGAGCTGGCCTTGGAACTGGGCATGAATCGGTCGGATTTCGCCTTGTCCGCGCATCCGGAGCAGTCCGTCGACGCGGAGAGCATGCGCCGGACATGGTGGGAGCTGTATGTCACCGACATCTACCGGGCGGTCACCTTCAAATCGAATCCTATCCGTTGCAGTGCCGTCTCGGCCGAGGTGTCCCTCCCCTGCGAGGAATCCATCTACAATGGGGGTGGTGATATTCCCAAGCCGCGCATGATCCTCGACTTTCGGCGGCGCATCTTCGCCGCCGATGACGATCTGTTTTCCTCGTTTAGCTACCGGATTGAGGCCGCGATGATCTTATGCCGGGTGTTGGTGCTCAATCGGCTCCGAGACTGTCATCGCGACCACCTGCAGGCCGTCGAGAATGCGTTGGTCAGTTGGATCAACCATTTGCCCCCCAAGAAACTGGACATTGTCGACTGCTACGGCAATGTCGACGAAATGATGTTCCAGGCGCATTTGACCATTTCCTACGCCGCGATGTTGCTTCATCTACCTCGGAGCGACTTGCAGCCCGTTCTGCAGGAACCCGACGATCGCTTCTGGCCGGGTGCGTCTGCCCAGTTCTCCTCGACCTTCACCCGCTTGGTGCACAGCATCAAGTCGACCGAGGCGTCGAGACGGGTGTCAGATTTGATTTCGGTCTGCCCCAACGTGCAAAAACATACCCCATTCGTCATCCCGGCCTTGGCACTGTGCGGCATGATCCAGATCGCCACGTCCAAAAGCCACTCCGAGGAATGTTTCGACCATCACTGCAATCGTGTAACCCTCGTGCTCGGTTGTTTGAAAAGCACGAAACGGACGTGGTCCGTGGCCGAGACAGCATACGATTGTCTCCGGTCATCCGCCGCGGAGGTATTGTCGCGCTCAATGGACCGGTGGAATTCAGAGCCACTGAACAGGCTGATCCCCACCGAACCCGCGCCTAATGGACCCGAACGGCCCAGCTCGGGCGGTCGACCCGCCTTGCGTACGATGGATGGGAGTGAATTCATGCCCCCCGACTTGGCCCCCGCGTTCATCGACCCCACCTGTTACAATGCCTCCTTTTTCAGTCCCGTTCCAACGTTTGATCTAAGCTAGAGGATATGAGAGGACACATTCCCGTCAAGGGACTCCAGTTGGGGTCTGGCCCGCCCCTTGATAAAGCGAGTTTAACCGACGACCGGCGGTCGGCGAGTGCTTCCACCATTCGCCGAATGGGTACTGATAAGCGATATCATTGGTTTGTCGGTTTCATTCCCCACAAGGATCCATGATACCTCCTCCTGCGGTCGGGGATGATCTACAGCCCGACGTTTGTGAATCATCTACATTGGTTGGGCCTAGCCACTTTAATGTTACACATAGTAACATTACTTGTATGCGAGAAGCCAATTCTTATCACCCCATGGCAGCTGAAATAATGATCACTCGTTCAGGAGAGAGAGCACATCAGGACCCCCTGGTTACATCCGACGTCTCGGACGGTCAGCTGGGCCTGCTGCAGCCTCGGGAATCCCGAGCTTGCTCAATGCCTGTATTATACTCGGCGAAGGAATGTGGGTGGACAGCTCGGATGGTTACATTGCCATCCAGGCACGATATTCCCAGTGTCTTGACAGCGTCTCGCTCTTAAATAACTGTCGCCGTGCATGGGATAAACACGAGTATATCGCACAGGTTTATCTTGCGTACCTGAAATATCCCCACTTGATTTGCATTTGTGTCATATATATTACCTTGATGGTCTACGAGCCGTTGTTCCACCGGGGCACAATTTAAGGTTATCTAGCCATACCGCCATGTCCATCCCGGGGATGGCACAAGCACCGGATATTGCACCGTCAACTAGTTTCCCTGATAGCGCTGATAACAGTCGATCCCTTGCGACAAATCATATGGAACAGTCCGTATGATTGATTGCCCAGCATTCCTTGACCGGTTGTTGGCCGACCCTGTAAAGGGTGAGAGTTCCATGGCTCGGCGACCGGTCAATCGCCGATCGACCATGCATATCTCGGTGACGTCCTTTGGCAGCCTTCGAGTCCTTATATACTGGGTCTTTCGCTGCTTTCGAGAACCAAATATCCTCAACCTCAATATTGAATTCAAACTCTATAATAAGAACCGAACAAACAAAACAATAAATCATGTCCTCCGCAATCCTCTCCCCCAACACCGGGATCACTCCCGCTACCACTCCCCACTACCAGTCTGGTTCAGACCGATACACCCTCGATGACTTAGTAGCCTCTATTAAAGAACACCTTGGAGAGCAAGGCGGCATTTCTTCCGAAGAAGTCGACGAGGATTACCTGATCTCCCTCGCCAAAAAGTACAACTCCAACCCAGCAGACTGGGCACCCTACTGCTACAACGACCCGAGCAAGAACTACACCCGCAACGCAATTGAAAACATTAACAACAAAGCGAACATCGTATGTCTCCCTCACGCGCCACCTACTCCCGATCATTTATACTAACGCACGAGCCCCAAAACAGCTCTTACTGGTATGGAACCCGGGCAAAGGCTCCCCGATCCACGACCACGCCAACGCCCACTGCATCATGAAAGTCCTTGCCGGCGAGCTCTGCGAGACCGTCTATCGCGCTCCCCCTTCGTCTGTCAATGACGATCACGAGTCCGGCTACGGCTCCGGGAGTGGGACCGATGGGGAACAGACCGATAAGCCGCTGCAGATCAAGTCGGTAAATACCCATGGCGCTAACGAAGTGGCCTATATCTCGGATGAGATTGGGTTGCATCGTGTGCACAACCCGAGTTCTTCGCGTTTGGCAGTTTCTCTTCATTGTAAGTTCCTTCGCCTGTCTGTCCGCCGTTCTTGTGGCCGGGTTAGATGCTGTATTTTGGACGGAATGCTAACGGGCTACTGCTTGTGTAGTGTATACTCCGCCCAATGCTGCCGACTACGGGTATAACATCTTTGATGAAAAGACCGGAAAGGCGTGTTTCGTGCCGCAGGCGAAGTCAGTTTCGCCTTCTGCAGAGTGTACCCAGTCATAGGTATCTTCTTGTTGGTTGATTGCGCTTTGTCCTGGTTTTATGGATGGGAGTTGCGGTTCGGGTGAAGGGTTATATTGTCGTTTCTAGTGACGCGTTCGAGCCAGCATGATTGCTTTCATTATTGTTGTTATCACTTGGCATACTCAGCTGGAATGAGATGTACACATTGATTTATTGAACGCTTTATTATAATTCATTCGGTTACTACAATAATTCACTGTGGGGTAGGAAATATGACAATCTGTAGATCTCAAACTTTTAAAATGCCTTTCAACCAACAAATATAGAACGTAGCCACAGGAAAATGCATGGCAAACCAAACATTGGTTCGCACCCGTTTTGTGGCCAAACCAGAACCCGTCGGCGACCCATCGGCGACCCGTCGGCGACCGACCGACCACCCCTTTCGGTGATTGACCCGGGATAACAACTATACGTCAGTCCGCATCCCCATCATGCGATAAGCATCCAATCCAGTCGCGGAATGAAGCAATAAACCAAGTCAGGTAGGTCAGTCACTTTGAATCGGACGCTCCCGTCTTGATCCACCGCGACTCCACCCGTCTGGCGTCGGATTCTTATACCGCGTCTTCACCGCATCTTGTCTCCCGGTACGTACTATTGCCTGTCTGGCTTGGGGTGCTTATATTGGGTTGAGTAGTGAGCCGTCTGAGACATTCTCCGATTTGCTCCTGACTAGGATGGATCTGTCCCCTGCTATGTCTGCGGGAGGAAGATAGACAGGGTTGCTATGGTGTCGGTTGAAGACGCGAAACTGACCGCCGGAATATTGAACCTTTGCTAGCCGACTGCCTGGTATAAGCGGCGATGGCTGGGATGGGGAATGGGTGGTTTCTGGACGTTCTTTATTAACTTGTTTTGGGCCAGTATTGAATCCTGGGGGTGTTGTTCAGAGTGTTTCTGTGAGGCTTTCGGCCCCCCTTGGCGTCCCGCTTATAGTTTGTTATATATGTAAAGCGGACATGATTCGACTATTACTTCGAAAACCCCTTCGTGACTCGCTTGATGGTGTGTTATCATGAACTGAGACAATGCCTGGGCTTGGTTAACTGTTATCCTCCGTAGAATATTCGACCTCCATCTTTCCTAACGGCGGCAGTACGGCCCACGGTATATCGGCAATCAAAATGCAGTTGGAGATTACCAACTATGAGTAGTGGTTCTTCTCACACTGCATAGGCGTACATTGCTTGCCTAGCGAGTGGCTTCTGCCTTGTTTCACGTCCATAATGATGCTATGTCTAGTATCAATAGCAACCCGAAGTTTCTCCGTACTATCTGCAGTGCAGTGGTCAGTACATAGTAATTATTGATCCTTAATGGTCACACATGAAACCCTGTTCAGCATAGTCTAGCCTTACAGTACATAGAACGAATAAATATGGATTGGGTCATACGTGGCTTCGCTAGTTCTATGACTGTAAGTAATAGCGCTCGAGTAACGTTGAAGGCTACACGGATGTATGACAACCACGTCTTATCTTCCTTGTGTATGCACAGATCATCGGACTATTGTAAGTGTCATTGCAGATGTGGAGAAACATTGATTGTATGTTGTGGGATATTGCTGTGTCTGGATATTGAGATATACGTCAGATATATATGGTGAAAACATAGATCTTGCGGGTTTAGTATTGTAGCTCATTGTAGCTACAGTAGCACTTGACTGCTTCACATCTGTCCAGAACAGCAATGTAAACCAGTGAATAATACTCAGTATGATCTTGAGAATTCTACAGGTCTGGGAACTGTATACTGGTATACAGGTAGAGGTGGTCAACAAGTGGAAAGACGGCGTGGAGGATAACAGGTGACCGATAAGATAAGGCGGATCACGGGAAAAACAAAGCACATCCATATCCAACCCAACTCTCCATTTTTCCATCTTCCCTCCCAATCATCATATGTCTGTTCAAACTACATCGATTATTATTATCTTCTATTTAGATAGGTAACTGACTGAAATGCAAATTCTCCTTCTCGACGGTGGTCTGGGAACGGCCCTGGAAGCCTCGCCGTATCACTTCACCTTCACGTCCGACACACCTTTGTGGTCCGCTCATTTGTTGGTCGCCGATCCAGCAACTTTGCGTGCTGTCCATGCTTCATTCGTCGCTGCTGGTGCTGATATCATACTCACGGCGACCTACCAGACCAGTTTTGAGGGTTTCGCGAGAACACCGCCTGGATATGGCCCCGACGATGCAGCACGATATATGCGGTCTGCGGTGACATTGGCCCGAGATGCAGTGGGCCCATTGGCAACGAATGTTGTGGAGCATGACAGGAAGGATATAACTGAGAAGAGCGGAAAACGGCCAGTTCACATTGCGTTGTCCCTGGGACCTTACGGTGCCACCATGTCTCCCATCGCTGCCGAATATTCCGGCCTCTACCCCGACGCGATGAACTCCGAGGCCGTCCTGCGTGACTGGCACGCACGGCGACTCAGAATATTCACAGACGACGAAGATTCGTGGAACAACGTGCAGTACGTGGCATTCGAGACCCTGCGACGAGCCGACGAAGTTCGTGCAGTCCGTGGCGCCATGGCGGATGTTGCTGGGAGCATACCGGCGGAGAAACAAAAGCCCTGGTGGATCACGGGCGTGTTTCCTGCCGATGAGCCAGACGAGGATGATATACGGAGCTGGGTGCGTGCAGCTGTTGGCGGTGTGGAAGAGGGTCTCCCTCGCCCTTGGGGGATCGGGATAAACTGCACCCGACTTGATCACATCCGGCGCATTGTGTCGGTCATGCAGCTAGAACTAGCCCAGATGGCAACTGCCGGTGGGGCATTCGTCGATCAGTGGCATTCTCGATCGGGGCGACCTTGGCTCGTGTTGTACCCCGATGGCACGCAAGGGGAGCGGTACGACCCTGCTACGAAAGCCTGGATAGCTCCCAGCTCGGAGTCCGACAAGAAAAGTGTCGCACGACCCTGGAGTGAGCAGTTCGGAGATGTCGCACACGACTTGATGGATACACACTGGGAAGGCTTGATTATTGGTGGGTGTTGTCGGACGGGGCCGCGGCAGATCGAAGGATTGAGAGCAGTTGTTGATGGCAGACTGGCTGGGAAACTCCAGACTTGAGGGACGTGCCGATGCCTCTCGCGCGATTTGAGGCAACCGATGCGTTGGCTGCTCCTAAGTCATCCGCTCAGCTTGCCAGCGATGAAACCCTCGTGGTATTATTATTTTATTATTATTTCTTAATTTCTTTCTACTGCCACCCCTTTACGGCTCAACTCCAAGGAGTGTGGACTATGGACAAGCCACCCATGCGGGGTAAGGAAGACGTCATGCTCTAATCTAAGCATGGCAAAATCCCTAGCCCGAGGAGTTGACACCATCCACACGTGGGTTCTGGAAGAAGCACCACCGCCCATATTACATGCATCTGGCATTCATAAGGCAAAGAGCGAAAGTCTGGTACGACAATGTCTATCTCGACATGGTGGCCATGCAATGCCACAAGTCTCTAAATCGCACGCTGTAACCTGCCGGCAGACGAGGCGTCGTATCAGTTGGTCTATCCAGTGAACGAACCCAAGGCCATGCAAGTAATCAGCATTTCCCATACAGCTGGCCTTCGCCGCCCTGGACACGACTGTATGGCGTGGACGGCGCCTCATATCGGGATGGATATCCAACGAATCATCCCAACAATGAGGCCACGTGAAAAGGAGCCCCCTGCGCAACGGTTGCTGGATCTAGCAAAGGTTGGTAGACCGGGAGAGGGACCCAGCTCCAGCAGGGGGAATTCCTCCGACGACAGGTGGTGAAGGCCAACTCAGCACTACCCTCGCAACCCGCGACGCCGTCGTTCTCTGGGCACCACCGAACTTGGCGCTTGATCAGCCGCCAACAGAGCATGATAGGGCATTCCAATCGGAGCAGACGGAGGTGTTGGGCCCTGACTTGGGTTCATCTCCAGCGATGGTTCGAAGCACCCAAACATGGCCATGCGCATTCTAGAGCAAGCATGTCCCGCAGTACGGAGCAAATATAGATAGTAAAATCGACCGGGATGGACTCAATTTCCGCTAATTACCGGCGGGGGGGAACGGTTAGCGCGCGTTATTAATATCACTAATACACCCCAATATAGCAATCCAACAACCAACATCTCGCGATATTAATAGCCATTTTGGCCCGCAACTCCCGCGATCCAATGAGGGCAGCCCATCAGCTTCCCACGGCGTTGGAACACACAGCCTTCTTCCTCGGCTAGCGGTGAAGGGCCCATGCGATCACCACGCCCGTCGCAAACAAATGAAAGCCGCAGGATGGTGATTTCCCGGCCGCGCCAGACCCAGCAGGCTGGTTCTGCGCTGATAGTCGCTGCCCTTGGTGCGCGATGATCGTGGTCTGTGTGTTGTTCTGCGCCTGCTATATAAGGTCCTGGGAGGGAGCGATCAGCTTCCAAGCCGTCCCATTACGGCTCGACGTTGATCGCTTTCTATCTGGCCTGTACAGGACCTGTTCTCGACTGCATTTGACCGCTTCGTCTTTGGATATTCCCGAACCCCGGTGGCTTGCGAAACATCGTCATGCCAGACCTCCCTCATGGTGTAGAAATGGCACGGGATGGGAAGGCGCTAGCCGTCGCAATCCGGGAGCGGGTTGGCCATATCAATCGCCTCTATCGGTCGGGAAAGCCGCTATTCCCCCGCGAATTGCTGGCCGATCTGGATCGACAAATCGACGATGGCACTGAGGAGATTCACGTCGTGGATTTGGAAGGCGTGGGACAGACCTACAGCAGGAGCGTACCTGGTTGGTGTACGGACTTTGCGTAGGTTTTGAATACTCCCGGTCTGGTCGGACTAGGTCGCACATATCTCACTAATACGAGCAGAAACACGTATCGGATCAGTTATCATAGCATCCAGTCGCTCACTTGCGTCCACCCCAGTTTCCCTGAGTTGATCCTTCGCGACAGGGCACCCGTGTCTATCGGTTATACGAGTGCCTGGGAACCCTGCAAGACCACACTGGATGATGTGCGCGATGTCTTCCTTGCCAACCGCCAGGCATGGAGGACAAGTGCTACGTGTCAGGGACTACTGCAGTATCTATCATCCTTGGAGATCCAACCACGCATCACCAAGATTGTGTGTTTTGGACTGGGCAGCTTCGGTGCGATCAACGGCTGCCACTCCACGCGTTGTCATGCCCAGCATGCGGCCATAGAGACCATTGCGACAGCTTTGACCCGGCGCGGTGTCAGTGGAGGGCATGAAATCCAATGCTTCGCGCAAGACCCGGCCTACGACTCTGTGGACCACGCGCTTTTGCGCGAGCTAGGTATCTATCTTCTGGATGATCCCAAAGGTTTCTTGGAGATCGACGAAGAGACGCTTGTTTTCTCGGTAAGTCCAAACGTCCCCGTCAAACAGATTGTTGCGGATGTCCAGTGGCCCGCCGCGATGATCTGGAATACCGTCATTGCGGAGGAAAAGGAAGATACGCGCTGGGTCAAGCGGACGGAGGAAAATGGGGGCATTTCATGGATGTGGTGAGTTCAAACAAAAAAAACAAATAGATCTCTTCCTCAATCGGGGGATATCTGACTGACATGGTTAGCCCGTTCACGACGGATCCTGACTCGATGCGCGTGCGGAGCATGGTGAAGGAATACAGCCAGGAAACACTGCGGGATCCGAATGAATACTTTGGCGACTTGACCATCTACATGAGAGGGCCCGCATGATTGAGCACAATGCGTGTAACGCCCCAGATTCGAGAGGGCAGATCGTTTGCCAGGAACACCTGAATCACACAAGTAGTTAGAAGACAGACCCTGCAATGGAATGATTTGTTTCCGACGTTACATCGATCTTGGTCTATGGATCTAGTTTCTCCATCGGAGCCACAAGTACCGGCTTACGAATCAGGCCAGCCATCGGAGTCATCTCGCCGAGACTGGCAGATGGCTGAGTCCGATAGGAGCTGAACATCTGGAGTACAGCTAGGGAGTTGGGTCCCCTTCAACATGCAGGGCATGCGCAGCTTGTGTCGTGAACTCTATTACCCAGACCCCGTCCTCTGTGGAACGTTCCCAATTCGTGGAGTCCGCATGGAAGCTGAGGGTGGAGTTTCCAGGAACCCTCGGTCTGATGATCAGGGTATTGAACACGTCAGATATTTGTACGTGCTGACATGAGTTGCAGACGCCACCCTTGCCGAATGAATCATGAAAGTCAGCTTTTCCGCTGTTCGTGGTGTAACGCCCACCGGGAGAATAGAGTGGGCGAATGACCTGAGTTACCTGACTCTGGATTGACTGATACGAGTATTGCCCAAGAAGCCACTGAAGTTCGTGAGGTCGAGTCCCCGTTCCCACCACTATAAATGCGGCCATGGCTGCTCCGTTCCTGGAGTTCAGTAGGAATTGTCTTGTTGTTTCTTCTTGTGAAGATTGATTCTTTAGCAAACTATCGGTCCGATCTGATTCGCAGTATAGCCTTGCTGATTTGCCCACCCCCCTCCATCTTCCGCCATGTCAAACTACTGCTTTTCGGACAAGGCTGTCGCCGCGCAAAAGACATCGGGTTCAACACCGGTGACCCCGTACGATGCTCTCAGTCGCTACCTCAAGTTCACCAACAGAGACTCAGACGGGTGGTGGCGACGTGTCGCTCCGTTCTTGAACAAGTTGCTGGAGCGAGCTGGCTACGACACACACCAGCAGTATCAGTACTTGATATTGCTTGGATTGCACATCATTCCCTTCCTTGACGGGGTTCCAGACATGCAGCGTCCCATGGACTATGCGTCCGTGGTCGGAGGTATCGGTCCGCTGGAATTTTCACAGAATTTCACCAAAGATGGAAGCAAGATGCGCATCGGCTTGGAGCCCATGAACCACAAACACCGCAATGGTACAGACCCATACAACCGGGCCGCGATGGGTGAAGCCCTCATGGGCCTCAAATCACTAGGCATCTCCATCGACCTCCAGCTCTACCACCAGTTGGTGCCGCTGCTGATCCTGACTGACGCCGAGGAGCTTGAAATGCCTAACGCAACGTACTTTGTTAAGTCCGCCTCAAAAACCCAGTATGCCCTAGCGCTCGACTTGGACAAAGGCGACGTCACAGTAAAGCAGTATCTTATGCCGCGCCAGAAGGCGGCCGTCACAGGCTTGCCCCTCTCGGAACTGATCTTCAGCGCCATCCGCACGGTCGACGTCAACGAGGTCTTCACCGACAGCGTTGCAATGCTGGAGGACTTCCTGAGCGCCACCTACGACCCCCCAGTTGCGGTGTTCGTAAGCTGTGACCTCGTCCCGTTCCACTCCACCCGCTTCAAGGTCTACGTCGCGGAACTGAACCAGTCGCTCGAAAACATCGCGCGCAACTGGACCCTCGGCGGCCGCCTCAATGACTCCGAAACCCTCAAGGGTCTTGCGTACGCGCAGGAACTCTATACGCTTTTTGGGATCCCGGACGGCACTCGCGATATTATCAGCCACCCCGTCATCCCCGGCGATCCCCAGTCGTTCAGCCACCTGATGTTCAACTATGAGTTGCAGCAGGGTGACCCTCGTCCCAAGCCCAAGATCTATTACGCACTGAACGCGTTGAACGATATGGAGAAAGCGAAAGCCTTAGTGGACTTTTTTAAGCGGGTTGGGTGGGAGAAGCATGCTGCTGAATTGATCGATAATTTGCAGTCTTATATGTGAGTCCGAACTTTTTCTTTCCCGTCTCTCAGACCATTTCCTTGTTGCCCCACGTTTTGTCCTTGAATTCACGATGTGTCCAATGTACCCTGCTAATGAGAATAGTCCCGGCGTCGATATCAACGAGACGACCGAACTGATTGGCTGGCTGTCGTTCGCATATAGCGAGAAGAAAGGTCCGTACCTGACAATTTACTATCGTTAGTGGCAGGCGATGTGCGTGTTTGTGCATTCGAAGGTGATACTACAGGGGTTGAGAAGCATTGGTTATACAAGAAGTCACAATTTGGAATGTGTTGATATCTTGTTTAAATATTTTTTTGAAATTTTATCGAACCTAGTTGGCTATGAATGAAACTGAGAGCACCCGTGACTCTACCTAGCTTTAATAACCCTCACAAGGAAGTGAGTCGCTTTGCAGTATTTTGAATCCTCCACCACGCCAGTCAAAATGTAAGAACTTCCAGCGAAACAGACAATGACTGTCACAACCCCTCGATATTCATCTTCCGAATAGCCACGCTCCTCTCGCGAATCGCCCTCCCCTTCCAGATCAACACAACCGGCGCAAGCGTCAACACAGCCGCCACGAACCCCAGCAAGCTACTCGCCCACTGATACCCCAAGCGCAGATACATAGGCTTAGCAGCGAGCGGCAAAAACGCAGCAAAGATGTTCTCCCCGAAGGCGACGGCGCCGATCGCGCTCGCCGCATACCCTGCATACGAGTCCGTCACGTAGATACTAACAGCCGTGACGATGACCATAATAGCGTACCCGATGAGGGCGAGCGCGATGGCCGGAACAATCCAGTGCGTTTGCTCCGTGCTCCAGCCGTACATGAAGAGGCCGCCTGCGAGGGCGACGGCCGTGCTGGGGATGGAGAGGTGCAGGATTGCTTCTGGGATGGGTGTTCCCGGGTGTTCGGGGTTGTGGGCTGCGCTGCGCGTGTAGAGCCGGTTTTGATAGAAGGTTGTGAGGAGGAGGCCGAGGATTTGACCGATGCCGATGGCAGATTGTACGAGGCCGTCAGTGTGCGAGGGCCAGTTGTAAGTGCCGCTGAAGACGATGGGGATGGATTGCGTGGAGATGAAGACGAGGCCGAAGGCGAAGGCGGACCAGAGGGTGAAGACTGTTACGGTTGGTTCGGTCGTTAGGAGGAGAGCGGAGCGCACGATGGTCTCTTTGAATGTGCGTATAGCTTCGCTTTTGGTGGGTTTGGTGGTGGTGTCTGAATCGGGGAAGAGTCTGGCGCGCAGGATTGGGCCACGGCTTTCTTTCATGAGGATGACGACAATGGGTGCAAAAGCGCCGTAGATTATCAGTTCAATCCAGAATACCCTGTACAAATGCTGAGTGGTGGAATACAACGGGGAAGATGTGGAGTATACTGACCATCGCCATCCCAGTGGCTGGAAAGCTGCACCAAGAACTGGCCCCATCGTCACCCCGAAAACCAGCGTGAAGACATATAGAGTCAAGGGGAACACGCGCTCTCGGTGCGATAGGAAGATATTGGATGCAAGTCCATCTGCACTGTTCTGCAAGGTCCCGCCGAAAGCCCCGGCGATCGCGCGACACACCACCAGCGTGGCAAAGTTTTGCGCTAATGCCTGGGGGATAATGAAGATGGTGAAGAGGATGTATGACGTCTTTACGCTTATCAGCTCATGGAAGGTACCTAGTATGGAATGCAAGTCTGGGACGCACCACAAAGCCAACTCGCATTCCGTAAGTCTCCATCAGCGGCAGAGTGGCCAGCGGCACAATTGCAGCCGCGGCATTCCACGCCGTGACGGCGAAGAAATTATACTCGAAGAAGCCATTGGACAGGTCGAAGTCGCGCGAGATCGGCTCGGCAGCGGTCGTGATAGAGGTGGCATTCAATCCAACGATGAAGGTGACCCAGCATGAGGTGAGCATACACATCCATTTCTTTCGGGGCGGCCAATTGTAAGGATTGTGGGGATGATGGGCCCACTCAAGGTGCGCAGGAGCTGCCATCTAGGCCGACATGCCTCATATAAAGGGACCCTTCGTTCATGGATGCGGGGGGGTGTAGAAGACGAGCTCCATGGGTACGAAATCCAGCGCGTTGGTCGGAAAAGATGGAGACAGAGCTCCAGTCGGTCCAGCGTGATTGGCGACCCACTGCATTCCATCAAGTAATCGAAAGCGGCCAGTTCTCCATCTATCCAGTCAAACGTGAGTGAAAAGTCTACTCGATACATGCATTGTAGTTAATCCGCTGTGTTAGCGTTGAGAGTGGAAATTGATTGGGTTCTATCTTGCTTAGCTTGAGATACAAATTATCACATCAACAAAAGAAAAAAAGAGAGCAAAAAAGGTACATAAAATCCAATGTCACTATCCAAAGGTCAAACTCGCCCAACGCTCACCGCGACGGCGACAGCGGTATACATGGAATGACTGATAGTCACCTCGATGCCGCTGAACTTTTTCACATCAGCCACTGCCTTGGCCCTCCCATGAAGCTGTGAATTTGTCAGTGGATTTCTCAGAGAGTTGGATGTCACGACCACTTACAATAACCCGAGGAATGCCCTGATGGCTGAGAACTTCAATATCCTTCATGTCTGCCCCGGCTCCCTTAGACACTGTTTTCATGCATTTGAATACAGCCTCCTTCGCACACCAACGCCCCGCGAATGAGGACTGCGGATCGGGTGCATTCAAACAGTATTCACGCTCCGCGGGTGTAAAGTTACGTTCCAAGAAACTGTCGTTGTCGATGCTGACGTTTGAGATGTCTTCGATGTCGACACCAATTTCATAAGGTGCGGATGCGTTCGGCCGTTGCAAAACCTCTTGCAGCATTTTCTGAAGCTGGTTCGAAAGGGCTGGTGGTTCTGCATTATCCTCGCCCACAAGACCCCCATTTATAGTGTCAAGCTCTCGCTGGGACCATGTCCCCTTAGGTGATCCTTGGATCTTTCGAGGCACACCGTCGACGAGGCGGATACTCGAGTCGAGAAAAGTGGCGCGCATAGCTTCTAGGTTCTTCCACGGTGGATCTTCTTTAACTTGGACCATTTGACCATTGAAGATTCGGGAGATGAATTCAGTGGTTGCTACCCGTTGCCTCTTCACTGCTTTGTCTCGGTAGTCGTTGTAACAAGCATCCGCGATCGAGGCGAAAATGAATCTGGGTGCGACTACAACTGCAATCGCCCCTTTCTGACCGAACCCGAACGAGGTGAGCATGGCAGCATCCACTTGTAGAACTCGCATTGTCTCCATCGGATACACAAGGTGTTCGAACCGTCGGAGATGGCCGTCAATGTTGTCTGCATTGCGGTTTCCTGGGATGATAGAATCCCGAAGCATCTGCATACACCCATTCAACTGCCAGGCACCCGCCGCGCCTTTAGGGTGACCAGTCAGGGACTTCTGACAGACGCATAGAAGTGGATTTCCCCGCCGACGACCGAGGTGATCCATTTGAGTATTGATGACATCTCCCTCGTTGATCTCGTTGGCCTTGGTCGACGTTCCGTGCATGGAGACCACCCGAATATCGTCGATGGTCAGACCCCAGGTCGCCAAAGCTGCTCTCATGGGCGAGACGGAAGGGTCCTGGAGGCGAATGTTGTTTGCCCATCGGTGTTGTGTGTCCTTGAATTTCAAAGACCGGACATGATCCACTGCATCCCTCACATGTTCGACAGATTCGCCGTTAGACAACTGAGAGTTCATAGCTTTGCATTCGTCGTCAAAACATGCCCGGCGGAGCTTGAAGTCGAGCAATAGAGAGTTTCTAGCACCCTCGCTCTCACGAGCACTGGTTAATATCCCTTTGCCCGGCGCGGGAATCGACCGGCCGGTTTGGTCGCTTGCCATCTGTGTGTATGCGATGATGCCGTGAATTGGCAATCCCATTTCCAGGGCTGTCGAGGCCGTGGTGATGATTTGCACTCCACACCCGGCTGATTCCGCAAATCCGCTGCGTGAATTGGCCGTAGGGCGTGAAATCTCACTAGGTTGACGACCCTTGGATAGTTCGTCTGTGCTATTGGCTGTGGCTTTGATATTGGCGAATTCGTATGCCAATTCTTCACCATAGTCATCGCACCCACCAACGATTGCCATTTTGCAATTTCCGGATCGAATGGCCTCGCAACCGATATCCAGCGACTCAATGGCCGTGGCGCATGCACCCACGGGTGTCTTCAGTGGCCCTGCAGCGGAAAGCAGAAGCATGTTAATCCATGCCCCCATAGTATTCATGAAGTGTTCTGAAATGATGTCGCCCCTGACTGGGCGGTCCAGGTAGCGGTCGCGGTACATCTTCTGGATAATCTTCAAGGGACCACCGCCTGTTCCCAGGCAGTTTGCAAGTTCCGACGCGTGTATGTATTGATACACCTCGTAGGGATCAACAATTCCTGCGGATAGAAATGCTTCCGAGACACAGCATAAAGCATAGAGCGTGGTGACGTCCGCCTGTTCCACAACGTCTCGCGGAATTCCGTAGCGGGCAGGATCCCAACCTTTCGGGATGGTCCCTGCCACGACCTGCTCAAACGGAACTACCTTTGGAATCATCATTATGGCGCCAGTCTTCACATACACACGGCAAAATTCTGTTCCCTCTATTGGTTGCAGTGAAATATGCTCCCCGTGCCGCCGTTTGAAGTCCTCCGCAGTGGACAAGGAGGTTTCGAATGGTGGTAGATCCTTCTCAACGACCACCTCGTGTAAATACTCCTTTCGTTGAGGATTGTATGTCGTATCCGGTTCAATGTGTCGGACTCCACTGTGTCTCATGATACGATCGTGGTATTTGTGGGGGATTTCATTATCCGGGACGGGCGATTGTGTATTGACATCAATCCATCCAACGTAAGGACTTCCCTCCAATTCTCCGTCGACGTGTCTGATCAAGCCCATGATCCAGGCCATCTCGACATAGCCCTCTAATGTGAAATTCCCTTGGTATTCCATTTCCCACCGCGTGCGTGCGTTTCCCCAAGGACCCAGCTCGGAGAAACCCACCACGACTATTGTGGAAGATAAATCCACCATGCCATATAGACGGGGTAGATTGGCCTTGATTTCTCGGAATGCTTTGAGCCCGGGGATTTTAGGAAATGCGAGTGATAGGTTAGACAAGCGTGGGGGCGTCTCCTGCTTGGGTCCTTGGTGTTTGGCTCCATACAGTACTGCCTCGTGACGAGCATTTTCTTCTGCAAGGGCATTTTGCAGCCTCAACTTATCGTTTAATTTCGCGCGAGCTGAGGAGATTCGTTCTTTGATATCCCACATTGAACCCAGCCCACCCGTCAAATCAGCATAGATGGGAGCCTCGTCTGCTAGGGTTGTGATGGCTGGCCTCATCAGAGCGAGAATGTTGAATGCCATTTCAGCCTGTGTGAATGTCATCACCCCGAGTTTTTCAATTTCTTCGGCCACGATGTTGGAACTTCGCATCAACCCTGTGCCTCGTGTCCACCCGATGACGGCGCCACATACAGTTACATAGGTAGACCAACTCTCTGATTGAAACCGGTTGAAAAGCGACCTCAAGCCGATCTTTGACTCAGCATATAGGCCATCTCCCCCGAAGGTACCCTCGTTGCAAGACATGGGCAGTATTACCATGGTCGGCCTGGTCTCGATGCGACGAGTTTCTTTTTCACGGCGAACAAATCCAATCAGCCTCAAGAGGTTAACTAGCATAGTTCTAAGACAGAGCTCTTGTTGCCCGTCCAGGCCCTCGAGCTCTCCGGTCTGCGGAATGGCTGCGAATGGAATAATGTAGTCAATATCGCCACCCACTGGGGAGTCAGCGCCATAGAGATGCTCGACTAGAGCTTCACAGTCCTTTCTACTACCCTGGTTCGTAGGTAGAAGTGTTAAAGACGCGCCCTTAGAGCCATACTGACGGTACAATTGTTGATAAAATCCAGCGCTGGCAGAGATCTCCCGGCTCGTAGTGACAACGACGCGAGCACCGCCGCTCAAGAGGCCTTGGATTATGTGGGCTCCAATCGAATCAGGGCCGGCACCCGTCACCAGAACTGCTTTGCCCTTATAGCTGAACCCATCGCTAGATCCTGTCTGTAAGTCGGTTTGATAATTCTTGGTGGCAAATGGGTCGTACAGCCAGTCTTCTTCCTTCCGTCGAGTCTTGATGTGTACGAAAGGGGTGGTGAATTTCTGGTCGATAGGTGATGGGCGGCCCAGACGCACTGCGTCAAGGTATGAGCCAACCGGTCGACACGTCTCTGTATATTCCATCTTAGCAGATTGGGTAAAGCTAGTCTTAGGCCCCATCGGCTTTTGTCTGTATACAAACAGTGGATCGGCACTAGAACCTTCGTCTCCGAGCCTTCGGATTTCGGCCAAGAGGGGTCGTATGTTGCAATTCTGGAGCGGCGAACGACTCAGGTAGGAGGGAGACGAGTCCAGATAGGATGAGATTATGTCTGTGCAGCTAGACTGCCATCTGTTCAAAATCATCGCCAGCCGGCTGTCAACTGGATAAAGGATACCGTCTGTCGATTTCCGCCAGTTCTCGAGAATCCAGCGAATGAGGTCTTCTCGCACCCAATTCCACCAGGAATCGTAGTTGCGCACCTGACGTGGGTTGAAAATCGGTCTGATCCCGTGTAGAAATTGTTCGTCAAACTCATCGCTCCATCGGTCAAGCTTCTGTTGTACTTCCAGTACACCTAATATCTCGTCGGACTGCTGTCCTCGTGGGTGATGGTCGATTCCAAGATACTGGGCAAGGAACTCAAAATGTTTCCTGTGGAAATCCTTATTTTCGCCCTTTAAGCGCTCGAACGTGGCCGAGTCCACGGTCACCTGTTTTGCCCGGGTTGTATCATCACGATCCACGTCAAACATATCCAGAGAGATGTTGTAGAACTCTGAATAACGTTGAACCAGTTCGTCAAAATACGATTTGGCCAGCTCGGAGGTTCCCAGTCGGGTAGGGGGCTCCACTGAAGTGGCCAGGCAAATCGGGATGATAGAATGCGATCTGGTCAGACCCCATCGTGCTTCCAAATAATCGTGAACAGCGTTTTGGTTGAACCCTGCGGGCATTTTTCCGGATATGAACCTCGATATCAAGCTCGACATAGCCTTCCCCGGCTTTATGGAAGCTCCATGTCGTAGTGCCTCGCTTAGTGTAGCCAAAGGCATGTCCTCGGCGCCTTCAGGGACCTTGCCGAACTCTGCAACCAGATCACCTACCAGTTCATTCTGAAGCGTAGATTTCCCTATTCCATCAGCATATGTCTGGTTACTATGGAGCCTAGAGACTTACCTCCTGATAGATCTCTAATTGTCTTGTTCATTGGGACCTGGTAAAAGGGCCGACGGAGTTTCTGGGCTGTCATGGCCAGAACCACATGTGCGGTCGACAAAGCCATGTCCACTCTCGGGGCTGCTTTTTCTGTCTGGAATGAGGGTGGTGGTAGAGCCTTGATCCTGGGCCGCGTGTCAGAAAGACATTTACCCGCGGAGTTCTCAATGGTTTGTATTTGTGGCGCTGGCGTTAAAGACAGCTTCAACGATTGATCGGCGTCCGTATATCGATAGAAGATTTCATCGCTATTGTCTGAAGAAGATAGAAATTGGATTTGGGACCACTGGGACGGTGCGAATGCTGCGTAGTATTTTGAAGACGATCGTTTGGCCATTGTAGCTAGTGTTGTACGCGGGCCAACCTCAACGAACCGCTCGATAGAGGGAAGGGCATGGAGTAGTTGGGTTTGTGTCTCGATCCTATAGTCGTCAGCGACAGCTAGCAAGAGCATGCTCCACCACCAGGTGATGAACTTACCATCGGACCGGTGATGCCAGTTGATACCTGAAAGATTAGTGCCTGTATACTAGTAGGGGGCGGGGGAATCGACTCACGAGAGTATTTCAATAAATAACCTGTAGGCTAACTCCTTGCGGTCCTCTGGATCCGCAAAGTTCAGGATCGAGCGCATCTTGTTCTGCAAAGTCTACAAGAAAACCGATTCGTCTCTAGTCTCTTGATTAACGGTGCCGTGAGTGGACAATATCTCGTGGGCCGCTCGATTTGCTAATCAGAAGCCAGCAATGACGGTAATCCGTATGTTCAGCCTATGGCTCCTCTGTCAACTGTTAGCCCTATCCCTGTCTTTTGCTTGATCTTGTTGAGTAACCAACGGGACGTCAAATTTCATACCCTGCAGTAGACCCTGCCTCAATAACGTGTCAAATAAACGGTGAAGCGTCGTCCCGAAGAGCCGCGTGGTTGTAGTTATGCGATAGGCTCAGTCCGAATATTATTACTTTCCTTTCACAAGTCAATCAGTTCCATCAGGTGGCACAGTAAATTAAAAACTCCGTCTTCAAAACTCCGATGGCGGATAGAGATTAGTATTATCTAGCTAACTCTCGCAGGCTGATCCAAATCTGTTTCGGATGCGTGCGCTCAGCAGAAGGTACAAATTGATAGATGTGTGAACAAGCACTGTCTCTGATCAGGATGTCTGACCTGTGTTGGTAGTTGCAGAATGGAGAATAGAAATGACTCAGAGTGAGAAAAGGGTCCATATATATGGTCAGAGGGGCGAAATCAGTGAATAAAATAGGTTCCAATGATGCTTTAGGTCACCAGTGATTTATCCTTTTGATCCTATTTTTAGGGGGTAGCCTTTCCTGTATCTAATTGTTTATGTTATCACAGTAACAGAGTTTTCTCTCCCAGAAGTCGAGTCACTTATCTTCATATCAGGTAGCCTTGGGGGTGGCAAAGCACAAACCACGTGCTTGGGGGGGTATTTAAAGAGGGAGGAGAGAGAGTGTGAGAGAGAGTTCTTTCTTTGACCTCACTATCTCCATCTCCTCTCCTGTCATGCCTGAGGCTTCACATGTCACACCCCCTGACTTATCCGTTCCGATGGCGCTTCATCCTTCACATCCCTCATCCTTTTCCCCTTCTTTGACTCCTTCAACTTCTGCTTCTTCTGTGTCTCCTGGGTCTCCAGATGCCTTGGTGATCCCACCCGCCACGATTGATGTTGTTTTTCATCATTGCGGTATTCGACTGGCTCTTCCAGTAGATGCAGCATACTTTACCCTACTACAATCGTTGAAGGATGCATTCTTCTCATCTCTATCAGGCAGATCGGAAACAGATGATGACATCCAGTCGCCAGTGGACCTAGCCTTGGCGTATCTCGACTTCATACAGGTGGAGCAGACGGGATTTCCGGCTTTATTCGCTGCTCTGAACGCGTTCAACCGAGCGTTTCTGTTGGGAAAGACCATCGATATCCATTCTTTTGTGGCGGAGACTACGAATGATCCAACCAAACGAAGACGATGGTTACAAATTTACTACCGAGCAGTGAATGCGAGCGGCGACCAAGGCCTGCAGCATCATATTGTTCATGCCGCTGGATCATACAGTACCCGCAGCGCTTTTGTTGATCATGTGAAAAGAAACCTAATCCAGCCCATGGCGGTCTTCGGAGGCCAGGGGGACGTGGGTCGTACATGTGTGCAAGAACTATCAGAGATCTACGATATCTACCACCCAATTCTCAATGACCTTGTGATTACTGTTGGGCCACTGCTGTCTGAGCTCTCGCAGCTGCCGAAGTGTAGTCGTTACTATCATGGCCGCGCCATAGACCTTCAATTGTGGCTCGAGCCAGAATTCGGGGAACTCGACACGGAATTTGTTGCGAGTGCGCCCGTGAGCGTGCCCATCATCGGGGTCTTGAGCCTGGCACGGTACACAGTGGTCTGCTATGTGTTAGGCCTCACGCCTGGGGAGCTGCGCGCCTTGCTGCGAGCAACAACGGGTCACTCACAGGGACTCTTGGTGTCCGTCGTTGTGGCCATGTCAGACTCATGGTCTTCGTTCTACGCCAACTGTCGTTTGATTGTGGAAGCACTCTTTTGGTTGGGATGGGAGAGTCATCATGGAGCGCCTCGCAGCTGTGTTTCTGCCATATCTTCTTCAAACAACATCGACACTCCCTCCTACATGCTTACTGTCAAGGGGATCAAAGAACCGACGATGGGCGCCATTCTGAACCGGGTTAATAAGGGCTTGTCCGAGAATGCTCAGATACATCTGGCTCTGATAAATGCGCGAGATCAATACGTCGTGGCAGGACCCGTATCGTCTCTTTCACACCTATGCAGTTACTTGGACACCGTTGTGGGGCCTCCTAAAGATCAAAGCCGAGTCCCTTTCAGCAACCGGAATCCTTCCATCAACTACGGATTCCTGCTAATCAGCGCACCATTCCACACACCATATCTTGGAAGAGCCGCAAACTTGGTGAAGCAGCATTTGGAGGGAAAGCAGATCCTTCCTGAACAGCTACACATCCCAGTTTACCACACGCGCACGGGCCAGGATCTTCGGGGCAATGTTGGGAATATACTCCATGTTGCGTTGGATGCCATTGCACAGGAAATATGTGACTGGCCTGCGGCTTTGGCAGGACCTCCCGGCACACACAGGTCGCTTTTGAGCACACCGCACATATCACACATTATCGTATTTGACCGGGGCGGATTGGGTCCCTTGGTGAAACGTGTCAACGATGGATACGGAATTCGCGTCATCCAAGGCGGCGACCTTGACAGTCGTGATCCAGATATCGGGACAATGCGAGATCTCTTCTCCCCTCGTTTGCTGGATACTTCTCCCAGGCTCCAAAGTTGGGGTCAACGGTTTCAGCCACGCTTGACGACATGCGGTATTACTGGGCTGGAAACTCGTCTCAGTCGTCTACTAGGGACCCCTCCAGTCATGGTGGCGGGGATGACGCCCACCACCGTCCATTGGGATTTTGTGTCCGCCATCATTAACTCCGGATACCACGTGGAGCTCGCAGTTGGAGGTTATCACAGCGCGGCTGATCTTTCCGCTGCTGTGCATAAATTGGCGAAAAATATTCCTCCTGGGCGCGGAATCACCTGCAATATCATTTACGCTAATCCGCGGGCAATCCGTTGGCAAATTTCCGCCCTACGTCGACTTTCCCAAGAGCAAGTTCCCATCGACGGACTGACCATTGGGGCCGGAATCCCATCGCCAGATATTGTCGCCGAATACATTGAAACCTTAGGGATCCGTCACATTGGATTTAAGCCAGGATCCATCGAGTCAATCCAACAGGTGGTGCAAATTGCAAAGTCTCATCCAAATTTCCCTATCATCCTGCAGTGGACCGGGGGGCGTGGCGGAGGACACCACTCGTACGAAGATTTCCACTCACCGATCTTGAGCACGTATGGACTCATTCGCCAATGTTCCAATCTTTACCTGGTTGCCGGGAGTGGCTTTGGCGACGGTGATAGTGTTTACCCCTATATTTCTGGCTGCTGGTCGACCTCTTTCGGCCATGCTCCAATGCCATTCGATGGCGTGCTGCTCGGTAGTCGCATGATGGTGGCTAGAGAAGCCCATACCTCGTCTGCCGTCAAAGCCATTATTACCAATACACCCGGAGTCCCCGATCAAAAATGGGAGAAAACGTACAACTGTCCCGCTGGAGGAATCATTACCGTTCGGTCGGAAATGGGAGAGCCCATCCACAAGGTGGCAACCAGGGGCGTGCTGCTGTGGGCAGAATTGGATAAAACCGTTTTCAAATTACCAGCCAAAGATCGCGTAGCTTTTTTGCGCCAACATCGAGAGCGGATCATCAACCGCCTAAACGCGGACTTTGCAAAGCCGTGGTTTGGTCGCAATTCCTCCGGAGATGTGGTCAGTCTCGAGGAGATGTCTTATCTCGAGGTGCTCACTCGCAGTATCGAACTGATGTATATTGCTGGTCAAAATCGATGGATCGATGATTCCTATGTGGGTTTCGTCTTCCGTTTTGCCATCCGGGCTTTGGGCAGACTGTGCAGTAACATCGATCAAGGCGGCAATTTGACTCGCGAGGCTCTGGCGGGGAACCCATATTCCTTTACTAGTACATTCTCCCGGGCGTGCTCTGATGCGTCAGAAAAGGTACTAAACCCAGAAGACTGCTCCTTCTTTCTGATGGAGTGTAAGAGGCCTAAGCAGAAACCGGTCAATTTTATCCCCGCCCTCAACGAAGACTTCGAGCTCTACTTCAAGAAAGATTCACTGTGGCAGTCAGAGGACATTGATGCCGTTGTTGGACAGGATGCAGAGCGGGTCTGCATACTCCATGGACCAGTTGCAGCCCAGTATTCTCAGGATCGAAACGAATCAGCAAAAGAGATCCTAGACTCGCTGATGGAATCTCTGGTCAATCGCATTCAACAGAACATATCAGACGACGGCACACTGGGCTTGAACAGCGGACCAATTACGCCTGATTCTTGGTCCACAGTGTCAGCGGTGGGAAAGGAAATCCCAATTGATCTTATTGCAAACAATTCCGCCACGTCGGTTACCATGAATAATGGGTACTTTCCATCAGCACATTCTCTCGATCATCGTCGGGATATGCCTCCCTGGATGCAAGCTCTGTTGGGCGACAGGATGATCTTGCAGAATGAGACGCGATGTATGAACCCATTTCGCCAATTGCTCGACAGTAGCCCTCATGCTACCATTCACACAGACCCCGATCACCCGGAAATTGTTGATATCACCATGGGTACATCCAAGTCAATGTCGTCAATGCGGGCATCATGCCATAACGGGGTGGACATTTTAGTCGAAATGACATATCCCATGAATTCACAACCCTTACAGCTCATGTACCAGTTTGACCCCGGCCGCGTGCCCTTTTCGTTGAATGAGGTAATGGACTGTCGGAATAAACGAGTCAAGTCCTTCTACAGCAAAACTTGGTTTGGCGATAGTGACTCGTCCATGAGCATGCGCGATACATTCAAGGGGACCGAAATGAATCTGACGCGAGATTTGCTAGAGGCTTACATTGACGCCGTGGGCCCGGCTTTCCAAGACTACAGGCTCATCTTCCCGGAGTCCCAAAACCTACCAATAAGTATCGGAATTATCGTGGTCTGGGATGTCATTTCGCGGCCTCTGGTGCTGAGCGAAATCGACGCCGATCTGCTTCAGTTGGTCCATCGCTCAAATTCATTTGAATACTACTCCGGAGCGGAGCCTCTGCGTATTGGTGACACCGTCAACTCTAGCGCCACCGTCCAGGCTGTGCATGTGGGAGAGACAGGGAAAACAGTGGTTGTGGAAGCACAAATCACTCGGTCTGGATACCCTGTCATGAAAGTGGCATCGACATTCTTCTTCCGGGGTGCTTCCAACACCGTTAAGAACACGTTCCGCCGAACGAAAGAAGCATGGGCACTTCAGCTGCCGTCGCAGCTCGATGAGACAATCTTACTCGATCGAGATTGGTTCAAGCCACAAAGCGACCTACCGTCCTTGACTGGCAAGACTGTCGTTTTCGAATTGGAAAGTCATATCACATTCAAAGAGGATGGTGGATATAGCAGTCTCCACGTTACGGGAACCGCAGTCTCCCAGTTAGGGGGATATCAATGGGAGCAGGTCGGCTTGGTGGACTTCCAGAGCAGCGACTGTGTTGGAAATCCTGTCCTCGATTACTTTCAGCGTAAAGGGTCACCGACTGGCAATACGATTGAGTTCAAGACACCCGGCTGGTCTGGGCCGTCGTCGATCGACATTCAGATGCCGGCCTCTAACCAACCCTATGCCGAAGTTTCCAAAGATTGCAATCCCATCCATGTCTCGACAATGTTTGCCACTTTGGCCGAACTACCGGGAACTCTATGTCATGGGATGTGCACCTCAGCAGTCGCCGCATCATGTCTTGAGCACCTCGTTCTTGGCGGGGATTGGACACGTCTGCGTAGGTTCTCGACCACTTTTACCAGCATGGTGATGCCGTTGGAGAAGCTGGTGGTTGAGCTCGAGCATGTCGGCATGGTTGACGGCCGGATGCGCTTTGGCGTCCATGCACGTCGCAAAGAGAACAGCGAGACTGTGTTAGAGGCCGAGGCCGAGGTTGAACAGCCCGCCACGGCATACTTGTTTACCGGGCAAGGTAGTCAGAGCAAAGGTATGGGACTGGAATTGTATGAGAGCAGCTCAGTCGCCAAAGCCCTGTGGGATGACATCGACGCCCATATTTTTGAAACATACGGTAAGTGGCCTAATCCATTTTCTGAAGCCGCGAGCTAATAGCCACAGGCTGGTCAATTTTGGATATTATTCGCAACAATCCCAAGACGCTGACTATCCACTTTGGCGGTCGTCAAGGGCGCAAGATCAAGCAAAATTACCTCGACATCACGACTGAAGTAGTACTTCCCAATGGAGTTTGCACCAAGAAACCCGTGCTGGCCAACATCACTCCCGAATCCACGTCATACACCTTCAGTGATGCCCGAGGACTATTGTATTCGACCCAGTTCGCACAACCAGCCATCTTGCTTTTCGAAGCGGCAACGTTCGCGGAGATGCGGAATCAGGGATATGTTTCTCAGGGCGCCATGTACGCTGGCCACTCCCTGGGCGAATACGGGGCGTTGGCAGCTTTATCTCCATATGTGCCCACCAAGGCTCTAGTCGAACTGGCCTTTTACCGGGGATTGATGATGCAGGCCTCCGTATCGCCGGAGCAGGGGAGCGCTACGTACGGCATGGTGGCAGCTAACCCGAGACGCGTGGGCAAATGTAAGATCCCCCCTTCGCTTTCGAATCAAGACTCAAGCTAACTACGCTCCTTTGTTTGTTTAGTCTTTGATCAAGCGGCGCTTGGCATTTTAGTGAAGATAATAGCCTCAGAGAGCCAAGAGCTGCTGGAGATTGTGAACTATAATTTGGAGGGAGAGCAATACGTGTGTGCGGGAACGGTATGGCTCTTCCACAGACCCCGAGAACGTAATACTAACTTCCAATAGACTGCCAACCTTTACGTACTCGGCAAGCTCATCGATCGCATCGCGCAAGCTCCCGATGGTGCCCAACACGTTCAGCAAGTAGTTCACGCGACGGACGCGACGAGCGAGCTCCACACGCTGACGCGGGACCTCATTGGCCAGGCTCGGTCGCTGGCATTGCCGATCACCCTCGAACGCGGACAGGCGACGATCCCCTTGCAGGGCATTGACGTGCCGTTCCACTCGAGCCACTTGCGGTCGACGGTGGATCGGTTCCGCCAGTGTCTGCACAAGCCGGGACTCTTCCAGGGAAATGTCGATTTCGAGGCGCTGGAGGGTCGATACATCCCGAACTTGGTGGCTAAGCCGTTCTCTCTAGACGAAGACTACATCCGAGAGGTTTTTGAGTTGACGGGCAGTCCGGTTCTGGCGGAGATTCTGGGGTTGGACAAGAGCAGTTGAATTAAGGGTTGATTAATGGTTTTTTGGGCTGGAATGAATGTATTTCACATTGTGTTCATTTAATAGTTGGTCATTAATATACTGATAACAGTGAATTGTAATTAGTCTCTTTCTACTGCGTGACACTGCAGTAGACTTCGATCAATATCTACAATGTTGTTGTTGGTGTGGGTGACATTTGTGAGCAAGAATCCTCAGATCAATAGAAATAATTAATAACTTGCTGAGATGACATTGCCAAACATGATAGTGACAGTTAAGATTTTATATAAAACATCAGAATCTGTAGAATATGGAGTGATAGGAAGGCCCTTGATGTTTACATGGTCGGTTGGTGTTGAACTATTTGCAACCACCCATTTACAAGTCTGGCCTGGGACAGACTTTATCATTACAAACCTAAAGAAAAAAAATGATAATAGTATACTAGCATGGTATAACATACTATATATTATAACTAGGATGTATAATAGTTCTCACTTGTTCATGGTGTGGAAATTTAATATTTTCTTCGCCCGGATATATATATATCTATAGAGTCTGCCACCCAAAAGAAGGTGGAAGATGTACAATGAAACTAAAAATACTAACTGAAGAGAATAATAGCAATCTATCCCCAAAAGGTAAGGATGATAGCATATTCCATGGAGTATTAGACTACTAAGATATCAGATACCAGTAATATCCACTCTACTCCATACTTAATGAAGGAAATGTGCAGTATCTGTTGGATTTGTTCACTGTAAACTGGCTTGCTTTACTATCACTGAGACGTGAAAACAGAAAGAATGATCGAGCCATGAATCAAGGAAAAATATGAAAAGTAAAAAAAGTCCAGCAAGGGACAAAAAAGACAGGTAAAGGTAAACCACAATAAAAAGAAAATAGTAAAAACGATGGGAAAGCAGATCCAAGCATAAAGAACAATTCACCCCCGACTGGCCCTCGACAGACAGTTGTCATTACACCACCAATATCGCCACGCCAGTATCAAATGATTGCCATATTTTCCTGGTATCTCTTCTCCAATTCCTCCAGCATACCCTCAATGTCAAAATACCAGATACGATGCGATCGCCGCGTAATCTCCTCATGCGCACGGTCCATGTCGGTCCCGAAGTCCGGATGCTTCCACTCGTAGATATCGCAGGCCTCGCGACTGCTCTTCACCAACCACTGTGACCGTTCGTGCCTGACAGAACTGAAAGCTGCAAATGCCGTCTCCAGCGCTTTCGCCTTATCCACCACCGTCCCGCTCTCCACGCCCCGGGCTACACCGTCTAGCAACACCGATAGCGCGAGCGTATCTTCCACGCCGATCCCAGCACCGGCGCCATGATGTGGCGATGAGGCATGCGCTGCATCCCCGGCGAGACAGACACGGCCGATGGAATATGTCGGGGCGGGATAGTCCAGGTGGTCGAAGACGCCCCACTTGTCCATCTCGGGGGGAAGCAGATCGACGATCGCCCGGACGGTGGGGCCCCAGTCTGCGAAGACGGCGGCGACTTCGGCCTTCGTGGCTGGTTGCGCCATTGCGCGAGACAGAGGCCAGTCGGTCGGGTCGGCCACGAAGGCAACTATGTTCATGAGGGCTTGTTTTGCGACGGGGAAGGTGAGGACGTGTGCGGCTGGTCCGCCGTACATGTGTTGCGTGCGGGCGCGGTCGAGGCCGAGACGCGCGATTGCCGTGTCCATGGGGACCAGGCCGCGGTACGCTATCTTGTGGGTATAGTGAGGGTAGGAGATAGGGTTGATTGGACCGAAGAGGAGCTGGCGGACGCGGGATTTGATGCCGTCGCACCCGATTACTTCCATCAGTTAGTTGTGCCATGGCAAGTGAGGATACGGGAAGAAAAGACATACCAGCATCGGCCTCCTCAGTACTCCCATCGGAAAATGTCAAAAGTAGTCTCCCCCCATCCCCCTGGTCAATACTCTCCAGCCGATGCTGGAAATGAACCACGCCAGATGGCATCAACTCCATCACCTTCTCCAAAAAGTGAGCCCGATGACATCCCTCGAAGCCCCTCGGCCCCCCGTACAGTCGATAGAGTTTATGACCCTCCAGATCCACCCCGATGTCCTGTCCCGGGGAATGGGTGTAGCCGTCCAGGAATTGCATGTTGTTGTTCGGATTGGCGGGGTCCCCGTTGATGGTAGCCACGCAGGCGACGCAATCTGGCAGACGGCTGTCGACTAGGGACATGCATTTGCGAGCGTTCTTGGTGAAAGCAATGCCAGCACCGATTTCTCGCAGAGTACGGGCTTGCTCGTAGACTTTGACGTTTATGTCACGGTTATGGAGGCCGAGGGCGAGTATCGAGCCGATGATGCCACTGCCAATGATTGCAATTTCGAGGGTTTTTTTGCATCAAGGTTGGGTTTAGAGATATTGTGAGGGATGGTCGATGATGTCGTGATGGAATTCGATAAGAGGTTGCAAGAGGCCATTGTGGATGGTGATAGCGATGGTCTCGATGGGTGTCTGAGAGCTCTGAGGAAGCTGAGAAAGATGAAGATGAAGCCATCTCATAGTTCACCATCTCGCCCTTATGTCTGGTAGTTGTAGTATACATGTCACGTGTGTCTCAGTATCTTCGAGTGAATGTCTGAAAATGCAATCACCGAGACTCGAGTCACGTGTGAAGCCATACAGGCAGCAATAGGGGTTGATAGAAGATAGCCCTAAGTCTCACAATACCGGTGGCACAAGATACCTGCTGTGACGAATACTGGGTGAGAGGATAGTCGATCAGGGATATTATTCCGAGGACCCTACGCACAACGGGGCGTTGCTTTCCTTTGCGTCACATAGACATAGCCTCAAACCCTGCGTATCTGCAGAGTCCACCTGACGACCAAGAGCTCCACCCACGGCCATGCCGCACCGAGGTCATGAAACCTGGGGCATGATCAAATGCAGCTGTCCGTCTGAAACCAAATGAATATCTGGCCAGACCAGCTCAAACATATCGGACGTCGGACCAGACCGGACGGAGTAATCTTGGCCCGGACATGTGTAACCGCGATGGGAGTCGAAAGTACGTCGATATCTTGGATTGGGAAATAAGTCGAGATGATGTGTTCACCTAAGAGGGCCGTTCTAAGACCAACCTCGACGGGGTGATTCATCTGAGACAATCTCCGTATTCGACATCGGGGGTGTCGGATCGGATATTGTTAGACCATTATGGCGTTCAGAGGCTTTACCAGCGCTAGCATGCCACAGCCTGAGACAGAGAGACAGACTGTAGAGATGAACCACCTTGAGGATATGGAGCTCGGAGAGGACAGCAAACAGAGCAAAGAGATCTCTGACCATGACAATTTCAAGCTTTCCGTGGGAGGACAGTTGGTCTTCCTGACGCTGTCGGTGTTAACGTTGATGGTTGCGCTGGATGGAACTTCTATATCGGTGGCTTTGCCGGTAAGTGCATCGTCTCCACTCGAGAGCGTATGCTGACAGGATAGAAAATCTCCCTTGAGCTGCATGGATTGGCAATGGAGGCGTTCTGGAGTGGGACCTCGTTCCTGCTATGCTCCACCGGTATGCACTATTAGTTCAATTCTGCAAGATCCACATCTAACAGGGACAGTATTCCAACCCACTACTGCAACTCTGTCCAATATTTTTGGCCGTCGTCCGGTCCTATTCGTGTCGCTCACATTCTTCTCCATCGGTTCTCTTCTCGCCGGCATTGCCAAGAATTTCACCGACATCCTTATCGGCCGGTGTATTCAGGGAGTTGGCGGCGGCGGCATCGCAGTGCTTTCCGAGATCATTGTTACGGACCTTGTTCCGCTACGTTTGCGGGGCCGATACTATGGCATCCTCAGTGCCATGTATAGTGTGGGCTCCGTGCTGGGCCCCATCTTGGGCGGTGGGTTCAGCGAAAAGGCCTCCTGGCGCTGGATCTTCTACATCAACTTCCCGTTCATCGGTATTGGCGGCTTCCTCGTGGTCTTCTTCTTCCGACTTCCGACGCCGAAGGGATCTCTTCACCAAAAGCTCGCCTGTGTGGACTGGACCGGAGCTGTACTTTTCATCGGGAGCGTATCCGCCGTGCTAATCCCCATTTCTTGGGGGGGCATCATGCACGCCTGGTCGTCATGGCGCACCGTTGTGCCCTTATCCGTCGGCGCAGCAGGCCTTGTTGCTTTCTGCATCTGGGAAGTGCTCCTTGTTTCCACCGAGCCGATGATTCCTCCGGACATCTTCCGCAACCGTAGCGCCACCATCGCCCTAGCGACCTCCTTCCTCCAGGGTCTGAACCTCTGGTGCGCCCTGTACTACCTCCCCCTTTACTACGAAGCCGTCCGCGGGTTTGGTCCCATTCTCACCGGAGTCGCCTTGTTCCCCGAGACCTTCACTATCGCCCCCGCCGCCATTTTTTGCGGTCTGATCGTTACCGCCACCGGTCACTACCGCTGGGGCTTATGGGTCGGATGGAGCATCAGCGCCATGGGGGCGGGTCTTCTCTGTCTGCTAGAGGTGGATACCCCGACCGTGGCGTGGATCTTCTTGAACGTGCCCGGGGGTATAGGCATCGGGATTCTGACGGCCGCCTTAGTTTGTGCCGTGCAGGCGTCGGCGACACGCCATAATCTCACTGCGTCGGTCGCTATGGTCGTGTTCTTTCGCTCATTTGGTCAGGCAGTAGGCATTGCTGTCGGAGGAGTTGTCTTTCAGAATCGCATGCGTCACCATTTACAGGGGTACGTGGATTTGGCGCCTCGGGCGGATGAGCTGGCTCGCGATGCGGCTGCGTTGGTGACGACAATGCGCGGAATGACAGATGAGATGGCAAAAGCGCATTTGAAACAGGCGTATACAGACAGCCTGCGCGCAATCTGGGCTGTGTGTTGTGGGATTTCCGGAGTGGGGCTGGCGCTGAGTGTGTTTGTTAAGAAGTATGATTTGAATCGTGCGTTGAAGTCGGATAGCGATGAGGAAGAAAGTGACAAGAAGAAAGAACAGGAGGAGGACGATCAGGTGACGATGTAGAGGGAGGGAGGAAGAAGGCATCACGAAGGGATCTTGAATAGAATGAATATCATTGCGTCTTGTCTTTTTACACACATTATTAGCTATTCTGGCTGTCTCATTGAGCTTATTCCCATTCTCCAGCATATTTCAATTGTACAGACTATTTTCATTCTCCAGACTATCCCCAATCTCTAGTACATTCCCGTTCTCCATACCATTCCCATCCTCTAGCATATTCCCATTCCCATTACCAGCCTAGTCCCATTCATCATCCTAGTACAAGCATTGCAAGAGTGCTCTCAACCGACATACTCGACCAGCTCTCCCCATCTCTCATCCTGTCGGAGCAACATCATCTCTCCCTCTTGCAAACAAAGCGTGACTCCCAAACAGCCCCCTTTTCCCTCACCAGCAATATAGCCCACGGAAGGCAAGGGTCCAAAGGTCGGCCTACGATGCATATCGGGCTTACCAAGCGGGCCGAACTTGGGCGCCTGCACGTGGGCCATACTCGAGCAGGAGAGATCGGTGCGCGGGTTGAACGCGCCGCCGTACGCGATGTTTTCCTTGTTAGGCTCGTTCGCGAGGAAGGTGGCGTAGCTGCGCGCGGCGTAGAGCGTGTTTTCATCAACAACGCGGTGGCGGACGAGACCGGCGAGTTTGGACAGAGATGAGCTGGCGAGCTCGGCCATTGGGAGACGCGTGTGCACGACGCGGACCATGTGGCCTAAGTAGGCGGGCGAGATGCCCAGGACGCGACGCATGTCGAGTGCGCGGTTCAGGTTGCTGATTGTCTCTGGGGTGTAGTTGTCGCCCTGGGCGAGGCGGATGATGGTCAGGCGCTGCCACAGGAAGGCGGTCCATGCGTCGTTGACTGAGACGCTCGTGATACCAGGGGGGAAATCCGCTGGGCGGCTGTTGGCCTCGGTGAGGATGGTGGTCGATGAGACCGGGGGGAAGCGAAAGCAGGCCCATTGGAAATTCGCGAGCGACGGGAAGATCATGGGACGCATGGCAGGAGGTCTCAGCTCGCTGTGGTCCAGAAGAGGCTCATCGGGTCCCAGCAGCGGGATGAGCACGCGGCGATCGCGGTTGGCCTCGTCGAGCTCGAGCGGGTGGATGGTTTCGTGTCTGAAGAGGGTGGACAGGAGATTGGCGACCTGGAAAATACCGTTGCCGTCGATGATGTTGTGCTGAGCCGCGATATTGAGCAGCAGTCCGCCCTCCACCAGGTTGGCCTGGATCTCGATGACCGGAGCGGGATCCTCGTCGCTTTCGACGTAGCGTTCGGGAAAGGCCCGACGAGTGGCGAGCAGAGACCCGGGAAACATGGTGGTCGGACCACTGGCGGCAAGCATGGCCTCGTAAGAAGGCAGCTTATCCGAATGATCTTGGACATGTACGATGCGATGCTCGGGGGCTGTCCATGGCTCATGTGGCGCCACCGTGTACACGCCAGAGTTCCCAACGACGCGGCCTTGGTTTACGACCTTTCCAGCCAGAAAGGGGACGATCGTGACCAGCTGGCGGGCAGCGACTTCGAGAGCCTCAAGAGTCGCCGGGCGATCTTCCGCTTTCAAAGAAAAAGTCAGCAGGATGTGGGTATAGCTCTGCAGAAGAGGGAGCTGGCCGAGAATGTCTCGGATGTGGTCGAATGACGCCATGAGGAAACGATCAGCAGCAAGATGCAAGATTGTGGAGGCTATGCCAGCGAGATACTGATGCCACTGGATCAACAACAGACACGGAATAACGAAGTATGAAACCAGAACCAATACGGAGGGATAGGAATGATGGATGGAGGAGGATGAGTGAGACGGTGGGAAGGTTGTTTGCTGGTTAGAGCTTGGAAATAAATGCCCAGATTAAGAATCTCCCCAGCAATCACTGGATAACTATTCAACGACCGGTCGAGTTGTGAATAGAACTGGTCATACATGGCCCAATGATTGATTCTCATGAATGACAAATTGTCTAGCAGTGACAGGGCTCTGCAGGTGATTCTATCCTGTGAATCACCCCTTTCTGTATAGCTGACACTGCAGATGCCACACCCGGTGTTTCCGAACCATGGAAAAAGAAATCTGCTGCAGGGATACAGACATGTCTACTCCATACAATTGACAGGGGTAGATCCAGGCTCAGTGACAGTTCCGTAGGTTTTTTACCAATCGAAGCATCATCAGGCTTTAGCGTCACTGGCAGCAGAGTCTGTAACAGAATCTATACCAGGACATCCAGGTTATCACCCAACAAAGAACCGAATAAAGGCAGTATGCAAGACCTGGTGACACCCCCACCAGATACCAAACCATTGTGACAGCAATTTCCAACAGATGGTTCCAGGATCGACTGTGCGTTCTAACCTGCAGGATGCTGGCACGGCCCACCAACCCTAATTGCACCCACCACAGGCATTGCCTAGCCCAAGGAGGAGAGGGTGTCACACGTAGTACTTCTTTGGGTCATGACCTGACACAACAGCCATATATTTCCGACCGGTTTGAGAGCCGGCCACACGGCAGACGAAGCATGTCTCACCATGCCTCGTATGGGGCGCCTACTCTGGTTGGATCAGGCGTCGATCTCCCGACGACGGACGGAGCGGAACACCGATTGCCGGTTCCTGAGCACAGATCAGTCATTCGAGAGGTTTATAGCAGCAATAGAGGTTCTCATGCACCTGCGACAGGGTCCAGGGGGACTCTAGTAAGGAAGGGAGAGATGGACGACAAGCACTGACGCTTACCACGACTCTATTTCCCTCAGACATTGCGCACCGCACGGTCGCTCCACAGCAGCATTGTGTTGACGGTGGTCCCTGCCACTGCGGTATGGATACAATGCATGCCATCGACGCCATGCAGGCCCGTTGAGATGCCAATCCACCAGTGATGTACGCCCCTCGCCTGCAAGAAAGGGTCGATATGTGCTCTCAATCGCCAGGCCCAGGCCACATCAGGACCTAACAATTGGCATCTTGTCTGTGGAAGACACACGCGGTCCTACCACTGGCCTCTGAGGGCGCCATGGAGTGATGAACATGGATGGGAGGGACAAGAGAAATAGATATGGGACTGGAGTGAGATGAAGCCAACAAAGAGAAGGCGGAAAACAGACAAAGAAGCCAAATGAGAAAAAAAAAATAAAAATAAAAATAAAAAAAGGGAAGGAAGGAAGAAGAAGCAACTCGAGACACAGATAGGATGGACGAGAGTACGGGATGGCTGACTTGAGGCCAAACCCTAACTTTATAGACATCCCGCAACAGAGATACGAAGGCCTTTTTTCTTATCGTATTAAGCTGCCTTAGCTGGTTTCTTGTACTATACTATCTATACCACACATTTGACGGCGCTGCCACCCCCCCCCCCCCCCCCCGGTAAACGGAGTGGATAGACGTGCCCTGGAGAACCTCGCAGTCTCTCACACCTCACACAGCAGGGAGACCCTGAACCCCCGCCCCTCCTCCAACAATCCAATCCTATTCCATCCGACCCCTAGCTCAACAGGATACACTACCAGACAAGAGCAACAATGGTCTCCTCACCCCCCGTCTCGCGCCAGCGTCCCGGTTCCGCTTGTGAGGAGTGCCGTCGACGCAAGGTACGCTGTGACCGAGGACGACCGCAGTGTCAGGTCTGTTATGAGACGGGCATCGAATGCAAGATCAACACAGCACGACTGCCTCGGGGCCCACGAAAGGGCCAGTTAAGAACTCTACGGACCCGCATCGGTAGGCTGTCCCCATTCCCCTACTGGGCACTGGGAGAGCTTAATCACTGATACTGACAGTGCAGCCGCCTTGGAACGCTGTCTGGCGGAACAAAACCTTTCAATGCACAGCCAGATCCCAACTCTGCTCGCCGGCACTCTGCTTGACGGGGACTCTGAGGAAGATCAACTGCGCGAGATGGCCGTTGTGTCTGATCTGGGGGTGGAGCCCTTCACCGACGAGTCGGCCGCCGTCTCGCAATCCCCCCCGGCGTCTGACTCGTCCCTGCGACAAGGTGGACTGGTATCAGAGCTAATGCGTGCTGATTTGTATGTTACCGAGCTATCAACAGTATGTGGAATGATGGCAGAAGGCTAACGACAGCAGAGACCAGCTATACTTCGACCGGGTACACCCATTCGCCCCCATTCTCCAACGCTGGCGATACCACGCGTGGGCAAAACAGCCACGTAAATGTGACGAGCGCTTGTGCCTGCAGCACGCCATGTGGACGGTCGCAGCGTCGCTCTCCGCGCAGTTCCAGTCGTTTCGTGACATTCTTTACCAAGAGACACGACGCATGCTGGACATGCTGGATCAGCAGAGTCCGCGTCCGGACGGACTAGGCCTGGGTATGGAACAAGCCCAGGCGTGGGTGCTCATTTCTCTCTACGAGTACATGCACCTGTCGCCACAACAGGCGTGGATGAGTGTAGGCCGCTGCTGTCGGTTGGTCTTGGGTATGCGGCTGTACGAGATTGACGACCCGACTAGTCCGATTGCGCTGGCTCGCGATGCGGAGTATGTGCTGGTGGATTGGACGGCGGTTGAGGAGCAGCGTCGGACGTTCTGGATGGCGTATTCGCTGGACCGGTTGATTAGTTTTCACCACGGACTGCCGTTTACGCTTAGTGAGCAGCTGGTTGGTCTACCATTTTTGTACAGACGTAGTGCAGTGCTGATGAGGAGCAGATATCGACTCGTCTTCCCTCGCCCGAGGAGGAGTTCCAATCAGGCCAGCCGGTGCTTGCGCCGTATTTGCCCGAAATCATGGCGCAGTCCATGTCAACTTCCGCGGGTGGGAGTGTGGCCACTCTGTCCTCGTTTGGAGAGTGCATCGTGCTGGCGACGATCTGTGGACGGGCCTTGTCGCATCGCCAAAAGGTCGCTGTCGAGCAACTCAGCGGGACTGGGCTGGCCGATGGATTCTGGACGCGCCATCAGTGGCTGTATGAGCGGTTGAGTGCACGCATCCAAGCGCTCAGTGGTACAACCCAGGCCGACTCGATGGGTGTCTTTGCCCGATTAATTGCGCAGACAATGATCCTTTTCTTACATAACGTGCTTGAGTCGGTGGCTTGGAAGACGGGAGACCACCTGCTGGGGATGATTGAATATGAGCGGTTGTGCGTGCTGGCCGCGCACGAAGTAGTGGGATTGATGAAGTTGCAGGGACAATTGGGGTATTTCAAGGTATTCCTTGTCTTCTCAGTGCCGTTGAAGGCTGTCTCCTGGGTATCACTCTGATGCTTTCTAGGTCCATCCGTTGACGCCCATTCCGTTGTTGATGTGTAGCGAGTTCTTCACAGCCCATAGCTACCTCGATGGGTCGTTCGAACTCTTATTGCAAGAGGTAGTGGAGTGTCTGCAGGATCTGGATCGAGTCAAAAATCCAGTGCACGTCCACAGTCCACTTAGCTAAATCTTGGGTAATTATTATGTCGATATGGAGTTGGATAGAAGTTGGATTGTTCAAGCGATGGAATTAGGGTTAAGGGTATAATATAGTAATAACTTCACATCATTTATTATGGAATCACATTGCCACCAAGACCACAGTCATTAGATCTATAGCACTGTATTTTCTACTTAATGTTCCGCCACTGGCCCGTTGAGTCCACGGCCGTTGTCTTGCAGCGGGCATGCGGATCTTGACTGCTATAACTCCGCTGCAGCAGATCCACCCATTGTCAATCAGGTACATATCAGTCAGAATCCCCACCAGAACAGTCTAAGACAGGCTAAAGATGAATCAGAGGAAGTGACACAACCAGTGGCAACAGGCTGAGACTGGGAGTGCAGCGTTCCCGAGGAGATAACCCGACAACAAACTCCGGCGCGTAGTGATTACGGGCAGGTACACTGGACAATAGGATGAATCAGTGAGGGAACATTGAATGCCACTGCCAATTTTGGTTCATTTCAGTCATCGTGTTTGCCTCGGTGACTGTAATCTATTCACCGAGGCAGACTTTGTATGCTAATGTTTGGTACAGTCCTTGGACCTTCTCCTCCTTTTCCTCTTCCCCTGCCATCTTTCTCCTCTTCTTCCCCATCCCTCTGCCTGATCATAACGAGCGCAATAGGTCAACATGGAACACAAGCTATCCCCTCCTGCAGGAGGCAAAACGGTGCTTCTATTCGGCTGCCAATGCCTCTCCTTCGACGCAAATGACTTCCGCCGCCTCCGGTCTATCGTCCTCGATTCAGACGAGCATTCATGGGTGGTACACGTCCTTGCAGAACTGCCTGTCTACTATCGGACTGCATCAAAATTGGTTCCGCAACTGGGGTCAATCCCAGCCGAGAAGCAGCTGCAGGACTTGCATCAATGGTTTTGTTCCGGCGAGGTCAAGGAGGACTACTTCCCTATCCCATACGTGCAGCTGGCTCCTCTGTTCATGGTATTGCAGTTTACACAGTACGCGCAGTATCTGCATCTGACCCATCCAGAATATGTGTCGACTGGTAAAATCCATTCAGCCGACAGCCCCGTGGTGGAGATCGCAGGCTTCTGTATTGGCTTCCTCGGCGCTGTCGTGGCTGCCGCAGCAGCGAATAGAGAACAATTCCAGGAGTATGCCAAGGTCGCTGTGCGTTTGTCGATGTTGCTTGGTGCCATGGGGGATGCCCAGGAGGTGGACGAGCGATATACTTCACTGGCGATGGTGTGGAAAGCGCCCGAGGCGGAAGAGCAGGTCTCCGTCGTGCTGGAACAGTTCCCTGGGGTATGTATCTGACCCGATGAAAATGAGGTTAGTTCTAACAGATAGTAGGCATACATTACCGTTCACTATGACAATAACCGATCAACTCTGATGTGTCCAAGACACTGCATCGGACAGCTCCAGAGAGCCCTACACGATGTCGGCGTCAACTCCAGTCCAGTTGCGTTCAACGGCCGCTACCACTGGAGTGGGCATGAACGGGCTGTTCATGCCCTACAATCGATGTGTGATACGGCCGTCGGACTGCAGTTGCCAGATCCTTCTCAGCTTATAAAGCCTGTCCGCGACAATGTATCTGGCGACGTAGTCACCAAAGGACCTCTCCACCACCGTGTGCTGCAATCGATCCTAGCTCAGAAATGCCAGTGGTTTTACACATTCTACACCCTACACGCTGCGAACCTGACCTCTCCGGACTCCATCCTTGTCGAATTTGGCACAGAGCGCTGCGTCCCACCCTCGTTCATACGCACCATGCGCAGCCGCGTTGTTCACTATACCGATCTAGAACTGGACCTCCACTCCCGGCTTTCTCCTCTGCACACCACGCCTCCCGTCTACGACGACGACGTCGCCGTAGTGGGCATGGCTTGCCGTGTGGCGGGCGCAGACGATCTCGACGAGTTCTGGCAACTCCTCTGCTCTGGTGAGTCCCAGCACAAGGAAATGCCCGCCGAGCGCTACGAAAACTACGAGACGCCGTGGCGACCCGACGCGATCCGCGGGTGGTTCGGCAACTTCATGCGCGACATCGATGCCTTCGACCACCGGTTTTTCAAGAAAGTCCCGCGCGAAGTCATGTCACAGGACCCACAGCAGCGACTCCTTCTCCAGGTCGCGTACCAGGCCCTCGAGCAGGCGGGGTACTTCCAGCGTGCTGATCCCGACCGCAATATCGGCTGCTATGTCACCTGCTGCACGGTGGACTACGAACACAACGTCAACTGCCATACGGCGAGTGCGTACGCGGCTACGGGATTGCTGCGCAGTTTCATTGCCGGCAAGATGAGCCACTACTTCGGTTGGCGGGGTCCGTCGCTCTGTGTCGATACGGCGTGCTCCGGGTCGGCCGTGGCGCTGCACCAGGCGTGCAGGGCTATTCTTAGCGGGGAGTGCTCGGCTGCGTTGGTAGGTGGGGCAAATATTTTGACAAGTCCCTTGGCATTTGACAATCTTAATGGAGCGTCGTTCGTCAGCCCAACCGGTCCGTGCAAGCCATTTGATGCGAAGGCTGATGGGTACTGCCGGGGGGAGGGAGTCGCCGCCGTGTTCGTGAAAAAGATGTCGGACGCTTTGGCTGACGGCGACACGATCCTTGGGACTATTGCTGCGACTGCGGTTGATCAGAACAATAATTGCACGCCGATTGTCGTTCCCGATGCCGCTTCGCTGGCGGGTCTGTTCACCAAGGTGACGCGACGCGCCCGTCTTCTCCCCAAAGACATTTCCGTGGTGGAAGCGCATGGAACTGGAACACAAGCTGGGGATCCGGCAGAATACAGCAGCGTGCGACAGGTACTAGGGGGCCCGCAGCGCGAGACGTCCCTCGCGCTCGGCTCTGTCAAGGGACTAGTCGGACATACGGAGGGTGTTTCGGGGTTGGTGGCACTTGTGAAAGTGCTGCTCATGATCCACGAGGACCAGATTCCACCGCAGGCGAATTTCCATTCCATGAACCCCCATATTGAAACCAGTCCCGACGACCACATCAACATTCCGAAGCAGACGACCCCGTGGAACGCGAAATTCCGCGCGGCGTTAATCAACAATTACGGCGCCTCGGGTTCAAACGCGTCTATGATTATCACACAAGCTCCATGCAGCAAGGAGAAGCACAAGTCTTGTATCCACCGCGGAGACGTAAGCATTCCGTTCCGCCTGTGTGGGTCCGACGAGTCTCGGCTCCGCGATTCTGCCGAGAGACTCCGCCGCTTTCTCCGCCGCCAAGCCCTCTCCGCTTCCGCCAGCATCGCCGACGTGGCGTTTGCCGCGTGCCGGCAGGCTAACCCAGCGCTCGATTGTCATTTGTTGCTTCGCTGTCGGAGTGTTGCGGAGCTGGACCAAAAATTGACAGCTGTGGTTGAAGGTGGAAACAATGGAATTGTGCAGAAGAAACCCACGCGTCCGGTGGTTTTGTGCTTCGGGGGACAAGTGTCCACATCGGTCGGGTTGGATAGAAGCATATACGATGCCCTTCATTTACTACGCAGCCAACTCGATGAGTGTGATAGGATATTGCGGTCGCTGGACCATCCCGGTCTGTACCCCGGCATCTTTGAGCAGAGGCCCATCGCAGATCAGGTCGACTTGCAGACCAAACTCTTCGCCCTACAATATTCCTACGCCCGCTGCTGGATTGATTCCGGTGTACCCGTGACCGCTGTCGTGGGGCACAGCTTCGGCGAATTGACGGCTCTTTGTGTGTCCGGCGTGTTATCTCTGCCTGACGCATTGGACCTGGTGGCTCGTCGTGCTGCTCTCATACGCCATAGCTGGGGCGCAGACTCAGGCGCAATGTTAGCTGTAGAGGGTGACCGCACAGAGATAGACCAGCTGCTTGCGACAACGAACCGTGGCATCACGGATGCCTTCCCAGCTACGATCGCCTGTTTGAATGGACCACGCAGTTTCACTCTAGCCGGGCCCGCGCGGGTCATCGATGCGATGCAGCAGATCCTCAACAGACCATCATTTAAGCACATGCGAACCAGACGTCTGTCAGTTACGAACGCCTTCCACTCTACCCTAGTGGATCCCTTGATTCCCGAACTCGAGCGCGTCACCGATGGTCTAACCCTTCGAGAGCCCACGATCCACCTGGAAAGGGCCACAGAGCACCCAGCAACAGGCATTCCTCCCTCGACCGTGGTTGCAGATCACCTTAGACAGCCTGTTTACTTTGAAGATGCCATACACCGTCTCGCCGAGAAACATCCCTCCGCTGTATGGCTGGAAGCAGGGTCCAACTCCACCGTCACCCTCATGGCGGCCCGCGCCCTCGCGTCCGTTGGTGACAATCATCATTTCCAAGCGGTCAATTTCACATCCGGAACGGGGTTACAGGGCCTCACTGACGCAACCATTAGCCTATGGACCGAAGGCATATCAGCGACATTCTGGGGGTATCACCCATGCCAGACAGGAGAGTACACGCCCGTGCTCCTGCCCCCGTACCAATTCGAGAAGAGCAGACATTGGATGCACAACAAGAAACTGCCTGTCCAGGCCACAGGGGTTTCCACGGAATCAGCACCCCTGAAAGCATCCATTGTGGTGACATTCACGGGATATCAAGACAAGAACGAGCGTATAGCCAAGTTCACCATCAATACTTCTCATCCAGACTACCACGACGCCCTAACGGGCCATGTCGCCGCGCAGACCGCCCCGCTGGCCCCCGCATCCATGATGCTTGACAATGTTATCGAAGCGCTGCGCACCCTCCCTGAGTGCACTGATAAAGTGCCCATTGTGCGCACCGTCACCAGCGAAGCGCCCCTTTGTCCAGACCCCTCCCGCACGGTGTGGATCGAGTTGCATGCGCAGGATGGAGAGAAGCAAGCTTGGAATGTCAGATATCTCAGCGAAAATAGTGATAAAGGGTCACGGACGCAGGTTCTTCACTGCAATGCCCAAGTCAGCATGCTCCGCCCTGACGATCCCGATCTGCTGGCCGAATTCGCTCGCTACACCCGTCTGTTTCCGCATCGTCGGTGTAAGCAGGTCCTGAACGACCCCGATGTCGACGATATCCTCCAAGGACGCGCCGTGTACAAAGGATTTTCTGAGGTCGTTGAGTACTCTGACCTATATAAAGGTGTGTACAAAATCGTTGGGAAGGGCACCGAAAGCGCCGGTCGCGTGGTCAAACAGTACACGGGAAAGACCTGGGCAGATCCATTCCTCTGCGACTCGTTCAGCCAGGTTGCGGGGTTCTGGGTGAACTGTATGACTGATCGTCCAGAGAGTGACATCTTCATCGCTGCTGGTATGGAGCAGTGGATGCGCAGTCCGCGGTTGGCGGATCCGCACACGCCGCGTCCTGAGCGGTGGGATGTCTTCGCTACACATGTCCCTGGGGAGAATATTTACACTAGTGATATCTTTGCTTTTGATGCAGAGACGGGCGAGCTCGTTGAGGTTTTTCTGGGTATGCAATATACGAGAGTGGCGAAGAAGGCGTTTCGGAAGTTGCTGGGGATGTTTGCGCCTGGTTATGGTGCTACTTCTGCTGTTGACAACTCGGACGAGGTACCCCATGCTGTGCAGAGAAGAGATCATCGAAAAGAGACGACGCAGAAGGAAATCAAAACACCCGACTTGGGTGCCAAAGTAAAGGCCATCGTGGCAGAGTTCTGCGCTGTCGATCCGAAAGAGATTCACGACAGTAACAGCATGGCCGACTCGGGCATCGATTCTCTTATGGCGATGGAGTTGGCGCGGGAGCTGGACGAATCCTTCCACTGCTCAATCCCAGCCACGGACCTGATGGAGGCCGACACTTTTCGCGATCTGGTCAACTGTGTGCGGACTGCGCTGGGTGAAGACGAGCCTGAAGAGGAGGGTCCCTTATCAAGCTCAGAGTCCGATGGGGAAATTGATATGGGGGCGTCGGCAGCCGACTCAGTCACCACCGTATCGTGCGACGAGTCGGAGCTGTATCTCCCACCACAGACTGTTCTTGATGCATTTGGTGAGACGAAAAAACTCACCGACGATTTCCTAGCAAACAACCAGTGCAGCGGGCGCGTGCATATCTTCAATCCCGTACAGATTCAGCTCTGCGTGACGCTCACCCTCGAGGCATTCGAGACACTGGGCTCATCAATCCGCACTGCAAATCCGGGTCAGCGACTGTCTCGCATCGCCTTTGACCCACAGCACCGCGAGCTCGTCGACTATCTCTATCTGCGTCTGGAAGAAGCGCGCATCGTCGACCTCGACGGTCCAGCTGTCATCCGCACGGCGGTGTCCGCCCCACCCAAGAGCAGCGCCGCCCTTATGCAAAATATTGAGCGAGCGTACCCTGAATTCGCCGGCGCCAGCAGACTCTCCTTCTATACAGGCAGCCACCTAGCGAACGTCCTCCGCGGAGACCAAGACGGCCTACAGCTCATCTTCGGCACGAAAGAGGGCCAAGACCTCGTGTCCTGGATGTACGGCGACGAGCCCCACAATGTAGCAGGGTACAAGCAAATTCTAGACTTTATCCAGCGGGTTGCGAGCAAGTTGGACAGCTCAGACAATACCGGTCCACTAAAGATCCTCGAGATGGGTGCCGGCACCGGCGGTGGCACGAAGTACTTTCTTCCTAGCCTGGCCAAACTAGGCGTCCCTGTCGAATACACCTTCACGGATATATCTCCTGCATTCCTAGCTCAGGCGCGTCGTCGCTTCAAGGAGTATCCTTTCGTGAAGTACCGCGTGCATGACATTGAGAAGGGCCCGGCAGAGGAACTGTTGGGAACCCAACATATCGTCATCGCGAGCAATGCAGTGCATGCCACGTCAAATCTACAGGATTCGACGGGGTTCATGCGACAGGTTCTTCGTCATGATGGGGTGGTGTTAATGTTGGAGATGACGCAGCCTGTATTCGCCATCGACATTGTCTTCGGTCTATTCCGCGGCTGGTGGGTGTTCCGGGACGGACGCACTCACGCTATTACCAGCGAACGTCGCTGGGAGGCGGATCTGCACGCTGCTGGGTATGGACATGTCGATTGGACGGATGGGCACTCGCCTGAGGTGAACGTGCAGCGGGTGTTGTTCGCGATGGCGTCTGGGAAGCAGCGTGATAAATTACCCGTCTCCATCGCGCAGGCAGTTGGCCCTCTGGCTGGGGTGGACAACGTACTCAGAGACCGGCTTACTTCGGGGTATGTTCGGGCTGGCGTGGACGGGCTCACCTTTGACTCGATCGCCTTCCCGCGCAATGCTAATGAAGCCATAACGGTGCTGGTAACAGGTGGCACGGGAAGTCTGGGAAGTCATCTCGTCGCGCATCTTGCGCGGATGCCGTCGGTACACCAGGTGGTCTGTCTGAATCGGCGCACCACCATATCCGATGCCACAGAGCGACAGAAACAGGCCTTGATTGAGAAAAAGCTGTCCCTCTCACCAACCGAAATGGCCAAACTCTGCGTCATCGAAACCAACACGGCCGACGCACATCTTGGCCTCCCGCGCGACCGATACGAAGGTTTAACGGCAACAGTAACGCACATCATCCACAATGCCTGGCCCATGAACGGGGCGCGCGCACTGTCTAGCTTTGAGCCCCAATTCAGCGTAATGCGGCAGCTGCTAATCCTTGCGAAGGATATCTGTTGTCAGGGTGTGAAGCCCACCTTCCAGCTTGTGTCGTCCATCAGCACCGTCGGGTACTACCCACTTCTCACAGGGCAGGCCATCGTCCCTGAAAGACCGACTCAAATTGCACACGTTCTTAACAATGGCTATGGCGAAGCCAAGCTCGTCTGCGAGCGTATGCTCTACGGAACCCTGCTCCAGTACCCCGATCGTTTCAGCGCGATGGTTGTCCGACCGGGTCAGATCAGCGGGTCGTCGAGTACGGGGTACTGGAATGATGGGGAACATCTTCCTGCGCTGATCAAGTCTGCAGAGACGTTGAGGGCGCTTCCGGATCTGAGGGGGCCGTTGTCGTGGACGCCTGTAGATGCTGTGGCTACTTCTTTGGTCGATCTGCTCTTTGTCGAGTATCCTCGTGCTGTGTACCATATTGATAATCCGGTGAGGCAACCGTGGGAGGCGATGATCCCTATCTTAGCCAAGGGACTGGCGATTCCAGTCCAGAATGTTGTACCCTTTGCGGAGTGGATCCAGCGTGTGAAGAACTTTCCTGGGAGTCGGGAGGATAATCCGGCGGGGGTCATGGCGGACTGGTTGGAGGCGAACTTCGAGAGAATGTCCTGTGGGGGGTTGTTGCTAGATACGGCACAGGGGGTCGAGCATTCTCCTGCTCTCAAAGATGTTGGACCTGTTGGAGAGGAAGTTGTTCGCAAATATTTGGACAGCTGGATACAGAGGGGATTCTTGGCTGGGCCCTATTAGCTGGTTCTGTACTCGCTGTTTAAACTAGCTGTCGAAAATCGGTGACTTATTTTATAGGAGAGTTTTTCTCGAAATAACAGACTTCCCACTGGGTTTTGAAAGGTATCTGGCACTTTTTCACCAGTAAAGTCATTCTATATTCTACAGTAAGCCCTAATAATCAGAAAGGTAACTGCCTCTCTGCGGCAAAGATTGTCCGAGATGGAGGTCTCTTGACGAAGCCCATACCTGACAAGACTGTCAGCTGGTCATGAGCCGTCAGGGACCGCTTGTCACTATCATTTCCTTGCAATGGACCTATTTCAGATTTATCTACGACTATTTTAACATGGGCATGTTATAACTCCAGGAAGAACTCAAGTGGATTGGTTGATGTCAATGGGAGATACATGCAGAGGCGCGTGACCGAGAAGCCCTAATTCAACCATCTACAATCTCGGGATGAGCCTGGATAGACCATCCAGTAATCGACTACAACGATACTACACCGATATCCGAGATGCAGCTAGCCAAGATATTACCCAGTGACAGATTGCTTGGCAGTCACCGTGAATGATCACTTCCACTTGCCTTCACTGCATCCCAGGCAGGGATTGCTTGTCTGGGTGACTGTGGGGTCATCGCACAAAGAACTCGCCATCATTCCCGAGTCATTGACCAGTCATTCATGGAATTTGCCGGCTATATATTCTCCTTTTCTGCAACTTGAAGTTTCTTTTTCTTCATCTTCTATCCATTCATCAAGCAGCAGGATGTCCCTCAACGCCGCATCCCTCTTTTCTGTCCAGGGTCTCGTCGCCGTCATCACCGGTGGTGGAACAGGTATGTCCTCATGATCGATCATCCATGTTCCTACCCACTAAGTCAAAGAACTTATACAGGCCTCGGCCGCACTATGGCCCTCGCACTCGACGCCAACGGTGCCGCCAAAGTCTTCATCCTCGGTCGTCGCGAGCAGACCCTACAGGAAACCGCCGCGCAAGCCACCAACAAGACCATCATCCCCGTTGCCACTGACATCAGCTCCCACGCGTCCCTCGAAGCCGCCTACCAGGCCATCGCGGCGCACACCACTCACATTGACCTCCTCATCGGCAACAGTGCCGTGCCCGGATCTGCTGTCCCCCGCTTCAATCCCGACGGCTCGCAGCCCACGCTCACCGAGTTCCGCGACCGCCACTTCGCCAAGTCCATGCCCGAGTTCACCAACGTCTTTGACGTCAACGTTACCGGTAGTTACTACACCATTCTCGCTCTGCTCCCTCTCCTCGACAAGGCCAACCATCGCCGTGTGTTGTCGTCCTCTCCCGACGAGCTTGCTCCTCCCCGTCCCCAGGTCATCCTGATCTCCTCCATCGGCGGTATCCTGCACCACCCGGCCAGTGTCGCATACGGGCTCTCCAAGGCGGCTGTGTTGCACATGGTGAAGGTCATGTCGGCTTTGCTGGCGCCATACCTCATCCGCGTCAACGGCATCGCCCCGGGTCTGTTCTGGACGGAGCTCTCACGTCCGCTATTCCGCACGTTTGGCATCAAGGGACGTGGCCTGGCGGATGGGTCGGTCCCCGCGTCAAATATTCCCATTACTCGCGCTGGGGCACCTCAGGATCTGGCCGGTCTGGTGCTGTGGATGGCGAGTGCATCGGGCGGATTTCTGAACGGAGATAGCATTGTGTACGATGGGGGCAGGAGTAAGGTGTCGCTGTAGTGTCGTGGTGTTTACATTAGGGGTGATTGATGAGGGACAAGGGGCATTTTTTTAGCGAAAACTCGCCTTGGGCAGCGCATGGGCTCGAGTTAACACATCTCGCTATTGGATGTCTGTTTCTGCGAGGCTGAGCTAGACAGCGCCGATCCATGATCTATCTGTGACTTGATTACTTCATACCTTTATTCCACCTAGACAGCATTTTTGTTTCTTCCAATTTAATTTTTTAGTTTATATTAGTTATTAGGTTTGTTTTTACCGATAATGAAGATGATCTACGGCTTGACTGTGATGGGACCTTGCTAAGACAAACAAGTCCATAGAAGCAAAGTTCACTCTTGATCATTGCAGCCTAATCTATCCATGAGCCTCCACCCCGATCCGATGATCATTCCAAATATAGAAATATAGATTTAACCTGGGGCAACGTACAGCCTCGTCGTCTAACTAAATTCAATCAATTGCGGGCTTATCATTCTATCCCCTCCGCCCACATACAAAAAGGCCGTGGTTAGTATCCTGGCCTCTTAGCCCCCACATAACAGTCTATATGAGTTGAAGCCCTTACAGACCGCTCGTTCCCGACATTTATCGCTGCTGAGGTTTGTCCAAAAACACTCGGGCGATTTGAGTCACAGCCTGGTCAGCTAGCCCAGACGTAGCTATCTTGGCGCTTCTGGATTGACCACAATGGCTTCTTCTCCTTCGCCGACTCCATCCCACCACTGTGGTAAGGTATCCATTCCGATGTCGATTGATTCTGATATCACTGGAAATGGAGTACGTGGTTGAAGCCAAATGATCGATGTTATTGGCTAATTCAAGGTCCAGGTCGTTGCAAACTACGTCGTGTCTGCCGGCTTTGCGGTCCTGCTCATTATCGTGTACTTCCTCGTGGTGTATGATCCATTGCAAGATCCTTTCAGAGAGGAACATCAACATACTCCACCGTCGGTATTTCGTCCGAATCCGGTAGACGTGGCCTTCCTGCGGCTTGTGAGGCTTATAACTAAACGCATCTTCCGTTGGCGTGGTCGCCGTATCAGCGCAAGGATCGAGAGGATTTTTACCAAGGTAGTGTGCTTCGATAGTTCATTTCATCGAATATTCTAATATCATTCAGTGCATCCTATCAATGAGTGATCTCCAGATCCTGACCGGGCTGTCGATTCTAATCAGCGGATTTGTTCAACTTTCCAAAGGCCTATCAGCGTATCACTGGATGGTCATCGTCGACCTGGCATGGTTTTCGAGTCTCACTCATTTGGCCTGCTTGACCCTTCTTCGAAACTTTCTATACCATCGTCCGGTCCAGCGAGCTGCACGGCTTTTTCTCATGGGCGTCCTGGCCATACTTCTGGTCGTGGGTCTCTCATTTACGGGTAGTTACACATGGCTCTCATTCTATGACGAACCCCCCCTGTCGGATCCTGTAGTCTATTCGAATTCTCCAGACTATACCCGTGTCATGGCCCTTGCCTACCCCGCCCTCTGTCAGTTGACCTCAAATCCTGCAGACCATCCAGGTCATAACTTATCCGGGGAATACAACTTATCCTGGGAATACTCCTCAATGCTGTTTTCAATCATCTTGATTGTTTTGGGCTTTCTGGGCAGGATTTTCAAGTTGTATAAGTTCCTTTCCGTCGACATCTGCGCTCGACCTCGCTTGCTGGCCAGTGTTCAAATGCGACGCTGCCTACGATGTGTTTTCTCTAGCTGCTGCTTAAACAAGCCCTCTGGCAGTCTTAGGCGCACCATCCTCTATCGTCCCCTGTTGACGATATCTTTAGTGGTAGAGATTGGCGTGGACTGGTGGTCTTCACTACTGCTAGAAGTAAGTCATTCAAACGTGCGCCCACATCATCATCTGACATCCGGCAGGTGGGATATTTGGCTTTCGGGTTTGTGTGGGGGCTGTTTCGTCTCTCCACCGTACTCGAGATATCAACTGCCATCTACAAACTCCAGAAGATGTGGAATTACTTGCCTATCCTGAGCGACGAGAGAAAGGAGGACGACTGGGGGTTCGGGCAGGTCATTGCAGTCCTTTTGCTAATGGCGCCGCTGGTCACAATCCTCAATCATCTCGGACATGGTATACGTCTTTTGGACATCCCTTGTCTCCGGCAGGCTAAGCAATTTGCTAATATTGCAAACCACAGACCGTACGTCTTCCCCCAACGGCGAGATGGATAATGGGGATAACGCTCGTCCGATCTTGTCCCTGATATCCAGCTACCTCCGCTACACGAACTTCTGTCCATCCGCAGGATTATCAAGGATCCTGACGACCCTGACAATGACTGGACTGGGCGTATATCAACAATCAGTCTTGCAAATGTTTATATTGTCATCCTGAGCATCGTCATATTTGGTTCCACGGCAGGGAGTAGTGTAAGAGGAGTCGATCCAGACATTCCTTTTGCTGGAGCACCGATGCTTTTAAGCAATCTTTACAACATCTTGCAACCTATATTTATGGGTTTCACGGGCCTCTTCGGTGTCGTCCTATTCTCGTTGACCATCGAGGCGGATCTGCCGAAGAAATTTTCCCGCGTTCGTCAGGTCCTACGTTGTAGCATTATCGTTGTCTTCACTTGCAGTGCCCTCTTGATTTGGTTTGCTTGGGGTGTACCTAAAAACACGTCTCAGCTGAGAATCTGGTCAGTGTTTTGGTTTCCATCTTGGGTGATCTTGCTTTCTGCTGCTTCTTTTTACATCATTTTTGCGATCACTTATCGAGTTTGGGGATCAGGACGTCCTATCTCGGCGGACGAGACCACATAACTCGGCTTTTTGGTTGCTCTTCTGGTGTATAGTTGCAGTCCCATCGATACCTACTGGCCCACGAACTTGGTTGACTATGGCTGTTTTGCGTTTGCCATTGTTGACATGACGGGCTAGTTGACGTAAATGAAATATTCATCACTGGGGAGATATTGCTGGCTACTCCTGCCGTTCTGCCTTTGGAGAGTTTCAATGTTTCAAAGTGTGACCTAGAGTCCGGGCTATTGGGGAAATGACATATATATAAATTGATGTGTATTAACGACCTTCGGCGCTCCTTTCATCCACAGTCTATGAAACACCTTAGTGTGAGACGCAATAAGCTCCCACAAAATGTCAGACTTGATCTACGTACCTATATACAACTACATGAAGAAAAGATGGGCAATACGTGATGGCTCAAAATAGCAACATCACGGATTGAACATGGTGGTCCATTCCCTATCAGGCTTAGTGCGAGGTGGGTACCATGCCTCAGGCCCCACATGCACCTGTCCATGATTCATGACTGATTTGGATAGCTTCAGTCCACCCCAACTGCGGACGGGATGGGGTTATAGCTTGGCTGCACTGCACCCACTGCCTCACAATGCCACCATGAATGCTGCCAATCCTCAAGTGAGGCGCAAACCGGTCCCCAGTCAGGTCAATCGGTCTCCTGTCCGAGGCGTCACCGCCGCCTCTCCGTCCCCTAAGCAGCAACCGACATCTTCCCCCTATCCTCCACCCTATCCGGATCATGATCCTCCCCCGTACGAAGCTACCAACCTGGCAGTGCCGCAGCAGAAATTGCGGCCGTCTCGATCAGCGCAGAATTTCCGATCGCCTTCCCCCCATCCCAACAGCGTATACCCCCCCGTGCAGCGAGCTGCCACCGACTTCCGACCCGCCTCATCCTCCTCCCACCGACCTCTAGCCCCCGACCCCAATCACGGTCCGCTAGCGGATGGCTCGCCCCTACAGGCCGTGCAGAAGGCGTACGCTGAAGCGCGACATTTCCTCGGCGGGCTGATTGCCCGTCCGACCGAGTCAACCCGACATGTGACGATACTGCGCCATTCGAGCGGAATTGTCTTTTATCGCGGCCCGACAACGTCCGTCACCATCTCCATATTCTCGGACGCGTTGCTCCCACCGGAACGAACACTATGGTTGCAGAACAAGGGCTGGACGGGGAAAGCCGGTATGAAAGCGAAGGCGCTGTTCCATCTGACCGATGACTGGCTGGAGGTGACGCCCGCTCTGGCCGTCACGGCGGAGCAGGTGGCCCCAGGGGACGAGCGCGCCTGGCAGCGCGACGTCGCCAAATTTCGCAAAAAAGCCAGCGGTCGGCAGAAGACGCACCTCTGGCGCCAGACAGTCGTGGCGCGCGTTCCCATCGAGGCCGGTGACGGATATTTCAGCCTGGTGCTGTGCCACGGGCCCGGGAAGAAGAAGACCATGTGCACCAGCCCGGTCTTCCGTATCCTATCCACCAGCATCAATCCCAGCTCGGTGCGCGGCGCCAGTCTGAGCACCATGCCGCTGGAGATGGGCGCGCTCGTCTTGGGGATGTACGCGCAGTCTGCGGCACAGACAGTGCTCGCCCCCGTCACTTCGGCGGTGCAGACGCGTCTCCAACCATACCAGCCGGGGATGCTGACGCAGACGGCGGCCAAGGAGGCCTACTCCCTGAGCCATGTCGGCGACCATGTGTCGACCCTCCTTTCGGGCTACGAGGGGCAGCAACGTGCGGCGCAGTCCCGGGGCCAGGGACAAGGACCGGAGCTGGCTCCACCGTCATTGGACGACGGCCCCCAGCCGCCGTTCCCGGTCGATTTCAAATGTCGGGCGGCGTGGGACCTGCCCCCAGTCTGGACCCCCGACGCGGCGTCCGAGCCGCCCCGGTGCATCATCCAGAAAGCGCCCGATCATATCTGCGACCGCTTTCTTGGGTTCTTTGTCGTGTGGGTACGCTTCGAGAAAAGGGGGAGAAGTCCTGTCCCGTGGTCCGCTGGTCCTGCTACCCCTGGCAGCGAGGACACAACCCCCGTCTGGCACCCCGGCGTGCTTTCGATCCGACAGTTCGATCCCCGTACGCAACCCCGCGTCCAGCTCTCCCAGACAATGAAGAAAACGGTACACCTCCGCTTCCTCGACGAAATCCCTCTGCCACCCGTCCAGGACCTCCCCGCCATGTCGCTGACCCTGTCCGTCCGCATCATGGCCTTCCTCCGTGCGGACCTCCCGCCGCCAACGGGACGCACACCAGCAGAGCTCTACGCGGCGCGGGAAGCAGCCTCCGAGGCCGCGATGCTAGCGGAGGCGTGCGACGCCGACTCGGCGCTGGGGATCCTGGCTCATCCGGCGTGGGCCGTTGTCGATCGCGATGAGCAGGCCTCGTGGATCGACCGCACGAGGCAGGGGCTTGACACCGCGCGGCATGTCGGACAACGCGCGATCGAGAATGTGCCCTTGCATTGGGTGGGGGTGCGTGCCCCTACGGTGGATATGTCGCACGGTGGGGGGTTCTACGTTCCGAGGTAGATGTATGATACGGTGGTTCATGGACGAGTGTATAGTATGGGTATATATTGTATTGACTGGAAGGGGATCTCGAAGTGTACATTAGGTATATAATAATGATAATCAATATCATCAACGATGCAGGAAGCATACGAGAACAAGCCTGGTCACCTGACCACAAGCCAGTGTTCGGTCTTCTCTCCATATTCCATCACCAAATGCTCAACCACTTCATCATTTTCCTGGAACTTTTCGGAGGTATGATAGGAATGGATCAGCCACGACAAAGTTCATGGAAATGAGACCTTAGTCAACACACACTCCCCAGCCTATCCGGCCCACAGACTCATCCTCATCCTTTCTCCAACCATCCACCAGCGGACGCAGCTCCTGACATAGTCGAACCTCCTCGTCACTCAACCGATTCAACAACCGTTGCGCAAGCTTGACGATCAAACCCCTCTCCAGAGCACCAAGTCGTTGCTGCCCCCGCAAAGCATTCAACAACTCCACGACACGGACAATATCCTCCTCGATGACCTCATCAACCACGCGTTCCAGCGCCGCAAATTCCAATACTAATGCCAGACTGCCCACCCGGCTCGAAATCACCCCCACCACAGTTTCCACAAACTGCGTTAATCGGTCCTCACGCTCCGCATTAGGGATATAGACCGGGGACGGTAGAACCAGAACCTCCAGCTCGAATGGCGTTGGCAATACCGGAGGCTTGTGGTCTGCCATCGCGCGGAGGGAATTAACATAGTCTACGCCTGACCGGAGAGCCTCGTCTGTGACAGTGTACCGCGTTTTACGCGATTCCGTACCGATATTCTCCTTGGTAATCCGGAAAGCGCGAAGCTGCTTCAGGGAAGAGATGAGTGGGTCTAATGTTACACGCATTTTCCCATCTTTGGGAAAGTACTGCGCGGGATACCGCGCGAGCTGGCGCGTCCTACGCGCGAATTCAGAGACCAAGGTCTTCCGTGTGATTCCGTCAGGAACGAGGGGGGTGAGGAGTGCGTCGTCGCGCAGGAGTGGGAACAAGGTGCTTATGGGGTCTGTCTCGTGGAGTCGTGAGACAAACTCTTCCCAGTGCTGCCCGGCGTTTGTCTGTCGGTACTCTGGGTTTGATGTCACCAGAGTGTCGCCAATAGTCGCGTACGCTTGCCAATGGAGGGCGTGAGTGAGCGCCCACTCGTTGTGCTCGGCAGAGAGGTACCGCGCGGGGAGATAGATGGACCATTTGGATAAAATGGAGTCAATGAGGTAGGGGTCGAAGGGCCCAAACGAGGGAATTCCGAGCTCGGCACGAGAGAGACCCAGCGGCGCAAGGAACGCGTCCATCCAGACGTTGTGTGCGTTCTCCGAGGCTGCGACGAAGGGGAACAGGACATGTTGGACATATTTAGCATGAAGAGTCGGCGGAAGCTTGGCCTGTGCCTCAATGAGGACCTGTAATCCCGGACGCTCCTTGACGGAAGATACGTTGGGGAGAGCCGCCGCCCAACTGGATGCATCTTCTGCAGTATCCATCTCACTGGGCTCCTGCGCCATCTCATAAGCGATGTCTTTGATGAAGGTAAACAGACGGTCGAGTCCGACCGGAGAACCGCGCACGCGATCAAAGAGATCCAGGGCGGCCTTCACGATCTGGGTGCGGATGTCGGTATGGTGTGTGGAATGGAACACGTCTCCCAGGATTCGCAAACTCGAGTCGAGCGGGAGGAAGTCCGCCTGGGCGAGGAGCTGCGCCAGCATCTTCACTGTCGTGATCTTTACGTAGTCTGGGGCGTTGGTCTTAGGCGTGAGCCGTGGCGACTCCGGCTTCGCAGGGTCTCTCCGCTGTTGTTCGACCAGTCTTTTGCAAACGAAGGCCGAGAATCGGCCCAGGAAGGCAGCCACGCTCTCCGGACGCAGCCGTCGACACAACGACAGCAGCTTCATGCGCCGGTGGTAGGCTGACTCATTGGGGAACGACTCAATGACGCGCAGGACAGGCGCTACAGCCAGCTCCGGACAGTCGGACAGCACAAACGTCATCTTCAGCGCGAACGTCATCTTCAGCACGACCTTGAAGATCCCGTGCGGCCGCTGTAGCGTCTCTAGCGCGTCTAGCACCTTGTCCATCAGGGCGGACACAAGCTTGCTAGGAACGGCGTACATGGATGCCTGCAACACGTCAATACACCGCGTCATAGCCTTCCCAATATCATCCCACGCAACCTCCAAGAAATCCTCCTTGAGGTACATCGCTGGATACCGCACAGTGTCGGCGTCCGGAAACGGCACCGTGAGAGGGCTGCTCTGCCTGCTCTGGGCATCTGTTGGGGTTTTATTGGCATGCAGGTTGTGCATCACTACCTCCAAGTACAGCAGAGCAGAGAGCATGGTAGCTTCTCGTGCAGAGAGGGTCATCTTGCGCACGATAAAGGATCCTGCCACTGCCCGCTCGAAGCGGAGTTTGGGCCACGCCCAGTGCCTGTTGCTCAGGTGCCATAAGGGGGTGTCATAGTAGGAGATATAATCATCGGAATCCAACTCTCCTTGGAGTTGGTAGTAGAGGAGGTTAGTAGCAAGGCGCCGCTCTTTGAGATTGGAGAGCTCGTCTGCAGCGGGTTGGGCTTCCTCAAGGACGGAGGATGTAGGATCCCAAGCTGTAAGGGCAGTGGGGTTCGTGCTCGGGAGATAGGAGGTTGCCTGGGCAAGGCGAGGAGGGCGGACAAGGTTCACTGTTTCAAAGAGGAACTCGTCTTCGAGCAGGTCGACGAGGTAGTCGCGCAACACGGGGAAATACTTCCCATATTCATCTTTGCGGGACTGATACGTGTCCCAGAGGGCTCGGATGGCCTCTGTCTTAGCCCGCTTGCTGTGGTGCATGTCGATCAGGGCGCGCACGGCCACAGGGATACTATCGACGTGGTCGTCGTCGACGATCTCGTCATGCTGGGGCTGGGGAACGAATACTACACTCGGAGAGGCCTCCAGAACCGTGTTTATGCGACCAGCCATGTACGGTGCCATGTCCGGATGTTTCAGGGCAAAGGCAAACCATGGTCGACCAGGCAGTAGACACTGGAACTGCAGGCCTTGTGGCCATCCCTCATCCAGGTCTGCCACATCGGGGAAAGTCTCAATTCGTTGCGCTCGGTGTAGGTCGTTCCGGTGACGGGCGTACTCGTCGAAAAAGCGCAACACGGCGGGTGGACACTGCGGCGGTAGTTCCAGATGGTGCAGAAAGCCGTCGTCGTCGGTCCAGCTCCCTTTTTCGCTGTAGATCAAACCTTGGTTGGTCGAAGCTTTGTCTTCTTTGTCGGCCGAGGCCTTGTCTTCATCGTCGGTCGACGATCCCTGGCTGTCACCGGAAGTACGCTCCCAGGCAATCAGGACGGGAACAAGGGGCATGAGCAAAGCGTCGACGATGTCGGCCTCGCTGCCTATTCCGGCACGTCGGTACCGGTTGATACCTTGGAGGCGAGTGGCAACCAAGCCCCGCAAAAACGATGGGATGTGGCTGGTGAAGCTGCTGTGATCTACGGGCTCACACAGCGCCAGGAGAATCGTCTCCAGGAGTACGGACAGGACCTTGTGGGCGGACGAGACGGTGGCGCGTAGGGCAGCGATGTCGTTTGGCAGACGCGAGGACGGCATGTCGGCGCAGCTCAGGTAGGCGAAGTTGTTTTCGAGAATGGTCATCGACATGATGTCGGGGAACACGACCTATATCGTCAGCGTTATGGATCAAATAAAATGAGGAACACGACATACCGGATCACGAATAAATCGCCGGGTCCACAACACCGCCTCACGGCAGAGGTCGAGATCATATGTATCGAAGGCAACCTGGACGGCAGCGCGAGAGGCTTCAGACCGATCCGTGACGTTGCGTTGGCGCTCTGCGTGTTTCTTCAGGTTTAGGAATACTGCGACAGTCAGATGCAAGTCTCATACTCTTCACGATTGGAAGCTCACATTCTCTGCCCAATACCAAACTCCCCACTCCCTCCGCTTCCCATTGCGCCTTCAACCGGCACTGCTGCGAATGATCCAGGCCGTTCGCCGTCGGCACGAAGCCCTTACACCCGTGGATGGCCAGCATCCGCTCGAAAATTACTTGGGCATCTGCCGCTGGGAGTATGCGAAGGACGTCATAGTGCCACACGGGGACCATTTGTCGCTCTCGCGGTTGGGGGGGATTGGCCCGGAAGTCAAAGGTGAAGGGCGTTTTCTCATAGATTGGGTCATAGCAGAGACCGTCGGACAGACCAACGAGGTATTCGAGGAAACGCCGACGCGCAGGCCGACTGACGTCCAGTAGCACATCCCGCATTGTGCTGAAAGTGTCGTGCCGCTGTTTTCTCGGTAGCCGACGGTCTGGGTGCCGCCGGAGAAAGTCCGTCAGGGCCTTCTCCAGGTCCAATCGATGCTCGGGACGCGGGTGCGAAGGATGGTCCGGGTGAGCGATGCCCTTCATGAAGAAGGTGATATCTGGGCTAGATTTTCCTGCGGTTACCAGCGACCAGCAACGACGTAGCTCTCGAGCTACTGCACTGTCCAGCGAGCTTTTCAGGAAGATACATGACGGGTACTTGACTATCGATGTGAAAAATGGGACAATCCGATAAAAGGGAACATGGCGCCGTGCGGCGACACAGAACGCTTTACGGATGTAATAGTCTAGGTCTTGGAAATCCCGACGCAGAGAGGGATCCTCAGCATAAACATGGCACAGATCCAGCACGAACGCCATCCCTGGCACCAGGCCCGCTGGTACACTGTCCCGAACAGAGGTGTACGGGATGGGGGAGCGGATGAGGGCAGTCTGACACACTTCCAAAATTGATAGTCGAACATGCCACGGCGCTGGAATCCTCCCGATCGCCATCTGTCGCAGCACGGCGGCATGCAGAGGCGCCAGGCGTTTCAGCAGCGGCCGCACGGCTGGCGTATCCGGCAAGTTGCTTACAACATCCTTGACGAAGGGGCCGGAACACAGCACATATAGCGGAGACCAGGCCACGAACAGCGGCCGGGCGGATCCCTGACTCAATCGCTGCAATAGCGCCTCTACGCAGTCGGTGCGCGTGCCGTCATCTTGGGAAAACCGACATCGCGAGATAGCTTTCGCCAAGGCCCTCACTTCAGACACCGGCGCCGCTTCGAAGATAGACAACAAACCATCCACACCGCCCAGAGCGTCCCAACCAGCGCTCTTCCATTGCGGACCGTGGAACAACCGACTGACAGCTTTGATAGCGGTGTCGCGGATACAAGCCGATGCCTGGTTCTGAAGCGCGGCACGTAGCAGTTGCGGGTTATATCGTAGGGCGAGGGCAGCCAAATTGTGTAGAGGGTTGCTGGGAGGGCCTGGGTGGTAATACGATCGACAAGGAGGTCGTTTATGGCGTCGACGCGATCGGAGGGGTTCTCACCCAGTATGTCGTTGAATTGGGCGTACACATCATGTGCCGATAGTAGGAGAAGCTGGCTTGGCTGCAGAGCGGCGGAGAGCTCCATCGTTTGAGGTGTAAGAATGCCGACTTCGAGTGGTACTGCGTCGGCCAAAATCTTAATCGCGCCACGGATCGTGCGGTCTATTTATTCATCTCCATAGACGACTGCCTTGGCCAAAGGATCGGATCAGCGAGGCTTAAGGTGGGGGGGGCACTGGCTGTGCGGCCGAGGTGGGGATCACTCCTGTTAGTGTCTGCTAGCGATGACGGTTTGCAAAGCAGCAGCAAATAGAACCTCACCCATAGCCTCTGGATCCACCCGAATGAGCAGATCCCATAGAACAGGCGATACGCAGCGACAAATAACATCCAAAAACGCATTATGCTACTCGACTTATGCCGTCATCAAGGGCTTGTCTGCTTCCTCGAGATCAACAAAACTGTCTCGATGGTGCCTCTAGGGGAGTGAGCCCCATATGGCGGTTCTCCGAATCGTGCTAGGTGAAGTCGAAGTACGCACTTCATTGAGCAGCATTTTGCGTGAGTGACAAGGAGAGCTGAGAGGACATGAGGGGAGAGTGGAGTATCACCACTCCCTCCAGCCCCAGTCATAACCTTGCACAGTTAAAGGCGTACTTAAAGCCGGCTCTATCTGTATGTTGCATCCAGCTGGGTTAAGGTCATTGAAGGTTGGTGAGTAAGGGGAACATGGCATCCCCTGGTTTACTCAACTTATTGGGTTGACCGGAGTTAGGGCTTCACATTTATTCTCATGCACGAACAACTTTGCTGATGGAAATAGAGTCGTGGCATGGAAATAGTTCCATGGCCATCACATTTCCATGATCCGCCTGGTCGCTCGATCAATTGTGCCAGAATAGAATGGAAAATGCACGATGTTATCGACGGGACCGATATATTTCTGACTCCAATGGATGGCACTTCTTTAAGTTGGTCTCCATCAATAATGCTACCTACTAAATCCCCAAACCCTGTCAACACCATAGTCGACGTAATATTACCCCCCGCAGACACAAATCGAAAATCGGGCTCAATCCACAGATGTTCCCTCGCCGTCATGTGCAAACTCGCCCGGATATCCCCCGGAGCCGAATGGTCCCCCTCCTCACCCCATCGCGGGGACGGATGGCGAGCTCGCAGACCAGGGTGCGCAGCTCGGGAGGAGGACGCATGAATGGGGAATCGTCTGTTGTATTCATTGAGTCTCAAATACTAATAGTAGAACCATCTGACCATTATCTACTTGGTTGGGGATACATATTGGTGTCGTTCGACAAAGGAGGCTGTGCAGGATAGATAGCGCTACACCAATCACGTCCCCTCCTCCGATATGAAGCTCACGGTTCGATCGATATTGAATCTAAGTCACCGGCTAGGCCCGAGGTGAGATGTAGTCCGACCGCTGACCACCAGCCAACGAGATCCCTGACATCCTCAATTGCGCCATGCGCGGCGCCGATGAGCTAGGGCTCTTAATTCGGATAAGCACTGGTGAAAGGTGCGAGTTATATCAGGGGTCATGATCCTCCTGCCCCGATTATGTCCAATAAGGCACGACATCGGACACCTTGATTCGCCATGCGTTGGTCCCCGTCGGAATCCGGCTGGTGGAGAGTATAAGAAGCGATGATTTCCTTTCCAACCGATCTACCATGCGACTAGCAATATGGGTATGTGTGCTCGATGAAGGGTTCTATTCCACGCTGACATCCCCAGCACCGATGGATGAAAAGGTCGACGCCATCTCGGCCACGAAGGCCCTCGAGGTGGACTCGGAGAAACATGTCGACAACGGGAACAGCGTCGAGGAACACCCCCCACCAACCGAAGAAGAACTTCAAACCCTACGCAAGGTTGCCGAAACACTCCCTCTCGTCTCGTTTTCACTCTGTCTAGTTGAGTTTGCCGAACGTGCGTCCTACTACGGCGCCAAAACGGTCTTCTCCAACTTCATCCAGTTCCCTCTTCCTAAGGGTATGGCCGCCGAATCCTATTTTTCGTTCGCACTTGACACATTCCAGGTGGAAATGGAGCCGGAGCTCCTCCGCGAGGCACGCAGGAGACGGCGGGTGCCATGGGCATGGGGTTGCAGGCTAGTTCCGGTCTGGTACTGCTGTTCAGCTTCTTGGCCTATGTCTTGCCCATTCTCGGTGGTTGGTGCGTTTTTGCCCTTCCCTTGCTAGTATCAGATAAAGGTGCTAACTTTTCAGGTGGGCGGATGTCTACATCGGCCGCTATAAAGCCATCTGTGTCGGTGTCCTCATCTGCGGCATCGCGCATATCATCCAGGTTGTCGGAGCCATCCCATCAGTCCTGCATCGCGGCCCCTCCAACTCGGCCCCCCCGTTCGTCATTGGGCTGCTTCTTCTTGCCCTGGGTGCCGGAATATTCAAGCCGAACATCGCGCCCACCGTCCTCGACCAGCATCGTCACCAGAAACAATACACCAAGTCCCTCAAGTCCGGCGAGAAGGTCATCGTCGACCCGGAGCTGACCACCACGCGGACCATGCTCATATTCTACGGCTTCGTCAATATCGGTGCCTTCTTCATGATCGCCACCACCTATGCCGAGAAATACGTCGGCTTTTGGCTGGCCTTTCTCCTCGCGGGCATCATCTACTTCCTTCTCCCTGTTTTGCTGGCCCTCGTCTATAAGAAGACCTACAAGATTCCCCCTAAGGGTAGTTCCGACCTCACTCAGGCGACCAAGATCATCTCCTTCGCCCTACGACGCAGTCGCTTTCGAGTGTGGCGCAAGGACTTCTGGGACGGGGCACGACCCAGCCTCCTCGCACCGCAGGGCATCCACGTCGACTGGACCGACAAGCTTGTCGACGAAGTACGCCGAACAATCGGTACCTCTCTCTCTCTCCATTTTCCCGGTGACCTTATTAACACAGACAAACAGCGGTCACCGAAATCTTTTGCTACTACCCCATCTGGTACCTCAACGACGGCGGCATCGGCTCCGTGCTCACCAGCCAAGGCGCCTCCATGGCCACCAACGGCGCCCCCAACGACCTCCTCAACAACTTCAACGCTCTCACCATTATCGTGAGCGTGCCCCTCCTCACCTACATCATCTACCCAGCCTTCCAGCGTTTCAACATCCGCTTCGGCCCCATCACCCGCATCACGTTCGGCTTCGTCCTCGCCATGCTGAGCAGCGTCATCGGCGCCATCACCCAGTGGAAAATCTACGAGACCTCCCCCTGTGGCTACGCCGCCGCGTCCTCCTGCGAATTGGGCGTCAGCCCTCTCAGCATCTGGTGGCAAATTCCGAACACGGTGCTAGCCGCGCTGTCAGAGTGCTTTGCCAATGTGACGGGTTACGAGTTGGCGTATTCGCGCGCGCCGGCCGGCATGAAGGGCTTGGTGATGGCCATATTTCTCTTCATGAATGCTTTGTCGAGTGCCATCGGCGAAATCTTGCTCCCGGCGACTAGAGATCCCTGGTTGATTTGGATCTGGGCGGCCCCTGCTATTGCGCTCGCGCTGCAGACTGTCGTCTTTTGGATGCGCTTTCGGTCGCTCAACCATGAGCAGTTTATTCTGTCGGAGGAGGATTACCAGCCGAGTACGAGAGCGGAATAGTGGTGATAGTGGTAGTAGTGTGTCGGAATATGAAAGGTCACCCACGAAGTGCCAAAGTGTCCAGATATCCTTTGTGGGCGGAGTAGTATTATCTTTGCAACATAGGGCAACATAGGGCACCATAGGGGTAGTAGTAGTGATATTGGCAGTGATGTAAGACGTACAAAGATAACTTATAGAGAGCAGAATATGTCTGGATATCTTTGGTGGCTTAGTGGTATTCTTTCCAAAATGGTGGTGGTAGTAGTCCTAGTAGTTATGGGGTTATTATTATTCCAGCTGTCTAGACAGCAACTGCAGTAACTATGTATACTATGCTAGATAGTCAACCCTCTCACTTCAGACCTCGTCCCTTCAGATAAGCGAGCTATCTACTCATGGCGGATGTGGGGAAAGCGCTTGGCCAACGACTTCGCTCCGATCTCCTTCACATGGTCGGTAACCAGACACTCGTACTCCTCTGAGCCGAAGTACAGCGTGTTCTGATCGTCAGGGGACTGGCCCGACGAGAGCTTGTCACCGAATTGCCAGAAGAGATCGCCCGAGAGGCCCTCCGTCTTCAGCGCAGTCTGCTGCCACGGCTTCTCGATCGTGCACTGGTCCGAGGTCGCGCCGTACTCTTCGAATAGGCACGGCTTGTTCGCGGCCATACAGGCGGCGCCGTGGGCCTTGATCCACAGGTTGCCCCACTCGTTGTCGGTGCCCCCTATGTTAAGATAGTTTATTAGCACGGGATGATGGATGTAGAACAGCGCAGTAGAGATAAATAAGGGAAGGACGTACAGGAATCAGGATACAGGTGGAAGGTGCCAAAGTCGATGGTGTCAATAGCCAGGTTCTTCGCGAAGTCGGAGCCCTCGTCGAAGCCGAAGGGGTAGGAGCCGTCGGATTGGGTCTTGAGACCGAAGCCCTCTGTTCATTCGTTCATCAGTATGCAATCCATACAATCCAGCGGAAAGATATAGGCTAACTCACCATCACCAATAGCAACCATGTGCTGCGAGTCCAGGCTCTTGATGTACTTGCTGGTTTCGGTGATCCAGCCGGTCAGGACGGAGGTCTCGCACTGCTTGCAGCGGGGCTCATTGGCGAGCTCCCACGCGAAGATTCCGCTGGAGTTGCTGTAGCGGCTGACGACAGCCTTGATGTACGTCTTGTACGCGGCTTGGGCCTTCTCGTTGCCGTAGAAGTCCTCGCTGGTGCTGCCACCGTAGGCCTTGGCGTAGGCGGCCATTCCGCCGTAGTCGGTCCAGTAGTTGATGAAGGGGATGATCAGCTTGATGCCGTGCTTCTCAGCGGAGGCGACTACGGTGTCAAGACGCTCCAGGCCGTCGGCGCCCGTGTTGATCTTGGAGGTGCCGTCCGCGTGAAGCTGGAACCAGGCCTCGCCTTCGCCGGGCTTCTCGTTGACGTCGTTGAAGCCCCACACGCGGAGCACCTTGAGCCCGGACTCCTTCAGGTGGTCGAACACCAGGTCGACGTCGGCGGGATCCTGCTGGAATCCGAGCCAGTAGGCGTTCGAGCCAGCGAAGTAGTCCGTTGCGCCGTTAAGGGAGAACTTGACGCCGTCCGTGGAGGGCGCGCCACCAGTGGCGCGTCGGTGGTGGGAGGGACCCCGCGGCAGCGCAGAAGCCAGCTGCGCGGTCGCCAGGGCCGTCATAAAAGGAGCGAATTTCATGTTGGTGTTTTTTGCCTTTTCTTTTGGTGTGTTAATGAATGTGGGTTGGTTTGTTCTGGATGGTAGATCAGGGTGGACGATGGGTTTATATATGTCCTCTCTTCGTATTTGATGATTGTGTAGCGGCCCGCCTTCCGCTCTCAGGAAACATCCATAGCGGGAATATGGCACAGGCGTGAAACACTATCGCATGTGGTACACTGCTTGATACAGACAGTGGAGATAGACGGAGCTTCAGATCTGGAACGGACGTCGATCGGCTGGGTGGTGTCGGTTAGGAGACAGGCGCGATATCCGTGCTGGATGAGGAATGGTCCAATATAGCGTGGGTCGTCGGCGTTTCACGTCGCCAACCCTGAATGGTGGATCATTTCTGTCCACCGAACCCCTCAATTCTGCAGCTTCGAGTGACACAGTCTGAGGACCATAATCGTGATGATCATAATACCAATCTGGACCTGTTGCAGTATAGGTGGGCAGTTGTCCGCCTTGCATCCGTGACACGAAAGGACTAGCCTGACAATAGGAGAGCGCTACAGCCAACGTTAATCAGTCCCACCGGCCTGAACAATCTGGGGTCAAGCCTCGATCTAACTGGAACTGGCAGAAACAACTCCTGACAGCTCGTTGTGGTGGTTGGCGCCAAGAGATCCGAGTCCCATGGGGAATGTCGAGCTCTGTCGACAGCAATCAAGGATGTGTGGGGTGGTGATCGACAGGAACAGACGGAGGTCCAGATCTGGAACGGAGGAGTCAGTTGACCCCCTCGTGTCATTGTATGCAATTATTTCATGTGTCTGTGATGTAGTCAGTGGCGTGTGATCAAGGCGACATCAGTCAACACAAGACAGCGGAAGGGTCCGTATAGACGAAGTCCACATCGATAGAATCGATGGCGGAATCCCTACCCATGAGACAGGCACGGGTGAGGGTTGGGCACGATCATGTCGCTCGTCAATTTGACATTCATCGCGGCCCCTCAGCCTGGTGCATCTACAGAGGATCGCGATGTCGAAACCCATCATACCATTAACAGTACCTCTGAATCAAGTCATGTCAAACCCACCATACCCACCGCCCGTCACCAGATAATGGGAACCTTTTCCGGTCACTGTGCCTATTAAAATGCGATTGACCGCCCCTACTATTACGGGAGACCCAGTCATGAGCGGTTATCAGCCACTGTACCAAGTACCGAATTGCTATATGGTGGGGCTTGATGTGACTGATATCCGACAACTGTCAAAATAGGTGTTGGGTGGCGGTCGGACTAAAGTACACTCGAACCAGTATTCATGTACCCTCGTATAACAGTACTCCACCGCTGTACCCAGAAGCTCCAGCGATCGCATGGCTGTTCGCAGCTCTGGGTGACTCAAAGCGGTGTTCCTGGTCGGTCGGATGGTGAAAACCGGACGATAGTGGCAACATGGGCTCACAAGGCACTCTAAATGTGAAATTCCAGTCCAACCCAGTTTCCAGACTGCAGAACCTGATCGTTCCAGGTTTTTGACGCAAGATTGATTCGTTGGAGCCGTCGGAGGCGACAAGAAACAGGATATCGGGCTTAGGTAATCCACGCGCCCAGAGCGGCCAATCAGGTGGATCGTCGCCAGAGCAGTTACATCATGCTATGCAAACTCGACAACTGGCCATCGCGGGGGACATAAGAAGCTATGATTTGGGACACATGTTGGGCGTGCGACACTTTGTAGAGATGATGATGCAGCAGTTTGTACAATCAGACGTTTCGGGGTCGACCTTTGAAACCCCCAGCAGGTGAGCAAACCCATATCGGAACGATAGATCCGGCCAACTGAACTAGTTAGGTACACGGACCTGTGTGTGGTGGACTCTAGAGTCCGAGATAATACATGGTATGTCAGGCGTAGCCTCCGTCCCAAGCTGGGCGCATATAAGCTAACACTGGACTGGCAGCACCGCATTTGATCGCCTCTGTCGGCAGCCCGTGACGGTCAAAAGGATAAACAGACCGTTTGATCGGATTGAGGCAGTACGGTATGCGTATCAGCAAGTTCGGCTAGCGGGGGAACTGCAACACGACAACGTGGGTAGACCTTTGGAGTTGCCCACCGAGTCGGGGTGCTGACGGACTACAGCTTGTTTTTCTCCAAGACATCTATATATCCCCAACCGAGGACATGTAGGATATGACCCAACGCGGAACATATTTCCATTCAGGGTGTGCTAACAACACTAGTTATCTCATCACCGAGCTCCATGGGATACCGCTGGGCGGGCTCCTCAAAGACGGGCCGTTGGACCCTGCACTGGTGCAGTTCCTGATGTATCAGATTCTAGTAGGTACCAGGAATGACAGGCAGCTCTACAGAATGTGTGACTGACCGGTGTAGCGTGGACTCAAATACATCCACTCCGCAGGCGTCGTCCATGGAGACCTTACACCGAGTAAACTCTTCGTGGACCGCAATTGTGATCTGAAGCTCAGTGACTTTCACATCGATCGAGAAACAGACCCTAACGGCACGGACCACACAAGTCTACACTATGAAGCACCTGAAATTATGCTGGCATGGTCGCTATATGACATGGGGGTGGACATCTTCAGCGCGGGGTGTATATTCGCCGAAATGATGCTAGGGAAGCCATTGTTCCCAAGCAAAGATCATGCCCAGCAACTGGGTTTTGCCACCGGTCTACTAGGCCCTCCGCCTCAATGGATGGTCCAAAACAGCAGCATAGCAGTAGGTGAGATGACGACTGTGAAAAAGACCTCCAGCTAATATTAAGTTTAGAAGATCAACTCGCGGTCCTGGTCCGGCTACCAACCTCGCCGCATTTCAAGTATATTCGCACAGCAAGATCCAGAAGGTATGGCGCTCTCCATCCTCACCTCATCATACGAGACATCACTGACAGCACTGCACAGCTGTCGACTTGCTAGACAGCATGCTTATGTACGATCCTCGCGAGCGCATCACCGCCGACAATGCCATCACCCACCCCTATCTCGAGCGGTATCACGACGCGAGCGATGAGCCTGTCGCTGTCCAAAAGTTCGACTGGACTTTCAAGGATGCACAGATCCCAGGAGCAACATGGAAGTGGATGATGTATGCCACATTATTACCTTCCCCCACTCCCACTAGTAACGTCTCTAACATATAACTAAGCTACTCGGAAGCAACAAGATACCATACTGAGCAATCGCTTTGATTCACCGCAGTTTTACATGACCGAAGCGTTAACTACTTTATGTCGGCGTTATGTTTGGGCGGTTTTGGCGGGTGGAATCAAGCTTCACTCTGGAAATTAATATGTATATACCCTTTAATATAAGTGCAGTGAACGTATCAAATGAAGGCGCTGGCAACACCACCCATCAGAGAATATCTCGACGAGGCTAGAGTCCAGGTCTCTACACGATAGCGCCCTAGCACATGACACAGTAACAGCCGTGGCAAATCATTCCACGCCGCTCATCCACAGCTCCACTGTTGCCCCAGGGGTAAGGGTCTTCTGCCCGGAATTGGGCCACCGTGTAGAGCGGCCGTGACGGACGTGAAAGTGTCTGTCCCGTTTATCACTAGGCAACTCACGTACACTTGAGCAAACCAAACCAGCTTAACATATGTAGATCACATGCCAGTATCCTGGTAGAAACCAGGCAACGTGCTTTTATGTCCATGCCGAAACTCGACATCCCTATTGTGGAAGAAGCTGTGACTGGCAATCACCTAAACAATTCGCAGACCTGCAGCGTTTGCAATGGTCTTCTCACACATTTGAGCTTTGTATCTTGATGTTTCACCCTTGGCAACATCTTTTTATATTGCAGTCATCTTTCTTACCACGGTACCCATCCATTCTTTCCACACCTATCAGAGGTATGTACTCCGTACTCTTTGCCAGATCGGCCTCGCTGTCTGACCCACACGGCCCGGATCCCCAGCCACCTGCCCGCATTAGCCCTAATCTATACGAACAGCACGCACGGGAACTTCATATTCAATCGCCATTCCCGAATCAAGTAAAGATATTCTCAAAACATTGGCGTAGGTCATATACCCCAAATGCAACTTTCTACCAAATATCCCGAAAGAATTCTCTATGTCGTGGTCGAGTGACCCCCATCAGAACACTGATAGTACTAACTTCAGCCACTCTCCTAACGTTCGAGTCGCCGCTGTGACCGCATACTCGGAACCAGCAACATCACTATGCCGCTGCAGTTCCCCGAATCCCACAGCGACTGGAAATTCGACCTCGTCGGTCTTCTCGCAATCATTGGAGAGTCGATCGTCTCCGAGGTCGTCCAACCGCTAACCGCCTCGAGAACAGTTTTTCTCCCCCGGCTGCTCCCCGCGCCTCATGCATTAATCCGACCCTCGCGACGGACGGCGCTCCCGTCGCGACCCGTCCTGGGAATTGGTGTCTACTCGAAGCAGGAAATCACCAGTCTGCCCTATTTCCCGGACATGATCCACCAGCTCGACCTGCTCCGGCCCTACGAAATCCAGGAATACAACATCAGCCTCGCAGCCAAGGCCGCCGGCGACCGCCACCAAAAAATCGCGACGGTCAAATTCTTTTCGCCGCTGAAACTCCTCACCCTCTTCAGCTTCCTCTGGACGGTGGGGATCCTCGTCTGGGCGATCCTGTTGGGAGACGGGCCTGCCGTGGTCGCCATTGTCTTAGTCTCGGCGGCCAGTAGCCTCCACAGCGCAGCGTCATTCTGGAAGACTAGTATCACCAGATTGTCTAGGCTAGGCGCACATAGACAGGGTGACATTGTTCTTAGGACCCGTGAGGGCGCCTTCGTCGTCGTCCATTGCACCGAGGAGGTTGCCAGACTCTTATACACCGCGCCGCTAGGCTGCGACTACGTGGCGGGAGGAACGACATTCCAGATCCTCATCTCGGTGGGGACGCTCCTATTAATGGTGGGCATTGTGGTCATGTCAAACTGCAGCTGGACAATGCAGGTGGTACTAGGCGCGTCGTACCTCGCCTTGAACGCACTCTACATGGTCTGTGCCTTGACGCCGGCCGTCAGTCAGTACTGGCATTGGGACTTGTCGTTGTTTGAAATAGTGATGCAGAGGAAGTTTCGTGATTCCTACACTGAGGCACTGTGGGAGGCAATTCGTGCCACACGGGAGACGGACTGGGTAGTTAGGGGGAGGCATCTCCCTAATACTTCCAGCTGGAACAAATGGCTTGACGAAGCGATGGGAAATTACGATAATGATGATTGGGACCCCACTAAGGCTAGAGACCAGTATCTCGGCGAGGAAAGGCGTGAGGCTGGCGAAATCGTGCCCACAAGCGATGACTACGGCAGTTGGCCGACAGCGGATGGACCCAGGAGGAGGCCAACGATCTTGTAGAATTGACAGACAAAACTCTAGGCTAGTATTGTTATTAACTAGTAGATTGAGTGCCTAGCACATTCCATTCAAAGACTGTCCATTGTAGTCTCGTCTTGTCCTTCCATTTGTAAATGTAATTTCCAATCCACAGCGGTATGACCAGATTAACCAACTTATAATCAACACTCTCAGGTCGCGTCAATATTTACTACGGGAAAGTAAACGCAACGATTGACTTCAAATTAACGCTATGGGTAGCCGAGATATGAACACTAATCATAACAGAGATCTGAAGTCATTCCCAACAAGATAAATCACGAATCCACTGCACTGTCCTCGTCCTCATCCTCGTCGTCCTCTTCCTCTTCCTCCTGCTCATCGTCCCCCCTACGGTGGCGTCTTTCAATTGCCGCCTTTCCAAGACGACAGGACAAGTTCTTTGCCGCGTCATCGGCCTCTAACTCATCCTCTGGTACGTGACCAAAGGTATTCACGGTGAAGGAGGGTGGCAACTTCAGGCCCGAGGTGTTGCGCGCGAGGGAAGTCAGTGTCGACCGCTCTAAGTAAAAGCATAGAGAAGGTCAAAAGGTCTTCCTCTTCTAAACGGTACTGGTGAAGGCATTATTTCCGGCCCTCTTTGCATTCAAGTTCGTGATTATGAATTAGAAGTACAGGTAGCGTCTGGCCGGCCGGCTTGGGGTTAGAGATACCAGTTTGCGCTCATCAAGTTCCTAGTTCAGGATAATATAGTTAGCTAAGAGGAAGAGCAACAAATATACAACAGATGTGGCTCACATGGTATTTGATAGTCCACAAGTGCCGGTCTTTCTCGGTGAGCTCGGCCATCGGAATCATGGGCATCATCCTCCCCGAAGTAGTATTCGATGTCTGGGCCCGTGAGCGACTCGCTAACTAGATGGGCGGGCTTGACCCGGGCTGGGGGCGATCATCACCGATTAAAGTGGCACCAAGTGCTACCGTACCTCTACAAAGCCCATCATCTAAATCTTGCCTGTTGGTGCTTGGAGAACACCCGCTTCTGATCTCCGGACGCGGCCATCACTCGTGGCACGATGGAGATTGCATAGCTCCGCTCGTAGAAGTCCACGTCAGGCTCTTCCTTTCAATGCCGTTTGCGGGAGATGATTGCCTCATCCATATCCTGCTAAATGATATGCTTGGACTTTTGAAGGACATTGAGGTCATCATTGGTCGAGGGCCTCGACAACATAGTCGAGCTCACCCTGATATTTTTCTTTGTCCAAATTTGTCTTTGTATCATTGAGCCCCTGTCGAGGTTTGTAGAAGCCTCAGTTTTGCTGGAGCTAATCCAACTTTTCAGCCAAGGATTCCGACACTGTCGGGAAAGCGACCGATATCTTAACGACCGCACGATAATACAGATCGGGTACTTTGGTCAAGTTTGATATGACTGATATGCCAACATGATATGTTTGAAGCAAGATGGACCCTTCTAGCCCGGTGCTCTCACAGCTTGGGCTGGGTAAGTGAGGGTATCAAGGACGAATATCTGAACGACATGTATAAAATTGAAAAAGAGTGGGAGAACAGTGAGAGAAAAGCAGCAAAATCATGAGCAAAAAAGAATTCACACAGATGGATCGGAGTGAATGGAATATGCCTGAGTGTATTACAATCTTTATTAGAGGCTGGAACCTGCCACTGTTGCCTTTCTATTACAAAGTATTTTTCTCTTGCCAACCACCCACGAACAAAATTATTAATTCAGGACAGCATCACTCAAAGTTCACCTTACTATATGAAATCCGTGTTACCAATCAGACACATTGAAAGAAAGGCACGATGCTTCAGTGCAAGGCCTTTATGCTCAGACTATTTGCAAGATAAGTACCTCTGGGACAGTGATCAAGCAATCTACCGGGTAGATAGGTTGTAACCAATTATGTTGGGGTGCGAATCATAGACTAAGCTTGTCAGTACCGATTGATATAATATGAGAATGGCAACCCGAGTCTAGTTGACACATCTAACGTTGACCGGAAAGGTGGCTATGCCTGGGATGACTTCCTTGAACTTGTGCCACTCTCTTATGGCTCCGCAGCTGAAGGCTACGGTAGCAGTTACTATTACACCGAAGGCATCATAGACCGGCTCTGGTACGTCACGAAAGACCCAGGATTTCCAAGGTCCACCAGACATAATATCCTGGGGTCTCAGACATGACAACCCAAGAAATTGCCATTTTCTCAATAAGAAATCTTGGAGACGGTCGATTATATATTCCACGGCTAAAAGGGGGCTTGACATGACAAGAGTTTTTCAGCTGAGCCGTTACAAACCATGGGCATTAATCATAGATTCCTGCAACTGCTAGGTATTTGACCATAGTGTGAATCTATGGAACTTGCTGACGGGTAGACAGTTGCTGGTCCTCTTCTCTACAGCCTGGGACTTGCGCTGCAAGCCGATATTCGGGCGGACAGCAACCGGGATGGCTACGTCGACCTCCATGGTGAAAGTGACCTTTTGCATAAACTTGAGTGGAACACTGAAGGTGCCCTCTTCATGCCAAATATAAAAGATTCTTGTCATTATTGCTATTTGTGGTATATGGCTGGGCTGTTTTCGAGATTTGAAGATTTTGTCGCCTGCAACGATGCCTCCGCTGATCAGCTATGGGATACACGGTACTTGACTCCTTTAGCCACATCTCCGGTCGAGAACATAAGCCACGATGCTTGGGGAACAGTTGAGGTCCACGAGGAAATTGCGAGGAAGAACGTTCGGATATTCCAGGACGATCAGACGTTGATCACCAATGACCATCGATTTTCTAGTGCGGAGCTTAGAAAAGGACTGAATCTAGGAATCGATGCCCGTGACACACGAAGGCCCGGGGGATGGGACGGGCGAGTCGAAGTCCACTTCAACATTCAGGATGGAAACGAACATTCAGATGATTTCGTTCGCCTCCGCGTTGCACCCCTCCTTCTCTCCCATTCTCTTCAACCGGTCAAATTCCTTGAACTGGTCGACCTGCCGGAAACCACACCACCAAACATCCCCCAGATGTTACAGAAATCTTTCAATGATCAGTTTGAATCTATCCTGAACAGCTCCAATTCCAAGACCATGCCGGAGATCAGGCATATGCGTACCCGGGATCAGGATCAGTGGTACCGGGATTTTGCGAGCTACGCATATATCAGTAAACCAGGACCGAACGGTGGTTCGACTGTTTTACCAATTGTTTTGCGCTCTTCCCAGGAGTCTAGGGAGGGGGGCAAAGTTGCAATTGAAAGTACCCGTTCCTTCAAAGGTGCCGGCGCGATCTATAGTCCCGGCGGTACTAGGGATGAAATCAACTCGATGGGCAACGTGATGACCATACCTCCCTATCGAATTGGCAGCAAGCATTTCCCGGCAGGCCGCGTCATTGTCGGATCTCATGGCTCCCAGAATCCCCATATTCTCGGATATCTGCGGGCACAGGAGCTTCAGGACCCTCTCATACTGGACTCGGATTGGCTGGCCATAGGCCACCTGGATGAGTTTCTCCAGTTTGTACCCGTGCGTGAAGGGAAGAGTCTATATGGCTGGGCGCTCTTAATTGCCGACCCCAACGCTGGCCTAGACATTCTGACGAAAGCATGTAACGACGGTCATGGGAGCGCCTTGGTTTTTTCACGGGGAAACGAGAGCGAGCAGTGGATGCGCGATGGCCCCGTTCCAGGGTACTCTATTGACGAGCTCTTGGGACATCCAAACTTCACCCAGAGCAACCGGGATTTTGCGAAGCGCATAGAGAAGGTGCAGCTCCGCTTGATGAAGGAGACCGGTCTCCGTGAAACCGACATCTACAAGCTTCCCATGCTATTCCAAACGGGTATCTGTTGGAAAGCAGACCGAGGTGTATCGCCAGAGCGCAACTGCAGCACAAGCCATGCTACGTCACTGCATCCGGCGGTGGTAAATGGTGTGCCCCTGGACCAATCGCATTTCGTGGCGCCCCATCCATGGGGTCCTGTCGTGGAAGGGGTGGACATCCTGGAGAAATCAATTAATGACACGTTCAGGGATATTGGAATGAATGTGAGCTATATTGATGACTGGTTTTCTCACCATACACAGGGCGGCCAGGTGTATTCCGGGACTAATAGCTTTCACAACGCAACTCAACCATGGTGGGGGACGTAGGACACTGGATAGTGAAAGAATGTCCTCTGCAGCTAGGGGGCGACAGATGGATGCAATGGGGTTACATCGAGTCGCACGTCGATTTATGAAGATACTGACGTTATAATCCCTATTCGTTCTCTGTGTGTGCGCGTTTGTGTCTTTTATCCTCTATTTCGCTCCTGTTTATTCTCTAGCCACGCTAGATTTACCCAGACTATTGGCACAGGTGGTAGACTCTTATGTAGAACAAAAGAGGTTATAATTTTATCCTTTATATCGCTCTAAAGAAGATCATCAATTCGATCTTCGGCCTGCTACCCGTTATGATAACTCTCCCATAAATGAATTCCTTGTGGCGTACTATGACTGTGAGGCTTTGCAGCATGGAAGCCATATCAGTATGCGTGTGTAAAGATCTTACGCGATGCGCCGAAAGCGGTGGGTTGCATTCCCATAACAGGACGCAAGTGACATACTTTGGCGGCGTGCGAAAGGATCGCAAATATATAAGACTGTAAATCACTTCCTTCTCCGGGCTTGGCAGGTCCCTTAGAGAAATACAAGCATTAGCCCTTCTTGTAGTTCAACCAGTACTAGGCCTGGAATTCTTGATAAACTGCGGTTATATACCGTATACATTATAAACCCTTATTTAAATTGCATCATAATAGCGAATATATCAATCTGTAAAGGACAGTGGCCTAAAGGGATAAAAATCCCTATACGAAAGGGGCATTCTCCGAGCATCCTCTCGTATGCAGTGGCCGAATGCATCATTAACCCATTTGTCACAACAGCGACAGAATCTCTATCTATTCTTCCCAAGCCGTGTAGACATTTTTATAGCCATATTTTTCTCCCTGTCTGAGGATCACCATGCTTCGCCACTCTGGGCTATTTATGGCGTTGATGTACCTGCAAGGTTCGATGTAAAAACCCGCACGAGGGCCATACCGTGGATTCTCCGAAGAATTCAAATGGTCCCCGGTGTTGAATTGGAATGCCGGTTCCGTACTTTGCACTTTAAGATGCATATTCCCCTTGCTGAATGAACCTAGCGTTTTGAGCTCGTTGCTCCGCGTGTCCATCGTCCGGTCGCCCTTGTCCTCCGTCACAAAACAGTGATCAATTTTGGGTTCGTCAGCCCCCAGGGAAATTTCCCCGGTAACGTCAGGGCTGAAATCGGAGATCTCTCCTATTGGTATGCCTCTTTTGTCGACTGGGAGATATTTCCTCGTGCAGAGGTTTACCTTAGTGCCTTCTATAGACGGCTCGTCGGTCAGATTGAAATAGCTGCAGATTGGGTCAAATTAGCAATCTATCTCGCATCACCTCTCGGAATAGGGCATACCTGCGGTTGCTGACGTTGATGACAGTGCTTTCGGGCTCGGCACTTGTCAGCTCAGCTTCGTACTCAACTATCAACACAGTTGTCCGTTTCCCGGTTGCCGTGCGCCCATGGCTCTCCATGTACCAGACTTTGAGTTCGACTTCTCCTGGGAAGCCTTCTTCGCCGTCTTCGCTTCGATAAGTAAACAGCGTAGCATCTAGATCATTCCGTTCCGCCTTGGTGGGTCCCTGGAACGTGCGCATGCCCCATCCACGCACGCCTCCATCGGTGGTGTTGCGGTATCCATCTGTCTGAGGCAAGTGATAGTCCACGTCGTTTAACTCAAATATACCATTTTCAATCCGGTTGCTCACTCTTCCAATGGTCTTACCAAACTGAGGACCTCCGTATTGTAGGTAGTCATCCGGCGAGTCGTAACCCAGGACGATATTTCGATTACCCACCCGAAACCGTTGGATCAGGGCCCCCAGGGGTAGGAAGTCACAGGATGGAGGCTGCTTGGGGGTCGTCGCAATTTTGAACGGCTCGGATACTGTCAGGGCAATGGCGTTGTCATTGTTCAACACCTGCACGGAGATCACAATTTGAAAGCCATGAATGAACTTTGGTGATGAAAGTAGGACTTTACGGTTGCCTGTCTTCGCGGGTTGAGGGATCTTATCAACAGGGAGAATCGGTTCCTTAGTGTCGGCACGGAGAACCTGGAGCTCGTAGTCCACCACGCCTATGGCCTCCCCTGGCTGCTTCCAGTCCACATCAACGTCGGTATTTTCGCTCGAATTATTCATCTTGGCGTTCAGCTCCTGAGGCACCGGCGCGAGACAGATCTCTTCCGTCGACTTGGCCCAAGGCGAGTCATTGTGACTTTTTGGGTTCGATGACAACCGCTTGACATAGGCACGTGCCGACAAGGGTAGCGATTCGGGCACCTGGAGCAGCGTCCAGGGGATCTTCAACGGGTCCTGGCTCAGCGTGGCCGGATCCGGATTGTACAACTTGAAGCGTCTCGTTTGGTCATCCGCCCCTGCGATCTCAATCCGATACTGCTCCGGATTGACTGGATAAACGGTGACGGTGCAGAGGCCGGGTGTCGACGCAAAACTGACCTCGGGAGGGGTAAGGCTGGGGATATGCGACGCACTCCCTGGAACGCTGGGTTTGCTGGAGACCCAGTCTCTTCCGTCTTTGGTGTAGGTCGCATTTACCCAGGCATACACAGTAGGGACGTACAGAAACTGGGGGTTTTGAAGCTCGGCGGACGCCTGGCCTTTGACGGAAACGTCGTAGTTTCTCGGGTCGTCGTTTCGGCCTGACAGGCTGACGGTGACCGTCCAAGTGAAGCCCTCATAGTCCTCGTAGCTGAGTTTGTCGTTTTTGGGCCTGATCTGGGCCCAGTCCACTCGCAGTTTATCACCACTCCCAAAGCTGCAGGTTGGGCAGCCCTGCATCATAAGCACCTCCTCTTCCATCCATGTGGACTTTTCCACAACCTGTGTGGAAAGATTTCCTTCGAGTGTCTGAACGCTGTCCTTCATCTCCTTATATTCCTTGTGTTCTGGCGAATCCCCACTAAAGTAGGCGAGAAGGGAGCCCAGGAAGCCTACAAGGCCTGCTACGAGACCGCCTAGCGCGATTAGCGCCGACTGAGCTGTCGCTAGAGAGCTGGCGAGGCCTCCGATAGAAGTCGCCGTCCCAGCACCGTCCAGCGCATCCTTGACCGCGCTCGACTTCTCTTGCACGTCTTTATGCTGATTATTCGCCTCCGTCTTCGCTCTATCTTCCACGTTCGGTGTTTTGATTTCGCGGCATATTGCCCTTTCCAGCAGCAGCTTGCCAATTTCCACCGCGGCGATCGTTGCGAACAATTGGGTAAATGCCTTCTCATTCTCCATGATTTGCTTGCCGAGAGCCTTGGCATTATTAATGAGAAGACTTGTGATCGCATCCTGGAGGCCCTTGAAGTCGAATTTGCTGAGGGTGCCGTGGAGCTGGGGCATTTCGATGTTGGCCACCGTTACCTTTTCCAGATGAATAGTGAATGTCCCGGAGATATAGAAGGAGATTTCTTCTTTCCTCTTGTGCTTGTTGTCTTCCGTCGAATCCGCCCCACCGAGTGACACTCTGAGGGAGAACTCAGTCTTGATAATATTCAGAACCATTTCCGCCAACGGGCCGCAGACGGTCTTCCCTGTTGTCTCGGATGCCTCCTCGATTCCCTTCACCAGGTCCAGGGCATCCCCGAGTTCTCCGAGAATCGGCCACTGCACCACCTGGAACTTCTTTTCCTTCGAGTACTTGACCTCGATTGTGGGATTGGTGATGCCCAGGATTTCTCCGTCGTACGTGAACTTCCCCGTGTATGAATGGTCGGACGACTCGTAACTTAGAGCTATTTCCGTCGACTTGAGATCGAGCAGGGTGAGCGTGGTCTTCCCCGTGTACGTTTTCTTCTATCCGCAGTTAGCAAGGAGTGGGATGAATGATCCGTATTGAACTTACCGTGCGGTCGGTTGTGTCAATCGAAATGGAAGTGTCGCTGATCTTGACAAAGTCTAGGTCAACCGTTTCCGTGTAGTTTGCCTCCACCTTTAACCCTGGAGCCGCGAAGGCAGCATCGAGAGAGAAGTTATATTGGTCGGAAAACAGTTTGCACAGGGCACTGATGTGAAACCCGGTAGTATACTTATTCTCCCCAATCGTCTGGTCGCTTTTGGCATAGTACAAGTCCTTCAATTTCAGCTCCAGCGCCTGGTAGTCGCTCGGCCATTCTACGGCGTTATTAGCGCCGCTGGTACTGCCGTTGACCAGCTCCTTCACCACCTGATCGATGCTGATTTCCAAGTCTCTGAAGTTAAGGGACGCAACGGAAGGCGCGCCATTCATGAACATCAGGGAACCCGTCAGTCCGACCCTGGCACCCAGGGTTGCATCGCCCATAATGGTCACCTCACTCTTCCGCTTACTGTCCTCGCAGAGGAACTTGCCTGCAATGCTGAAATTGTCCATCTGGAATTGGAACTTGCCGAACGGCTTCACCATTTTGGTAACACCAGTGTAGTCGTCCATCGTGGGGGTGGCCTCAATGGTGGTGGATCTGGGCGCAATGACAAGCTTGATGTCGAATTTGAGTTCGTCCAGTCCCTCAAACGTCGCTGCCAGCTTGCCTGAGACAGAGAACGTCTTTTTCTTGTAGGTTCCCTTAGCATCACTGAGTATCAGATGTCCTCCCCACAGCGTCATTGTGCTGATGCTGACCAACAATTGTGATTCCGCCACCTTCTTCTTCACCACGGCCGAAATGATGATTTCCGCTGGCTTGTCTTCCTCCACAATCATCTTCACGGCGTCGGTCATCTCCTTCTTACCTTTGAGGCTAATCTTGCCAAAGAAAAGGACACCGATCCCCGCTGCTCCCTCTTGCGAGGCTACCACGCTAGATGCATCGTTAGAGCCCTCGATTTTGAGTTGTGAATAGGCAGCTTTCAGATCTTCAGTCAATTGTGCGTAGGTGCCATCATACGCAATGATTTCCGCCGCGAGCACCTCCCAGTCGAGAACCTGGCCTACTGTGCGGTTCAACTCTGGCCACAGGCTGTTGAGGTCTTGCACCACCACAGAAACCACATAATTACGCCCGCCAGCCCCTTGTTGTCCTGGTGAATGCTTGGGCTGGCCCAGAATGAGCGCGGTGATATTATTGCCGATGGTTCCGGCCAGATAGAAGAACCCCCGGCCAAAGTCAAGGTATAGTTGTAGATCTTTGTCAGCTACAGCCAAAGCGGATTCGGGTATCGCCGAGGACTTGGAGATCTCGGCAAATTTGGCGTTATCATTCGATGCCAGCTGATCTGTCAAACCCTCGACGGCTTTGTCTGCGTTTGCCTGTTTCTTCACAGCTGCCTTCAGGATCAGACCGCGATTGGTCTTGATATCCAGTGATGCTGTCGCGGCGGTGAAGCCGGTAAAGTCCAGCGTCCCGATGATATGGATTTCATACTCCTTCGCCTTTTTCGGCTTGGCAGCTTCCTCATCATCTTTCGGATGACTTTCATCATCATCGTTGTTTTTCATATCGTCCCTCCCATTTTCATCTGCCGTGGGCTCCTTTGCCTCGGTCTCACCTGCCTCTGGCACATCTGGTTCGGGCACATCTGGCTCAGGTTCATCTTTCTCGGGCTCTCGCACCTCGACGCTTGCCCCCAATGAAGCCATCTCTATCTCCACCCCCGACAGCGTTGGATTCCACTTGCTTCGACCCATTCCCCATACCTTGACTGAGACCGACGGCTTAACGAGCACGTTAACTGACACGAGAGGAAGCGAGTCAGGGATCTTGACATTATCAGGAATCTTAAACTGGTCATCGGTGAGGAACTTGTTCGCCAGCTCCTTGGCATTATAATCGCCTTCAATAGTCGTTAACTGGCCCTCGAAGTGCGGGTCCGGTTCCTTAGAGTATCGCACCCAAACATTCACCGCTGGGGATTTGAGGCTCAGGCGGCCGGTGAACTGGGCAGACAGGCCCTCCCCCTTCGTGTACTTGAGATCAAGACGGACGTCGTCTAGCTTCACATTCAAGTTTTGAAGAACGGTTAGTTTAGCACACGTCTCCACCACGGCTTCGAGTTGGGTAATAGTCAGGGTCTTCTCCTTCCCAGAGCCGGTTGGCACGGCGATTCGTCCGCTGATCTTCTTCACTTGGAAAGTGCTGAAATTCGGGCTATCGGGCGGTAGATTCCACTCAGGCTTCTCGAAGCCTAGGAGCTCGATGAAGCTCGCCAGAGAAAGGCTGTCCTCCTTTAGTGGCAGAACTGAGAAGTCGACTTCCGTCGGCACCTTTGAGTTGGGCAGGCAACTGATCTCGAAAGATGCGCCGAAGGTGTTCTTCGATACTGAACCCTTTATATTCAGCGACGTTGGTGTTCCATCACTGTTGGTCCCCGCTGGCACCGCAGCCTTGTAGGAAACACTCAGGGATGATAGGACAACTTTGTCCACTGCCAGAGGTTCCGGTTTACTCATGGTGATTTCAAAAGACGTGGACTTTTTCGATTCGGTATCAAAAGACACTTCCACGCGATCGACTGCTAGTGATCCCAGCACCGGTGCTAGGACGTTCGTGATTTCACTAGGTAGCAGTTTCGCTAGAGTCTGGTTCAGCGTAACATTTGACTTCCTGGTAAGAAGCAGCTGGATTAAACCCGATCTTGCATCGTCATAGGAGGCATCGACTTGGAAGCTGTTATCCTCAAGCGTGGCACTCAGACGGAAAGACTTTTGCGCCTTTCCGAGACCCAAAGGATCATCTTTACTATGATAATTGAAAGCGGCATATACCCCAACAAGTATCAAGGGTCCGATGGAAACTTTTTCACCGGTGCAGATGACACTCACACCGGTACATGTCAATTTCCGAGCGTTGGTCTTCGAATAGTCCATCGTGCAAGAGGCCGATTCAAGCTGCACGCTCAGCAGGGAG